ACGAACTACTTTCAAATTTCTCGCATTTTATTACTGATAACTTTTGCATTTTTATCGATGGTCTCACGTTGTTCCCGGATTCAAACAACACGTTTTATCGGTAAATGTGGAGCGCATAGAACAAAATCTATGTTTAAATGATCAACGACGGCATAGTATATGAAAAAAAATGTTGTTCGATATAGCGAGAAAACAAAAACGTTAATAAAGTGAAATGAAATCCGAGTAATTTGAGATACCGATAAGTACTAATGCCAGATGAGCGTGACGCATTTTACACTGCACGTTATCAGCGAAAATAAAAACAGGAGAGTGTAGAATTCTTGCCGATTCATGAAAATGTCGGTAGATAGTTTCAGTGCAATATTTGAAATGGTGGTCTTATAACGAACGTTATGAATAATTCATGAGAAGGGCAAAAATCCCTGTATTAACTTTTACTGTCTGGGTTTGTGAGTTTTTTTTTAAATTCGAAACTGAAACAGTATAATCTGTCAAGACTGAATGTCTGTAGCTAATTATGTTAATATTTATATCTGCTCAGATGCTCGGATGAAATGATCGTCGAGATTTATGTTAATGATCACCAATACCGTGAGGCAATATGATTTCGAACACATGTGCACATGTCTAAGTTTTCACGTCACGAAGAAAATGTATTACTGTTGACACTTTGGTAAGACTTCAATATGTTAGAGGAAACAAGGCGCCTGCTGAGGAAGCTTTTTTGGCTTCTTTCTCATTTGTAATATGACATGTACATACTTACATATGCTTCTATAGAACCTTTCCGTGGGCCACATCACAATGATATAATGCTTAGGTTGTTTAACACAACGCCAGATGTTGTCGACATAAAGAGATTTTCTCAACGGCAAACATGATAAATTTTGCATTGAGGCTTCCAGATGTTTGAGGAGAAACTAAAAAATTCAAAAGAGACTTTACTTTTTTCAGGGATCGATATGAGAAAATAATCAATTCACATATTTCCTTATACATAATGAAGACTCGATGCATAAATACTAGAAAATATTATGAAAACCGTTTGAACTTTCAATGGATTCAATTGCGGAGGTATTTGAATTTTCTGTTCGCTTCATGACCCGGTATTATAATCAAATTTCTTGGAAAACGGCAGCAATGATCTGTTGCACTTTGTCTGAATGCTCTGTCCATGACATAAAATTCTTTGATGTCGTTTCATCGGTAGTAAAATCGAATAGGCGTCATCACGAATCATGCAGATACAGGAGCTGGGGAAACAGATAAAAGCGGGTTTGAAATGTGTGATAAGAGCCATTTAGGTATGCTAGCGATAGTTTAAAAATCAGTGACATTTCCATATTCGTTTATTGCAGAACTATGCAGACTTGGAATTTCACCAACGTTCTTCTCGCCGCCATACTCTTCCACTACACATACAGTAAGATCTGATTTTGAAACAACATGAAACAAAGGGTATTAAGGTGTTCCAATTAATCGGGATGCTGCTGCTGTGACCAACTTCCTTACTACGATAGCAAGTCAGGACACAAGAACCGATTCACTCGTGACTCTCAACTATCAGGTAGAAGAGAAAAAAAATTTGAACTACTTCAAGCTTTCTAGAACATGGCTTCTAAGAAATCACCAGATCATGACAACGCTAAGGATCCCTTATTCACCCAGGTTGATGGATCTGTCAACGCCGGACCAATTTACACACAAATTGCCACCCTTTCGGTAGGCAACTCTTGTTAAGTGGTTAAAACTCGAAAAATGTTTAGAAATTCTATCAACATGACAGTGAAATTCCCATTGATTCTGATTTCTCTACTGCAATTGCCAACTTCATTGATACGATTGTCGAAACTACACCAATGACCGCCGCATGGACATTCCTTCAATCTCTCGGTATAGCCAAAATTCATACCGATGAAAATTCAGAAATTTCAGGTTTGGCGACCAATGACAAAGCCAGTTTTAAGACTCAACTTTATAACTTGTGGTTTTTGCCATACGCGAGAAAATCTGTCACAGGAAGTTGCGGATTCAAATCAGTTTTTGTTGGTGAAATCACTGAAAAGACCGTAACCAGCTTCTCCAATTGGTACGGATTCTATTTGCAAGAGGCGTCAGGCGATATTAACTATCACGGATGGTTCACCAAAATCAACGTAAGTGTGCAAACACCAAAATTCTGATAAGAAGCACGTGGATACATATATTTTATGACTAGCGGCTTGTAAAAAAATGACAAAGATTCATTCCGTTGTGTCGTCCTCATCGTCTTCTTCATCATCGACATTGTCGAGCTCGGGAATTGGCGCATGACGGCGAACTTTTTTCCCAGGATGTTTAGGTGGTCGTCCGTGGCCAATTTTTCCCCTAAATGGAAACATTAGAAGGAATTATAAAAATAACGATTACTCTACGAGATCCACTATTCGAAGGGTGATTTCTTGAATACGTTCAACTTTCATCTCCATTTCGTCCATTTTTCTTTCACAATAGTCAATTCTTTCAAGAAGTGAGATTTTTCTTCCCGAATAGTCGAATGGAGAAATTGTTGGTTTTCCGATAAGAGAAATAATAGTAGCTTCGAGCTGTAATTAAATCAATTACGAGGATCTATAAAATATTGATGCTGCCTCTTTCATCTTAATATTTCTCGCATTTTCCCTTTCTGAGATTTCTTCTTCAATCGTCAAAAGCTCGCCGGCTTTTCGTTGATTCTAAGAAGAAAATATAGCACTTAAAATAGTTTGAATCAAATTACTCTGAATTTCTTCATTAAAAATCGGAATAGAATAAAGTTGTAGAAACGCAATAACGGTCGATATTTCATCAGCAAGCTTATATCAACTTCTTAATCAGAATTATGAATTAATTGCTAATAATTAATCGAATTACCCTCGGGCGTAAAATCATCAACATTTTCTGCGAGAATATTCCGCATTTCAATATGAGCGTCAACATCAGAAATATCTAACGATGAGGACATTGAAGTTTCTACAGTATGATTTCGACGCTCAGCAAAGAGTACACGCTTTTTCTGTAATACGATTATTATTATATAAGCATCGTTTACAAATCTTACTGATGAGCTATAGCCTTCAGTCATAGTGGTTTGTTCTTCGCTTTGCTGAAAAAAAAAAATGTTTTCTTGAAACGATGATATACTCACTGTTCTTCTTTGGAACGCGGCGACTTTATCATTTCTATCTGCCTGAAATATGTAGATTAAAGCAAAAATTACTGTAATTAAAAAAAATGATATGTACCTCAATAACTGGTTTCACAGCTCCTTTGATTCCCAACTTCAGTAATTCTGCTGTAACCGAGCCTTGATTAACAATCGACTTCTTTTTCTGCGATTTTTTTCTGAAAAATGTTAGCTAATTGGACCATTATAATATCTAATACCTTTCCAACTTTTCCCGAATTTTTTTGGCGAGTGCTCGATTTTGGTTGATTCGTTCTTCAGTCACGTATAACTTATAACAAACATGAGTAAAGTAAACGTAACGAATATGTGGCTTCCAATTGGTAGCCAAATGGTATCTCCACCATACTTGAATAGTAGAAGCCGCGATATTTCGAAGACGAGACTGACACTTTTCCTTATTCTCTTCCTCCATCATCAAAGTCATACCTGAGAAACAAAAATATTCATTTGAATATAAACTCGAGAACGCATATTTATGGCATATAAGACCATAATTAATTTCAAATGTTCTATGTAGGGATCAATCATCAGCTAAATGCATTTTTTGCTAGTTAAATAACGCTAATAATATAGTTGAAAAACACACCCACGGAGATTTGAGTGTTTGCCGCCTGAAATGTGCAAAACGCCAAAAATCCGAGAATGCATACAACAACTTTTGTGAATGCCCCTTTCGGCACAATGTCTCCATAACCAATTGTGAGTACGGTAACTACTGTGAACCACCAGGAATGAGCCATTGTTGGGAACGTTGGAACTGTCTCATTTGGACCATTTAGTCCATATCCTTGATCTTCTAATCCTTGCGCGTAAGCTTCTGTGGAATAGATAATGGTGGCCATAGTGATGAGTAAAAATATTGTGATATAGTATGCAGCAAATAAATGCCATCTGAAAATTGAATTTTCGCAAAAATTTCTCTATGAAATTCCACAAACTTGCTTAACATTATCATTTTTTTCAACAACTTCCACGTGGCCATCTGTCGATCAACATGAAAAAGGCGTAAGATCTAAAAACAAACAAATTATCAGCCGGAACCTCGATTACTGATAACTTGTATGAAACGCAAGCTGTCTAAAGTTATTCCGTCAACATATCGGCTTTCGAAAACAAGGAGTAATATCGTTGCTGGTATAATACATAGATCAATGAGGGTTACCGTATGAAATAAATAGTATATGCGGCCTAAAATTAAATTAAATTTATATTAATATTGAAATTAGAGTACTATAATACCCCATCGACTTCGATATTTTGCATCTGCTTTAACTGACCAGAGGCGAACAATGAATTCAAGAATAAAAAATAAAACGAGAACAACTTCGAGGTAGAAATGGGACCCTATAATTTTCTACAATAAATCTTTGACACCTTAACTATAACCTACATGACACTAAATCATCATTAGCAGAAGCTGCTGCTCCCAATATTATATTGATAATGACTAAGGTGAATATTAATGAGTGATACGGTGCTGATGCTGCATTTAAAGGCTTTTCTAGAAAATTGTAGACTTTCAATCTGAATAGTCGCAAAGTTCTGAAAATGTTGCCTTTTGCTTCATTTCGGAAAACTATAACGAAATCGCAATTTTTATAAATACCTTTGTCGCGTATTTCCGAGATTTATCGTTGATCTACGACGAATCTTTTCGGAAACGGCTGCAAATGACTCATCATCGTCATTAATGTCCAACGCGTGGTGCATTTTTAACGACATTTGAATATAACAAGCTAAAAATTGTAATTTGATGATAAGGACAGAAACGGTTGACGCGCGTCCTTATATGCATAATCAATTGTCGTCATTGACATTGTCCTGTTTTCAGGGAATCGCCATTGATCTGCAGTTTCTGCTTAACAATGATCTTGCATTGGAGAAGAGCTTTTTGCTGAACACATCACCGGAATTCGAGTTTGCTGCTTACACAGTTGTTGCTCTTGCCGGAGGTGAAGGTACATACATTTATAACGGAGATGAAATTGTTATCAATGCCCCCACTGTCACCCAGAGTGGAAAACAATCGGTATGTGTAAAATATTATTAGTATAGTTCAATAATAATTCCGTAGATCGACACTGTCACTATCAGCTTTGCCGGAACCCATAAAGGAACAACAAAGCACAGTGGATCTGCAACAACCAGAAAGCCAATTGCCAGCGATGCCGACCTACAAGTACTTTATTTTTGCACAAATTTAAAACTAATTGAGAGTTGAATGTCAGAAACTTGTTGACACTATGTGGAACGAGGATAAAGATAAGCCAACGGCAGCTGAAGTTCAAATGGACTGGGGAACTCATATTAGTGGAAAAACTGGAACCAAGAACAAACCGTATAACTGAAACATATTTAGTTTAATTTATAGTAGTATCTCACTTTCAGATTGTTCAGCAAGGTTGATGAGACTCTTTTTAAAAAGAAGCAATATGCTGACTTGATCACCACTTATGACAAGAATTTGTTGACTCCTGATGTATTCAATGGATCTGTCGATTTGAATAAATTTTAATCATTTCTAGGTATGCAAAGCCGAGCCTGCTATGAGTGGATTCCGAAAGCAATACTTCCAAACTGTTTTCAATACCTTCACTGCAACTCCAATGTTCGCTTCGGCCTTCAACTATCTCAAAGAAAAGAGTACGATTTTCAAAACTTGATCTTACTATTTACATTGGTTGTTTAATTCACCTAAAGCCTTATTAAATTGTTAAGCTTCTTGAGGAATCTTGGCTTCATTATAATATTCACAATAACTTCGAATGTTTCAGATATCCATGGAACGAACACTTTGGATAATTTCAAGTCTTCGGTTCTCTGGCCTCTTTGGTTTGGAGTTTACACAAGATGCAAAGGACCATTGGGTAGCTCAGGTAAAACAAACATCAAACGGTTTGTAGGCTACACACTATAATAACTTTTGCGTTAAAAAAACATCTGCACCGCTACTTGTTCAATTCGGCTGTTTAGGTTGGGAGCACGTGTTCTCCGGAGAAATCAAAGGAAATGGAGTAGACGGACAACACGACTGGGTTCGATATTATTTACAGCAGAAGGCTGACAAGATTGTCTACGACGGATACTATGAGCATGCTGACGTACTTAAGACTTTGATGAAACTTGATAGAAATTCTTCGAATTTTAGAATTTGATCGGAACATTCCAGTACACTTGGTTGGGAGCCACAAAGCCGAAAGGAGGATTCATCACAGGAACTTCACCAGGTGAGAATGTTTGAGATCAATTAGTTGTTAAACTACAACTACTACAAACTACTCAAGAATTGTTGACATTTCATCGTCCATAAATCAACAAATTTTAGCATTCGACTTTTCAATTTTAACTGTTTGCGCGCTGGCACATGGAAATGGAGCCCATTGTCAATTTAACTTGAATGGACACCGAATCACTGTGACCTCTTACACTCAAGCTTGTGGAGATCAGAGCGGTAATTATTATATTTGAAAGCAATTAAAGGATTTATTACATTTTAGGAACATGCTTGGCAACGGCATACCCAAGTCTGTGAGACACCGAAACTACCATATATGAACTAGACACGAAATTCCTTTGAACATATGTGTACATAGTTTTTTTTTTATTATCCTGCCTACTAAATGACGGTCAACAACAATAAAAGCTTTTGCATTCATGTTCCAGCTTTTTGAAAAGAATAAACTGCCGTATATAACAAACCACTTATGTTTGGAAAATGTTTGTATGTGTGAAATGTATTTCGCTTTGAAATAATAATATATAAAAAAAAACTAATTCAAATATTCGAACGTGATTTTTTTCAGTTTCAATTCTATAAATAATTTGTCATCTTCGTGACAGCGAATTTTAAAACCGATGCATTTTTTGTTTGTTTATCTCTCATTCGGCGCTCAACAAATGTTATTGCCTGAAAAATAACATATGTTTTTTTTTAGTTTTTTTGCAAAATAGAAAAAAAACAAATCCAAAATATGTGTATACTATACAGAATGAATATATGAATATTTATTCACCTGCGATGTGAAATAAATTTAATGATTAATATTGAATACGACACAACAACGAATAACCAGTAACTAATCGAAGAAAGAGGAAATAATGGATGTCAAAACAATGTAAACACTACTAGAAAAATTGTCTGCAATAGAATCCGTAGAGTCGAAATGAATGAGAATCGAAAGTTGGTTTCAAAATACATGATAGATCACAACAATTATTAGCGAAATTATTGGTGGGGGCAATTATGTATTGGTTATTACCGGTATTGTAAAACGCAAAAATATCCTATTGAAATGAGTCGCGCGCTCCTAGACTGATCCATTTGTCATTGGCTCTTGGTTAAGCGGCTGCATTTCGACGTTTTGCTCATTGTTATCAAGCTCTTGAGAATCCTTAACATTATAAGTTATATATCGAACAATGTCAATAGAACAAACTTTTAGTGGGGCGAGTAATGTCCGCGCTGCCACAATGCAGGTCACAATGGCTAAAATAAATTCGATGCTCGCTGCCGCAATCATGCCAGCGTCAAGTCGAACATCAGTACCCAGTCGAGTCATGTTTCTGAAAACAGCAATATGTTTTTTTTTTTTTTTGAGGAATTTTCATCAAAACAAATAGTCGGCGTTGAACTAACAATGTTTCATAGTGCTTAGAAATTACAATTTGTTGTTTAACATCAAAAAATGGGCGAAAATGTTATTCCTGGTTACTTCGTTATAAAAATTCGCCAAACTTCAAAAATCACCTTCTCATGCTTGGATCCACCTTCGAGCCGCAGTTAATCTGGCATTGACTGTTCGAGGAGAACGTCAGAAGATGAAAGTCGCAATAACCCCAACATTCATGCTGAATATTATTATCATCACTTCCGAGTTTTCCTTAAATTTGCTCACCTGATAGAAGTGAATGTCAAAACTCGAGGCAATTATAATTGCGGGTACAAAAATTACAACGGCATGAATGCTCATCACTAGATAAGCCACAACAAGACTTCGACGATATGAAGCGCTTCCCATGATTCCGACGATTCTGAAAGTCACGGAAATTGATAAGGAATGATTGCTGATAAGTGTGAACTTGAATGAGAATGCGTCGTACTCACCCGAAAAGAACAAAGTAGAATGAGCAAATTTCCTCAAGGCCGTGCAATCGAAGCGTTTTGATTCGACTACTCGCATAATCTGCGAGTGCGCTTAAAACGATCATGATGATACCAAGAACAACGTGGATGTTTGCCAAAGCCTGAAAAGACAAAATTAAAAAAATAACATTGAATGACACTTTTTTTGAATTTAAATCATATGAATAAATCTTTACCTTTAAAAGGGACAACATTTTCGCGGCGCTGGCTTCTGGTAGCTTCACCTCCTTCAAATGATTCAATTGAAGCCTAAAAATTTCATTGCATAAAAGAAATAATGATGATGGCTATTCACACGTAAGGCTTCTTGTAGATCAAATGCTCAGTATGGACGGTCATTTTCGGCGAATATTTTAGAAATTTATTTGGGACGAATTTCGTGTGCTTTGTGCACATGTGAAGATTGTACATTCGGGAGGAGAAGGCGGGCAGGAAGAGGGGAAGGAGGAGGGGAGAAGAGGGGAGGCAGTTACCTCCCATTCCGCTTTCCTTCTCCGCCTCTCGTCCCGACCGTCTATTTGCACATCAAATGAATAACATGGAGATTCGGCGAAACCTCTCCTCGTTTCGATTAGCTACGTAATTTCTACGTCGCGTGTAATCAATAATCTTTGTGGCGAGCATGGTCAACACAATTCTTGTTTTTTATTTCGGTCTACATTTACGTGAAATGGCTGAGTCTTTTTTCTGTTTTCGCTAGCGCAGCATTCAAGCATAGATGGTTGGTCATGCCGCGAGGTGAAATCGGCGCGGTGCGCGCAAAACAAACGAACGCGCAACATTTTGGTCTTCATTTTTATATTTGAATCATTACGAAATTTCCAATAATATCAGAAACTTTCAAATCCAATCTAGCTATGTCCAACCTTAAGGTCTCTCATTAAGATCTTTGGTATTGAAGCATGTGCATGTTATTTTAGGCTTAACAAATACAACGATTCATCAAATAAAAATTTTTTGTGTACTGTCATGCGCAGAAATCACATATTATTTGGGAAAACTTCGAAAATGAAATTATATATATATATGCTCAAAATGGTTTTAATTGACTATGTTCATAGATTATATGTGAATAGTTGAATGATAAGAATTATAAGAAGAAGAAAAAACCATTTGCGATAATAAAGCTGTTTACAATAATAAAAACATAGACAAAGAACTATTGCAAATATTAATCTTTAAAGATTAAACCACTTAAAAGTCATATTGACATTGACAGGAACCTCAATATTATTTTGAAATTTATCAGTGAAAGACCATCAAGAAACCAAATCTAAGCTGTGGAATAATATCTAAAGCCTTTTTTTATTGAGGCGTTCGTAAGCAAATAACAGCTAGTTTTCATGAATATTTGTTGGCAGTCAGCATGCGAGATCATTACGACGACGAGCGATTTGAAAACGCTTACCGAATGGCGTCCAGCGCGGACGGCACGGTCACTGTTGAGGTGCACATCATAGAAGGAATTGAGAGCCAGAACACAATGGGATGAATAGTAAAATTTCGGTTTTTTTGTGTGTCTACTGTTCAACGTCGACCGCCACTGTTTTGGAGGGAGTGGAGTAGAGGGAACAGTTGGAATTGCAGAAGGTGTGAGACGGCGAAGAAATTGGAGAGGAATGAATAGACGAGCGGCGATTTGGCGCTTGCGAATCGTAAGGACGAATTTATCGTCGGTCCCCCTTGACTGTGTCGAAGGATCCTCTCAAGGGATATAAAGGGGGGGGGTGGAGGGGGCGACGAGATCGTTTTCCGGTGGTGCCGCGCGCGTCGCCAACAATCAACCGCCACCACACCACAAGGTTTTCAGTTGCACTTGCCGTCGATTGGTGCAACTGATGCCGTTTTGTGCATACGCGGTGCGCTGATGCCGGCTGTTGGTAGTTTTGGCGAGCTCTTGCGCGCGATGTGCTCACGCGAAGCGAGAAAAATATGTCGGCAGAGAGCACGAGCCGTCGCGGAGAGCTGGAGAATGCGTGCGTCGTTGTGTCCGAAATCGATTTCCACGAAATAGAGAGCAACAGAATATGAAGAAAGAAAAAGAAACCACCCCCCACTCGTATTACTAGTTACGCACTGTGATTTCAATACTTAACAGATTGTTTCCATTATTCCTGAGGTTAGCTTAAAAAAAATGCACAACGGAAAAAAAAATATTGGCGGAAGAACTCATCAAACACACTCGCCAGAAGCGGAAATAAAGCTACTAACAATAAAAAGAATATGATACAATGTGTTATTGTTTTTTTTTATTATTACTTTATGAGGAAAATGCTAGACAATGCGAGAAAAAAGCTACAATTAACATTGAAGAGGGAATTTTTTCGCTTTGAATGAATATAAACATTGGCATAATTTTCGTTCTTATTAGCATAATAGTCTTATTATCAAAAGAACAAAATTTTCTTCTATTTACAACTACGTCTTTAAAGAGAATCAATATGAACGCAGTGTTGAAATTTTGTTTGTTGTGCTCGATTCTCACACTTTTAATAGCTTTTCAAACAATTTATAAATTTTAAGCACGAAATATTTTTTTATTTTCATTAAAAATTTTAAAGTTAAAAAATGAGCGATTTGTATTAAAAAAAGAGCATTACTAACAAGGGGAACAGCTTGGCAGAAAAGAGCGAAGCATGGCTACCATGGCTTCCACCTTTTCTCTTATTAATAAATAATTTTTAATTTTGGCTTCTATCAATAGTTTTATTAAAAATGAATAGAAAAATCGGCAAAAGTAACAACGCGCTAGTATGTTGTATCAAATGCGACAGAACTGAGTCATGATTGGAGCGAAAAGCTAATTTCCCATGGAAGTATATATATATATATATATATATATATATATATGTATATATATTTCAAAATCGGTCGAGTCTATAAATAAGTTTATTCAGAGGTTTCATTTTCCCTTTGTGAAGTTATATATATTTCAAAGAATATATGTCAGAATGCACTTCTTGAAAAATAAACAAGTTGATTACTGGTTCACTATTTCTTTAGTAGGCGTGAACAAACAAATGAATCAATTGTTTATTTGGATAAGTCAAAAATCTATTTTTTCGAAAATAAAATGAAATTCGTGGAACTGTACTTCTTTCAGGGTCTTGTTGGGGGATTTTGCAGAATCATCTGAGTCAACAGAAAAGATCAAAGTTTAATTAAATATTCTCGAATTTTCATATCGAAAAATAAATACGAAAAATATGGTTTTTCTTACCAATCGGCAATACCAGGGGGTCTTCAAAATAAAAACCCTGCAATACCCTTACCTCAAAATTTCTATTGACGAATTTTTAGTTCCAGAAAAGTTCATTCTGAAAGCGTGATGATCTTCATTCATTGGAACAGAGAATAACAATTTATGAAATAAAAGATGTTTTGTACATCGGAATGAGCGAAATATTGCCTTGTTGAGTGCTCAATCCTAAAAAATTACACCACTTTTCTTTTTAGAAAACCGAAATTAGAGACACATTCGAAAAAACGATAATCAATGCAAGAATTACGTAATTTGGTTACAAATATTCATCTTTTCATATTATTTTTTTGCATTCATCGGATTATGTTGGCTGTCGAATGTACTCGTTTGATACAATTTGGTTCGCGGCGTATATCGACACTCCTGACGTTTAGGTTTAACCTATTTTCACGCATTTTCCTTTCAAAACCCATTATCGTCAAAATGAGCGAAATGCGATTTTAATTGGATTTGTTGGGGAAACAAAAGTTATGGATATATGAAAGAAAAAAATTTTGAAGATGAAGTTTGGAAGGCATTGGAATATGTCAAGAAAAAAGAGAATATGAGTAAAAAGCGAATTTCAGATACAGTGAATAATCTTAAAGCATCTTTGATGACACATCCCAAAGCGAAAAGTATAAATACCGCGTCAGACACGTCATTTTTTTTGCAAACACCCAAATCACGATTTTTTTTTGACTGACGATGATGACAAATAGTAAAATAACTTAACTCAGCAGAAAACACAATTTTTGATTGAGTAATGAACTGCTCAACAAGAAATTTTTTTAACATTTTTTTTCTGCGAAATTAAGAAAAATAAGAAAATTTTTAGTAAAATTATAAATTTATGAAAAATCTAACGGTGAATATTGTTTTACGATTTTAATCTATGTAGTCTTATTTCCAGAAAATTCTATTATAAAGGGATTGATGAGAAAAAAACGAGTATTGCCTTATTAGATCTCAGCTAGCCATTCTGTATTATATGATGTATTTTAATTATTTTTTTGAGGAATAAAAACAACGCTAACGGCTCACTGAGATTTATAAACATGGCGAATCATTTTTAATATTTCTTATTCGCGATTTATTTTGGAAAATATTCAGAAATGCCGACCAAACTACAATTATTTTTTAACTAAACACACACCTTATACGATCGTCGAGGATTCCTTTAGTTGACGGATGACACTGCATAGTAACTCGAATTTGGCTGAAAATGAATTTTTTGCGCAAATGTTTGTTTCCAGCAGGAATTGAAACGGGTAATGTTGAAACGGATTGACGAAATTATAATTCCCAATATCCATAAGAATAATACTCGTCGAGATAAACTCTTGTTTTGCAGGGATTTGCTCCAACCGGCGATTTAGTTGCACAGGAGGAAAAGAAGAAAAAAAAACTAATATGACCTCGGCAGAAGAAAGAGAAAAAAAATAAAATGAAGTGAATAAAAATGGGTGAACGGCGCAAAAATGGAAATTGTGAAGAAGAAAAAAGGCAAAACCAAAAAAGGAAGGATGAAAAAAAAAAAGAAAGACGAATAAAGGACGGAAGAATATGAATCTGAAATGAGGTATAATTAAGATTAAAACACATTATTAATAATATAATAATGTTTAAGAAGTTTCTTGAAAAAAAATTGGTCAGCTTCTTTGCTGATTTGACGGGGGGAATTTTATATTCAATGAATGAATTATTTGCTAGCTCATCGCGCTGCTGAGAAAGTTCACGTCTAACAAGAAGAAAAAATGTACTGGGCTATATTAATTCTAACTTTGCTGCTTTTTTTTCTCATTCTATTGAGCAATGATATTAAGCCAATTAAAAACGATGGAGTCAGCGTAATGGTGGACGATCAGAAATGAAATGATGGGTTTTCTGATGACCGAAAAACGTTTTGAATTTTTTCTTGTCTCTCAAGATTTTTCCTTGCTGTTGACATTAAAAAGTTGTGGGCGGGGCTTAGTGAACTTTTGCTTTGAATGTCATTCGCATATTGACAGGCAAAAATTATATTACAATTTTTTGTTTTTGCTTTTTTTATGAAGAAATACGCCCGATGAAAAACAAGACGTGTTAATTGTGTATTGCAAATTTTTTAATGATCTCGTCAGAGAGCAGTATTACATACATATAAACAATCGGGCACATTTGGTGAAATGAACAACAATTGTCGCGTTTTAATTTCGTGAGACTATTCGGACTTCAAAAGCTACGTGAAAACGGATGAAAGAGCAAAAAAAATGTCAAAGAAGAAATGTCCAAAAATCGGCGTAATTGAGTTTTAAGAGTATAGGAATGTTCCATTTTGGTACACAAAATGTGCATTAATGTTCACAAGGTTTAAAAAGAATGAAGATCGTAGAGTGTTTGGCATTTAAATGTCAGAATGAAGGTGAAAAATGTTTGAGTGAATGAAAATGAGCTAACAATGATTAAGAAAAAAAAAGTCAAGCGAAGAAAATTTGAGAGGCGATTAAAAAAACAATTTTGAATTTACATTTTCGACTAAACATTATCTGACCCATTTTTTATCTTTATAAATTGGACAAAACATCACAGGCAAAATAACCGCTAATTATACTCTAACCTATTCGTCGAAACGTGATGACGTTTGCTAATTTGCCTTCGAAAAAATCTGTTGTTTTCGGCTAAAAAAACAAAATTCGAAAGATTTATTATTGTAAGGGGCGAGACAAAAGATATGTATGAATTAACATGAGGGTTTTGTTGACAAGTGTTGAGATGATAGAATATTCAATTAAAATAAGTGTGTATTGATTTATTTAAAACTGCGCTAGAGGGGTGGTGGGGGGCAGTTGATATCGATCAGTCCGAGACAAGATAATTCGTAATTGGTGAATGTTCTTTGTCAAAAAAAAGACATGTGGCCCAGAAGTTGAAAAGGGCGATTTTATCTACTAAAGGGTCATTTCATCATGGTTAAGTAGGTTGATAATGGTCTCATTCAAACGTCGTGACTTGATCGACGGCGAAAGTCAAAGGAAAACATGCGATTAATGTGATGCTTCAAGTTTCAGATAAACAAATTGATGACGGCGATGCTTCAATAATTGTTGGATGAAGCAAATTAAACCAATTTTTATGAATCTAAAAATAATTGTGTTGCATTGATCTATTCAGCGATATGGCTAACATGACCAAAAGTGTCATTTTAAACATCAAATTTTGAATTGGTTGAAAATAACAAATTCGACAATTTTGCAAACACTGAATAGATCCATTCACTTACCTAGTCACTTAGTCTTGAGCGGCGAACCACAGTTCCGAGCTGTTCGGACTTTAGCGTGAGTGGTATGATTCCAGCTCGGTCAGCTGTTTTTGAGGTAATCTCCTTTCAAAGCGAGTCCGACTATCTCATGGGAAGCCTTCCGCTTGGCCATGCCAATTATACGACCGCCACTCCTTTACAAGAGTAGTCCATCTTTGTCATCTTCTTCTTCGTGATGTGAGTTAGGTGGTCCCGAACGCTTTTGTCACGAGGAATCAGATGGGTGTTTCATTTCTTTATTCAATTGAACGCTTCTCAAGCTATTCTTTTCCTTCTATAGATCTCCTTTGACTAGCTTCTGACCTATTTTTGCATAACATCTTCACAAGATTCTTCAGCAACCTTATAGGCATACTATTAGGGTTTCAGTTTTTCAAAAAATATCTTATTCATTTTATTCATTTAAATTTTTTGATCATTTAATAATTATTTTTTCAGAATAATATCATCAAAATTCTTCCTCACTTTGACCGAGAAAAATCCGACATTTGCCATACATAGTTAAACTAGACGCACACTGCGACAGGCAACCGCGTTGAGGCTAATGTGGAAGGGTGATGAGAGTGACGCGTGAGCAGAGACGCAGAGGATATAGAGAAACTGCCAACATCGTATTCTTTTATTAACTTTTGTGAATAGCCTTTTTTTCTTCTGCAGTTCACATTGATTTCTAGATTTTTATAGCATAAGCTATTCAACTTATTTTTATTTTTTTTTTCAAGGATGATCGTCATCAAAATTCGTTTGGTTGGAGGAAAAGAAGATCATTTATCGGTTATCGAAGTGGATAATCAGGTTTTACATTGATTATTTATTTTTATTGACATTTTATTTTCAGAATTTCAGATTTTATATGTTAACCTGAAGAAGGAAATTCAAAGTGTGACACATATTCCAACCAAGTTTCAACAACTCCAATTCCGTGGTGAAGATCTTCCCGTTGTTGCGCGTCCTATTCAAGACATCAATTTCGGCGAAGAAATCGTTGTGGTGAGTTAAACATTTATATTTAGAATTCAGATTTTATTGTTAGGTAGAAGTTTATGTGTGGGGACTTACATTTTTTTAACGTTTATACAATAGATTTGCGAATATTTCAAAAATGTTAACATATTCAAAATTTTTTTTTACTTCTATGTGTTCATATTTGAAATTGATTTTTCTTTTATTTCAGAGACACTCCATGACAGCGAATTGGAGAGAATTTGAGGAAAATTTCAAGTTGGCTCAAAAAGCTGTAGAATCGAAACAAATAAGCCAAATTGAAGAAGCCGTTGATCAAGCCTTGGATCATCTAAGGCCGCTGATAGAGGCAAAGTTCCTTGTAACCTACCCTCAATTGAATGAAACTTATCGTCAATTCAAAGCGAATTTCTCTAGTTATATGGATCAGGAATTCAAATACATTGAAAAAGCCGTAAAGGATTATTTCTCAATAGTTTTTGCTGACAACGCTGAATGCCCAGCTCTCGACATAAGATGTGAAAAGAAGGGACCCGAGGAAGGTGGAATCCAGGTACGCATTTGATAAACTTTGATATTAATTACAATTTTGCAATATTGTGTTTAGGGTGGCCTCATTTGTCAAGTTTTGCGGAATGAAACTTTAATTGGGAAGTACTACGTAAAAGAACACATGAGCCTAGCAAATCGGCAGCACGCAGATATTTGTGAAATATTTGTTTATAAGTTATTTGAGTTGATCGGAGTAGGACCTAAAGTTCATTTTATTCCAAACATACACTATTCCAGTTTTGGACTTTACATCGGAACCGAAGAAGGTAAATTTTATAAAAAACGTGAGTTTTATATAATTTATTTACATGTCAGTTACTGGATTTCGTCGAGCAGACACTGAAGGAATTGAGATAAGTAGCGAGGTGTACGCTCAAAGAGATTTGCTACGTCGTCTATTGTTTGTTAAAGATCTCCACTCAAAAAATTATGGAATTGATGGTCACGGGAAACTTAGTATCGTTGATTTTCAAGTATTATTGACAGAGTTTAATATTATAATTATTCTAATTTAGATTAAGAGTTATGTCCATCCTGAAATGGTACACAAGTATTTGGTTGGGTACAAAAGCTGGAAGGGTAGCAAAGAATTACGGATTCAAGTGGCGAAGAATTATATTAAATCGTGGAATCTTCTGGATAATTTCGACAACGCTAATAAAGCAATCTCAATGCAAAAAGAGCTATTCAAAAAATATTCCAATAGCTATAAGCCAAGTCGAAACTTTGAGAAATATTTTGTGCATATTAAGAACAATCTTAATGCTCTGTTAGAACGTGTAAAATAAACCTGGTTTTATTTTTTTTTTTGCATTCTATTTATTACGTGTAATTCATTTTCCTCTCATTTTTATCATCATTTTGTGATCATTGTAAATTCTTTTTGGAATAAACTAATCGGGTCTAAATTTTTAATACCTACTTCTTTTTTAATGCCTTGCGTTTTCAAAATGTCTAATTTAACGAGTTTTTCAATTTCATAGTTTGTTAGTGATTTCAAGAAAAATGCATTTATTTGTTATTTTTTGTTCAAAATTGTTAGCGCAATTGTTGAAAATGTTAGTCCCATCGAATTGACTTCATATTAAATACTTCTGGACGCGTGCGCTGAAGTCACTCCTGTAGTAGTATCTCGATTCGAATGAGTTCGTTTAGGAGCTCAGAGAGTCTGGCTTCTGTAGTGAGCGATCTACAGTTGAAACTGCCAATTCTGAAGTGAACTTTTTTTATTGCGATTTCCCTTTAACCGAGACGAGACAGTTACGCAGAGGCCCGAATTGTTCCTGTAACCGTCAAATTAGGTCCAGAGCTTGGATTCGGAGCATTTCTACTTTTTATTCTGTTTTTAGCTGGCACTACTTCTTTCAGCTGGCTAGGCCGAATCGAAGCCGCCCGGATGAGGAGTATTCGACTCTACCCTCGGTCATTAGCCTGAGCATGCTCGGGTTACTATCTTCTACGCCACGAAGAAGCCCAGTACAATAGGCAGTAAGAAAATACCCTGAATTTGGAGATTGTAGTTATACATAATTTTTTGGGTCTGCGCGGAGCACCTATTCACACAAAATTTGTTCAACTCCCCTTATTCTTACTTCATCTTTTCTTCTAAATTTTGCAAATCAATTTTCATTTTTAACTTTCCTCTGAGCATAATTTTACCAATAAAAGTGGGATTTCAATTTTTCTGTTTTCCATGTAACCAAAATCGTACAAAAATTATACAAAATCCCCATCTTATTGGGTTTCAGTGTCTTTAATATTTGAATCCGACATTGTTTGTAGAAATTTGATGTCAACATCATTGCACGGCTCTTATGGAGATTGAATGTTCGTCAACGGAAAAAAAGCTCCTCATTCTTCTCGCAGCCGTGGGTAATGAGCTCGCCGCGCTGCACTTTCTGTTGTTCTTTTCCTAATAGTGCGATTTCTGAATCTCTAGCTGCGAAAATTAGCACGTCCAGTAATTTGATAAATTGTCGACGTTCAGGTGGCGCGATTTTTCAAATTGAATCCTTCACTTCGAGATTGCCAATATTTCAAAATGTGCGTCGCGTTCTTTTTTTCTTTTCGCCCCGAGTAATCCCGCAAAACCATATGTTTACACTTACTAACAATAATTAATCATCTATATTCAAATTCGTCGAAGAACTTTGATGAAAATCATATGCGCCATTTCTCAAGACAATTTAGCAGCGCTTTTAAAATTTTTCGAACATTATTATTATTTCCATCGATTCTCCAAAATTCTTTGCCTCTCTCCTTTTGAAATCCTTCTGTAGTTGTATATATGGAAATTCTTACAACAGGATTTAAGAGATAATTATGAAAGGTAGGTCTTGCAGCGATGCACTTTAATTGGCTTATATTATATTGTATGATTTTAGTGCAACGCTGTCGCTTAAATATACAAAAAATTTTCAAAAAAAAACTAGTAATTAAAAAATGGGGAGGATTTTCAAAGCTCATTCTCTTTTTTTTGTCATCCGGGTTTCGGATACAATTTCCATTTGTATGTATATGGGGTCTAGAGTGGATTTTCAATGGTACTGAAAAACAAATTATTGTTTTCTAATCTACAAAATTTGTGACAAATAGTTTTTTTTTTTTTGATATATTAAAATTTAATGACATCATCTCGAAAAGTTTACCCTATGACTTTCTTATACGGGAACATTTGTTTCTTTCTCTTATTTTTCATTTCAATTTTACGGAAAAAGGAGACAAAATTCATCGACGTGCAGAAAAAAAAGTACTGCCGGCTCAAAACCGCTGTACTTTTCTATGGGTAAGTCTACATCAAAGACCTCCGCAAAAAAATGAACATACAAAGTCGGTTGGGTCGGTTCGCGCCGGCATGGAAAAAATATGTTACTCGTGCTTTGCTCTTGAGTATTACCTCGTAATTTTTTTTTACCATTGTACTACGTAACCCATATTCGGGCCAGAAATAAAGGACGTCGCGAAAAAATAATGCGCAACGCGTTCCCAGACGGGTATGCAATGCGATGAGCGAATGTTAATCGAATTTGTCGCATTATTTTCCTATTCCGAGAAGAAAATCGCATGGAAACGGTAAAAAATGCATTGATTTTAATTTTTGGCGTCTTCATCCTCATTTTAGGCGTGAATATGCGAATATTTAAATTTTTTTAGTTGCTCATATTGCAGATATTTTGAATAGAAAAAATCGCCTTGGACCATCATATTTCAATTTGTAGCCAATATTTGAAACAGAATTTACTGAAAAAAAGCAAGAACGTTTTTTAATCGCAAAATATCGTCTTGAAATTTCTATTTTCCATGCACTTTTTACTATTATTTTCCACCTCCTTGATTTTCTTGCAATTATTCATTAGACGACATTTCTTGCTCAAATCGCTTGCAGTCACTCTTCTCATCTGGAAACATAAACGAAATGGAAATGTTCGTATCAGTTTTTGTTTGTGCTATCCATTAATGGCAAAATTAATAGTACACTGCAGCTCAACACGAGACTGCTGATTATTGTTGAATAGTTCCCGCCTCCTTGAAGCAGCAAAAAAAATAAATGCAAGCTAGAAATGGAAAGCGCATATCGTAAACGAGCTTCCGAGATGATGAGGTTCTGCGTTCCCCGTTCTTATTCTTTTTTCCTCATTTTGTAGACATTTTTATACCTCGGCGTGTTCATTCACGTGGTTTTTTTTTGTGCAAATTTCAATTAGTTAAAAAATCGTGAAAAAAAGTCTGACTACGACTATTATTTTTTTTGTTCATTGTTTAACTTTGATTTGATCTCATCGTCACCAAAAATAAATTTGTTTCATTTTTCAGAATGTCGAACACACCGAAGATCCCGTTTGATCTGCAATTGTTCAATTTTACACCGGAGCGTATTGAGCGCATCGTGAGCAACTTGCCGCCGGGTGTCGATTTGAACGAGTTGGACCTTAGCGATTGGGATGGTCAGGGAGATCACATTCCCGAACATCTGCTCCCGATTCCACGAGAATCGGTGATCCCAAATATGAATTTTAAAATTGATATTTGGAAAGGAAGTGAGTCACTTTTTTTTGAAAGTATTTGAACCGAAAAAATCATTTTTAATTATTAGCTTAAAGTGCAAATCTGAAATTAAACCGATTTGGAGGTGATGTCAATTATGCCTAATTAAATGAGTCATTATTTTCAAATTTGCCTAACTATGGTCAATATCTGGTTCAAATTACACATGTTCATCAAAAATTGTGCGCATCCCGAACATATTTAACACGGAACATTTGGTTTGGTTTCGGTTATAAAGATTGTTTTTGGCTGCTTCTTTCTCCCAATAATTATGTAGAGTATTTTTTGTCTCATGCACGTCTTTGCAATTCTCAATCCTACCCGTCTTTGCTTTTAAAGGATTTTCGAACGCGGCAAAAAAAAATGAAGCGCGTGAGGGAACAGAGTGCAAACCAAAATTTGCAGAAATTGGCTTAAAATCATGAACCGTCTAATTGAAAATGCAAACATAAAAAAGAAGGTTAATGGCAGATGGTTCGTTTTAGGTTCAATCCGTTCCCTCTCCCTCCCCAAAAAAATGTGCTGCATGAAAAATCTATTGTGAGGATGACCATTGCAGGTGTTTTAAGGAGGAAATAAAACAACGAAAATTAGATGGTTATATTTTCGAAAAACGATCATCATTTCTTGCCGAAAATGCAATTTAATAGTCTTATGCCATATAAATGTTATAAAACTTGTATGAACATCGCTTTTAAACCACATTAAATTAATGTGATTCTCGATTTGAACAAATAACATATTTGATAATAGTTCGAGAATAGATCATAAAATTAGGTGGTTCATTCTGCTCAATTCTCATTTCCATTTTCCCTAGGTTTCAGTTCTTCGTTCAAAGCGTTTGTAGTTTATTTTTAAAAATCACAATTTTGAAACCTCTAAATCATTTCAATTTCGTTTTCAAATAGCTTTTTCCAGACATGGACTCTGACATCGAAATGGAGAATTGCGGGGTTTTCATGGTAAATTTCAACTCCCTATTATTTCACAATTTTATGATATTTCAGCACTGTCAATACTATGATCGCACACCGTGCGACAAATGCATGTTTCATATGGTATATTTCGCACTTATTATTATTTTCATTTTTTTTTATTTTCAGAGTTATATGAATGGGGAGATCATACTGAAGTGCAATAGCAAGAAGTGCAAATTTTGCAATGTCAAGGTAGCTACGATATTTCAAAATAACCCCACTTGTTTTCAATTTCAGCCTCTGAAGCTGGGAATGTTGGATGATGTTATCGTGCCGACACCAAGCGCAAAGACATTCGCTATCATGGAGATCACCAACATGCTCTCGTTTCCCGATGACCAGATCTCGGACCTTTGCGTCAAAATGCGTATTTCTCTCGAGGATCTCGCAAGAGACAAGAAAATCGATAAGAAAGCGTTTTCGCGAATTCTCAAAAACAGTGAGAAGTTCTTAACAGCGTCAACTGTTAAGCAAATGGCCAAGTTCGCGCCAAACAAAAACCATTCACTTTTTCTGCATATGGTTTACAAATATATTGAGCATTTTGCGAGAAACATCGATATCGCCGACATGTATGGCTATGAAAATCTCTCATGGATCACAAGGGAGAACAAGAGAATCATGCTTCTTCTCAAGCAAGTCGTGCTCACAAGCTGCTGCCTGGTTTGTACAAAACAAATCATTCTTTAAATCGTAGTCTTATTATTGCAGAAGGCAGAAGCTCGAGTGACGTGGTTCGACAAACTATGCAAATGCGTTAGGGGCTCGATCGCATTCTGCAAGATGCTTTCTCAAGGCCTCCCAATGTCGTCAGACAACGAGCTACTGGTCAATCATACCCATATTTATTCAAGTTCTTTTTAAGTACAAATAGGGATCAATAATATGCTTCAAGCATTTTTTTCTATCCTCATTTATCAAAAGTATTTACCATTCCTCCTTCTTCTTCATTTTCTCTTTCGACTTCTCCCGCACCGGTCCAAATGTTTTTTTTTTCAAAATGCTCTACATCCCATCTTCTTTCTTCTGTCAACCCAACGGTGTTTTTATGCGAATAATTTATTGTGTTCCAAATAATACATGAATGTATACTGTACATTTCCAAATATTGTGCAATATTGAAATAAATAAAATGGGCGAAAGCAAAGCAATTGAATGAAATCAAGGTAAATGAAAAGATCGGCGAAATTGTTGGGTACTGGACAATAGTAGGGTTCTTTTTTTTTGAGATGAGTTGAATCTAATTCAATCAGTTCATTTGTTGAAATATCAGAAATCAGTGAAGTTCGAATTTTGTAGCCGTGATTCTAAAGTGATGTAGATGAGGTTTCATGGCAATTTTAGCTATTTAAATAATGTATTTACATTGAATTTACAAAATTTGAATAATTGTTAATTTTTGTACATTTTGTTATGGAATAAGGCCAAGAAGATAAACTTTAAGATATTCGGGAATCGGAAAATTTTTGAACTCTGCGGTTTTGTAGTTGGCGCGTAAGTTTAATCTGCAAATTTGTTGCAAAGTTGGCGGATTTCTGAAAAAAAAAACACATATATTATTAGGAAAATTCAAATAGAAAATGTGTTACTTGGCGCGATAGATAATATTTTGCTTCAATTCCTGCGGAAGTGGAAGCCGATCGATTGCTTTTGTGTCAAACTGCTCACCGAGGCTGAGCATCAACGACAACACCTTAAGTGAAATGAAATATATTCATTCAAGTTTTTTGAATATACTTCAGGTTGATTCTGAAGGGCAGCAAGCTTCAAAACATTTCTCAATTGTCCGCAGCTATCTCCAATTGGATTGCGCATGACGACTCGTGCTCCAAATGACAAAAAAAGCTTGACAACTCGAATATCAATTCGATCATTGGAGCGGAAATATTCGACGAAAGGGCTCTTCAATCGTGAGCCGTCCGGAAACTCATGCTTTAAATTCATATCGGCTCCTCGCTCCAGCAACATTTTGATGATCTCGAATTGATTTGTGAGAGTTGAGCAGGCAGCCAAATGAAGACATGATCCGATATATGTGTGGACCGCATTTGGATTTGCACCGGCATCAAGAATAATCTGAAACAATGACCATTTCTAGCATAATCTGGTGCTGCTTGATAACCTTGAGAAGCTTTGGATCATCCTTAAGGACTGCAATATCGATTGGCGACGGCTTCTCATAGTTTTTCTCCATGTTCACTTTTCCTCCGTTCTGCAAAAATTTTTTACTCTCAAAGAGAAACAAAGAAATTCAGTGAACATCTGGTGCTCTATTCAGTCTGTTCTATTTCTTTTTCAATGCTTTCATAAATCAATATAGTCTGGACAATTTGAGCATTCCATTCTCAACAACCAAACAACATACATCAATCAGGAATTGCACAAGTTCGTGATTTCCAGAAAGCAATGCAAAGTGCAACGCACATCGATGGTCCTGCCTTTCAGGCGCGAGTTTGTTGATGTTGGCACCGTACTTCAGCAAAATTCTGTTAAATAGATATCACGAAAAAAATTACAAATTTGAAGTAGTTTTCAAAAACCTTATGGCTTCTATTCCCTTCTCTTTCATTCGACAAGCTTTCATAATCGGGGTCAATCCTTTCCGATCAAAAACATTGGGATCAGCTCCAAACTCAAGCTAAGAAGATTGGTAATTATAACATTTTAAAGTCCTAATTAATACCAATAATTCAAGGAAATTCGTATCCAATGGGCTGATTTGGGTAATTTCCGGACCATCAAAGTACAAGGCATTTGGATTGGCTCCATTTGAGAGCAATAGACGAGCGCAGTCGTAATGACCATTCTGAGAAATTATAGATTCGTGTTAGTATTATAGCTTTCCAATTTACAATGTAGATGAAATATTTAGTGAGTCTTTGTAAACTGGTTTCCAATAACAACACCATACGGTCTATTAAACTATAAAACTAGGAAATGAAAAACAAATCGCACCAGATTTTCTATCATGAGTTGCGGCGATAATAAACAGAAGCGAATAAAAGAAAAAATTGAATAAATGGCAGACCTTGATTGCCAGCCGAAGTGGCTCGTCAATATTTTCACGTTGCGGATATTTATCTCCAACTCGAAATTGGGGCGTTTCGTATTGCTCGACGACTTTCATATACTGGAAAAATCAAATCTAGTGTTGTTGTTTGCACGGTTCTCGAATAAATAATGATAGGAAAAAAACAATATGTTTGTATTCCGAGGTTGGGCGTGGTTGAGGGATTTTTTAGTTGTTTTCAATCACTGGAAAATTCGCAACAAACTCGAGTTTTTGAACAAGTTAATTGGTGATGTTGACAAGAGGATTGAGTACTTTTTTGAGAGGTTTCCGAAACAAAAAAAACTATAGAAAGATCGCGAATGTTTTTCGAGAACCGGTTTTTCAAGGATGGTAAACAAAAGCAGTTTGAAACTAGAACCTCAATTTCCCACACAAGCCCATATTTTTCAAGAATTATGATTTTTTAATACCTGAAGAAGAAGTTTGATCATTCTGTAGTGGCCGTGTTCGGCGCAGAGGTGAAGTGCCGAGCAACCGATATTGTCGACCGTCTGTACCTATAAATATGTTTTTCATTTTCTGACCTGTGACAAAAACATGAAAAAACGCATTTGTCATTGATGGGACATCGCATTGCACTGATAATCGAAAACTGTACCTTTGCGCCAAGATTGAGCAACAATTTTGCAGCGGCAACATAGTTGATGAAGCACGCATAGTGCAATGGTGTTAAACCAGCTGTGACCTGACCATCAACCTAAAACAATATCGGGTTTGACAATGATCACGATACTGATAAACACTTGAGCTCCACTAAGAAGAATATAGCGAATTTCCTCAATAGGAGCGTAGTTTGTGATTTTGTCGGCAAGTTCACGCTGGAATTATAAAAATGATTGGACATCAAAATTGATATTCTCAATTTTTTTTTAACAGCTGACAGGTGACGTGATGTTTTGAATAAATCGACATCACCGGGAGGCCACGGGACGAACAATGTGATTTTTTCGAGAAAACTAATTATTTGCTAAGCCTTTTGATAGAGAATATTTTAGCGTTTAGTTGTAAAGTGACCAACACATCAGGGATTTCGAAATTATTTGATAAAAAAGAACCTCGGGATTTGGGGGTTTCCGGTCAATTGAATATTTCAAAAATTGCTAGGAAATGCACAAATTGTACGGTTGTATTTTCAAACCCTCCGCTCTTCTTAGAAAAGTTCATTTTTTCCTTTTCAATGGAAAATGTAAACAAATTGAAAAGTTAGCTTTATTGCACGTAGAAACTAGTTTTTATCTACCAAATAAAAAATTCACTTATATAATTTCTTACATATCTGCCTAGAACCTACCTGTAATTGGGTTTGCGTATTGTTGTCGTCAATCATGTCTTATCCAAAAAATAGCAAGGCTCAATGAAAATTGATATATCGAAAATTGGTGGTTGCGGATGATGATGACTGAATCTGAAGATCTCGTCTCGCTTTGATCACGAGACACCTCGACATTCAGGGGTGGAGAATGGTCAAACGACCTGCGAAGGACAACACTCTAGTGAGTGCGGATCTACGAACGGAGAGGATGATGAGAATCTCGGACATGTAGAACGCAGACATCGAGCTCGCCGCTAGCAATCAGCTGGTTTGGCGCGAGACACCGGCTCTTTAGCTTCTCCACCTTCTAACGTTTTTTTTTCGTCTCGACTGACTCCCGTGCTGTCATTTGCCGAGCACCGAAAACGAACTCGTTGTTGTTGTCCCAAACCGATTATGTTCTCTTATCGCTTCTCGAATCTCATCGGCAATTATTAAAAGTGTGGCTAACGCAGCTGTTTGGGTTTAGGTTTCTTGAAAAAGTGGCCACGAATCGCAACTAAAAATGGACACAAACCAAATGTCAATAAAACAATTTTTTGCTCAAGTTGTTTGTTTTCGAAAACAACATCAAGGAGAAGAACAATCATACGAATAACGGAAAAAAGCTGTTTTCATTATTTGGTACAAACAATGAGGATGAATCGCCAATAGAACAAACGTCCAAAAAAATGAAATAAATAATTTGTGGATATTGGAGACAACGAGAGTTGTTTGGGTTAAGTCGAGACAAATATCTAAATTTGGGTTGAGGAGAAGGAAGGGAAGCAAAGCGATGATAAACACTCAAAGGAATTGTCAGGTTCCATCAAGAGATTCCTCAAGACTTGCAGATGGGAATACTTTACAGACTAGTGGTGAAACCAACCTTGGAAACCTGAGAATCCCCTGCGAAAAAAAAATATGTGCTAAAAATACGCATTGTTAAAAATGACAAATATATATCATTTGGTTTTATTCGTAAATTTGTAAAAAAAAAACTTTTACTTCCGCGTCTCGCTTGCTTCGAAATTCAAATATACTGGAAAATTACGTTTTTACTTCCATAAAACTTCCGCTGTTTTTATAATTGGCATACGTTATTTTCGAAAATTTTGCCTTTTTCAAGTTTCACAAAAGAAAAGGTTATTTTTGTTTCTGGATGTGTTTAACATTGAAAGTCTTAAATGCCACAGGTATCCCTAGAAAATTACAGACTAGAATTTGCCACGGCTATAATTGTAGGTATTGGTTCTGACTAATGTCAAGCTCGATAATTTATCAAACATCTCATTTTGTTTTTATAATATTTCGTTGCCACCATTTTTTTTCTGCTAACCGCTATTTTCTGAGTAATTGTCATTCAAGCTGAAGTAACAGTAAGTATTCTCAACAAGGTCAAATTGCCACTCTTTCTTACAGATCATTTTTCTCCCCTAATAAACTCCTCATATTTCCTCGATGACTCCTTTTTCCCTTATTATTCTCGACCAATTAAATCATCCAATTAACGAAAGTGCAAAAATTCAGCAATTGTGCCCTCGTATATGTTTTATTAACCATTCATAAAAATTCGATATACACTCTTAATCAAGTCTCGAGCTAAATGTTGAAAATTACAACCAGGTACTTAACTTTCACTAGCTGAAAATAAAGCGCCATTCAAATTGACTGCAATTTTCATGTGGTGTTTAATTTTCAGTTCATTTTTCTATTGTTTCATTCTTTTGCTTAATTCATTATTTCAAGTGTTTCCAATGAAAAAAATAACAAAATTCATTTCATAATTGTCTAACTTAGGAATTGAATGCATAACACCAGAATAGAGGACAAAAACAAAAGAGGTAAAAATTCGAATTTCTCATTCAATTGTTAGTTAATACTGGAATTGAAACTGTCATTGTCATCCACATTATTTTTTTCGGACTTTGCACATTGTCGATAAAGCACGTGAGCCAATGAAACGATGAGAGCAGTTGCTATACAGGCAATGCAGCAGATTGAAAGGAGAACAAACGGCGAAAAGCACGTTCGAGTACCATCGTAGTTCTCAGATGATACTAAAATTGTGACACGTCTTGTGGTCCCACCGATAACTACTAATGTCTAAACGAACCAAGCGCTGCAGATAGTGTTGATTGCGGCGAGATTTCGAGCACCGTCTCAAGGCGTAGTGTCGCAACGTCAGTTTTTGTGGTGTCCTCGCGACGCCGACGATGCGCTGGGATCATCGGGATTTTGTTGTCGGGTTCGGAAATGCATTGCTGGAAAAAAGCCAATAATTTTTTTTCTGGTGATTCAGCTTGATAAAATTGTTCATCTGTTATTATTAAGAGAAGCATATAAATATTGCAGTCAGAAAGCAAAACCTACATGGTCCCTCTCTTGATACCTGTTCAAACCAAACCAAAATAATTATTGTATGCGGTTAAATTAACTCCGCAATTTCTGATGTTTCGACCATAAGATTATTTTTTGAATAGACGAGCTAATCCTCGCGTTCAATACATTAATTCTTAAATAAATGTTTGACCCTAATCTCGTTGAGAACAACGTAAGGCTATAATTGCTCTGAGGTCACCATCATCTGAATAGATCGAAATTTGTGTTTTAGGCTATGAGATACGAATTTTCGCTCGATTTGAAATAATGATTAAGTGTAGAGAAATTATAATTAAAGGATTACTCATCGTCATTTTTCTCCCAAACATAACGAAATTTGTTAAATGTTTCCATTTACTCCAAATAAGTGTTGCCATAATCCAATTCATGCGATCTCTTACCTCCCGATGACACGATTTTATGCAAGGTTTCACTTGACATTCGAAATGGACAAAGTTGTTGGAGGTGAATTGGAAACCATACCTAAACTCTATTGAATAACGCATGTCTTTTTTTCCTGCCTACTTACATGTGCAAATAGACGTGTTTCGGACCATTGGCGACTGGCTGCGCTGTCATTGCTGGTACATCAATTGCCCTTGATAATCGCACACCGCATCTTGAAAATGTGGATTTTCGAATTTTTTCGAGAATGTTGTTTGTTTGAATTTGGTTTTTTATAGATGGTTACCCTTAGAAATTTGCATTTTGCATGCGGCGATATTTTGGTCTAAAATTTAGCAAACCCGCAGAAAAAAAAATGATTGAAATTTTTATAGCATTTCAGGACTTTAATTACAAATTCATCTCACTACATTGATATTTCATATTTTCTAAGATATTTTCTTAAAACTATACCCATTAGAATCGATAATGTTAATTGAGGCGTCTGGGGAATTACTTCCATCGTGCGCATAACAAGAGTGAACGTAGAAGTCATAAATTGCTGAAGAGCATTCTTTAACATAATTCTCATTATTCGCATCTCTCACCAGTGTTTTGCAAAACCACATCCAAAGTGATTCGTTGCCCAACCGCTGCCTTCACAAGCGGCGCTCCATCAATCCCATGGCCTTCGAGAATTTGCATAGATAGTGATGGTGAGCCTCCACTTCCTGTCACCACGCTATTATCATCATTCATCGAGGTGATCTGAAATCGTCGACAAATCCGATATGGGAATATCTGCTCGCACAATTTCCGTTTTTTTTTCAATCACAAGTGCTCATTATCAACATTCTTTTTCTCGGCAACATATGACTAACTACCCTTTACAAACTATATAATTATGTTGCGAAGCGAAAACAATTTTTTTTCCATGCGACTTTCATAAATTCCCAATAGACAATAAAATCTAGATATTTACCTGTAACGCATTGGATCCATTGAAGATTGGTGGTAATGTCAATGTAATATCCTGAGTGGCATAAACACATTTGACATTAATCGCGTTGAAACCATCAACAATGAGCCCCTCAACGGGGCTCACTAGTAGTTTGATGCTATAGATTCCAGAGGTCTGTAAAGTAAAATGAAAATTGCCTCCCAACTATTTTTCTTCGCTTCATTCATTTGTCATAACCAGATTAACCAAAAAGACATTCAAGAATTCACAATGATAGAAATTCGCACAAAATTCTATTCTATATGTGGCTCTTGTCTAGGCATCCCATTCAAGCATGGATTTTATATTTTTGTCGGTAGGCGATGTTTCACGTGATAAGAATTGAATTCCGCTCATGCGAACATGTTGAGCCTATTGTTGCCAATATGATGAATGGAATAAAAAATGATTTGACGCTGCTGTGGCACTTTCGATAATCAAAACCAACCTCATTCGACAGCACATTGCATTTTGTTGAATTAAATAATGGAATAATAAGGGATAATTTATTTGAGCCGTCGCCTTTCCACCTGCAATGTATTTTTCTTACCCTATAATGGAATAAAGCGTTCATACCTACAAAGATCGTTTTTTCTATTATTTTCGGCAAGAACTCCACCGGAAAACCCGCTCGCAAATGTCAAAGCCACTTCAATGTTCGACGAAGTGCAGGAAACCTTCTTTTCTTAAAAAAAAAGAAATTTCGTTTTTTCTCATTCTTTCTGTTAATTTTACCTTTTACAAGTGGGTCCGCTTGTGTGTAGCTGAATAGCTGAAAAACCCAAATTACTGAATTCCAGAACAAGAACAAAACAATCAATTATGAATTTGTTTCATTCGCGAAAAAATTTCATTTCCATTATAGGAAAAATTGTCTGCCTTAAAAGGGCTTAGTCTGCTTCCGGAGCGAATTCTCTCATTTTTCATTTTTCTTGCCTTCTCCCATTCAAAAAAAATGTGGACGCCGAATAATGGTTCATAAAACTGATTGAGTGATTCGTTTCCCTTTAGATGGAACGCTACAACTCTTGGAATAAAATGTTCATCGGTCTCTTATGAATTGAAATGGTCTATGGGATTTTTGGGTCAGGATATCCAGCTAGACCAAGCTTAATTTCCGTTAGCCACATTTTTTTTCTCAATTTCAGAGCCCAATTCGTTCAAAAAATTTGTCTTTAATTAAATTAAATAATATTATAACGATGCCCCAATAATTTATGGATGTTTTATGCTCCATATTGCTTACGCATTATTTGTTCCGCTTTCGATTATACGGTAGGGCGTGAAGAGTGTTGGGCGGAGTTTTTGATTCTGCTCTAAGCTAGACAACCAGCCACAACGAATGGCTAATGCTCTTCTCATGGTCTCAATAACCCAAATGAAGCAGGAATTATTATTATCAGCTATTGGGAGACCTCAATACTATGTCAAGAATTTATTGCTACCGTATAACAAACACGCCGATGATCCTCGTAGTAACGAAGCTTATTTCATAAGACAAGGAAATACAATTTGTAGTGTGTCAACGTTTTCAGTAGCCACAATATTTCTATCAAATAAATAAGATTAGCATCGTTCTTTTAATTATTCACAGTTTTCTAGCTACTAATAGGCTCAATCTCAAGTTCCTACTTTTTTCAAAAAATGACCTTCCCAAGTAATTCTTCTTCATGCATATTTGCTTTAACGTTGTCTCCACTTCTTTCTAATAGTTCCATATATGCCAAAGATGAACATTACTTTCACATAATTATCGTATTATTATTATGTCATAAAGTATCCTATTATTCACTGTAGGCTGATTGAATTGGGTGATAATTAGTTGTGATTTCTATTTTTTTTTATTTAAATATCTTAAATTCAAAAATTCCATAAAATTCAGTAAGTCGTGAACACACTTCGCTATTTTAAAAAATCCGCAATCGGGTGAAATCGACATTTGCAAGGTTTGAAATCACTTACCGATAGTAATAATGAGACAATGAGGACCATTATGGTAGAAGCGGTCAAATTAAACAGTGTTGGGTTTGGATGGGATGGGTGGAGCGTGTCCTTTCTTTTTTCTACAACAATGTGTTGTACGTGATGGCGAGGAGGAAGCAGAGCGGGAGTGAAGGGAATTACAGGGGGGGGGAGGTGGAGGGGAAGGGGGTCGGTACGGGCGTAGCAACAGTATAATTACAGAATGTAGGTTAGACGAGCCGCCCAAGAATGGTCGAACAAGCGTGGCGAGAACGCTTAGAATGAATGGGCGAACTGTCCGAATAAATGGAGGGTGGCTTAGCGACTCAGAATGACCTTCACATCTAATCGCCTTAATTCTATTCCAGGGCTCTCTACTGGTTTCAAACTGTGCTGCTTCAATTGTTGTCAGTGTCGGTCTCCCTTCCAAATGTAGAGCGTGAAGACACCTTGAAACGAAATAAAAAAAAGTTTGGGGAAATAACAGAGCTAATTTCTTGTTTTTGTGTGTGTGTGAGGGGGGAGCTTCACGACAACAAAATTTTCTTCATTTTCATTTTTTTTACAACATCTTCTACTTCTTTTTTACATGAACTAGGGAGAGTTATTCAAAAAATCACATTTTGGCTTCTGAATCACCTTCTGGCTTCTCAAAGATTCTACAAAATGTTTTCGTAGCAGACATGCCATTAATTGTCACACGAGAAAAAAACATGCAATTTATTTAAAATGTCACCATAATTATAGCATTCGTATAGAATTAGCTGGAAAATTATTGTTTTCAGTTATTGCAATTTTTCTATATTTGGTATCTAAAACGCAAGCCTTTTTCACTCTACAATATTTCATTTCAGTATTAAATTTTACAAAAATGCTCTTCCATTTTTATTAATTATAATTTCGATGTCATTTCTATTCGAAATCTCATTCAAAATAGATTCATCATTTACTGAAATCGCGCACGTCAAATTGAACAATGGTAAACGGCAATAGAATTTAATTGAAATTTATATATAAATATATCTTTTTTTGGCTCCAACACATCAGAGCGTCCCGGAAATTGGAAAGCATTGTGAAATTAAATTGAAAAATTTCTGCAAAAACGTTTCATCCCAAAAACGTACAAGCCAACGTTTAATCTCAACGAGTAAAATGAGAATTTCTTCTATTCCTATTCCTAAACGAATGTGCTTTTTTCTTGTGCCATTTTATTTTGCCTTGATCGTCACTGTGCTTAAAGCAATACATATTGTATCCGCAATATGTCACAAATGAACGTAGCAAAGTGATATTCGCAATATTGGATTCTGATGTATTTAATATCTATTTTTTCCCAAATCATAGCATTTGTTTCTATCTCTCACTATTTTTCTCGTTCAAAACGTATTAACACTGTATTATACTATCGAGGTAAAACGGCAGATTTTTATTCTACACAGTACAGTATATACTCGAGAATTGCCTTGATTTTTTTATGTTATTCTATTTTTTTCATTATTTTGCTCACGTTTTCAATTTTTTGAGCTATTGAAACGGTTTGGTGGTATATGAAATTTTAAAAATCGTACAAAATTCAAGGGAAAAGTACGAAAAAAAAATAAAGTGAAAGAATCTCGAAGGACATATTTCGCCCTGAGTGTCATTCATAATTGTACAAGTTGACTATCCGCTTATAAGGGGGTGGGGAGGGGGGTCCAATCAAGAATCGTCAGAAATACCTGTCTCATAATTGTCGCCCGATGCCAACCTTCACGCATTTGTTGGCACACGTTGAAAGCTTTTTAATTTTCTTTCTGCCATTTTGGAAAAGCCTCATCGGTGACATGAAAGTGACGAACGACGAGAAGAAGTTGTGTAGCGAAGACAAGAGAGGACGACACGAAAAAAAAAGTGAATTAATCGGATGCAGCGAGCGTGACAAGTCATTTTCAATTTCGTTTTTCTTCGTTGTGCACCGGAAAATGCAATTTTTTGTGGCGCGCCAACGCCAACACGAGATGATTTTTGCGGTCCGGATCAAATCATGGTGTCGCACGAAATGTCACTTGCTGGTAGCGAGAGAAAGAGGATGTCGAGCACGCGGTCGTGTTGCATTTCGGCGTGCATACGCTGCGTTTTGCGCGCACTCGCTCCGCCCCACAACAAGTTATTCAAATAAAAATTGCTATTTTATTTTAATTTAAAACAAACTAATTCTTCAAATTTTTTATGGACTATTGCAACGGATAAATGGTTCGTTTTTTAGACATATTTTTTTTGGATTCGCTCATTCGTAAAAAATTATCGTTTTTTATTATTTTTCAAGGAGCCTGGCACATCGACGAACACCAATGTGAGCTCAAATCCTTCAACAAATTCTATTGAAGATACCAATGGAAATTTAGAGGAATTTAAAGGTTCAAAAACTGCCAACTCAACAATATTAATAATTCGCCGAAATGTTTGTTTAGATTCGTTAAAGAAAAGTACGATTGATAGTTTTTTAACAGCGTCATTTGATGACGATGTTGATGAAACTACCGAAAATGAAGCGGAAGTAAGGCTCGACTGTCAAGATTGCTTCAATCTGATCTTATATAGAAAACCATATTGGCTCATATTCAAAAATTAATGACGGGTGATGCGGATGAAAGGGAGCAGCGTGATGCAATGAATGCATGGCTCACATTTGTAGGACTCTCGGCTCAAAATATACGGCATCTTGAAATTTGTACAGTCACGGATTTTGATTCATTGTTGAGTAAAACTCATTCTGAGGTACATATACCACCATAAACCGGATTTAAATGCTCAAAAATTGATTTGACCTTGCGTCGTTTCTTCATGTTTTGTGTGTTCGTCTTGCTTATTCCCATTTTAGCTTCGTTCGTTGTCCGATCGAGGAAGGTTCGACGCGGAGATCAAACGAAAACTATTACAGTCAGCACTTATTTTACAAAGTCATTGCTTACCAAGCAGTATGTTTCTTCAACATAGTTCTGTTGTAATATTCCATAATATTTAGCAAGAAAAAAACTCACAAAATATTCTTCGGAGGAAACTGGTGGTTCTTCGTCTGGAACTCAACCATCAACGCCAAGTTCCAGTATATACTTCATTGCCAATAAAGTCGTGCAATCGGCCAGCATGAATTTCAGTAAGTAACGTTTGACATGAACTTGAAAAATTTGTAAAGTGTATAGCTGAATTAAACATACAGAAAATTGGAAAGAAACGCTTAAAAGTAATGAATGAACAATAAAGATCTTGGAATTTTTTTTAAAAGACCTACTGATAGTTTGAAAAATTCTAGAACGAATGAGTAATAAACACATTTTCAGTTTAAAATATCCAGAGAGAATATTTATAAACTAAAAATTGTCGAAAGAAGTTTGTAGGCTGACTAACATAATTGCGCACAATATACGGCGCAATTTATATTTTTAATCAAGATATTGTAAAAAACTAGCCTTTTAAAATATGATTTAGTCAAATCTTTGAATTTGCGAAATCGCTGATCAAAACTTCTCCCTCTAAAACATTAATAACAATACAGCTAATGAAAATAATAACATAATATTTTAAAGTCACATAGTGAAATTAAAACTGAAACGCCTGATTGATGTGAATCTGGCTTCAATCTTATCAGGATTAAGTTCACTTGATTTACTTTCCTAGAAGTTCTCTTAAAGAACTTATATTGTCCTTTATAATTCGATGACAACGAAATTATAGCACTATTTCAAGACTATGGCGATGATATCTAAATTTCTAGATAATAAAAAATGGAGAAATCCAGGAATTCATGATACTTCAAATAATTGGTCATTATTGATCGAAGAAAGCGAAGTCAATATTAAGACATTTTTGAAAACGAGAAAATGTGAAGAATAATTTTGGAAAAATGAAAATATTAATATAGAATAAAATAATTGTCAAACATTTGCATCAGGTAAAGTCATGGAAAAACTATAGCCAGTAGAAAATTTTAAAACATCTTATTTAAATAATTATTCTGAAAATTGTTCATATAAGGACAGGATGAAAACCTTACATTCATGAATGTTAAAAGGATTGCAGAGGATCTCCTGCTAAAAAGTAGAAATAAATGCATAAATGCTCAAATTAAAGGCAACATGAGACGCTATGTACGAAAACTACATGCAAGCAAAAGCCACCCGCTGTTTGTTTCCATGGTTATTATAATGAGTTATTTTGGGTGATGAATGTGCCGCGCGACAGTTTTCGCCAAACTTGTTCGCGTATACGACTTAGATATTGGGGAAATGATAAGATAGAGAGAGAAAGACAAATTAATTGTTTGTCGAAATTGGTTTTTTGCGACGCGCAATATCTTGAAACGATCGCATTTTCAGCACAAAAGTCGCCACTGTCGGCGTCTCGTTTGGTGCACGCCATACCGCACACATGGCATCGATCCACAAAATTTCGATTCAACGGCGACGCGGTGTGCCATTTTTGTCAGCGGCCGCTTGGTTTCGGATTCCTTAATGCTTGGGAGAAATGCCGCTCATGCAAGTGTGGCCGAAAATAAAGAAGCATATTACTAACTGAAATTCATCTAGATGGAAAGTTCACACGCAATGCAAAAGTCGTGTTGGTGATTCGTGCGGTTTGACGCCCGACCATTTACGGTTTCTGTTCGACAAGCTGATTGAGGAAAATAATGGAGTAGGCCGGTGTTGTCGCTAATTTCCGTTAAATAACATCGTCTAGGGCATGTGGAATGATCCACAATCGGCCGCACCTTTGCCAGCGTCGCGATCGATGAACGAGAACGCATTCCAATATCCCGATGAACCGATCGATTCATCATCATCGGCGAATAGTACTGCACCGTCGACGCCGGCAAATGTCGCGGGCACTTCCGGTAAGTTATTTATTGAATTCGATTTGATTAATGTTCATGAAAATTATTACTGAAGTCCCAATTATTCATTGGTAGAGTATTGCATCAGAATTTAGCAAAAGAGAAGGGGGAGGGGGATAAAGTTATCGATCTTGTCAACCGTTGGTGGTAATTGGGGGGGGGGCAATTACGTGTACTGTTACAGTTTTGAACCAGTGAGATATGTTATGTAATTTAATGGTTGCACTACTTTTCGAATATGTTGAAAATTGTATAACGTGAAGTGAGAGCATAAGGGATGTGTAGTTTCAATTGATTAATAAATAATTAGAACAGGAATTTGCTCAAAAGCTACTATTCAAAAATGGAAAACCCTAGTAGTATAAACCATTTCGAATCTTGCCCTCTTTGCAATTGCTCTCTAGAATGCCTTGTTGGTTTTCGTTCAATTTCGTTTGCCCTCAAATCATTCTGTTTTCTTACCAATGAATTATATAAGACAAGCAGCTGCAATTTGGACTCCCATGTTGATATTTGTTTCGTAGAGAGAAAATTTTCAACTCACATGCGAGATGTCCGATTCGTATTTCAATTTTGATGGTAAGCCTACAATTATGGAACAAACGAAGCTCGCCGAATTGAATATGTGTTGTTCCGTTTCATTGCGAGAGGAGCACCTTGACGACGAATGTATGAAAAAATCATATAATGCCGTTTTCAGCGCCGGTGCCAACAGCTAGCGGCAATACACTGACGGTGCCCGACAGAAACTTCTTGTTCCCAGAATCCGAGCACCATCCAACACATGGCAGATTACCGCTTGTTGTAGTAAGGTAAGCGACATTGAATTACATTAATATTCAAAAAATTATTACATCTGATTTCAGTGAGGATGATGTTCAAACGGAGGCGCATGTTGACAATGCGATTGAAAGCGAAGGCACAATTGTTGGAAATGATTCACTAAGCAGTAATGAGGTTCGTTTAACTCTGCAAAACAATATTCTATTGATTCGTCTCGATTTTTTATTCAATTCATTTTACATGTGTTCTTCTAGACGTCAAACCCCGAAGTTTTCAAATTCAGTAGAAAAGGCTCTGGCCATACTTTCGAGAGAAATGCTTGGAACAAGACAACGATTCGAGGATTCAATATGCAGGTAGGATTGGTTACGTCGCCGTGTTTAGAGCGCAATACAAAATAACAAATTCGTCTAATGCACCTGTAGTCGCTTTCTCGATTTTTTCGCGCTCTCATTGCTCTAGCGTTTTGTTATTTATATGTCGCTTGTAACTTATTTAAGGATAGCAAAGGTTTAATGCAAACGCGTCTGATTGATTGCTATTAATTGTTATAATAAATTTTAGGCCAGCTGGAATGAGGTCACGATTCAGCCCGGTTCCATCGAGTTTGATAAATGTGATCCCCTTATTGCTCGCGGACGATTTGGTGACGTCCTTCGTGGTTTCCATTATGGCGATGTTGCCATTAAAATGGTCAATATGGACCATATAAAGGAGCAATCAAAGAAAGCTGAGGAATTTAAGCTCGAAGTCTCAGCATATAAGGTTTGCAAAAATTAAATATTTTTGCAGAAGTATTAACATGTTTTCAGAACACACGACATGATAATATTGCACTTTTCCTTGGTTATTTTGTTAACAAAAACAAATTTGGAATTGTGACCAGCTTAGTCAAAGGCCATTCGCTTTTCACATTACTCCACGTTATCCGAGAGAAACTTGACATCGGAGCAACTCGTCGTCTTGCTGTTCAAATATGCCAGGTTGCTCATTTTGATAATTGACTAAGATTACTTAATTTTTCTAGGGCATCTCCTACTTGCATACCAAGAAGATTTTGCATCGCGACTTGCGTACTAAAAACATTCTCATTGAAAACAAAAATAAGGTGGTGCTCACTGATTTCGGAATGATGAGTCATAGAAGACTATGTTATCCGCAACAAAAAAGTTCATATCTTGTGCCAAAATTCTGGCTGAGCTACGTGGCGCCGGAAATTATTCGTAACATTAAATGCGACTTTGATGAAGCCTATCATGATGAGTTTCCATTCAGCGAGTATTCGGATGTGTACGCGTTTGGGTGTGTGTTCTTCGTTTCATTAAGGAAATTGATTTGTTTTTAGATCGGTTTGGTATGAAATGCTGACCGGTGAAATTCCATTCATTATGGGAAATGCATTCGCGGTGCTTTACCAAAAAGGAATTGGAATGAAGGATTGCCTGCATAGCTTCAATGGGTCACGCGAAATGAGAGTAAGGCAATATTTAATAGAAACATGATATTCAATTAACGATCAGGACATTCTGATGACTTGCTGGAGTCGTGTGCCAGAAGATCGTTCGACGTTTCCTGATATCGTCGCGCGGCTTACACGCATCCCGAAGAAGCGTCCGGCTTACAATCCCAATTGTCCGGTGATGGTGAAAAGCTATGAGTCAACATTCTAGTCAAAATCATTTAAATGATTATTTAAGCTCCAAGCTTGTTGTACCAATATATGTATCTTTGCCAAATGATGTAGTTTAATTTTCAAAACTAATAATTGTTCTCACCAAACCATTATGTATGCCCATATAGTTTACGCAATGCAATAAATTGAAAGTACATGTGTGGAAAATGACATGATAAACTCGATTGAATTGGTAATCAAAGTTTTTTTTTTATTTTTTCACATTTCGAAAGACACTAAAAATGAATTGAAAAACACAATTATTGCGTTAGAGTTTCAAAAAATTCTGGTCACAAAACGCGTTTTTATTGGTTGTAGACACAAGGAGATTCGTTCAACAAATAATGTACCGATATCCCGTGATATTAAACAAACTGCTGGGATTTATTGTATGTCATGAGACGATTCGTGTACAATATTAAAAATCCCCGTATTTACTTGTGGAAGCTTTTATTAAACATTTCGCCTGTACTTTTCCTTTCTTTAATCTCCAATTCTCCCATAAACAAATAGAATATTCACCCTAATCGCGTGACTAGCCAGCTCCTTCCGAAATAACTCCTTTCATTCGGCCACTAGAATGAACTTTGGAATGTGTTCGGATTCTTTATCATATTGTAGATTTGATGCTTGAAATGTGGATTAATGCTTTGACGGGAGGTCGAACTCATTAAGCGTGTCAAAAACCAAACGCATTAGATTGAATGAAATGGCGCGCATCGCAAGGATCGGTTGGCCGGCGACGAACGCTTTCAATAAATTGAATCGCGACACACTCGGAATCTGTTAGACAACCAAATGTTTCTTTTGCGCCCAAAAACCGGCCAATTAATCGTATTAGAAAATCGAAATGGCCAATACTCGTAATAGCGGGACGACGCGATAACAAAAGAGGATATATGAACGAGGAAATTCTCGACGAATCGTTTGGCTTTTTGTTCGATTATGCGCCACTCATAAATCGACCTCTCTTGTTCTTAATCTGATACACCACAATTACTATTTGTTCGATCATTTTCAATACAAATCGCGTTTTCCCTCCGCTCCTTTATTGCGTCGTGTCATCCGTAACAGATATTCAGTCGTTCCAACACTCGCCCAGCGATAATCTCAACTTTGTCAACAATCGGCAAAAGTATGAAATATTCGCGATGATTTATCAATTATTGATTGTACTTGTCTGTTGTACATATGCAGAGGTATGAGAATGACCTGTGTCTTATTATTAATATTCAATTACAGAGTCTATCTAAAATTATTATCGGATTATCAATCAACCCAAAAGAAACAGTAAGCCAATTATGTATTCTTTTCAAAAAGCATTTGTTTTTTAAGGCTGAAGAGAATGAATTAATATACCGAAATATTGATGGTTCAATTACACTTGGCCGAAATTACGAGTTTACAACGGTAAATGAAAATATTTAAAAAATCCATTAAAAGTAACGTGCAAGTACAAATTAAATTTGAAAATTTTAGGCTGAAAGTTGCACTTTCTTTAAACTTGTCTATAAATTAAGTGAAAATGCCTTAGCTTAAAAAATCATAGTCAAATTCATTCAAAAAATGAAATATTGTAACATGCCGAGATCAGTGCCATATTCATTTTTTTCATTTAAATTTGCTTTTTCGTTTTTCGTTCTTTCCATATTAATTAAATATCACGAAGAATATTATATTGAGAATAAATGTTTTTTTTTAATAAAATAAGGTAGAATTTACAACGAGGATTTAAATTTATGATAATGACATTTATTTTCCAAAATTATTTTCAATTTTTATATTTTCATTATTCGGTAAAATAATAATTTTATAAAAGCTTTTGTGCAAGACGCGTAATTAACAGTCAATTCGTATCTTTCCATTCTACGACATTAAATTGTCACATGTTTCAATTTTTTCTTTCTTGTCCTGGGGATAATTTCTGCGTTTTCTATCCTTATCAATTCTTTGGACTTTGTTCCTTGTAGATATATCGATCGAGTCGATCTCTTCTATCGAACATTTGGCATGCCACTTCTTCAAGATTCATCTTCAATTTGAATCTTGAGATTACTGTGCCAAACTTGTCGAAAGAGATTATATCAACAATATATTGTAGGAACCAATGCCAACTGTCACACCAAGTCCAGAGAAGAAGAAAATAAAAAAGAAGCGAAAGCATCGAAGAAAGAAAAAGAGGAAGCGGACTTTAAGGAAGATCAATTTAAGGCGAAAATATAAGCCACGTCAGCAATTTATTAAGCTTTAAATGAAAATGATTATTATTTAAGGTTTTGTCACTACTACAACCACAATTCCACCAATAATTATCCAACAATCCATTGATGACAACATTATCCAGTTATCTGTGAGTTCTGGAGCGATTAAAAGATGAGTTTTCAATTTGAAGCAATTCCAGCCAATATATGACACTGAAACCGGCATTTCATATTCCCGTGACGAGCTGAATGACATTTGCAAAGAAACAGTACAAATAAGCAAAAATTTTCAAATTTCCAATATCGAGGAATTTGCTAAAAATAATTGCTTTTTAATAAGGTTGTATTATCCAAATGTAACGTGCTCTCAAATTAATCAGCTAGTTGATTATTGCATTTCAATTGGCGTAATAAAATAATTATATATTATAATAATAAGATAATTGCATATTATATTAATGCTTTTGATAATAAACATTTTTGCTCAATTATTAATTGTGCTCTGATGAGATTAAGATTGTTCGTCACCATTGTCTAAATGACCCACTCAAGAAACGGTGTGTGTGTGTGTGCGTGCGAGCGGTCCTCGTAAATCGACAACGCAGTGGCAGGGTGTTTTTCGCTGCGTTCTCTGCGATTCGTAGCCTCTTCATTCGCCGTCGTATTTCCACACCGACATACATACAATCCACCTGATGACGCGGCATTATTTCCGACTTTTTTGCTAATTATTGCCCTTAAACAATGAGCTTATGAATGGGAATTTTGAAAACTTTTACATGATTTTTAATTGTTTTCTGAAAATATGATGAAGTTATTGATTTTCTTATTGTTTTCTGTCTCATCATTTCCTTTTGGCCATATCGATTTTATTCTATTGTTCTCGTTAGAAACTATCCCATTTTTTTCTCAACAATTTATCATTATTATAAACGGCTTTTACACTTTTTTACGAAAAGATTGATGATCATTGGAATAATCTAGGACAACGGCGCGCACCTCCATCCCGCATCTTCACTATTCCGCCACTATACTTGCAATTAAAAACATTTACAGATTGATGAGTTTCTATTGGGCGAAGGCGCTGAACACGAATGAGCCAGCGAATGGTCAACAGCAGTCGCAATTGCAACAGCCAACGCAGCAACAACAAACCAATTGGGACAATATAAACCTGGGAGGTGCTCAACCTCAGCAAAACCAATGGGGACAGCACTTTCAGAGTAATAATACGGTGCCAAATAATCCGCAGCAACGTGGGTTTATGCAATTCAGAAATTAAATTAATGATTTGTTTAGCTCAAAATCACGGGTTTAACTACAACCAGTACCCTCCTACAAACCAGTACAACGTGCAAACTGCAGATAACCATAACGTATGTTTAAATGTACAGCTTTAAAGCCTTATCGTAAAGCGCCATGAAGTCGATCACGTAATTTATGCAGTCTATTTTTCAGGCCCCAAATAATCAAATTAACACATACAATTATGCTGCACATACACCTATTTTGGAAAATGTGGCGATGCCGGAAGCGCCTGAAAATAATCAGCAGCAATATTACCAGGCCTACCACACTCATGAGCAGCATGCTCAGCAGCAACAAAGACTAGCCGATGAGCAGCAACAAGGAGCTCAACAGCAAAAACAAGCTGAAGAACAGCAGCAACTTGAAGCTCAAGCGCACTTCGAAGCCGCGCAGCAGCAAAAAGCCCAAACGCAATATGAAGCGCAGCGCCAAGAAGCTCTTCCTACGCATGAAGCTGAAAACCAACAACAGGCTCAAGCGCAGAAATATTGGCAAGAACAACAACACGCTCAGCAATACTATGCTCGGCAATACCAGGAGCATCAAGAAAAATTGAGACATTCTGAAGGAAACGAGAACAATCATTCATCTGCTACACCGGCAGTCGTTCAAATCGCGCCGGTTCCAAAAGAAACTAAGGTATGCGAATTCGCGAAAATCGGGAGCTTTGTTCAGTTCTACCTCATTTTGGCATGTTGTTTTGTGAAGTGCATGTAATGTTGATTTAGGAAGTTGAACTGACTGTCGAGGCGAAGGATTCTGAAGATAGTGAAGAGAAAACGAAAGTGACACCAACATCATCGGAGGATGATTGGGTCAAAACCGATATTTTCGAAAATGATGGTAACAAAAAGGTAGAGAAATTATTTTCGCCGATTAACAACTTTTCCGTTGTAATCGCATAGCATGTGTTGAACACCGAATTGTTAGCAATAAATGTTTGCGATTACAGATTGATGCAGGAAATCAAGAACATTTGAATCCGCCTTCCTCAGGAACATCGTGCTCTCCAATGGGAAACTCGGAACAAAATTCCGTTGATATGTTGACCGATGCAGCAGCGGCGAATAATTCTTGGATTGATGAAGTCATTGATAATTCCGGTGAAAGTTCAGAGAAAGAGCAGGTAATTACATTGCATGACAAACAGAAATGGTGAATGATAATGTGCTTAGGAAACGAATCAACCTTCTAAGAAGCTTCAACAAAAGAAAGAGAAATCACCGGCGGCCAATGAGAAAAAATCACCGGAGCCAGTTGGAAACAATGACACTTTAAAGAATATTAGTGAGCCAATTGCAACAAGCACTCCAAAAGATGATTTAAAGGAAAAGTAAGATATAATATTTTAAGAAAAACCTGTAGAAATTTGAAAGTTAATTAAATATTACATTATGTTAAAAAAAAAACGTTTTTAGACGTGGCTCTATAACATCACAAACTTCACACCGTACTGATGCAGACAAAACTCGCGTGAAATCTGATGATGAAACGGCTTCCGTGAGAACTAATGATGGGTACTGTTTTGAATAGCCCTAATTCTTATTATTTAGAAAGTTTTTTGCAGTGTCGACAACTTTCAGCGAAGCGCTATTCGTGCGAGTTATCGCAACTATCGCGAGCAGTATAACCATATATGGATGCGATTGAATGGTCATCGAATTGAAGCCCATCGAACGGAATTCCGGCCATCATCAAAAATGGCGAATCCGTTGTTGGCTGCTGCTGGAATCACAAACGGATCAATTCGCAATCAGCCAAGTCAACAGTTTGCTCAAGGACAAGGAAGAAACGAAGGACGATCATCGGTCCCGCTGTTCCTATTACAATCCCGTAGCTTCAATGAAGATCCGCGAAGGTCGATGAGAGTGAATGGAAGTCGACCATCATCGAGGCAATCGGGTGTAGCGAACACAACTCGCGAAAATTATGGAGAACATTCGGGATGGAGAAGGTGAAAATCACTCGAGAAAAATAAATTATTAAAATATTTTAGATATGGCTACAACAATGGTCGAGAAACTGTGACAAATGTACCCTACCATGATTACTACGATCAAGGTTATGCGCCCGAGTATAGCACAATGCCTCATCAGAATAATACAACACCACCGGAGCAATTCTGTGATTTCTATGAAAGCGATGAGTCGCTAGACAGAGAAAGTGATGATGAGCTTCGTCAATACAATTCTCCTCAAAAGCATGTGCCGATGTACCCAGTCACTGGCGAGGAACGCTATTATCTTGGAATAGCTCAACTGAATATGGTAATAAAAACAAATACATAATTGATCAATTAATGATAATTTACAGCATATTGTTGATTCAATCACCCAATCGTTGCCGCTTCCTCCAAAATTCTATAATCTCACCGCTCTTGAAAAAGCGGCGTTCATTTACTACAGCTACGTCTACCGAGCTCATTATAAGGATGTTGATGAGTTTCATAAAAGATTCAATAGGGAGTTCTACAAATATGTGTGCGATGGAGATAGCAAAGAGAAGTCACTGGCAAAGGTTGGTTAAAATTAAAAAAAACTATATAAATCAGGTATTTTCGAAACAAGTTTAAATTTAAAAAAAATGAGCAATCACGCTCCAACGAACTCGTCGAAATTATTAGTAACTGCCAATTATGTGGAAAAAATCAATTTGAAAGGCGACGGAAGATTAAAAAAGTAAATTGAAGGTATGCCGATCGATAAGCATTCAACATCAAGCGAGGATGGAAGAAATCAAAAAGAATCTTGTCCAATCCCACCGGCCAATTTTCAGCGATGATAGTGTCGATGGGTGAGTTTAGACGAAAATTAATTGGCTTCTTTCCATTATGTTTATGTTACATGTCTAACAACCCCCAACTTGTAGCGTTGAAAATCCGAACAAGACAAATTTTGAAGTGAAAAAAAGTACATATTTAGCAAAATGGCAGCGAATCTGGACATAAACAAAGAACAACCGAAAAGTATTATCAAAAGGTTATTGAATATCTCATCTTTGTTGGGAGGACCTGATAACCTTTGGGCTTGCGTTTTCGTTTTATTCGCACTTCTTTCTTCCGTTTTGTTTAAAATTCACCACGTGTGGGAACGATTTACAACAAACTTAATTTTTTTAGAGGCACTGATTAGGGAGTGATGTCTAACCTTCATATATTAACATAGGGGTATAGAGAGAGGGATCGATAATATTAAAAAAAATCTAAAATTATATATTACAGACAAAGTGAGAGTTCGATAAGTCGTGATAAGTACGATGGTTATGAACCTCCAAGCAATGGTATTAATAAGAAAATGAATATGTGTTATTAAAATGTGACATTTCAGGACCAATGAAGTTCTCTTACCCTCATGCGTTCTTAAACTTTGGACCTGGAGGTAAAACAATAGATATTCAGCCAGGAGAATCGATCTCTGTCGTCAACATTGATGTGGTTGTTAACGTTGTAAAAGATCATTTCTCTATGGGATTGGAATCTGATCTTAAAGCGTTTAAAGGTGATTTTGTCATCCATCTGAACTACTGAGTTTGCTCTTTATTAGGTCCACTCAATCCGCAACTTCATGAGCTCCACACCGTCCGCGCTTATGTCGACAAGCAGATCAATGCCATCAAGAACTCTGAGGTGGCGCTCGAAAACCCAAAGGATAATGATGTTGTTGATGCATTGCTTATTTGGGAGCTCTTGGCAACTCTATTACGACAAAGAGGGGTAACACTGATATATATTTTTTTAAAGCGTGCGTAAATTAAAATTTCAATATTCAGGCAATCACTGGCCCCGACGTTGCTGAGATTTTGATGAGAGTTACGGATGAGAAAATCCCTGTGCAGAATATCCAGCAGCCTGCTAATCCTGCTGCTGCGATTGCTGAATATACAAAACTATTGCTTGGTGGTCATGTTCTCGAAGCCATCGAGTCTGCCATGCAGAACAACCTTCACGCTGATGCATTGCTTCTCGCACGGCGACTTCATCCAAGGAATTCGGACGCGATGGTTGCTAGAATTGAGGCACATATGCTTCAAAGTCGTTCAATGTGTCATCCAGTAACAACACTTGCTGCTGTTGCAAGCGGAGATTACCCAGCATTCTTTGTAAGCGATGACCTAGTTATAACATTATTCTAACGAATTTTCAGGACTCCTTGCCCTTAGATGGAGAATCCAGCTGGAGAACCCATTTGGCAATCATTTTAGCAAATTTGGGTGGAAACGAGGCAGCCTTCAAGGCTCTTTTTTATTTAGCTAGAACTCTTGCAAAACGGGATTATAATAACGCTGCTCACTTCTGCTTCCTAGTCCTTTTCGCTTTGTACAATGTTGACGTGTTTGGGCCTGCCGATGAAACAAAACCCGAGGAACAAGATCGACCATATATCACTCTGATCAGCTCGGGAATTCCGGATGACATTGATATTGGAACACTTAACTTGGGATTCTCGCTTATGGATTTGCATGCAACAGAGGTGCTGGACTATGTCATGCACTTGAAAGGTTAGCAATTGTATTTCTCAAAAATGTATATTATAAGGTTATTTTCAGATCAATCACTTCAAGAAAATCAAGTGCGGTTACAAAATGCGTTCGAATATCAGAAAGCTCGCATTGAATATGCTAAAGTGCTAGCCAAATATGGTTTTGCTTCTCATGCTAATAGGTACGTGTATTCAAGAATACTTTCAATTAATGTTTTTTATAGATATATTGTTGATGTTTTGCGGGCGATTTGGGATAATGCCGCAAAATTCGATCGCAATAAATTGCTTCACATTTGTGAACTTGGTCTTGATATTGGACATGCTGCACAATCAACCGATTGGGATCGTCAAGTCATTGAGCTTTTCAAAACTAATTTGGAGCAAATTGATGTAACGAAAGCCCAACAACATCAGCAAATTCCGCAGCATGAACAACGGCAACAATCTCAAGAAATTGTTCCAGAACTTGGTTCCAATTTTAATACGCAGCCGTAAGAAATTAATTTGAAATTAGCGTGTTTATTAAAAAAACACTTCTAGAATCACTGAGTTCACACAGACCGGAATCCATATGCAATTGAACTCTTATCAATCTTCTGGAGCAGCAACCCACAAATGTTCGCCGAAGCATGAACAGAATTCCTGGCAGGAAAGTTCCCTTCAAACTGAACGACACATGGATGACAAAGAGAAAGATATATTGCCGCCAAACCAATATACACCACAAACACCATTCTATAACTCGGAGAGTGCTGACGCTTCACCTTTCACTGAGCCAACGCAAAACGTGACCGAATCAACGTCTATTCCAGAGGGAATTATGTCGGAGCAGAAGTTGCCTGAAAACCTTATGCCAATATCAAACGCGATTCCACCCGAACCTCCGGTATTAAACCAGCCTTTTTTTGAACCGGTCCAGCAACGTCAAGAATTCCCGCCGCAACAACCTGAAACAATACCAGAACAACCCGAGCCAATATCTCAAATTCAAGAGCCTGTAATAGATAAAAACAATGACCAGTCAATTCCGTCGAAAAGCCAAGTTTCTCAGTCAAACTCTATCGGATGGCTAGGAACATTTAAGCAGCAAGTTGCTAAAGCAATGCCGGGTGTTCAGCCGATGAACTTGCCAAATGATAGCAATCCACAGGTTAAAAAAATTATTGTTGTTTTAAATTTTAATACCTTTTTTGTAGATTATTTGGGATTCTGCACAGAATCGGTATGTTGGTGAAGGAGTTGAGAAAGAACCCGACGCACCACCGCCGCCAGTTATGAGCCAGCAAGCTCTGGCAGCGCCAACCGGAAATAATGGAAGGCTGCGGTTGAAGAGAGCAGGTTGCAATCAAATTTAGAATTCTCTATATATCGTGTTCTCTTTTTCAGCTGATCGATACACGAATGTTGGGTTTGGGTCATCGTCAACAAATTCAAATATGCAACCGCCGGCGCTAGCACCTCCAATGCCCACTGGTTTCGGATTCATTCCCGCTCCAACTGGTACAACAATCATCTGTAAAATTCAGAAAAATTCTAAGATTTTCAGATGACGCCCAAGCAGTTGATCCATTCAGTGGAGAAGCGAACCCCTCAATCCAAATGAGTGTGACGCAAAATAAGGATGAGTAATCGCAATTGCCTACCTTCAAATATATTATATGTCAATAATGGACATCAATATTTATATTTTACTGCTATTTGGTTTCGACGTTCAATGTGTTTGAATCTACCATCTTTATGTGATTTTTATAAAATGGGTGTTAAATTATTTTTTTTTTATCGGATTTCAATAAAATTATTTTCAGCAATGCTTTGATGTATTGTTTTAAATTTTTGATTTGTTGATAATCAGAAGCGTAATATCTGCTTTTATTATATATTTTGCACTTTTAATTGAATTGAGTCACACGTCAATATGTCTTGTATACGCACTGTTAAACATCTAAATTGGTCTTTTCTCTCATAAAGGTTCACTATTTCGTAATCTCTATGCGTCTCTGACCATAAATAGGCGTTCACAACTCAATTGGCGTGTTCTCATTAACAGAAATATTAAAAAAAAAAGAATATTCTTCTGTTGATTTTTATTTGCTCTTGAATACTGGCTCATTTACAGACTGGGAATGCAGCCCAACTATCCACATAATCCAATGCAGGCCGGGCCAATGCCACCAACGGGTCAGATGCAGCCGGGTCAAATGTCTGGCCAAATGCCAGGAATGATGCCGCACCAGCAACATCATCCGATGCATCAGCATCCTGTTCCGTTGTCCCAGATTCAGCAGCAGCAGCATCAACAGTCTCAAGTGCCACAGATGCAAATGCAACATCAAATGGGAATGCAGCAGCATCAACTTCTTCATCAGCAGATGCCCAGGATGGGGATGCATCAATCTCAGATTCCTCCACAGCAACAACCTCCAGGAATGCAGCAACATGTTGGAATGCATCAAATGCATCCTGGACAGCAGCAAGCAATGGCGCAACAGAAACAGCAGCCGATGCTTCAGCAGCAGATGAATCCACATGCACTTCAACAGCAGATGCATCCGCAACATCTACAGCAACAGATGCAACAGCAACAAATGCAGCAATTGCAGATGAAACACGCGGCTCAACAGCAACAGCAGCAACAACAACCGATGACGGCTCAAACCGGTCATCAAGGAATGTCTGCTCAAGCTGCTGCACAAGCCGCGTTGCATCAGGCACAAATGCAACAGCACGCATTGCAGCAGTCGGGAATGCAGGCTCCTGGAGCTCAGCATGGAGCGCCTAATAGCATGCAACTACATCAGCAGCAAATGCAACAGCAAATGCAGCAGAAGCATTTTGGGCAACCGGGAATGCAACATCCGCCGCATATGGGACAGAATCCGCATCAGATGCAGGGCCAGCCGGTGATGCAACAGCAACATCAACAGCAACAGCGTCAGCAGCAAGAAATGTCGGCTGCTCAACAAGCAGCAATGCAGCAGAAAACGCAGAATCAAGGAAAAACACAAATGCAAATGCAGCAACATTTAATGAAGCAACAGCTTCAAGCCGGAAACCCTCAGATGCCGCCACAACAACAGCAGGCAAATCACAAGATTCAATTATAACATCAACAAGGAAATTTTCAGATGCCATCTCAACATCAGCAAGGAAACAGCCAGATGTCGCAGCAACAACAACAGGTAAATCACTAGATTCAATTATATCATCAACAAGACAACCCTCAGATGCCGTCTCAACATCAGCAAGGAAATCTGCAAATGCCGCCGCCGCAACATCTGGGCAAACTGCAAATGCCGCAGCAACAGCATCCGGGACAAACACAGATGACTCAACAGCAGCAGCAGCAACAACAACAACAATATCCCGGTATGCCGCCAATTTTGCAACATCATCATCATCATCATCATCATTCAGGCAAGCCACAAATGCCGCAGCAGCCGCAACATTATCCAGGAAACCCGCAAATGCCTCAACAACATCATCCGGGCCAGCAACAGATGTCGCAACAGCAGCAACCTTCGCAACTACCGCAACCTCCACTGCTAACAAAACCTGTATTACCGCCGCAACAGCCACCACCAATGGGAGGAAAACCGGGCATGATGCCTCAAAAGCCTACCGGAAAACTTCAACAGCAACAACCTCAACAAACATTTCAACAACACCTTCTAATGCAGCAACTAAGTCAGCCATTGATGAAGCCAATGCCTCAGATGCATCAGCAGCAGCAAGCTCAGGCATCGAAGCCAAAAACACCGCAAACTCCACAACAACAAATGGCAGCGCAAACTTCAATGCAACCGCCGCAACTGCCGGGAAAGCATAATCAACAGTCATCGATGCCACCGCCGCAGCAACCAATGAATAATTCGCCACAGATTCAGTCGTCACCTCATATGACGAACTCGCCGAATCATGCCTCAAAAATTCCGCAATCGCCATTGGCGCAACCGTCACCAAAGCAAGCAAGAACATCGTCGCCGATGCAGCGGCAAATGATTCCGCCATCATCATCGTCGCCGATTCCTCGCCAAACAATGCCGCCGCCAACGAATTCGCCAATGCAACGCCAATCCATTCAGCCTTCGCCGTCGCAGCATGCGCCATCACCATTAGTGATGGGGCAACCACAACAGAGACCACCTTCAAACGCCTCGAATCCACGGCCGCCTTCCACGACGGGTCAGAATCGATCGGCTCGAAGCACACCAATTCCGAAACCGGCCTCTGTGGGACCACCAAGTGTGACAGCACCCAGTACGACATCAGCACCAAATGTGACTTCAGCAGCTGGTGTGACGACTGCTCCGCCCGTAACAACAACGCCAGCCACCACCAAATCAACGACTCCTGTGCCAGTTGCGCCGACGGCGCCACTAGATCCATTTGGTGAAACGGAACCTATTCCAGCCGCAAAGTTAATGGTAAAGGCAACGCAGGCACAGACAAACGATGCCATGACGAGATGCAGTAATTGTAAGCATAATAAGAAATATTTCTAGACTTTTTTGATTTCAAATTTGTAGGTCTTTATCTTATTCGAAAGCTACGAGCAATGTTGTTAAAAGTGCAAAATGTTGCGCTCGCTACAGATTTTGATCACGATCAGAACCCTGCTGTAGACAGATACAAACTCGCCTCGCAAATAATGAATGACATTAAAAACATATACGAGTAGGTTTTCCAAATATGTGAAGACCAAAAAATTGAATTTCAGAAGACTGGAAGGACAAGCTCTCAAGATACCGCACATTTTTGCGTTGCCTGATGAGAATCCGTATAGAGAATTTCTTAAAGAAGCTCATATGATTAAAAGTGTGCCTCCAGCTGCGCATCCTGAATTAGAATTCATTGCCGATGACATGATTGATGCAACAAACTGGAACGAAGGAAATTATGTAAGTGTGTCAAGCTTAAACAATAGAAATTGATGATTTCAGCAAATGTATTATTACGTGTCGGAACTAATGCGATCTGGTGTTCGGAGGCGGTATACGTCCTACTCAATTCGTCCGTTGGTCTTAACATGCGGCGCTGTAGCTCATTCAAGTACTACTGGCAACATTGGGGCATTCTGCTTTGAACAAGCTGTTCGCGGTGTATGAGAATTTTTGGGAAAAAAATTGAAGAAAAAATGAAAAACTTGTAGATGAAGAAGGAGATTCAGCAGAAAGGACTGGGAATTAGTGTGAAAGTCTTGAAAACATCGTCGGCGAACATGGTCGTTGAGGTTGGTCGAACCTAAAATTTTCTAAAAATTTCAAGATGAGAAAACATTTCAGTTCAAATATAGTGTTTCGGGACCGGATAAAACAGACAAAACTCCAGTGTGCTTGATGAAGTTCCTAATTATTGCCTCAAACGGACATTTACAATATATTAACATTATTGCGCCGTTTGAAGAATGGCACGAAGAAAAGGATTTTGGCGGGAAAGTGGTATGAAACAAAAAGCCGCAGAAATCTTTAATTTTTATGATTCAGCTTGATCCAACTCATCCGTCTAGATACGATATTTATCGAAAACTAACCTATGAAGCGAATCGGCATCTTCGTCATTCGTTTTCGTTTACTAACCGTTGGTCGGCAACTACTTTAACGCAGGTCGTTACAATTTTCTTAAAGCTTCGCGACGTTTTCGATTTTCGTTGTAAAAATTGCAAGTAAGCAATGCGGAACCAAACCCAAGCAGTGATGCACTTAATTTCAGGAATATCCTAAAAGGATGGCAACCGCCAACTCATTTCGATATTCGTCAGCCAAGAGAGACAGCTGTTCATGATTCTTGCCTTTAGAGATCATATTGTTGTGTATTTCAAATATTTTGCCAACCTATATCTATCTATTATATTTAGAATTATATTTATTGTTGCATTTACTTTGCATTTCGATCTCCGAGTAATTTATATTTTATGTGAATGACTCTTATTCGCCATCACTACTTATAATTCGGAATGTGATATCCTTCCCTATTGATCATTAACCATGACACTCAAAATTACAATAAATGTGCTGTTTTTTTATTTTTTGAGAAATGTCGAAACTTGAGTTATTCTTTGGGTAAGAATTAACTTGCATAGGCAAAGACGTAAAATAATTGATAAATTCAAATAAACAACACATTAAAGTTCAATTCGTGTAGAATTTTACATTTCATTGGCACAGTGCCCATGAGCTTAGGAAGCACTGTGCTGAAGGAAGCTTCTTGGGCATATCGATTTTTCAAAAATTCAATTTCGCCCAACTTTTTTCACAATGAGTTATCAATTAATTATCAAATATGGAATGGTACAACGAATGTGAGAATGTGTCCTAAAAACAGGAATTAGATTGTTTTTCGCTTTTTCGAATTACAGCTTTTTGTGCTGGTTTAACAAACTTTTCCTTGTCTTTCTCGGAAGGGATTTCTGTAAGCTTCGTTCACCACTAAATAAGTGACATGTGACGAAATATTGCAAAAATTACATGGCCTAATTTTTTTTTCAAAGTTAAAAGTTATTATTTAAAAATATTTAAAATCAAGAGACTTCATATTTATTTTTTTTTATAAAAGTTCGAATGTTAGAATTCATCAAGATGTAATCAATGTTTTTTTTTTAAATTCAAAATTATGTTTGATAACTTGCAGAAAATAAATATTTGATAATCAAATAAATACCGGTATAATGGAGATAAGGAATTTTTGCGAAATATGATGAGATTAAAAATTTAAGCGTTCACAAGTTTCAAGTAATTCCTTGAAGAATACATACAACTAAAATAACATACATAAATTAATTGAAGAGGTAAAAAATGATAGTGTAAAACACGGCAAGAGATAGAAATTAAATGCGTCCACGGTTCCTCATAATACTGAGGTAAATGAGTCTGTCATCTTCATCAAATCCGGGGCAGAATCCCTCTAAAATTGTGAAATCTTCGAAGCGTCCATTGAGCTCCACCATCAGCTTTATCAAAACACGCGGCACTTTTCTGATCAGATACATTTTTGCTTCCGATTCAGGCGCTCCAGAAATGAAGTTCATAATCTGATAAATTGCGCAAAGTAATGTGTTTTGAGTACCTTAAAATGAAATAATGGTATGCAAAATTTGCCGAGTCAAATCAAACCTTCTTTGAGAAACTCGATGAAACGATTGAATGTAACGGAGACGACATTATCGAGCAAATACGCGTATTTCATGTGAATGTCTGCAGATTCAAATATTAAGTATCTCAAGAATTTACCGGAACACCTGGATCATCAATTTCAGGAAGACGGATTCTATCGAGCTCCCGGTATCTCGAACGCTGGTCGTCATCCATCATTTGCCATTCTCGCGTGAACGACCAGGAAGCAAACATTAATAACTGAAAATCAATAGTTATCATATAGTTTACGATTTTTAAGAATAAAAAATTTTTCATTAAAAAGAAATCACGTACGTATACTATAAGCTGTAAAACCGGAAAAAGGCCGGTCGGGTCGATCAAAGAACTTCCAGTAAGTAATTCACTGCTTCTGCTGAACCAATACTCGATGAGATTCTTTAAAAAATATTATATTCGTCATTTCAATCATATTTGAAACCTCAAGCATTTTGATGAGAGTCGGATTGAAGTCCAAAAAAGTGAGAGTTGCAATCTGGTCGACAAATTTTGCCATTAGTTCGGGGCAATGAATACGTGCAGTTTTCTGAAGGCAAATCTGAAAAATCACCAATTTAAAAAGTCATATTTTTTCCATTCCAATGCTCACCGTTGGCCAATCTTTGTGCCTATTGCCGCGATTCATATGCTCGAAGAGATTCGTCGAATAATCTTCGGCAAATCCATGATGTTGAATATTGAACCAAGCAATTTTAAGGTCAGCAATATTTGGAACCTTGAAACCATTTTTTTTATTCAAATGTTTTTGTGCGAAATTCTGACCTCGTCTCTATAAATCAATGGACCTTCACGACGGATGCTTGAAAACGCTGTAAACTGTATTCGAGGGCGTGACCCTTTATCATCATACATCTCGACGCAAATATTCATAATTGTATTCTTCATGTACTCCCACCTTAATCACATAATAATGTATACTAATAAATGATTCGACAAACTCTTTATCTCCATTAGAGTAATGTTCCAGCGCGGCGATAAAACTTTTCGCGAAATTCCGACGCGATGGTCCTATCTTCTGAAATTCGGTTCATATTGTTTCGATCATTCCTTGTTTGGATAGCAAACCCGCATATCAATGCACTGTGCCATACAAATAATGAGAAATGGCAATGAGCGCAACTGCCCAATAATCGTGATCATTTCTTTGTTCCTTTCTTCTTCATCTTGAATATTGCCCATTCTTCTCTCAACTTCTCGGGCTATTCCAGGAATCGCATCGATGACTATCGCCAAATTAATGCTAAGTAATAATGTACAAGCTAACAATATGAGAGCAAAATTTCCTACTTTTCATCGTTTATCTTAAAGTACGGTAGGCCATCTTTCAAAAGTTCTAAATACAATATGCCGGCATCATCATGTTCTTCTTCGTCATCACGTTTCGCTTGATTAACCGAATTCTTTTTCATTCGTGTGATCCTTCTTGGATCAAACGTATGATAAACGCATTCGGGACCTGATTGCGTTATCATATTCATCTGACCTTCTACTGGTTGAATATTTATTGCCGATTCGTCTGTACCAGACACCTTTTGGCCGAGAGTTGAGATATATTGCCCTCGATTTCGGTGGTAAGCTTCCGCTTCATGCTTCGACTGATGAGGGAATGGATTGTTAAATGTCGGAAACATTTCCTTTGATTTTTTGCTGCCGGGCATGTTGTTGCTGGTATTTGGAAGATTATTATCGTCGAACGGCATATCTAATTCTTCCAATTTTGCCAGCTCTTCGAGACCATCATATTCTGAAATCAATCAATTAGAGGAAAACTGCCGATTTGCTATAAAAAACTTACCGGGAACCTTCGCCGCTTCTCTCTTCCTCTGATTATTCCGAAATTTCATTTGTTCGAGCTTTATGACATTATTAATATCTCGCCCTGGATTCTCGGGTTCTTCACATATTTCGAAATGAACCTCGGGCTTGACACGCCTAAGATATTTATCGGCCCAAATGTAACTGAAAGCATGAATGTCGATTTATGAAATTTTTCAAAATGTTACAAAAGTGAGTTTTCGGCGTCTGTCTTTTTATGTTCTCCGTTCACAAAATGCTTCAATGGCTGAAAAAATTTAATATGTTGAAGGAAAGCAGAAACATATTACCACAACTGGAAGTGATATAGTAAGTCTCGATAAAAACATGAATGATAGATTGAAGTCGGCAAGTCTTTGAGCCAATGATTTTCCCTCGACATTCCGCATTAATTCCAAATTTTTCATTGCAACCGCATGAGAAACTTCGAGCAATTTTTGTTCAGCAGCCAATTTGTACACGAAAATATCAGCGGAATGCGATTCATTTTTATTTATGATGCTTCGAATGTTTTCGAGCACGTCTTTCTGAAAACAATGTTGTTTGATAAAATTGGAGGGAATTGTTAGCACATTTTCGAGTAAGTTTGACAATTCGGGTCCTGTCGGTCGGTTTCTTAGACCCCACAATTGCGACCTTTCACTAGGTAGTGGAATTATTGTATGTGGAGGGCGGCTAACACGTGATCTGCTCATTGTTTTTTATAATTATGGAGAGAACAATTAAAAATTACTTCGTCTTCATTATTTCCTTTGCTTGCTCAACATCAATTAAATTTTCCTCTTGCAGGCTTTGCAAAATATAGGACAATGTGTTTTCTTCCCACATTCTATCAGCTTCGTTGAGCGCCTAAAAAATAATCTATAGTGAGGGAAATTCAATTATAATTCACCGATCCACAAGATCTCAAGCACAGAATAAGACCATCATATATATCTTTAACCTTGAAGCCATGGTTCCTAACCAAAATTTTGAGAATTCTGGGAAACTTGATTATCATAAAAACGGGTAGCTCATATCTCCCACCGATAAATCGCTTATAATCGATTTTTTTATGCATTTCATCTTCTCTGGCCTGAAAATTGAATATTAATTAATAACAAAAATCATTCAAATCGGTATTGCCTTCAAAACAAAAACGCTGTGATATACTTCCGAAATTGCCACATCATGAGGGATTTTCATAACCGACGTGATCATGTTGAAGTAATCGGCGCACTGAAAATACTCGGCCAGTTTATAAATTTTATTTCAATTATTTTGTCGATACCTGGTGTACCGGTGTCAAAATTCTGAAAAAGCTGAAAATCGTGGCGAGAGTTTTCGCACCAGGTCGTCGAACTTCGTAGATATCTCTCGCCGCATCGCGATAAACAAACTTTTCTCGTTTGAAAATGCTTTAAAAATCTTATTGACAATAAATGGTCATAAAGCGGTGCTAACTTGTCGTATTCGTTGTTTAGTTTGGTCAAAAGTTTCTTTGCTTCCTCGCTGACAGTGCTCATAGTTATCATCTCAGCTTCATATTTCACAAGAGCTTCCTTGACATCTGAAAATCAATGATAATATGAATGGCAATTGCATTATCAATCTCACCTGTCCGATTTGTAATATTAATCATCATACCGCAAAATTTATCGTGAATCATCACATCAAATACTTCAAGAATAGACAATACCGGATCTGGGAATTCTTCCGTTGGATTAAACTCTATGACAGCTTTCGTGATATTCATTGCAACACCCTGTTGAAATGCGATTTTTTTTTACAATTTAATAATTAGCTATACACACCTTTGCGAGATGCAAAAGATACTTTTTGGCATCAATAATCATATCAATCAGTTTATACATTGCATCCACATCAGAACAGTTTGGCGGCCTAAAAAGATTTGGTGGTCGTTAATCTTTCCTCAACTTCTTAATTTTTACACAATCAATGTTGAAGCTTTCCGAAAGTAGTTAGCGAGTTTGACAGCAGCGATAGGCTTTCGAAAGTTTTCAAATGACGTAAGACATTTTAAGAACGTAATCCATGGAACTTTCTGAAAATTGAAGCGTTTTTTTTTCTTGGGCGTGTTCATTCATTACGCTGGAAATGGCCCAGTTCACCCAATTGTCCAAATATTCGTGATGGAACACTGGCCCACATGTTGCTGCACAGACGAGTTTATCTAAATAAGTTTGATGGAAAAGGTCTATTATGGGTGAAGATACTTCCGAGAACTTCCAAATCGCATCCTTCTAAATCCGGAAACTTTATGACTCCTTGTTGTTCAAATATCTGGGGTATCAAATCATCCTCTCGAACTTTCTTCGGTATGTTGAATTTGATTTTCGACTGAAAATAGCGTTATTCCCAAGGTGTTCTAACAAGTATTTTTGCATGTCTTAATATTTTTTTTATTATCTAATTTATAATTTTTCGAAATATTTTTGCTCGCGTTAGCTAAAATTTTGTTTGTTTTCAACAGAAAGACTTAAAATTTTGAAAATTTCCTATTTAAACATTAAAAAAAGATTATCCGTAGAGCGCAATTGTCAACGGTTGATTTTCAAATTTGGCGCTAGAACTTTGTTAGAATTGATGAAAACTCGCAAACTTGGAATGCCTTAGCATATTCATTGAAAATTTGATTACGCATAGGTTTTCTCGGATTTGAAAATATGTTGAAATTTAGCAACAACAATGAAACAGGAAGCGTTTTCCGCAACTATACGTATTATGATTTTGTACCCAGTCATGTGCTTATAATCATTATAAGATTTTAATTCCTGTGTCATGAACTCAGAGATCATTCAGGCCACGATGAGGAAGATCTATAGCGAATGCTTGCCCTCTGCTCTATTCGTTGTTGGTTTTCTCTTTTATTGTTTCTCAATTTTTTAAATGTTTCCTTATACTCGGCAAAAGCATTACATGTTTGACTTTATGCTTAGAATTCGAAGAAAAAATCACTTACCAAATCCATCATGGTGGCTTACGCAAAATGCGCTGCCAATGAAGAAAAAAGAGAGTCGAAATAGACCAGACGCGTTGCTAGTAGCTGGACAACGATGAATTCTCAATGGCGCGTATTTACACCTCTTTATAGAAAGTGACGAATGGCATGTATCATTGATATATTTTTACTTATTACAATTTTACGAAATGATACATAAAGAAGTAGGATAAAAATTATCAACGAAAGAAAAATAATTTTAAAAGAGAAGCATGTTTTATTAAGGCTTGTTTTAAGTTTCATGTTTGAATAAAACATTTCGATGACGCGATTTAGATGAAACAATTTTTTACGATACCTGTTTTTAAACTTCTTGGTGAAATTTTGATTGAATTCTTAAATGCTTGCTAGTATCGTGGAAAAAATGTTTGCTCAGTGGGTCAGCCTCAAGATTACAGTAAAAAGCTTATGGTGATGCCAATGTTCTTCATTGGTTTCGGCAAAACATAATTGCTTTTGATTTAAATATTTTCAGTATTAATTTTTCTAAAATAATTTTTGCGATTTCATAATCAATTACTATGAAACAAATAAAGCATTTTATTTTTCATTTTCCCATTTACTTTTTTAACTTATTCATTGTTGAATTACTAACTATGCGAGATCGAACACTTATGAAATTTTATAATAATGTGTTTTTGAATATAGAATTTGGGGAAACCTTGCAAGTAAAAAATATTGGAACTGATTATTTTTCTACTATGAACAATTCAATATAATTTTATTAAAGTAAAAAAATTGTAGAGGAATTAAAATTTCTCCACTAGGAGCTTCGAAATCTGTGAAACTAATTCTAACAGTCAATTTTGAAATGCGGAGACACCTGAAGAAAATAAAAGAACCTAATTGTTAAAAAGATAAGATTGAAGATGCATGGTATTTTACTAGCAAATTTGTTTTATATTATCGTTTTTTCATTAAAACAAATAATCTATATACAAAAACTTTTTATTGATATTTGACTTTCATGGGAATGATAAAAAACTGCAAATTCCTTTTTATGTTTAGATATAATTATAGTTCGATATGGCTTCGTCAATATTTCTCATCTCCCTCTCTCGAAGTCGCCTGCTTAAAAATGAATTGATTACTAAGAAACTTCGCGATTAGTTTTTACCTCTTTCATCTGCTCATTGTTTTGGAAGAGAGTCTCCGAGGTGCTCGGAACATTGATTCTGACAATTCAACACATTAAACTTGTGAAAAATATTGACGGAATACCCTTCAAAGTCAATTGGAGCTGTCCGGAAAGTAGCGTCATTTTGGGGCATGACGACCACGTTTTCCACGACTTCCAACAATTCCATCAACGAATCCGAATCAGCTTCCGGATTACAGGGTGTCATTTAAGTTCCCGCACAACTTTTAAGACGTATATTTCTGAGACTAAAAGTCCAAATCAAACGAGACTCAAAATATTTTTTATGTATAGTATAACAAATAATTATCTATTAACTCTTTTCGATTCGGCCTCCTTTCGCAGCTATGACTTCACGGAGACGCTTCGGGTATGATGCGACTGTGGTACGCAGGTATTCGATGGAAAGATTGTCTCATTCCGCCAGTAATGTTTTCTTCAGAGACTCTACATTTGAGTGGGGTTTTGCGTTGACCTTCTCCTGCAAGACCCCACACGGAGAAGTCAAGCGGGTTCAGGTCTGGGGAGCAAGCAGGCCATTCGGATGACTTGATGAAGTCGGGAAAATGGGTCTGGCACCACTCCTGAGTAGTTTTGGCAGTGTGGTCGGGTGCTCCGTCCTGTTGAAAGACCCATTTCTGCCCACCGAAATGCGTTTGGGCCCAAAGCATCACATGCTTCTCCAAAATGTCCCGAACGTAGACTTCTTTGTTCACTTTCACCCCCGGATCCACGACAACCAGGGGCCACTTCCCGGTTGAGCAGATGGCACCGAAAATCATCACACTGGCAGGATGTGAGGCTCGATGAATTGCTCTGCCTTTCTCAGAAGCTTACTGGGATGTCTGGGCAAGTACTCGATTGTTTTGTGAGTTGAATGCCGCCTCCACAGTGAACAGCTTCTCGTCGGAGAAGACAGTGACGAGATGTTCTCCAGACCGCGTGCGAGCAAGAAGTCGTTTTGCTTTTTTGAAGCGTCTCTGCTTGCTGACGGCAGATAGAATTGCCGCTTTTTGGACACGATATGGGGTCAGTCCAAGCTTCGTTTTGAGGATTTGTTCCATAGCGTAGATGCTCATTCCCATATCTGACGTTATCTTTTTCATGTTCCTGTACGGGTTTCGCCTGATCCTCGATTTAGCAGCGTTGATCTTCTGACGAGTGGTTACCGAGACGAGTCTTCCTTATCTGGGACGGTCACTGGTCGTATTTAGCTTTTTGAAACGTTTGGTGGTGTCGCAAACCGTTCTACGAGGCACACTGAGGCGTTGAATTATGTCTCTCGGGCTCACATTTTGCTTATGAAGTTCGATAATGGAAGCGCGATGGATGTTAGCCTTCGCCATTTCTCGGAAACACATCCGATTGAGGTGAAACTTGGAAAGTAAGTAGAATATACCTTATTTAACAAAAATAAATTATATTGGTGCACGAAAAGTGCGTTAGCGAAGCTCTTCATAACGTCAAACTTTTGTGCGGGAATTTAAATGACACCCTGTAGATGGCGCTTGATAATCCGATGATACACTTACAGACTCTTCCGATGAAAAGTCGGAAGGAATTCGTTCCGATTGTGGTGATCCCAGCGAAAGAGATCCAACGTTCTGACTATCCGATATTGTCGATTGGCTTGACTTCAACTCATCAGATAAGTTTGAATCGGTTGAACAATGACGATCCATTGGAACTTCAAAGTTTATTGGTTCGCAAGCTGAAAAAAAAGCTCTTATATAATAGCTCCTTTTATTATAGAAATTGTGAAGTTTACATTCAGATGGGAATATCTTCTGGGAAACTGTTGATATTTTTGCCAATGGTTCGTCAACATCTCTACTTGCTTTGGAAGAGCGTTGGCGTCTGAAAATTTTAGTTAAACAAAACGAATATTTGCCAGCTTACTTTTTAATCGATGCTGGCTGTGTTGAGCTCATTTCGACATCTTGAGGTGCATTGCGTTTTCCCTTTATTGAATGCGACATGAGCCTCAAATGAAAACGAAGCCATTTATAAGCTAAATTACAAAGAATTACCTCGAAAGTCTGTGCTGCTGACTAATAAAACAAGGACGACCTAATCGGTCAGTTAATGGCGTCTCTGTTGGAAGAGGTGATCAATAATAAGATGTGCCAACGAGAGAGACGAAAGTACAAAAACTTCCCAAAGGCTAAAAAGGATCTAAAATCGGACCATGCGAATGAGCTCATCGTCCCTTTTCGCGTATACCATGATTTGAATATCCTGTGGAAAACTCAAAATATTGGAGATTATTTATTGTTTACCTCTACTTAAAAGTTTTGTAAAATAACTCCAGCTCTTTAGTTTTGTTGAATAGTCCCAAATTTCTGAAACAAAAGAAATTATAGATAATAGAATATTCTTCCCGGATCATTCAATGAATTTTACCAGGAAATAAATTTTTTGAAATTTGGAATTACTATAAATATTTTAAGTTGCGTATGGGAAATTTTCAATATATCTTGCAACCAAACAATGTTAGTAAAATTGGACTTGGTTTTTGGTATCAGCACTCGAATGAAGAGGTTGCATCAAGAATTCATGAAATTTTTAACAACAAAAAATGACATCCTAACATTTCTCAATACTGATATTTGCTTGAACATCTAACCTCAACTGACTGAAGAAAATCGTTATTTTATAGGTTTTTTTTTGTTATTCCTTATTGTTGGTGGTTTTCATTCGAATGTCGTGGTCATTTTTAAATAAAGCAACATCAACTAGGAACGAATCATATCGAAATTCCACTTGATCTGATCTGATATCACAATCACACGAAAAACAAAGAAAAAACTTTGTTGATCCAAGGCGACAAGCTCAAAATAATTTTTTCCATTTCCACCACCGTCTGCGCAAAGGCGGAGCATTGCGCCGTTGGCCGCACAGACATCAAAGTGTGCGCGGTATCGTTACCCGTGCACGAGCTCCGCTTGTTTGGAAAGTGTCACTGATTGAAAACGCAACGTTCGAGCATTTTTATCCCTCTGCGATATCTGTATATTACGAAAAATTATGAAGTTGGTGTTCGTCCTTCTACTAATAGGTTCGTCCTTTGAATAATATTATCATGATAATTTTTTGATTAGGTTTTCGATATATTCACTGCCGATGTCCCGATCACACATTTATTGGCTGCATGCTTCGTCTGAAGTCTCAAAGAGTCCCTTTGGAGAAGAATATTCTGACGTTAGTGTTCAATATTGGATCAGAAGCGCGTCTTCTCCATACTTGCAAGTAATCTTGACCAATTTCTGGACCTCATAGCTTAGAATTGATTTTAAAGGTTTTACTCTTCGACGCTTCCATGCTTCCAAGAAAAAGTACGCGAATGTGGCGACGACAAACAAAAACGAGTAATGTCCGAAGTTTCAAAGACAATAATGTATCTGTGCTCTCCATTCAGTCTCCAAAGGCAAAGGCAAGTCAAAAAAATGTCTTCATATTTGTTTTATGTTTTTTGTGTCTTGTATTGTTTTGTTTCTGCCGTGACAAGCGTATTACGGCACAATTTACACAATTCCTTATTGTTCGCACGTTTTTGAATCAGCCTCAATCTTCATCATACATGTGTTCGCTTTTTTTTGCGACCAAAGAATTGTTGGGTGACGAATGCTGAAATTTGAGAGGTTTGGCATTCGTGGCGAAGTGTGTATGCGTTGCGGAAACGGAGAAATTATGAAGAAGTCGGTAACTCAACGCAGTTTGCTGACCACTCAAAATGTGTCAAATCAAATAAGCACGTATTGTTTGTCCATTTCAACTGTAAATAACTACTTGCGAATATGTTTATATAACTTAAGGATTCAATGGATTGGATTTGATTGGATAAAGGAACTTAGTGTAAAAGGTATCGACCGGATTGTTTGTTTTCTCACCGCAGACTCCGATACTCCACGTATTCTTAAATTTTTTAAATGATCGAATCCCATTTTAAACTCTATGAACGGAAAAAGAGTGCTACTATAATTTCTTAAAAATTTCCAGCAATTTTGTTTAAGATTTGCATATTTACAATTAATTTTTGGGCTTGATTTCGCAACAATTTGTTGGGTACCACAATCTTATGAATTAACCATTTTTGTTCACGATCTTCATGGAAGCAGACTTAATTGACACTTTGACATTTCATTTTCGAGACGAAGACTGTTTAAATATTGCAATAATGGTCAATTGGTCAATTGTTGATTTAACCCGCTCATTTCATAGAAAATGACCTCTATTGATATTGCGGAAGAGGTAAAGAACATTTTCTCTAGCAATTTTTAACAGACGTTGGCGATTTCTCAACGTTGATCTGAGAACCATTTGAGAATTCGATTGGCGATATGAAAAAATGATTATGTGAGTAAATAACGAATTTTACAAATTTGTTAAAGGAAACACTTTTGATTTTTCCATAATCAAATTAAAAACAATGTATAGGGAGATTGTTATATATGAATACCTTCAACTAATACAATTCTAATAAAAAAGAAAGTTGGACTGTTAACAAAGCTTATTTTGGTTTTTTTTAATTTGAAGTATTTGTTTCTTTTTAACTTTACTCTAATTCTTTTTACTTTCAGAGCTGTAATCGAACATCAGAAATGCATATCTTCAGTACTATCGCTACCCGCTTCAACGGGATGCGATTTGAACGACCATGAAGATGGAAGAAGCGTTCTTGCTTGCAAGTAATTAAAGTATTTGTGTTTTTCATAAATATCAACAATTTTTTTTTCAGAAAAGAATGCTCGACACGTGGCTCCGATTTCATCTGCATGATGCGAACATGGATCTCTGAGCAAAACACGTGCACATTGCGTGATATTCAACGTATTTTTTATAGCAATAAAATATTCTGAATTTTAACGTTTATTTTTCAGAAAAATGTGGAGACTCCGCATCAAATTTATTCCAAGAGTTTCAACGGACCGTATTTGAGCCGAATTATCCAATCGTTTGCAATAGTGGAAATGGCATGTGGAAAATTAAAAATAATAAAAATAACAAATATTTTGCATAATTTTAACTCTATAACAATGTTATTTTTCAGAAACTCTTAAAATCCCCGAGAAGAAGCAGGAATTGGTTAAGGAAAGGAAGATCAAACAGCATAGAAAGCCGGTGCGAATTCAAAAATTTTAATCTCTGAATTGTATCCTATATTTTGCAGCTACGAAAATCAAAAACGGAAATTGAAGAGGTTGCATTAGTATTAACATCACCAGCCACCTCAACGGCAGATAATATTTACATTCCGCCAATTACATATCATCATCATCAAATGCATAAACCACAACCACAAAATAATACCGTATTCCCTGTCTCACAGCATAGTTTGCTGAGCAATTCAAATCTTCAATTATGGAATCGAAATACCCAAAAAAATGAAGGTTCGTTAAAAAAATAGCAATGAAGAAAATATTAAAATTCAAGAAGATTTCGTCTTCACTACTCAACATCCATTATTCACAACTACGGAAGTTGGAGCTACACCCAAACGCCATAAGGTAGATTAATAAAAAAAACCAGAATTTAAATTTTATTGATTCATTTAGGTGATTGATATCTTAAAAAGTTTGATTCCATCAAGCATACCGGCGCAGTTGACAGCCCTACTAGAAAATGGTATTGAACAGGAAGCATTTCCGGAGAGCTTTAATTATAATACTCCACCGGCATACTATTCCAATAATAAAATAGGTATTTATTTGCTTCATGAGTCATTCTTAATTAAAATGAGATTTTAGAGTCCCTTTCCCCATATGAGCTACCGATAACTATGCCATCGCCCAAGACTTCTGTAATTCCACCGAGGCCAGTGACAACAAACTATCCAATTACTTATACAACACGACAAGCTTTTGCACCATCAAGAACGTCGTCGATTTATAATATTGTAACTCCTAAATGGAAGCCGTGGTATCTTGGAGGATCGAAGTAGGTTTATAGTGCTTTCTCGATTACAGAATTTAAAAAAAATTGTATTATAATCGGAAAAACACGAGCACTTTCGGTAATCTTTCACATTAATTAGTTTGATTCTCAGATAATACGGAATATGAATTACCACTATTTGAACACTTCAAAAAACATTCAATGGTCCGCAAACATCCATAGTGCCTCATTGTTTTTTGTGATGGCACTAGTTTTAGAAGCAATTTTTTAAATTGAAGACAATTATTTTCGAAGGCAGGCAAATTCCAACAATATTGATCAAATTTTTGTGCATGCGTATTTGATGTATATTAATGTTTGAATTGATATCCAGCCAGCTCGTAGTTTCTTTTCCCTGATCAAACTCATACACGAATCATACAAATTTGCTTGTCTTCGACAATATTTTAATTTATTTCGTTTTACAATTCAAAATTTCAAATATGAACCCGGTTTCACGAATTCTCAAATTCTGGCTTTGTAAAAGCTAGCAAAGTTTTCTATTTTACTGTAAAGGTTTTTATCTTGAAATTAATTTTTCCAATTTTTATCAAGATCGTTCAAATCATTGTTAAAAAGAAAAAGTATCTAAATTAAAAAAATTTAAATTTTAAACATTTTTTTTTTGGCAAAATTTTGCCTTTATAAAATTCTAAAATATATTTATCTATTATATCATTTCGCTGGAACTCAAAAGAAAGCTTGCACTCAAAAGAAAGCTTCGCTTTATATTACTTTCACCATTTCACGGGATCCCACATCGATTGTTCCTTTCAACTCTATTACTTACTTTTTATTGTAATTCTCGATCTCTTCTGATAAATCATATTGTTTTATTATTACTATTTGAACAATTTTCAAATAATTGTTTAAAATACTAGTTATGGTTAAATAAAAATAAATGAATAATTTCGATATCATGTAACAAATAATTAAATAGATTTTACTTGAAAAGGCGTTTCAAAACTTTATTTACAATTCCAATTTGTTAATTGTTTCAAATTGTAACTGTTAAAATTTATGCGCTGAATTCTTTTTCCGATAAGAAGTGTTAATTCTTTCGATGATAAAAAAAGATATAGTCTGACATTTGTCCGAAAGGCGTTGGAATATATTTAGTAGATTAATCTCATTTATTTGCACGACGGCTGCAAATTTTAAGAGTAACAATGATTGTTAGCAATTATTATTTTCACATTTTTTTTACCATTGATATATTTATGGGACCTTCAATCAAGGAATATGTTGAGAATTTATTAATATATAAAATTTGTACATCAATCTTAAAAGGAATACATATACATTGATCTATAGAATTTTACAATTGAGCGCAGCGCCTACATTCAAATTTATAGGACGTGTCTTATAAAAAATTGTAAAATTAATAAACTGAGTGGAAAGGAGAATTCGAAGAAATGAAACAATGACACAGTCAAAAAAATCGAAAAGAGGTAAACATTCAAAATTCAATAAGAAATCGAATTAAAAAAAAATAACGAGTCTCGAAATTATTTTTTTGAACCAATGAGAACCGTAAGAACAATAAATTATCTTCAAGAATCTCTTTGAAAGGACAGGCAAGTGTTGAGACCAGCTCAGTATGGAATAATCTAGTCGTTCTAAATTGTGACCCTACACTGAGTAGACAACTAACAGCTGACAGAATTCATTTCGTTGTTCTAATCATCTTGCGGAAAGCGTTTTCATCGGGGTGCTGAATGCCAAACAATATTTCATATAATCATTGCGCTCATCAAGATAACGGTTGCAATTGTAAATCACCACGATGAACCAAAGCTCCAAAGCCAGCGAAATGGCGTAGATAATAAGAAGAGCGTAAATTCGGACCATTGTTCCTTAATAACCAGCATTTGAAATTCTGTTAAATGCATGCTATTTATATTACCAGTATCTAATGCAACTGTATTGGTACTAGGGTGCTCCATGAAAGGAGCCGCATTAATTAGACGGTAGAAGACGGCGGAATCGGTACAAAGGGCAATGATGCCGCTAATTAATACCAATAGGAAGCAGATTATAGCAAGAGCCTGAAAATTTTCTTTATGAATGATACGTTTCATTGAGAAATTTTTGTTAATTTTATGCATATATTCTAATTATTAGTCAGGCTAGAGAAGCATTTCTCTTTTTTATGTCTTCTGCCAAGTTTTATGAGAATATTCTTCGTGTAAATTTTAAATTCAACGAGCCATGATTTTTTTTTTCGAAAGACAAAAAAACTGTTCTTCTCTGGCAATTTCTTTATTGCGAAAATTGATTTACATGATTTTCGCTTCAAAAGTCCGTCAATCATATTTTTTTCAAAAATATTGATATATTCGCATAATATATGTACTTCAACATATTTGAAAATACCCGCGCCAACAAGAATAAGCGCAAAATCTTCAAAATGCGAATGGGAAATTTGATTAGGCATCTTGGCATCCAAGAATGCATTCCTACAATGGCAAACGAAAAAAAAAAGTTTTTTTTTTCTCGAGCAACGAACCTGAACAGCCAAATGCGGCACAACAAGAAGTGCCGAATTACGCGACAATGCCACAAAAAGTAGGAAAACTGCAACGAATCCGATGCCAAGCCCAATCATTTCAGCGAGGAATGATCCGAATACATAGTTTTCTTTTACACCACGCGCCTAAATATTACAAACAAAAAAATTGATTATTAATTTGTCTGTATGCACATACATGTTGCAAGCGTCCGTCATGTTGAAAATAGACGAACAAAGAGTGGATGAGGAAGAAGAGAATCATTAGAATATGGACGCAGCCAATAATGAATGCACCCGTTTTGACATGGAAGCAGTTGCAGAGGCATCGGTACTCTTCAGAGCTTTCATCGAATTGAATTGATCGCGGCACCTGAAAATTTCAAAAAATTTTTAAAAGGTAATGTTTCAGAATTTGGCTCTCAGATTGGCGCAAGCTCTAAAAACTAAAGCAAATTCCTTACTTGATCAACTGATCCGTTTTCCTGTCGGTTGTTCCTTATAAGAACGGACCTCACGGCCCGTCCATTCATCATTCTTTCAAATCGTCCTTCCAACCAAAGCTGCAATATTGCCATATAAGAATCATCATCACAATGGCATCAATAAAAAAAGCACACGCTCACTACATAGAAATGAGTAAAGCTACGTGAAGCAGAAGAGAATTGCGTCTCTCCATTTGTGGAAATTCCCAAGTGGGTTTTATGAAATATGTGAGGGCACTAACGAAGACGTTCGTCACACAGAAAATCACCAAAAACATGTTTTTTTTCTCGTTCAAATAGACAGAATAAAAAAAAGACACAAGCTGAATTGGCTCCAAAGATTTGATGGTTATTGGTTTTTCTTATTGAATGCAGACAGGCATAAGCAAACAACAGCAAAACAATATGATTATGTTATTTCGGAAAATTGTCAGAAAATAAAGGGCATTGAAGCAAAACTCACAACAATTTGCGGCTTCCTGTTACTCTCACCCATTCAGTCTTCAACTGGAGTTGTTATTTTGTATAAAAATGAATTTAAAAAATATGAAGGCGGTATTATCGAAAATTGAAAAAAAAACTAAAGTAAGCGAATAATTATTGGATACTTGGCTTAATTATTAAAAAAAAAAAAAAAAACACGGAAATAGGAGGAATTATGATGCTTAAAATAGAATCTCTCAACAACAATAATAATAATAATTATTATAGATAATTATAGAAAATTGGTGGCCAGTTGGTGTTAAAGTACAAAACATTGCGCTTCTGAATGAATTGAGAGAAATTTCGAGGCAAATAACTTGAAAATCAGCGAACCGAAAAGAATTGGGAAAAGAAAAGTCACAAAAAGTATTCAAGATAATCAGATTCGAGACAAAAAAAAATGAACCGCAAGAGGATTTCTTTCAGAGAGCAGAATGCAAAAACAAGCTACTGAAGAAACGCGCGCACAAAAAAAAACAAAAGCGGATGGGAAATGCGCCGACAAAAAGATTCGCGAAATTTGGTTGTTGTTGTTTATCTCGAAAATTCTATTCGAATTTATAAAATTTCAATACATTGGGCGAAATTATCAAATTTCCACAACCTAGAAGTCACAATTCTCACCAAATAAAAAAAAAATTTATAAGCGTGAAATTAAAAAAAATGTGTAATTAGTTGTTCAACAAAGCGTAAACATTAATTTCCTGCGCGCCCAAATTATAGGATACTCGCGGCAAATTTGATTCAAAACAACAAACTCAGCAAGCACAACTATCTACGAAATTATGCAAATTATTCCGTATCGAGTTAGATTGAGCAGGTCGAGAACGCACTTTTAAAAACGAACAATGAATAGTGATCTTTGGAATTACTGCCAATTTGGAAAAACCTACTAAACGAGGCGGGTGGCATGAGGAGCAAAAAGAAGATGGAGGAGAAGAATCCGCTCACTCCGACGTTTTGAAACTACAGCGGGACAACTCACGCTCACAATATCTATTTTATGCGGAAATAGGGTTATTCACAAAGAGAGGCGCATAACCAGACATGTCGACTCTCGTAACACATATCCTTACGAATTGCCATCGCCAAAAAGGGGTGGGAGGAAAATGGCGGTTGAAGTGAGAAAAAATGCCGAAAAAAAGCAGAAGCGACAAACATAACAACATATTGCCAAAAAAGCCGAAGAAAGACGAAGAAGAAAAAAATAATGGCAAGAGCTGGTATGTCGAAGAAGCCAACACATTGTTGCCTTCATAGAGCTAATAGTTATCGATTGGGTGGCAGGTTGGTTGTTATCGAAATGGTGGGCATGCATTGGTGTGAAGGGTGGTGTGTAGCGCGTGAGCACGCGGTGAAGCCCTCCTCGGCTCTGCCGTTTCCTCATCGAGCTCGCGCGTGCGCGCGCGCGCACTACCACTCAACAATTTCCGGAGCGTGCACCTGCCAGCACAAGCAAGAGCAACATCCGATGACCTCTTCTGCGGCATGCCACACGCAATTAGTTCTCTAATAACAACACAGCCGCTTCCATTCTTTTCACTCTACTATTATTGGCATAAAGATGGCTCAAAATCCGAGATTACGACGTCCGCGATATGTGGCGCTCGCACCTGCTCTCGACTTTGGCTTACATGTGAAATTTGTGAATCAGAGATCGCAACTTCTTTTTTTTATATTGACTAAAAGGAACAATTAGTAATTTTGTTTTGAAGTCTTTTTCAAAAACCTTGACAATTTCATGTTGTCGGGGAATATAAGAAAGTCTCAATTATCTATATTGCATTTCAGAAAGTTTCAAAACCATTAAGTACTATCCTAAGCAAGCCCTTATGCTAGAAATTTCGAGAATCTTCAATAATAAAAATTTTACTAGCGGAACAACCATGTTCAAAATAGGAAAGAAGGGGAACACTTGAATGCAATTTGAACAAAATTAGATTGAACATTGAACAAGATTCTTCAATTTTGCGTTATTCCTAAATCCTAAAATGTTGGCTAGAATCAAAATTGAAGTCGAAAACCAGAAATTAAATTGAAATTTTGATTTCTCAAAAGAAAAAAGATGATTTTTAAATCTTCGAGTTTGCCATCAATTTATTCATAACTCGGCTAGAGCGGAACAAGAAGTTTTCTCTCGAAAATTCGCCAACCAATTGGCTTAATCTGTTTTGCAGCCAAAAAGCGAAATTAAGTTAATATTAGAGGGAGAAGAATGCAGGAACAAAAAAGCAGTATAGTAGTCGGCGTGGAAATTTCGAAAATCAATAAAAAGCGCGTTGATGTTCGATCGCTTGTACAAATATTAGAACGTTCTCATGACTCATATGCAAATAGAACAATCGAATAAGTTTTTCTTTGGGACCCAGTAAGGCGCAACCATTTTCCTCCTATTATTGTTGTCGCTATTTCTGGACCGCTATTTTTTCTTCTTCTTCTTCTACTTCGGCTTCTTCATAATTTTTTTCCTCATTTTCGTTTTTGAATGGCACTTGAGCGGTACGATGCACAATTGGTCATACTTGAAAGATTAGAAAATGAAAAAAAAAGAATAGGACGAAGAAGAAGAAGAGGAAGGAGCTGAAGAATAAGATGATGAAGCAACAATTAGAATTTGTGGAATGAGAGAAGGGCGACGATGTGCTTCATATCCAATTTCCGAAATTTGAGACCATCTGCCCTTTTTTTGTCGATGACTTTTTCCAGGAATGAGACAAATACTAACTTTATGCATATTGGAGATAGACGACTAATTAGGACGTCATTTTCGGTCACATTTCATGCAGAAAGGCCTAGAAATGAAGAATGCAAATTCCATAATTTCTCGACTTTGGCAATGATTCAGGATTAGCAAAAATAAAATCTGCCCACACATATTTTTTGTTGACACATTTCATAACATCGCCTATTTAGAATAAAAAAAAATATTTCTATATGATGAACGATAACAAAATTATTGAAATACTGACAAAATGAGTGAGAATTTTTCACTGGTTTATGAATGATTCATGATTTCCGTAGAAACCAATATGTACTTTTCGAGGAACATCAATTCGAGCGGAAATCCGAATGATATCATGGATTTTTCCTTCAGAAAGCACAAAACAACATTTATTTGAAATAAGAAATCTATTGAGGTGGAAGTTTGAGGAAATTGGACTCAGAGGAGGAATCACCACCCCATAAAGCTCGAAACAAAAAATCTCGATTTTTATCGGTTTTAGACGAATTCAATTAATTGTGAGATTTTGTGAAAATTGCAACGACGACGTAAAAGGGCAAACACCAAGCCAACAATTGTGAAAGGAAATTAGCGATAGCCGCAAGGTTGAAAACGCGCATTTTGGCGGTGGCTCCCTAGAGACTCACATGTCAACGTGACCCTCCTTTCCCTCTCCACCATTCAACTACTTCTTACTTTCAATGACTTCATTTTGTTTCATGCTCACAACGGCGACTCATGCTCGGCGTTGAAATGTAGCAGTAACAAGAGTGATGTCTAGTTGTAAATTGAGGATAAGTGAAGATATTTGCACATACATGTATGAGAGGAAAGACGGATTCGGTGGTGGCGACATAACTGAGATGAAGTATATGTGCATGTGTATGACTCTCAGAAAATTGATATAATATTCCATATATGCATACATGTGTATGCGTCTGTTACGTTTTGCAATAGTGGATTTTAAAATGAATTGGTGCATTTTTGATTTTGCTTGGCACAAGTACGATGAAGACTAATCGATTAAAATTTTTATCAGAAATCGATAAACGGGTGTTCTGACCAAATTGATAAGACGAAGAATAATGAGACTAGCCTTATAGTACTCAATACTTGGTGAGAATTCTTTCTACACATTAATTAAACATTTGCAGGATAATTATAATGATAATGGTCTCACAAAACAATTTAATTGTCGACGGTGATCAGTTTTAATGAGATATTAAAAAAAAATGATTTTCAATTAAATTTAATCTATAAATGTCTTTAAACAAATTGAAGTTTTTTTAATCTCGAATAATTAGTTTTTTCAAACTGATATTTGCAAATGTTAAAAAAACGTTAGAAACCAGGAAATGACGTTTTCGATATTTTCAGCAAAATACATTTCCACATTCCCCAAATTTTAATTACTATTCAAAATTCCTTTAATTATTGAATTAAAAATTTTGAAAAAGAATCTATTTCACTCAGCTTTGGGAAAAACTCATATTGCTCATGTTTTTCGGCAAATTGTCTGTTTTTATAATATCTCAAACCGGAAATTAAAGAGAACCTATGCCGCATTTCCGAAGTCTCCAAAACCTCTCAGTTAATACGAATTGTTTGTCAATTGGCACTTGAACTGAAATTAATCAGAATTTTTCAACCCAATCGAATATATCCAAATATATGTCGGCAAGCCCCCCCCCCCTTAAATCAAACCAAAACCACCATTAATATTTAAAGAGCGACCGGGTGCATTTGAATATCACCTGTCACGAAATGCTTAATTAAATTTGGTCCCTTAATCCCCTTCTTTGCCTCTAGCTCATTTAATATATTCTGTGTGAAATTTGTTTATAATATAATGCAATACCAAAACACGTAAGGTTACGTAAGTTGTTTACGTTTTAAAAACTTCGGTGCATAGATCGTGGTAAAAACATTTTCACTATCACGAGAGTACGGCATTTTTAATCATTAATCATTTTCTTCATAAGTTCAAATTGGAATGCTTGATAATAGAAGATTGATAACAAAAAATATAATTTTTCAATAATTCATTCGCCCTAGCTACTTTTCTTTGAAATGTTCCCATATAAGCCTTCTTATATGCAAACATTATTCGTGCAAAAATCCATGGCTTCCGAGAATAGTCGATGAGCTTATTTCTAAGCTTCAGTCATAAATCGTCGTAGAATGACAAAAAACCCGACAAATCACTGGTATATGCCGACGACGACCCACTTGGTTGATTTGTGTTCCTCTACCACATTATCAGTTTCGGTCATTTTTTTTGCCACCAACGTAGATGGCTATCAAAAACATGCAGGTCAAACTGCCGAAAATTCCAAAGAAACTCGCTCCAGTGAAAACGAATGGGTGAAGGGATATGAAAAATGGGTTTCATCTCAGCAGCGAGATGAACGCTTTGTGCCCGCGAACACAAGCACACACATTAATTCCAATTCGCTCAATTTCGCGTGTGAATCGCTTCGTCTTTTTTGTCCTCTAAACCTCTCCCAACCTACCTTTCTTGCAATATGTACACACCAATATATATATTGCTTTATAGTCATCAGTGAACGCCGAAAACCGATAAAATAGTTTATTTGCGGTAGAAAAAATTCCCCTGCAACGCAGAAATGTTTATAAACATCAGATGTTCTCTTCATATTTTTTTGCAATTCCATTTCTTGTACTACATGGGCTCACGGGTGCGTTGACTCCATCTAAAGACAATCATTTTTCCGATTGTGGCTGTTTCTGCGTCTCCCCGTCTTCCGATCCAAATTGAACATTGCATGGGCGCATAATGTATGCACATTGGCCCAAATGTGCTTGTGGTGTTTTTTTGTTTGTGCGCCTTATACATCCAATACAGCACGGTCTTAGAATGCCCCGTTGCTCTTCTTTTTTTCCGATCGTCGCCGTGCTGCGTGTCGCTTCTGCTGCTGGTGGTGCGGGGTCGCGTCCGGCGCCGTTGGGCGTGTGCCTGCCGCAAGATCCTCAAACGCCGCCTGCCGCCGTCTCTCCGCCTTGGTCGATATTTTGCCCTTGTGTTTGTATGTGTGTGTGTGTGTGTGCCTCGTTGGAGCCTTCGTCGTCAAATTAACTAGTTGAGGCGCATACACTCACCATGACGACCAAGACGACGTTCGTTGCGCTGTTTGCCATTACGATGTTGCTGGCGCTGTCATGATATTTATTCATTCATTTTGAACTTCCTTATGTTTGCGTCTTGTTCGAATTGATTTCTGCCGCACGAAAACGCTATTAAACTTATCACTTTTATTAATCATTGCTGCGGAACGAATACATATAAGCCAGTGTGAACCACTGTTCTTTCATTACCTAGATATTTCATCTAAGAAAATTGAACGGCTCTATTGATAATCATATTCACGCTTATAATAGAAAATTTAATTTTTGTTTAAAAAATCGCTAAAATTGAGATTTTGTTTAAATTTCTATCAAAAACCTCCAAATCATATTCAAATCCTGAATTTCATTTCAAATTGATCAAGCTGCAAATATGCTCCATTGTATTGGCGTGAATGTTTTCAAATGTCTTTGTATTCGTAGAATCGATATTGGCGCCTCTTCGACTTTCGGGCTACATTTCGTTTTGAACGTTTTTCGAAACCAACGGGTATTTTATGTAAAATCTACTGTCTTAATTGCCTTCTTTTGTTACTGTTTTGCTGTTGCTCAATTCGAAATGAAAAAAAAGTGATGTTGCGATGTCATTAAAGCGTTCACGCAAAATGCTCGCTCCTCTAGGCACCGAAGGAAAAAGAGAACACGTCGATCTCTCAACGCATTGCGCATTATTTTTTCTTCTCCGTTGTTGTTTCGTTCGTCGCCTGCAGGACACACCAGGCGCACATTCATTTTATTGCGGCTCGATTGCCGTCAAGGGCATTTCTTTTTTTTTCTCCTTTAATAAAACTCGGCGCCGTTGCATGTCTGAGTCGCTGCCCTCATAATGAGCCGTCATGTGCAAATGGAAATTGAAATCATTCGCTGAGATTCGCGATGTCTCTCGATTGAACGTTTTTGCTATGCGAATTTCATTTCATTCGATTCGCATACTTCTTTATTTTTAGATTTAAAAATGGGAAAAAAGAATAGGAAGCAGTCGAAGAAGTCGTCTGGAAATAGAAGCAATCGTTCGGTAACTACCAAATCGTTCGTCAGCGAAAGATTATTTAATTTTTTTAGGAAACGAACAATCGCAGTGAGACAAGAACAATGGCGTCAAACGCGGAGAGCCCGCGCCGAAATTCTCAGAGCCCAACTTATGGGAACTCGTCGAGCTCAATTCGTGGCAACTCGCAAAGCCCGAATCACATGATGGGACCGGGACCCGGCACGGAATACGGGACCTATATGCATGCGCCAATGCACGGATATGCGTATGGTGGACCATGCGGTTACGGTCAAGTGCCAATGCATAATTATCCGTACCCAACGCAGGGATATCCGCCGAATCCCACATACACATACTCACACGCACCGATGCATGGTGCACCACAAAGTCCGAAGCAGCGCTATTCGCCGAATAACGATCACTATGGGAATTCGCCCATTCCACCATATTTGTTGGCCGATTGCCCGGACCGTCTTAAGGGAATGTGCACGCATCGTCGCGCGCCGCCACTCACCGGCTCCGCCTCTGGCTCCTCGAAGGGCCAGAAAGGCAAAAAGGGCGGCAAGAAGAAGGACTCAAAAGCCGATATAAAGAGCTTAATTGAGGTAGGAAGTATCAAATAATTTTATTCACCCAACACGTCTTCTAGCTAATGGATGGCAATGAGATATCACGACGTCCAGGAGAAAAGAAAAGATTGGAGTCTCTCTGGGGCAAAATGGTAACTTATACATAAGTGTGGGGAATGTTATAGCAACGGAGCTTACCCGTACTAAACATACGAACGTTTCAATAACATTCCCTGAATTTTTGATTACTATAGTGTTTTACCATTTGCGAATGATGTATTAACAATTACTAAATTGCATTGGTTTGAATTTAACAATGACTTCATAATTTTTTTTTTATTTTTTGAAATTCTTAGAATGAGGAAGAGCGCGGTAAGCCTCCGCCAATTCCACCCAGACCAAGCCAATTTTTGATTGATCACGACATCTTCGCTATGGTACAACTCTTCATGAACATGATTGTATACGGTTTAAATTTTCTAGAAAAGTCATAATGAGGAGGTTGCCAATGACTACTATTCTCAGCATGGCTACAATGCTGTTTGGGTATTGATTACATTTTAGAGGACAGAAACACCAATGAATGTTCAGATCGATGAGAATCCGTTCGCGTTGGGACGCAAGAGAAAGCATGATCTCGGTTTTCCGGAGAGCATCGCTTTGGCTCCCCATAATCGCAACAAGCATAATTTTCCATTGTGCAACTCACCAACAAATGCGGTCCCGGTGGTAAAAAACCATCAAGTCTTCAGAATCAATTTTTAATATTCAGATTGGACGAGTTGTTACCGTCCACAAGACGTTCTGCCACGTCTTCCATAGCAACTATGGAATGATTTACACACCAGCAAGCAGTTTTCACTTTATGAACGTCATCGATCTAGAGGAATACCTCATGGAAGGTATTATTTCAAAATAGTCTCTCTAAGTGTCATTTTTTTGTTTAAGATGACCCGGTGACGATTACATTCGTCCACTTGCCGGCTCTCGAGGATTTGAGTTATTTGGCGATTCATACTCGCAAAATGTACCAGCCACCAAATCCGAACTTCTTCACTGGAATGGGCACCATCGTTGATATGGGATTGGTTCAAATTCGAATATACTCGGAAGCTTATAAAGCTTATTATCAGTAAGAATATGAATTCTTCTTATGTAGAGTTTGTTAGGGAAAAATCGTTTTTTTTTTCGAATTAATCTGCAGAAAATCCTAATTAAAGTGAAAACCGATTCATAATTCAGCTGTGACATCTTGAACTACATTGGAGGTGATTGTGGAACAGATGCGATGACATTAGCCGGAATTTGTGAAGAAGGTTAACAGAAATTAATTTTTATAAAAATTTTTAAAATCCAATTCGCAGGAGACACCGTTCTTTTCATTGCCGAGCACCGCGGAACGGCTCCGCGTGTTATCAAATGGCATTTGGCCAAGAATGGACACACTGAGGTCCGTCAGATCGTCTATGCTCCAATGCTCTATCCATCGACGGTTGATCCATATGAGCACATCTACATTCCGGCTCCACACAAGAGGGAGAAAGATGATCATATCATTGAGGGAAAGGATTTCGTTGAGCAAGTCCGCAAGGACAGATCACGCGAATGTGATCTTCTTAATAGAAGCTTTGTCAGATATGGCAGAGAAGAAGACGACTGCTAAAAGCCGATGTCTAGCAAAACAATCTCTCCCCCCAAAAAAATAGCTTGGCTGCATTATTAATATATTTTTTGTAATATTGTTTTTAAATAAACGCTTCGGGACGCAAGCACTGTATAATGACAATTGTCTGATATTCCATGAAAGAAAATAAAAATTATTTCATGAATTTTTGCATTTTGCAAGGTACACAGAAATTTACCCATGCTTTCCAATCACTATAAATCTCTTTAGAAAACATATTGGGGAGTCAAACGAATTGACGAAATTTTAAAGATTATTGGATATGTGCCAACTCGTCTCAAGGCAGCGAGAAGTACGTGAGATTGCGTACATTGCACTATAGTGTACGAACATTTAATATTCAGTGAACGAAAAATTTATATGTACACTTATTTCACGAATTTGAAGGATCCCTCTCCCAGTCGTTTGATGCCGAAAAAAAAATTTGAAAAAATCTTCGACATTAAGTTCCAATATGCCCTTTATTATGCATAAAGCCGTAACAACGTGTTTTTTGTACTTCTGCGTTTCATTATTTTAATAATCGTTGCTAATTATTTAATGAATCTTATGATGATTGCGAGGCACTAGTGTAAGCGTCATGTTTACTGAAACACTAATAGGCGAACATGTATAACCAAAATGTTGGTGTAGGTGTTGTTGCATGGTGGTTTATATCGAACATGAATCATAGCATTTTTTTGTAAAAAAAAATTGAAGCAAATGTCTTGAATAATTTTTAGAAGGTCTGTAGATAAAGCTAAGGAGAACATTGATGTGTTCAATTAGCAGAAAGAAAGATTTGCCTCGAATATGTCATCGTCAACGGCAATCAACTAAAAATTACACTTTAACCTCGGAACATCAGGCACGACAACCTTGAGAAATGACGGCGATGTGTCAAGAAGCTGTTCTTGCGCAATCGGCGGCGGGCTTGTTTCGTTTTCAAGCTTCTCGCCATCAAACACTTTCACTTCGCCATCCTCCATTTTTCGTCCTTGATACCCCCGCTGATTCGAGTAATCCGTTTTCGTCTACAAACATTCGGCGTCTTACATACACATACACTTCATCATTTTTGCGTAAACTGGTCTCGAAAACTTTGGCGCTTCTCCAAAAAAAAAAAACTAAGTGGTAAAAGTGGGCCGACGGTGGGTGGTCTTACCTGTTCGCAGTGCGTGCCTGCCAGTTCCACTCATATACCACGTGAACAAGAACAAGAAGAAAGAAGCAGTAAGAAGGACAACGCGACGTCCAACTAGCAGAAACTCATTTGCATTTATTATTTTGTATTCCGATATCGCTGTTAGTGTTTTCTCCGCCATTTTCTTCGTTTCATTGGTCAGCGATGCTGAATTGTTGCGCAATCGCGCTGCTTGCGATCATTCAAGTATTTGCAAATGTTCAGGTAATAATTGCCACACTTATCTAAGAATGTGCGACGTTCAATCATATTCGAATTATAATCGTAGTCTGAAAATCTGAAATTTTATCAATTGACGTTGTGACTTTCCGAAAATTCAGAAACATGTCTTATCATCCATGTGACTTTTTAAAAAGTAATTTACTTTTAAACAGTCGTCAAAAAAGGCCATTAACTAACGGGACAGTTCATTATGTCTATTATTTTCAGGCAGTAACGGAATGTGGCCTTCCATCGAATCTCAATACCTTACCGGACTTTGCACAAGAAGAAGTCAGAGAAATATGGTTAGCGGAAAATTTTTTTCTTCCAACATTTTCGTATCATAAATTAAGGCGTAATTATCAATCGGGCTCTCCATGCGAACGCGAGATTCAAATTCAAAAGGATATTTTCGACGTTGTGAAAAGTATTGAAGAAGGTTGGATTCTTTTCGGTTTCAATTTCAACATTTCCTTGTTCAGACCCTTCTCCGAACAATAGTCATTCAAAAACAACGACGCAGTCACCTGCAAACATTGATTATGACCACATTGCGGTAAGAAATAATTTTAATTACATATTCTAAATATGACAGGCAAATGGCGGAGAACCCATTCCTCTGCTTTCTGCAACTTCTGCTGCTCCTTTGACATCTACGAGTGTTATAATCGATACCGTTGATGAGAAGAATGGAATAAAGACTCGAAGTATTTCTGACGATACCGATGATTATTTGGACCAGGTGTGCAAACTAAAAATTATATGAGACTATTAAAATATGCAGACAACATTTGACGACGTTGCAATGCTTCAATTCGATAATGTGAATGCTCCATTTCTTCGAACTGCTCCGCATTATGTGAAAAATGAGTTTTCAAAAGTTTGGCAAGATCAGAATATACCAAGTGAAAGCCTTCGAGCTCTAAAGGTGATTTTTAGCTAATTCAAAATATTTTTTTAAATTCAGATTCAAACTCTTGCTGTTTCTTTACTCAATAGCCAACAACTCGGCGAATATAATCGTTGGGCTTCCAAGCGAAGAAGAGTATTAAAAGTAAGATATATTTAATTTCTTTTTTCATATCTAATTTTGATCACTAGGCACGTGAACAAGAAATGCGAAATCTCAGCTTTGAAGCAAAGCGAACATTGCGGAGAATGAGCAATTATAAAGGTTTTCAAAATATCAATTCGTTTTAATCAATGCGAATTTTCAGAAAGGGAGGAAGTAGACCCAATAATAGTGTCTCCTGAAGTTAAACGAGAATTGACATCATTTGTTCAAAAATTGAACCGTCGGCGAAGTTTAAAACTTGTCCACTGAATCAGTGGTTTTTATTTTATTGTCTCTTTTTAATCATTATATGTTTGTAAATAAAGAACACTTATTGAAAAATGTTTGAACCTTAATTTAATATAGTTTTTTCAAGTTTATGCTGCCAATTTGAAAAATCGTAAAATTAATCGAAACCAATAAAATAATAACATAATTTATTTGTCTATTAAAATGTTCATATCATTAAAATTAATGTTCCAAATTTTTGATATAAAACAGCTCAAAAGCTATCATATAGTGGTGGTTATAAAAACGATGATTATTTTCATTTTTTAATTTTGTAAAAATCTATAACCCACGGCGGGACTCGAACCCGCATGCCCGGATTCGAAGTCCGATGCCTTCTCCATTAGGCCACGCGGGCGCCGATATGCCTTTATTTATAAATATTATTTGAATGTTGTTGTGCATCAAAAAGTCATCGCAACTTTGCCACTTTTTATACCTCAAATTTTAAGCAACTAATTGGGTTTCTTAACGCTATTTTTCACAAATTTTTGTGTGTGTGTGTCGATATTTTTTTTCTGTAAGTCGAAAATTGTATGGATATATATCTGCGATTTTACCTCCAATTTCCTTTAGACTTTATTTGGTACATACAATCTTTCCAGTGAATTATCATAAATCCGACATTACGCGAAGAAACGTATAATTTTTGTGTTTGCAAAAATCCAAATAATTTCTTATCGATATATTTCTCAATTCAAAAAAAAATGCTGAGTCACGTGTGATTCAAATACTAGACAGACTGCGTCGAATTTTTCGGTTTTGCTCCCATAAAGCCTCACCGCTCCCAAGCCATATAATAATTCTTTGAATTTGCCGACTTCTATACTACATTTTCGCGGCACCCTTTTTTGGCCACCGCGTTCGTCATTCTTCATTTTTGCTTTTTTCTGCCGTTTACCTACGATTCCGCCCCTATTCGCTATCATTCCATTTTTGTTCGTTTAAAGAGTATCACAAGCGAATTCTACCATGGAGCATCCGGTGACCCCATTGTGCCACATCATCCGCCGCATCAACAATCCGGATCATGCTGTAAGTTATTATTTTTTCAGATTTTCCTATTAAGTTTTTTAAAGGAGCATTATCGTGTTCGTTCCTTGGACTTCGACCGTCTCATCGCCTACAAGTCCACGCTTGTGCCGAATTTTTTAACGGAGGAACATCGCTCAGTTAACCGCATGATTGATCGTGTTGCCGCATGGACAGAAGTGTTGCTTACAGACATTTATGATTATATAACTAACGATGATCCCGCCCTTGTAGTAAGTGTCTTTTCGCATAAAAAAAATACCACATTATAAAAATTGATTGATTTCAGGAGCAAATGGTAAATCTCGAAGACGAGATTATCCTTCTGGCTCTTGCGATCGATCGTCTCGCCTTCATGGTTACCGAGGAGCATCCAATTCTTCATGTTTGCGAGCACTGAAAATCAGATTCCAAACGCTTTTAGGGGGGCACCACATCAACATTAGAACGCGATAGAAATTTCATTTTTCAAAATGAGTTTTTGTCTAGTTTAAGTCAAAACCTCGATACGATATCACTAGAAATTAAATCTATGCTATATTTTGTGTGTTATCCTAACCCAACTGTTCCGTTTACTTTTTTTCTCATATTTCATTTTTCGGGCTCAATTGAATTAAGATTTTAAAAGTATTCATGTCTTTTATTCTCACCCCCGATATTTAAAATTTCCTATTTTTTTTCTGTGGTTAAAATACAAAAAAAACTTATTCCTGTCCACAATTCTGATAAATATTTTCACTGAGTTCAAAATAAATGAGTAATACAGTGGAAATGCAATTTTACCCTTTAAAAATGCATTCATTCATTTATTATTTTGTGCCACGAATATACAGAAAAAGTTCGTCTGGGTAAGCAATGAGTTAACTGAAATTCAAATGTTCATTGTGGATTGTTGAAAAATTCTACGAAGTTCTTGTGTGTCTCCCGGGCCAAGGTGAGTCTTTTCGTGGTGGTGGGTCCGGCTTCTTGTCAACTTTTTTCTCCAAACGCGAACTGTGTTCTACTTCTTTTTTTCTCGTTTTCTTCTGCTGGTCCCCAACTTTGTCATTCATTGTGGTCGAGTTCTTCAAAAAAAAGCACAAAACGGATTATAAGAGTTTTAAAAAATCATCATAAAATTCATTTTTTCAAGGAATATTTGAAAAATACGAATTTCATAGAAAATCTAGTCACTCAGTCATCAATGCTTCATTCATCGTGCTCTGCAAAAATCTATAACACACGGCAGGTCTCGAACCCGCTTGTGCTGATTCGAAATTCGACGCCTTCTCCATCATAATAATTAGGACAAGCCAGCGTCGATGAACAAATATTTGCAAACATTATTTAAATGTTGTTGTTCATCATGTAGACAAATGAAATAATCTAGAACAAGTTAAAACCTGAATTGCAAGCTTTTCATTGCAGTCACAATTAATATACTCAAATAGTAATAAAAATCAAACTTTCTGAAAGAATAGGGGCACAATAAAAATATTGAAAAATGATAATATCTAATTCCATAAATTTTACGAATATGAATAAAGAAATGCCGGCTTCTCTCAAGGTTATCTCTCTAGGCGTACAAAAATTTATATGCTGAGAATTATGCAATATATCGATAATAGAAAAGAATATGGGTATAATTAAAGAAGAAATGTTCTTTTGAACATTCATTTTATAGAAATAGGCTACGTTGCATGAAAATTCTTTTCAAAGATGTCTACCGCAATTTCCTTTCATGGAAACGTTCGAAGGAAATTAAACGTTTTCTTTGATGTATCGCTTTTCGCATAGCTTCCGATTTACTGTTTCCCAGCAGTTTTTATTTCAAAAGAAAAAAAATGGTTTGTGTTTTCTTTTTCAACGTGAAGGAAAACAAAATAGTATTTGCTAGCACTCTGAAATTACAAAAATGCTCTAACTCACAGCAAAATTTGAACCGGATAATGAGCCTTATTCCTTATCCATTTGGTCACGCAGGCGCTATTAAACGATTGCTAATATGGCGTGAGTGATTAGTGAATTTTGGTGGTACACCATCACAGCGCCACCAATCGGTCTCATTCCACAGGATCGGGCATTCTAAATATCTGTCCTGCTATAAAAATGCCTGAAAATTCAGATCTAAATTTCAAATGATGCCAGCAATTGATGTCAAAGTCTGTTCCTCGTACGTATTAATTTAATGAAAAACCATCACAATCAGAAACGCGCGAAAAGGTTTTGTCGCTCGCGACGGGACTCGAACCCGCATTTTCTGGATTCAGTATCCATTGTCTTCCCCATTAGACTACGCGTTGGACGGAAAAAACAATGCGTTAAAGAATTATATAAAACGACAAGCTCGCGATGTCGTGTGGTTAACTGTCTTTTTGAAATGACTCATCAGATGTGTGTCAATTTGTCAAACGCAATCCCGCCCATATCAGTTTATTTGAATCTTTGTATTATTCAACAAAGTTGACTGGCAATAATTTATTACTTCAATACAATTTGTAATTAATCACCAAATTGTCTTCCGTCCGTCGAATCGAGGGAGAATGCCTGTTAACTATAATGAGCGCTACACATTCCTTTCAACCGACAGAATTTGCGATAGATGCATCTTCACTAGCTCTATCACAAATGTCCCGGTGTAAAGGAAATATCGCGCCGATCATGCTTGAATAAGTCGAAGCACCAGCACTGTCACCATCATCAGTCGAGGTGAACACTGCCAAATGAATGAAGAATGAAGACGCGGGTCACTTGGCCACCCCTCTCCCGACAGATGGGGGTGGGGCGTACTAGGGCGTGGTGTGCACATTGATTCTTCCAAAAATCGAATGTGCGATCGTTTGCTTTTATGTCGCTTCAAAATGGGAAAAAACGCAATATTTTTTATTATTCTTATATCGGAGACTTGAGTAAACAAGCGCGCAAGGAAGATTTTGAAAAAAAAAGACATTTTTGCATTTATTCACAAAAGGTGAGAACGCCGAAGCAACGGTAAATCGAACATTTCGAGAAGGATTTATTTTTTGTGCAACCTAATTAAAGAAATTTGTATTAAATTTGCCGAATTAAATAGACATTTACTCAATTAAATAAAGATTTACCGAATTGCAAAATCTTTTTAAAAAATTGGTAGAAGCAAAATATAATATTTTAAAGCTATAAACGTTGTAATTAAAAAATATCAATTTTTTTCAGCATAAATTTCAGCTATTATTTTTTGTAGTAGTTCCGGTATTTCATATTTTTGTTGCAGTCATTTTCATAATTTTCCAAATGAAAAAAAAATAGTTTATTATTCGAGATATCGTATTTCCTAATATGGAGCCCAATGTTTAAAAAATTATACGTAATGTTTACAATAATTCCAAACAAATTCCTACAAAAAATGCAATATACATTTTATAAACAAAATTGAATGAATCGCAGGTTAATGAAGTTCCTGGTTTGACTCAAAGTTCGTGTTGCCTTCTAATAATTTAGACAGAATACCCTGAGACATATGGCACTTTGAATGACTTCATTGTGTTGGTATGAAATTACTTCTGGTTTCAATTTGAAATCTTTCAACATTATTTTTCGAAAAAAAAAACACACACACAAATGAGAAACACATTTAAAATATTCAAAGCGTCTTCCAGTCAATCGAAACGCGTAGCAATCGCAAATTCACATATTGCAATTACTACCCATTTGCGAATGAATGGAATTGCTAGTTTATCTTAGAAGCCGAATAGTAATGCATTGAACCGCTTGGAAGGCAGAAAAAATCGGGCAACCAGAAATTATCATGGCAAAATGATGAGACAGTGATTAATAATATCTAAAAATTTGTTTTTGGTAGTCGTTTAATATCTAAATTAATCAGCTTAATTTGGTTCGAAATTTTTTTGATAAGAGAGGATGTTCAAATTTCAGAGGCACTAGATGAATAGGCAAATTTTTATGTCATCAAAAATGCCATATCACAAAATCTTCAAATTTTGGAAACAAAATTAATCGATTAAATTTAAAAAAAAAAAACTTTTTATTTCAATTCCTTCATAAGGAAGCTATTTGTGGAAGGTTAAATGAGATTTCTTGAAATTTTTGGTGCCGCGTAATTAAAAAATGAAACGTTGACATTGTTGATCTAATTTTAATGAAAAATGCTTCTGGAGGCCAACAAGCAATTGCAATTTCAAAAACGCTAGTCACAATTGTTTTAATTTATTGGCATGAAAAATTGATGAGATGACGCCAGTTGTACATTGATTAAAAAATCGTGCTCAAAATTCGATTATATTATTCAATTTCAGGTTCTTCTTGCAAAAACTTTCGATTATTCATCATAAAAGAATCGCACTCACGAAATTATTGGAAATATTAAAATTAGGACTCCAATTCCCATATTAAATTACCACGAAATGTTTCCTAAAATGTTTGATGTGCAAGTTTTGGGTTTCAAAAAACTTCAAAAATATTTATGTGGGAAAAGAATCTAGAGAAAGCGTGCTACTGAAAATCAAATTCAAAAATTTGTTTTAGGATAACTTTGCTTCGTGGATCACGTATATGAAGAAAATTAAAGGCACTAGAACAAAAATGGAAAACATATCTTATATTGAACATTCTTACTTACTTACTTAGTAAGTAAGTATCATACGATGAGTGAGCGCGGATCATATTTTTCTGCTCATGGCTATAATGCTCCACGAGGTAACCAGCCTGCTTCCTGCACGAATTGAAATTTCTTTGTTGAGTGTCTGCCCATCTCACTGGGGTTCTTCTAACAGGTCGTTTTGTATTTCTAGGGATTCACTCTTGCACCAGCATTGTCCATCGGTCATCTGATCTTCCCATTACGTGTCCTGACTTATTATTGTTCCAGTGAAGTGTTATCTTTTTCATATTTATTTTAATAAAATACTTCGCAAGCGGTTGATATTGAATTAATGGAAATTCGCTTTTTATTTTTGATTTTAGTGCTTATTTCGATAATTTTTAACCCGATTCCATAAAGAATTACGAACTAGGGAAAAGTGAAAAGTTCAGAGAGGTGTTTTGAAGAACACTAGAAGATCGAAATAGGTTGCAAGAACATTCTTATTTGTTTTCTGGATTAACTGTTTCAATGGTGTTCTTTTCATTAAAGAGATATACGCAATCTTATTTAATTTCCCAATTTAATGAAAGTCAATCGGATTCGAGGAAAAATGTGTTTCTTCACTGAACGCCAATTTTAACTTATCTATCTTTTCAATCGTAAAAAATAGAATGCCACAGACAAAAACACACACAGAGATACAATGTATTGAATTTATTCCTTAAGATTTATGCAATCAAACAGAATAAGAAACATTCACGTTATACCGTATGTGATTGTAATAAACTAAGAAAATTTTGGCAAAAACTCAAAAAAAATCGATTTTAAAAGTCCTTTTAAATGCCTATGCAGATTGCGTCAAAAACTAGTTCTAACCGGTTTTTGTTTGAGTTATCTTCCAAAATCTACATTGTAGTACCATAATAAAACAAAAGACGTACAGATAAATATAACTTAATGCGAAAGCCATTAAACGACAAATCATAGCTGTTAATTTTTGAATGAAATAAGAACGAATAAAAAAAAAGGAGGTCGATAAATTCTGAGAATCGGAAAAGAAGAAAACTCAGAAATAATCAAAAATATAATTGGATAATTTGACAGATAATTGATATGGCACCAAATTAACATAAGAAAAGAGATTTTCAAAGACTATGACTAATGAATAGTGATTATGACAAGTCTCATGAAGATTCAATAAAAGTAAAAAGAAAAATGCATCTGCTAAATTATAGCAGATTAGCATATTAGTGGGCCATTATGAAGTAACAATAAATCCAGAAAGGACGAGATGGATACATTATTCAGCTTCTGGCAGAAGCAATCTTATGTGGCAAATCTTCCGAATCGTCATCCTCTGTGGAGTCTTCGCAATCCTCACTGGTATCTTCCGAGCTGTAGTCGGATTCAGTCGATTCGTTGTCCGATGCGATGCCAATGAAGAGATCACGATGTCGCTCGTAGATCCGATTCAGACGCTTGATTAATTCCGGCGGGAACTTATATTTTCTTTCTTCGTGCAGAATCTCCGCTTTCTCAGGTCCACATCGAACTACGGATCTCGATTTGCGCTTGAAAATCTTTTTCGAACCACCAGCGTGAATCGGCATGTATCCCAATGACAATTGATTTCTCGTCACATCTTCGTATGAGTAGCGGTATTTGAACAACCACTTGTCGAATAGAAAAATGCTTTCGATGCATTCGGCAACCGTGATATTTCCGATTTTCCGCGAAGGATTTAGCATTGCATACTTTGGATTACGACGCGTAACATCAGTTCTAAATGGAATGAAATGATTGAGAATTGATTTCCGTTTTCACTTACTCAGTGCAAGACTGAAATACATCTGGAATAGGAATCGAAGCCATTTCTTGATTTGACTCGGAATTCTTCACTTTCGCGTAGTAAGCTTCTTCATCTTCACTGAGTCTTATAATTTCCGAAATCAGCGGGAAGTGGTGAAGAGGCGCTGAAATAATTTCATTGTTACTGCGAAATAGGTTCGAACAAATTCTCAACATTTAAAACCTTTAATCGAAACATCATATTGAAAATGTTCAGCAAAAATAAATACCTTTTTCGAGTGGCCGAGAGGGATCATCAAGCATAAACATAGTCATTGCGTACTCAATTCGCTCCCTAATATACGTTAATTCTCCACCGGCAGCTTCAGGCCACGTCTTCTTGGCGCAATACTTCTTACGCGGAGGCATTAGGTGATCCATTCCGTCGAGTTGCACCTTAAGTATATAAAAAAATTAAAACCAATAACGAAGCAAATATGCAAGAGAAAATCAATTGGAACCGAAACGCACTTGCCCGTCGAAAAAATGAAAGCGTTCGAACAAAGAGTGGTCCAAAATGGAGCAGCTGTTTATTTGTGAAGATAAATGAAAAGAGAGGTGAACGCGGTTGAATGACTGACATGCACAAAAATAGTATATAATTGTGAGAGGTAAGTTGGCTAGCAGATACGAATATAGCAGGTGAACATGCGAGGAGATTGTAAAAAAGGAATTAGCCTTTCACTCAATTGTTTTGAATACACGGAAAAAAAAGTCAATACCACCTTTTTTCTACAATGATAAAGTGATAAATTGTGAGTTTCTCACAAACGCGCAAACACTACTGAAATCAATATAAACAAGTAGGTCAATAGTTCAAAACGCAAATTGATTGGCACAATATTCAAATATTATGGTAGAATGTAAAAATCAAAAAGTCAATTCAAAAATTCGAGATTGTTCAAAAAATAGTTTTAACAAATTTTTTGAGTTTTTCTGCAAAGTAGTAAAATAGAACTGGAGACATAAGATTACAACGTAATTCTCTGAAATCAGCATAGCTCCATTAAGAAACATATTTTAATTATTGAGAAATTGATTGTAGCTATGATAACGCTCGCATAACACCTCGCAAAACAAACAAATACGTGTTTGTCTGAAGATATTGATAGCGAATGCACAAATGAACATGACAACTAGGATGTCCACGCGGGCAAAAATTTGACCATCCGGGATCGTCACGCCAACTGCAAAACGCGTACAGTTCATACACACGTGCGGCAATTTCTATGCACAATTTTGGCTGTTTGTGATGAACAAACGACTTTTTATTCGCAAAGCGGCCATCTCCTGTGATGGTGTTCGTGCACGCCACACTCTTTCTCTCATATGGTTATTAAAAGAACAAGAATGCAGCTTTATATGGCTGTTGTATATGTATATATAAATTTACAATATTGTTCTGAAGATCCCGAAGTCATCCAGTCGTGGATTTTAAAACCATAATCGCTTGAATCAAACATTTAACATTTTAACAATAACGTTTTAATAGGCTTAAAATAATAAAGCATATATTTGCTATGTTCCTTTATTTTTTTAAGTCAGTCAATTTTTTTATCAGCGTTCATATGACGATAAATCAACACTGCTGTTCCAGATGCTTACGTGCAAAATTCATTTTCGCCGCGCATAGACATGATATTGACTATTATCAAATTATACATTGTCACGTCAAAAAAGAAAATTATCAAAACCTCCAACATTGATCAATAAGTTTTAACAGGCATGATTTATGATTTATTGTTAACATTTTATGGTACACTATTCTAGAGCTCTAAAAAGCAAAGCAGATCATCAGAGAATTCACAACACCAACGAAAGGAATTGAATGTTTGAAGTGATTATGTTGAAAGGGTGGATTATTATTGGATGGAGAGAGCACCCGGAATAGAGTGAGAAGCAAGATATGTTGCGACTTTAAAGTTTCATGGATATTGAAGGCCATTTGGACAGTGGGGGAATGACATTGCATGTTATAGTTTTAGACGACCGATTTGCTATTGCACACACTTCCGAGGAATAGCTGACGTGTTAAAGATGCCTGCGGTAGAGCTGTTTGAAGCCATTCTCTTAATGGTGCAGTGCACTGAAGGACAACCCAAAGAATAGATATGTGATTTGCTAGGTGAATTGGAGCAGCGGAGCCGTGCCTAAAAATGATTTTTTTCTAATTTGCCTTCAAATTCAATTGTAGTACTTGGAGAATAAATAGAAGCAAAGGGCGTCACAGTGCTTCTGTTTCTCGGTGAATAACTTATCACGGCCGTCGGGAGAAAGTGAGTAGCTGTCTGCAATAAGGACAGTTCCGAAAATCACGTATGCATTTTACACAAACCACAATCTAATAGGAAAATTGATTGGAGAAGAGCGTAGGAAACGCGATCCACCTGCCCCTCTTTGATCTTTTCGACGGCTGGATAAAGGCATTTTCTGAACATTATCATAATTATTGATAAAAGGAGAGAGGGGTGGGGTACCTGAAACTGGGAAAATCATTTTCGTTTAGCGATTTCTGATAGGCCAACCGAAGAGTTACGAGAAAGAGGGTTCTATCACAAAGAAGTGCGAACTGAAAATAAAAATGACACATACATCTAATAAGATTACTATAATTATCTACTTTGTCAGTAAAATCGAGCTCGCGGAACCATTTGTAATATTTTGCGTACTCAATTGCAAAATTTGTCTCTTTTTCATAGTCGATTTCGTTTGCAATGAAATGAAGAGGTTTTGGCTGGAATTTGCTAATATTATATGAATTATATATATTTGCCAACCTCATAGGCGGTGACATTCTCAATAGCACACGGTTTTGTGAGCACATCGAGCAGCGAGGATGATGGGATGAAATTAGTTTTTCTCAAAAAGCATAGACGATCTTCGATTTCGGAACATGTTTCAATGATTGCCTATATATAGAACGACATTGAATATTTATCAGCGTTATTGTTACCATTTCAGCTTTGATTTTTGGTTGGATGTCTATTGGTGACATCGATCTCGAGCACGTGGGCGGCATGTCGAGAAGTGAAACGATATCGTATCCTCGCTTTTTGGCATCCTTCAATTACAATTCCAATTTGTTTCAACTAGAGGAATGTTTCAAAAACCTGGTCAGGTGTTGTTGACGGCGATTCTGGAGATTGTTCTTTTGTTGCGGTAACGTTTATTCGATTTGTTTGAATCGCTGCAATCAAATCGAATTAATTAAAACAAGGAAGAGAGAAAAAAATATGACACAGCTTGATAAGATTTAAATGTTTCAATTCGTTCTACCGTACTCAAAGATCAATGGAATTCGATAGATCTTGATCATCATAGAATGTTTTGCAGTCTCAAAACAAGGAGAAACATGATTCGTTAGAGATCAAACACACCTTTCGGGTTCATACCGACTTCCAAGCATTTCTTGAAACGACAAGATCGGCAAGCACATCGGATATCTTCAAAAAATCAATTTTCATAAAACAATTTTTAATAACTTTTTACCTTTATTGAAAAAACATTTTCCATTTTTGTGACATTTGAATTGTCGCTCAGACACAATAGTTCTTCGAAAGAATGTTTTGCTGAAAAAATTGGTTGAGCTTCTCCAGATGGTTATCATTGTTATACTTAAAACTCGTAATAAAAGTTTTATGGTTTATAGTTGATGGTTTACATTGCATAGTGTCATTAGGTCTTATAAGTAGGTGTGGGGTGATTGTAATCAACTATTAGATATGCAAAATTAGTTACAGAGGACCGTAATTTTGAGCGCCGAGTAATTTTATTGTTATTCAGTAATTATCCAGCCTTAAAGCTTATCCTGATATCAACTAAATTAGAACTAACCATCCATTGCAACTAGGAACTTCGTAATGATAACCAGTTGATTGATCTCCGCAAACCGCGCAGAGCTCGGAGCATTTTATCGGACGATTCCCTGAATATAATTTTGTATGGTTTTTTGGACTTTCAACCGTTTATCAATTACTTTCTGGCGGTTTTGACAGCTCAGTTTTGGTTTTGTGTGGAAACTGGGCCGAGAGTTGTGACTGAGTCAATGACATTAGCATTCCGACGTCCTTCTGAAGTATTACCATTGCCTAGGCTACAAATAGTAATATGGCGGCGAGAAAAAAGACGCGACAAAATGTTGTTATCATTATTGAGGAACCACCACTTCAAATACAGTCATGTATGATTCATGCTGAAAACAAACACCTAAGTGTTTCCTACAAACAATGACACCTGAGGTCTTTTTTTGTGAAATTGAATATCAAGCGAAATGTGTTTTTTTTTTCCAAATAGCGAATGTCACACGCATATCAAATGAGTTGTTGACTGAGTGCGACAAGAACCCAATTAAGAAACATTTCAGATAAAAAAGGCATCGGCCGCTATCAGTGAAATCTATGATCATACATAAGGGTTTGATTCGTTGATCACATTCATCATTGAGGAGGAAGGTGGAGAAAGGAAGTGTGATTTCATTAGAATCACATCATTCGTTTTCGAACAATATCGCTCAAGGCAATAAGAAGCAAAACATACGTGTATGAATCAGAGTGAGATTTTGATGTTTTGGGAATTGAATTGATCCCAACGATGTTGTAAAAACAGGAACCCATTTTGTAAGCTTAGATTTCTACAAAGGATATCTTGTTTACGAAATTCCCACGCTCGAATATTGGATTCGCAAGTTCAACCTTTGAAAAGAATTCCACATTCGTAAAATAAAAAGCAATTCATCAAAATGGTATGATTATATAGTTTTTAGGAAGGTATATAATACATATCCCACCAATGATGGTCGATTGACCATAATCTACTGAGACAACTGTTTTATCTTCGCGAAATCTTTGACCATATATTATAGTGGACTTCAAAAGATCAAAACACGGCCGGGTTGACTAAGTTTCTCAGAATGAAGCAATATGAAATGTTTTTCGCATTAAATATGTATGTGTTAATTTCTACAGTAATCCGATGAATGGGTTTCTACACATACCAAAGGATAGAAAATACAATAAGGAATCCGTCTCGTTCAATCTTATAGCTCTTTATTTGAGCACAAATGAACAGCTCATAGAAAAAAAACCAATGTGTCAATCTTTCGGACTTTAGCACACAAATAATTGCGATCATCAAAACTATTTGGAGCGGTTCTGATCTTTCCTATGTACACTGAAGTCTGCTCGTTGGATCTGCGCGCGAATCCTCGAGCGAAGAGCAAGACGTAAACGAAGCCAACACAAGTAAAATCGCATCCGAAGAAAGAACAAAAAAAAATAGTACGCTGTACATACGTCAAACATGAGTGGCGAACTTTTGCAAATTTTGGACCTTTCTGTTTGCTTTTAAAGACTGTCGATCTTTGTGAAAAGAATGTTGTAATTTCTCGAGTAAAAAAGAAAAAGAACAAGCCATTGAGTTCGGTAATCAAATCGGTAATTGTCTATAGTGAGACAATATCAACGAAAAAGGGAATAGTTGTTTTTATTTAAATCCTCTTTTTTTTAAAACGTCGAGGTATGCCATTTTATTTGTAGATCAAGAGTCAATTTGAAGAAAGATATATGAAAAATAAAAAGCCATCAAATCTCCAACTCTCTATTTGAAGTCTTGACAAGAAAACCAGGGAGCTGAAATTTGTAAGATGTTAAGATGATAAAGGATAATACGGCGCATTTCTTAGAAAAAAATCTGGAAGTCTTGCTTTTGCGCTCATATTTCGATTTCCATATAAGATCTAAAATCAGATTTGCAAAGAAATCCGGTTTTCAAAATATGTTGGAACAAATAGTTGTTCTCGGAATATTGAGGATTTTCGCAAGAGATGTTCATAAAATCACAATGACAAATTCAAATTTTTATCATCATGATATTGATTTTCAGTGAATTCTGAAATTTATTTTCAAAATTTTGTTATGGTATCTCATACACGAAACGCAAAGCCAACTAACGGCATTTTTTACGTTACTCAGCGATCTGAACACGTTTACACGGTTGGCAAACAAAAGCGACAAATAAAACGCAATGCATTGCGATGTCTGAACTTTCGAACCCAATAGACCGATTATTCAAATGAATTGATCGGAATCAGACCGTTCAAATCAAAGGCACGCTGCTTTGTCGACATCCGGGGGGGGGAAGGGGGATTCAATGAAAACCACAACGATGCCGATTAGATGAATTCATGAACTTGGATTCGTTCGGCGTCTTCCCTCATTGGCGTACGTGAGTGGAACAATTCATCATTAAAAGGAAAACGATAAACGCAAAAAAAAATTGACAGCATGTTTCAAACATCACAAAGGAACTATTTTATTGTAAAATGGTGAATCAAATAGACGGCAGAGAATCGACACAAATAGCCAATAATATTGCAGATTTCGATGATTATGAGATAAACATGCATGTGTTTTTAGTTATCAGTAGACACTTGTTTTTCAAGTTCAAGTACTCTAGTGCTTAAAAGGAGTGCGCCTTCATTGAACAAATCATTCAAATTGCAATTTCACCTGTGCGAATGTTATTTTCCAATTCGATGGGAGGGAGGGGATCATTGCTATTTGATCGCGAGAACCAATAAAAAATATGTAACCTCATAAATAATTATAAAATTATGTGATTCTTCGAATTTCTATTTGACTCGCTTATTGTGAAAATAAACTGGTATGTAGGGTCTAAAATTTGATCAAACATTGCGAGGGAGATTATTCGACTTTTACGTAACAATCAATTGGCTTCCCTCTATATTCCCTTTCCATTTTTTGAAAACTATTGCTAATCCATAGTGATTACGTAGATCGTGTTTGAATTGGCAGATTGAACATCATTAAACATCAAAAGGATTTGGAAAAGTCACGGAAATATTCAAGTTTAATCTTATCATAGGTGTCAAACACTTTCTCGGATTTACGGAGGTAATCATCATTCAAAATATCACAATTTGGTGAAGATGTTTGAAGTTTGAAATCTGCATTATTTTCTCTTTTTTTCCAAAAAAAAGTCATCAAAAATTGCACGTAACACATTTTTCAATAACCTACTGATATTGATAATATTATCATTTAAGTAGAAAAAATTATGTCTTACTGTTAAAAAGAAAGTCGAAATTTTGTAAATGTTGGGTTTAAAACATTTCATTTCTCTTCATTTCTCTATTGAACAATATATCAAATGTTATCTCACAAATATTAAAATCCGCCTTTCAAGCTATTCGTATTTGTTCCATTATTTAATCCAATTGCCAAAAAAATGACATCAGAGGCGTTTTTGAAATGTATTGACCTAAAAAATGCGAACAAACTATTGCCAACATCAAACGCCAAACTAGAGAGACTCCCATGGTTTTCTATACAGTGAACATTGATACATGTTACACACGTAAGCGCGTGATTGGTCGTTCTTTGCTGCATCGATAGTTGTTGCGCCATCAGTTTTCCTACTGAACCATATTGGAACGAATAGGAATGATGATAGAAGCGATAGCTGGTCAACGAACATTGAAGTATGTATGCAAATTTCTCGTCATATTGAAAACGAGTACATTATTTATACTAAGATTTTGACGTTTGATTGAATTTCAAGCAGCGAACGCGGAAATATGAAATAATTTTGCGGCATAATAAAAAATAGAGGTAAAATGTGTCAAAATATTTGAATTTTGTTACAGGTTCTAATTATCAGCTGTTTCAAAACGTTCGCCAGGTTTAAGCATGTCATGAGTTAATCATTGAATGTTCATTGAGTCTTTTATTATTACATTTGATTGACATGTTTAGTTAGATGCTTATAAAAACGAAGGACTCTTTCATTGCAAAAAACCAAGAAATCACATTTTGCTTATACTTTTTTTTATAACATCCGGTTTTTCGGTTCTCAATTTTCGACCATAAATTCACTTATCAATCAATGCATGCTCTTTATTATTCGATAAAATGCACTCAAAAATTTCTTATGAAGACTAATGAGATCAAATGTTCATATCAAACCATAACCATCAAATCATTGAACAAAATTGTCGCTGTTTAATTGTCACATTATGATCACAGAACCGTCAAGAGAAACGTGAAGAAAGGAATGCGAGGGAAAAACTGATTCATTAATTATCTAAATAAAATAGATAGAAAGCGGACAGCAATTTCAAATGAAGTTTCGCACAAAAAAGCAAACATCGCCACCAGCGATTGGTGTCTGATTGAATTGGTCGAAACAAGGATTGGGGTGGAGGAGAAGAACTATATTGGTGTATTGAAGGATATATATATATATATATATATATATATATATATATATATATATATATATATATATATATATATATATATATATATATAGCCGCAGACAATTTCATCAGCGCAATAACAAAAGACTGATTCAAGAAAATGCTAAGCCAATGTAATATATAATTTTGTGGGCCAACGACGTTCCTTTAAATGTTTCAGACATATCTAAATCGAGAAATTAAAAAAAATTGTTTACGCTTTCAGCATAATTACACGAATTCGTATTCAAGATTAGCAGTGATAAGCTTCAAAGATTTGCAATTAATTCATTTTGATAGAAGGTCGAATCATAACTAATTCAAGTCAAAATAATTACAGTCGGGATTATACATATAATTATTTTTTATTTTAACATAATGTCTTAAAAATTTACAAATTACGCTAGCAATAATTAGGGAAAAGCATGCTCTTAACGTCATAAGCACAGTATTATTGGGTTTTAAAGTAATTATTAGTTTTACACCAGACTATACCATAAATGTCGCACCAGAATCTTTTCAAGGCAGCACAAAGAATATATCGAGTTGTGTATAGTGTGGTTGGTTTAAAATTTAAACAAATTTCGAAACTACATTAAGTTGCGTTGGGTTTCGCAAACATATTAATGTTGTTTGTTAGTGGGGCCTAATAACTATTATTATAACATGTAACAGGAAATTGAACAACAGGAAGTGGATCTTCCTAATAAAGAATTTTAAAAGAAGCATATGACGCAAATGTTGGCGCATGCTCTAAAAAAATGTATGTGATTTGAAATATCCGAAAGATTGGAAAAGATTTAAGCTGATTTAATTCATCTCCAACTAAACAAATAAAACCTATAACGATCATCTTGGAAATTGATGTTCGGAACAAAAATGTTCAAGAATCTTCAAGGACATTATTTCTAAGAAACTACGGTTGAAACACGATAACGGTAGTGGAATGAATTTAAAAAAGTGAAAACAAAACAAAAAACGGCATCCGCTGGTTTTGTTTGATTAATTGATTATTAACCAGCATCGGAAAATACAAGATGTAAAAAAATCAAGCTCAATAGTGTTTGAACAATCAAAAGGCTCATTGTGTATATCAAAGCGAATGGTTTATTGCTTGTGTACATAAAAATGCTATTGCTGCAGAACTTATATCATTATCGCGGTTCATAGTTGCAGGTCATGTTCCAGACAAAAAAAGATATGTGTAATTTTCGTGAAAAGTTCTAATAAGGACGTGGAGATCATTTGATATGCGAGAATTTCACATTTATACTCGCTGGAAAATTGACCACACTAAACACATTGCCAAATTGATCCTATTGATATAAATGAGGGATTTCTGTCGGAATGAGGAGAAGAAGAAGGCGGATTGCCCCGTAGACATTATCAATTAGAAGACGCGCAAAGAAATACATAAGTGATCAAACTACCGCAGGTCTCATATATAAAAATAGTAAATGGGAGAACAACCTATCCATAGGTAATCCACACAAATTGAATGTTGAATACGCATACTCATTGAGCTCTTCAAATGCACCATTCATTTCGCTCGCAATATTGACGTTTTATTATTGCTGTCATTGTAGACAGAATTGTCGGATTCCTATTGATGATTTCACAATGCATGTGATATACATGTATAGTTGGTTACTCATATTGACTAGCGCACAATGGGGGTCTGTAAATTTTTAAATTTCAAAATGAAACGATTAATGGTCTGCTTTTTGAACCAAATGCGTCATTTTTGACGGAACGATACTTTTCCAACACTATTTATTTTCACGGATCTGATCTATTTGTACATGTGTGCTCTCGAACTCACGTTGGTTGGTTTCGATGAACAGCTCGCATAGAAAAATTGTCAACCAATAGATCAATGACACTTGAGAAAATGAAGGAAGATTTTGTACCGAGATTAGAGAAAGCCATGTGGGATCAAATTTTTTCTTTCGCAATTGGTAAACAGTTGAAGTTGAGCAATTCAATCTGGTGAGAGTGATCGTCCGAAAGTAGTCGTCACAACAAAATTTATGCAAAAATATAACGGGTTCTACGAATTTTTGGTTTGGATGTTGAACATAAAAATTCCAGAAATAGAAAATAAACAAACTTCTGAATTATAATTCGTGGCTAGATGATTGGCAAATTCCAATTCTCAATTTATTCCAAACCTACCGTAAATTGTTTTTTTCAATATATTTAATGTTTTCTTTTTTAATTTCATAAGGTTAAACATTAGATGTATAATAATTTAATTGGATCACATTGATATAATAAATTGATTGAAAGGGTATCACTGTTTGTGACAATTTGTGCAATTTTTTTAAATTTGTTGGAAGACCAACAAATAGAAATAAATATTGACATATGTATATATTTATGAGCATAATTGAATTAAAATCAACATAAAATAAGATATCAAGAGATATATACTAAGACATTTTGTTTTTAGATTGGTAAATCGCATTTCTAAAAATCAAAAATTATATAATCCGACTTGCACATTTTCCATATTTGATCTTCATCCGAATTATTATTCTTTATTGTTCTGAGAAATTATCAAAGACTAGGATTAGAAAATAGCTGAGAGTTAAGTGCGATTAATCTCTTACAATTTTGCTTGAACTTTCGGAAAAAACACTTGAACTTTCGGAAAAAACTGAAGCAAAATTATGAAAAATACAAGCAATTGTCTTCTTATCTCCAAATTTCGATGACCTAGCATCCTCAACGAATACCCATGCTTTTTACATGCACACTTTGATCAAATAGATTTGAACTTCTCGTTATGTTGGAAGGAATGGCGTAGGAAGAAATTCTCGAACCCTGATCATCAAGATAAGTTGAAAATTTTTAATCTAAATCTAGTAGATAGCAATCATCAAACATCGCGTTTACCATGACGGATACTGTTGCCAAAGGATCATTGTAGTCTATGAAATAGAAAAATTGAAGCAAACCTGGGGACTAAAATGTAGGGGGTTTTTGCATTTACTAAGCACCGCAATAAATTTGTAATTATAAATTACATGGGATACAATAAATAAAGGACAATAGTAAAAGATTATGAAGCTTCATAGAATTTATATAATACATATTTATAAGCATATGCTTATAAAAATCGGCTAAAAATCTATAAATCCGGAAATTGACGTTACTTTTTCAATATAGGCTGGTGCCTTATGATGTTCCTGGAATTGCTCACTTTATGAAGAAAATCAATGTATGTATAGTCCACGTGAAAGCAATATATAGATTTAACGAGCGCGGGAGGTTATCAAAAATACATTATATGTGCCATAAAATTATATTATTGACTTCAATAAAAGCTATTAAATGTATTATATGTAAGCAACAAGATAAAAATAAAAAACCAGACAGCAGCTGAAATCAGTATAATCTTTGACTAGGAGTTTTCATAACTCATTAAAGATATCATTATAGAGTAATATATTTGTTTATTAAAAATCATGGAGGTTCAATTAAAAACAGTTTTTAAAAAAATCTAGGCAGTTTTTAGGTTATAACATTTTTTTCTTTGGAAAATTGAAAAATGCATTAGTAGGGAATATTTTTTTTAAGCATTCAGAATAACACATAGTAAAGCCGTCATAAAGAACGAAAAGATATATCAGACTCTTTTTTGGCTTTCCGGCATTGTTTCTTGTTTTCCGGATTTTGTTATTGGTCGAACCACATTTGGTGTGAGATCGTCCTCGTGATGCAAATGCTCGTTCAACCAATAGCAATTGACCTCGCCTTTAAAATTTATATGCATTTTCAGAATAGAAATATAATTGGGAAGATAAACCTTTTCCTTTGACATGAACAATTCCACGTTTGACAAGTTGATATTCAGCTCGGTCAAAGAGCAGCCTTGCAGTTTGCTCGGAGGTTTGAATTTGATTTGGTGGACAATTTGACTGCATTCGAGAAGCAAAATTAACCTTAGTAAAATTATCATTGAGATTCTATTTGCAAATAACCCTTTTGGTACTTACAGTATCCCCAAATAAGCAATATCTCGGTGATCTTATTCCAATCACACCTGCTGCAATAGGACCGGCGTGGAAACCAATTTTCAGGCGTAACTGAAATTTATTTGAAAAAAAAAACACCATATGTAATATTCAAAATTACTTTAAAATTCTTCAAATGCTTCACAGTGTATTTCAAAGCACTTTCCCGAATCATCAAACTAATTTCTGCGATCTCATAAATATGAGCTCCATCGTTTTCAGTAGGCACACCAGAAGCTACCATATAGGTTTCACCAGTGGTTTCCACTTTATATGCATCAAACCCTTTAATAATGGTGTCGAAGGTGTCAAACACGTCATTAAGGAAGAAGACAATCTAAAAAAAAATTAAAAAAACTGTTTGCATAATATTTTACTTGGTCAGGATTGCTTTGATGCATCAGTACTGGAAAATCGCAAATTTGAACAAACATTACTGTTGCACTATCATAACTTCTTGGTGGTACTTGTCCGCCATTCGTGAGTATTTTAGCAATGGAACTGTAATTTTAAGTTGTTTCTATCAACTAATTATATGCTTGTTGTACGCTGGTAGCATTTCATTAAGCAATCGCATTGTTTGGCCTTTTGCTTCTTCTACCATTGCTTGTCTTTCTTTAACTATTCTTTCTAGGATTGCAGCGTTCTTCATATTGAGATGAAGCATTTGATCTATCAAATTTCCTGATCTAAATATGGATTTCTATTAGATATATTATTATTTCATTTAATTTACGCGGATGGATAGCATTTATAAACCGCTTCCTGAATTCCACGCAGCGATGGTCTTTGGTTTATATCGCGACTAAGACATTCTTCAATTTTTCGGATTAAAGCATTCTCCTCTCCATTTGGTGTGAGATCAGGTTTTAAGTCATTATGTATAATATCTTTCACAAGAGCTGAAATAACAGAATTTCAGAAAATGGGCTGAAAATGACGTTTATACATTGCGTGGGACGTTCTACCGGCGATCCAGATAAAAATGGATCAGTACGAAATATCATTTGCCAAATAACCAATCCAAATGAATACATGTCACCTTCCATACTTCCTCTTAATAATCGCGGTGGTTTCTTTCCGCTCTCGTCGTACTCTTTCATATGTTCCGGAGCAAACCAAATATATTGAGAATATGATACTAATTACACAATCCATATTGCATTTTCTTAATTTGTGCATACCTAATGGCGGAACCGTCTCTCCTTTTATTATGTTCTTATCCAATAAATCCGCCATAATATTTGATATTCCGAAATTGCTCAATTTCAACACCCAATTCACATCGACCATGCAATTTGAAGTGTTTAGAAAACCATGGTATCCAATTTTGGATTTATGAAGATAACTTAATCCCTGAAATTAGTATCATAATATTCGTATAATCTCGAAATTCATACTCGAACAAGATCGCCAAAAAATGCTGATTTGAACATATGATCTAATGTATAATCATGATCAAGACAAATTTCCTAAAAAGAAAAATAGCTTAAGAAAAAAAATAACTAAATGATTATATACTTCAAGTGTAGCTCTTTCTATTAATGTGTACGCACACAATAATTGATTGTCCGGTTCGTTGCAAGCAATTCCCAAAAATTTAGACATGTTTTCATGTTGTAAATATTGAAGTTCAAGAAGATCGGCTGTCTGCTTTCTGGAAATATTAATGCGAATATGAATTTATTCTAAATTCAATATTAACCTTCTTTAGTATTTCTCTTTGCTATGGTGAACGTTAATGTTCCATGGTAACCCGCACCCTGTCTACCAGAAAATTATTCTGGTAGCCTTGCCGATGGTAAAAGTGACTGGACCCATAGTAACGTTCGCCATAGTGACAATAAACTAACCATGGTGACCTTCACCATAGCGACTCAAACCAAGGCAACCAATTTGGTTGCCACTCTACCGTTTCTATGACAGGTAAGCATGGTAACTGCACCATAGCAGCGGTATCTAGGCTACACCAATTTATGGAATATCCATGGCAGCCATTGGCATGACAAATATTTTACTAGGAGACCATGACCACGATCACCATGACATTGTAAATGTCTATTCGGTTTCTATGGTTCGCCATAGTAACCTTTCGAAGGTCCCATTATTATAAAGATGATTTCTACGGAATTCAGAAAACAGAAAAAAAACAATACTTATTAAACGAGACATTCTTGTTCTGCTTGAATTTCATCAATTCAGCCCTTGTCGATCCCATCACACCGTAGGATCCGAAAACTCGACGTTTGGCTAGCATTGCTTCTTTACTAGCAACCCTTTCAGCTTCAGTCTGATTTTTTTTATTTTCCAGCTCTTTTTGCATTTTCTGGAATTTGTAATGAAAAAAATTAGATTGATTTCGAATAGCTTACCGCATTTGCGTTTTTGTTAACAATGACTTTTAAATTTTCACGTGGAATTTTCCAAGACATCAAGTAAAGTTGGGTTCGTCTTCTTAACATATTAATTATTGAAACAATGAAATCGAATTATATGTATACCTTTGATAGTAGTAGTAAATAAAACATCCAGAAACTCCACATAGTAATACAAATACTCCTATGATTACTTGTACTAAAAAGAAATCGAATTAATACGTTTTATTTAACAGAATTTTATGACTAAATCTACCAATTTTCGGACAATTAACTAAAAAAACAGTTTACTAACGAATTTCACATCAAACCTAAAATTGAGTCACAGTCTGTGCTTAAAAGGCATTCCGTATCTATCGGAGGTCTCTCTTTCGTCCAGAATGGGCTATTAATTTTGTTCACTCTCTGAAATTAAAGAATTTGAATAAAATTTTAGGACATAGTTGTTACGAAATCGAAACAAATGAGGTTGTCGCATGATTTTTCAATCGCCGTGAAATTCATCAAGTTTTCATGAATCATCTCTGAAATTCAAAATCTTGAAATATATCTCTACTTATTAAACCAACCAGTATTTATTGTAGAAATGCCGTAATTTTGTAAAATTGACCCTCCTTCGTCAAATTTAAAACTTCCAAATGTGTCTGGAAATAAATTTCACGGTGTTAAAAAAATTTTGCGGCTCATCTTACTAGAGACTGTTTTTCCGGACATTTTTTGAGAGAAGTCCGAGCTTTTGAGAGTAACGCCTAGTTTGATACCATAGCAAAATGTATAACACCCGTTGTAAATAGAAAGATATTCGGAGAAATACTCCTTCAAATATTTTGATGAAAAATGTTGAATTCAAACTTCAACAAACCCTTTCCATAGAAGGTAATCGCGCTTTCATTTGATCGTAAATATAATAAAAATTGTCAAAACGTGGAGCAATCTGCCAAAATCAATTTTTTTTTTAATTTCAGGTAAATTCTTACAATGAAGACTTGAAAGAATGCTAAAGCATTGATAAGATTGTTTTCAACTATAAAAGTTTCGGGATGCTCATTTGCCAATATGACAACAATAAAGTTCCGTTTTACAAGATCGTCCATGTCTAACTTATAAATGCCATCGTAAAAGTCTTCAAAATCGCTGCAAACCACGATCACTGAAAATTCGAAATTTTAAATCATCGCTAAAAGTCTACCACTAACTTCGTGAACCACTTGCTTTTATTTTATCCATTTCTGCTAATGCATCAACATTTTCATTGTCGAGTTCAACGGATTCTCGAATCGTGATTATTTGAGTTTGCTGAAAACGGTTTTTTTAGAAAGGGATTAAAGCATCAATATAATCTAACCTTAATGTAGTTTTTTAAAATATATGCTATTCCTTTGGATTTGCCTCCAATTAATGAAATCTTAAATTTCTTTTTTTTTAATAATAAAAAACAATAAATTTACGTTATCTTCTTTTAATTCATCCATCAAAGTTTTGATGGCTTTTGCTGCACCGGCGGCCGAAAACATTCCAACATTTACAATTGTTCTGGCATCCTTAATTTCACATTTGGCTACAATAAAAATCATATGATTACTGGTTTAAGCATCGTATGGTCTATGTCAACTGTTGTAACAACGGGGACATGCCAAATTATTTTTGAATAGGCTACAAATGTGTAGGCGGGAAAAGTACACGAAGGCCCGACTATTCCAATATCCTGAAAATTTAAAGTTATTGTCGGCCTGAAGGCTTCAAACCTTTGATTGGTTCTTAATTCCGATCATTTCAATTAAATAAGTTCTTATAGGTCCCGAATCAGTGCAGCTTTCTTTCGAAAGCAATCTGAAAATCGAAAAAAATCCTGTTTCGTGGTAAAACATTTAATTTTGATATGCTGGTTATACAAAAAAATGTTGAAAAGTAGTGAAGCAAGCTAGTGTTTCGTAAATCCACCTACTCAATATTTTCTAAATCACATTGTCCATTTGCATTCGCTTCATTGAGAGCAGCTTGACATATACCGGCCGCCGGATTCCATCCGCTGAACACCGTCAACGGAATGCATTCAACGTAACATATAAAAAATAACCATAGAAAGAGTAACGGTTCAATCATTGTGGCTCGACTGCAAGAAGAATATGTTTGCTTCCAGCGCCTAATCATCTGTTTTGATATCGACGAAGATTATAACTAATTCTCGTTATTATTCATCGCTTTCTATTGTGCTGACATCCCCCGGCGTATTAGTCGAGATTCAAGGCGATATTAAAGCGGGGGGAATATTGAAGAAGCGAATATTGGTGATCGCGAATTGTGCATATCAATTCGTTTGGAAAAACGAGTCAAATGTGAAGATACTAATTGAGTGTCACGGTTGCTAAGCAATCTCGAGATTTGAATAATAATTATTATCAAGAAGCTTTATAATGAAAAGAAAAGAACGAGGTTAAGAGAGAATAATTACATATGAACGGAGGTTTTATACGTGGAAGATTTCAAAGAAAATAAAACACACTTATAGTTATTTATTTTCCTTTTGAAAAATTATTATATGGTAACGCATTCAAAAATTTGTTTCAACACTCAGCGTGGTTCTTCATAATTATATGTTTAGTTGTTTGGCAAACTTCGAGCTCCATAGGAAAAAATGGCGATTTTATCACGTGAGAGGAAGGCCAAAAATGGAGCAAGTTTTCGCTTGAAAAATTGTTAAATTTTGATAAATTCTCAAGAACACTTATGGCTTTGGTGCTGTAGCGTTTCATTAATGAAAAATAATTTATCATCACATTGAGATTTGTCTTTAAATATATATCTTGAAATAAATTTTAAATAAAAATTTTTTGTCATAGTAATAATTTGAAATGAATTAGTATATTTTGAAATAAGAGGTTTGAAAAAGTACGGATTACTTAATTCTAATCCCATGGCTAACTCTCCTTTTGTTCGAAATCTGTTGACAAAAAGCGTTTTGCTAGATGAAAAGCTGAACTTAAGAATTGCGATTTAGGATACTCGCAGCCGTAATCAGCTAGCTCAATACATAACATAGAAGAGTGCGAAAATTAAATGAATGTTAATAGAAAAAAAAATAATGTTTTTTACAAAATGAATTTTTGCAAAAATGGATAATTTAAGCATATTCTCTTAGGCTTTTCTCTTGATTGGTCTTTCAAAATTTTTTAAACCCCATACAACATGAAATCCTATTTCAAAATTGCTTTATTATTAAAATTCTTAGATAATATATGAGATATTGGACAATTAAAATTTTCGATCGTTGACACCATTTTAAGTTGGAAAAAAATGTTTTAGATGTTCGGACACAATTCACAGTATTGAACTTCTCAGAGTTAAAAAGCGTGGTATTGAAGCGTACATAAAATTTTCACATGGGTGGCCAAAGCATTCCATCTGTTCAAACCAAATTCCAGCTATCATGAAAAAACGTGTTGGTCCCCTTAAAACAAATTACCATTATGTTGTCTCTTGCTTCATATTTTTATCGATTATAATTAATTACTTTGTTGCACTTTTCCAATGATTGGGTAAACAACACCGCTCTTCCATTTCCCAACTTATTTTCCTTCTCATCATTGTTGATGGTCCAAAACAAAAAAACTTTGTTGTTCCATCAAACTCAATTCCGCGATTGTTGAATCCCAGAGTGCACCAAGTCGATTAATTGATAGCTGGCAATTAAAAAACAATTAAAAACGCATGATTTGCGTCATCACTCTTTCGGGATGAAGATTTCAAGTTTATTATTTGCGTTGTAACAAATGAATATCCGAAACTTGTAGAACAAAACATGTTTTGGACATTTTTTTATTCACCAAATATTATACGGAAGCAGAAGCAATCAAAATAATCAACTCAAAACATAATGCAATTATTATTTTGTTTTCTTCAATAGAGTTTAGCATACAATGATAGTGAGATGTTTAATGAACAAATAATAGGTGTTCAGGAATGTAGATGAATCCGTACGACATAATTCACACTGTTCTTGGTTCATTCGAAAATTGGTCGGCGAACTGGTGTCGATGCTGAATAGGAAGTCGATGGGGTGTCTGAAAATCAATATAATTATCAATTGTTCGCTAAAAAATTTCCGAATTACCCAGTCCCCCATTTCGTCTAGAAGTCGATGTAGACGTCGCAGAGTCGGTTGAATAGCATGAATGACTTCGGCTCGTTGAGGGACCATTTCGGTAAGCAAATGAAGCTGTTGAAGTTGATGGTACATTATAGTCGTCCTCCGATCCTCCAACATTCAATGACTCAAGGTGTGACGCCAAATTGGAGGCAGCTTGACTTTCCACCTGAATTAATATCAAATTCGACAAGTTTTATATATGATTGAAAACTTCGTTATCGTTGCTGGAATCAACTGTATTCTGCTGTCTAAGAGTTCTACGCGAGCTCATGCGATGGCGGCGAAGTTCAGAATAGTAGCCGTCTCGTACCGCCGAAAAGATCATGGTGACTAGAGAAGACCAAGCCGAAACGGTATCAGCCGGCTTAAAAAAGAATGAAAAATTTTAATAGATAATCAAAAATATTTTTGAAGGTTTAGGATGAAAGCGATTTTTCCATAATCGCTCTTAATGTGAAATCGTTAAAAGACAAATCATCACCTGATGATTGGCCATGTCGAGAATGACACCTTCAAGTGTCATGGCATCAGCGACGGCGACCCAAAAATCTGGTTTGAAACCATATTGTTTCAATTCCACATGCTCTTCACCATATTGCTTTGAAAGCATCTCAATGTAGTCAGCATCGTGAATCTGCAATGACAAAGTGAAACGTTGACATCTGGAAATGATGGACATTAATCAATTAGCATTATCCTTGATTTTTTCTCGCCGCTCGGCTATAGATCAGTTAAATTTAGAAACTCCATCTCTTTTCATTACACTACAGCAGCAGCTCATTGGTTTGTCTCAAAACGAGAGAGTGAGGCGCGACGGGGGCCTCTTCGAGATGATAGCCAATAGTTATCAAATAGCATTATCAGTACTACTCGGATCATTGGAACGACATTAAGAAGTAATCAAACTTCAAGTGTGTAACATGAGAATTGATACTTACGCGTGAAACAATGTCCTCGACTAGAGACTTCAATCGAAGATTGACCACATAGGATCGTTCCTTACCAAGGTTCAGAATGAACCGTTGATAGTCGCCCCGTTTCTCGAAGATTCGTTGCAAGACCGGAACAAAAACATTTTATTAATTTTTCTCATGGATTGTCGGAGGGACTATTAAATAGAGTCTATTAAACTTTTTTCTGCGTGACAATTATCACATCTCCGCCGGGTATTATCAATCTTGTTTTCAACCTTGCCAGACAGAAAAAAACGAAGAACAGCATTGAGCATTGAGGCAAGTCAAAAAAACATATATATTGTGAAGAACTTCTCGTCAATGCTTTGTTATTACAGCGACACATTTCAAGAGTCAACCAGCGTTCCCTTCATTCGCATCCGTCTTACATCGGTTTTGAATTATGGCGAAGTGGATTTGAGATTATGACGTCGCACTATTTCATTCACATTCATTCGCTCTTGATGAGCAGAGTCAGCAGTGGTGCGAAAAAATAAAACAAAAATGGGCAAGATGATGAATTTTCGGTGAAATATTAATTTGACGGCATTATAGGGAAATTTGCTCGCCAAAATCTCAAAAATTAATAAGCATATGTGAAAGAGATTTTCGTACACCAAAAATTGAAGAAAGAAGCTTTTAATTGATATCGACGTAATTATACAATATTGGTAGCCTCCACCAATCGACAACGGCTTGTGAATTAAATTTGAACATGTGTTCAAGGCTAATTTGATCGTTTTAAACCTTTGGAGATCGAGTTTCAACAAAAGTGAAGAAGGAACAAAAAACACTCGACATCTCTGACGACTATTCGAAGCTGATTGTAGTATTTGAATGATTTGTGACATTTTTTGAAGATGATCTTAGGAGCTCAGAATTCAGTGTTGAAGGATCAAACGTGGAAATATTCAAATATAGATTTAAAATTTTTAAAATGCAAAAATGCACCCAGATTAATAAAAAATAAACAATTCGTGAATTTTGGGATTTGAAAACATCTTTCAACTTCAGTTATTCTCTTTAGTAATTTTTAAAATTTTACAGATTATATTTCAAAAAAAAATATATTGAGAATTCTCTTTCTCGTTGGTTTGCAAGAATAGCATCACTTCCGAATTCTTCGACTCCATTTTTTTTGAAAAGAAAACCGGAAATCGTTTTTTTCCTCGGTGAGAATTCGACTTTTATAAAATTTATTGTGAACACCGCGTTCAAATTATTTCAAATAGACGACACGCTATATCACAATTTCTGTTGAAAATTGAACATTTGCTCCGGATGTGGGATGTTTCTTAAGAAACAACAATTGTCAAGGCTATCCCTAATCTACCCGAAAATCATTGTGCTTTCGATCTTCGCTTTTTTTTCATACACCTAAACATACATAAATCATTTTCAAAGCCCATCGAGTTTTGACGATTACTAAAATTTGTCGCCAATTTCATTGTATCAAAATCGATGATCTTTTAATACGATTCTTGATCAGCGTTCGCAAGACTGCTTGAGGTCGGCGACAGCTGGCCAAGCATTTTTCGACATTCTCTTTTTTATCATTACGTGTAATTTTCAAAATTTCAGTGTAGTTTCAATCCATTTTTTCCAACCAACCTTATTGGCAAATTCGGAATGTGGGTTTTCAAAGCATTGCATGATGATATCACGGCCTTTTGGTGAGATCGGATGAGCGGCATCTTTTTTCATAGACTTTTGACGGGAAATTCCACTACTGAAACGTTTTTTTTAATTCATTATAAAAAAAAAAGCTGGCAATCTTCATACGATTTGAGATCACGTGTGCTTTTTGGACGATCCTTATTATTTATACTGGTAATGCTTTTCTGACGCAAGGAAGATGAGGCGCCTAAATTATCTTGGGTTTCTACATAAAATGTCAATTGTCGATGAGTACCTGAGGCCGTGGTGGTCGAAGATCCTCTGCTCTTTGAGCCCATATCCATCATGCTCCGGCTTTTGGTGAAATCCGTTGTCTGCAAATGTTGGATTATTATTGGTGAAGTATTGAAAAAAAAAATCTGTTACCTTTTCCGGCTTTTTTCGAATCTCCATGGATTCCGATTTTTGTTTGATTTTCGAGCTGCTTTTCGATGAGTTCGAGTTCCCCATGATTTGGAGTGTTCTGAAATAATCTTGAAATCTGTAAGTTGGAATTCCCGAGGAGACGAACTCCCGGGAAGAGAGCAAAGAGAAAAGCAAATGAAAATGTGGCACCAGCTCCGTAGGCAGGAGAGCATCAATGGTGTGGGAGAAGAGAAACCGAGGCAAAGTCGGTTCTCGTTTTTTTTTGCGACTTCGCACCACTGTTCCTCTTCATCTCATTGGTTCTCTTATCCCAATTTCTCTTTAAAAATTACAAACACGAACAAAATATATGAGACACTTTGATTGAAAAAATGTCATCAAGGAAATGTTGCACTAAACGAACACCGAGACAGAGCCATCATTGAGGTGTCAGCTCGACGAAAAGTGGGCGGATCAGGGGCGTGGCATACGGTAGTATGCCCACTCCATCTCTGAGTTAAAAGTTGTTTTCTGTTTAGCATCAAGCTAGCGAAAAAAAGTAATTGGTTGAGAAACAAGGTGTGTCTTCATGGCGAAAGCCCAAAAACTATTAAAATCCACGTGACGCCTTTTTTTCCTGCACAAGCGCCTTATTTTTCTTAAAGAATAGCCTTAAAAGGCGACTTCCTGTGCTTCATCAAAAATATTTGGTTTTGCAAAAAAAAAGAACATTTCGAATATATGTTAATCTTAAATTGTGGCGTCGATTTGTTAAATTGAATTTTTATAACATGGGGCAGAAAATATTGAAGATTGCTCAAATCGAGGGTGGATAATGAATAAAGCGGATTTGGCTGAAATCCCAGTTTATACAAGATTAGAAGGGAATTAACTTGGCGATACTCAGCGACTCCAAGAAAATAAAAGTGTGTAATTGTCGAGCACTTTTGAAGAGGGAAAAAAGTAGTGGCGAGATTCGATGTTTATTGCGTCGCCTCCTTTTTAAGACGAGCTATTTGCGTTGAAACGGATTTCCTTAAAACCAGAGACCATCATTCTGTTCTGAGGTGTTATGTTCACAAAAAGAAAAAAAATGCACTCAAAAATTAGTGAAGCAGTCATTAATCCACAATCGATGCCCTATGTCAATGGAAATTCTTGGAGCTTGAATATAATTTTTTGGTTGGTACCTATTCGAGTTTTTGGTGGCTGACAGGAAATTTTTCTCAGTTTTTTTCTAATTTTGAAATTGTTTTTTTTTTGTCTCGGAAATTACCTAGTTACAGTAGTCAAAACAAAAAATTGCCAATTTCCTTTCTCACACAAAAGCACATGCCGAGAGAACTCGATGAGCTTGAATTATTCGGCTTAAAACTTGAAGCAGAAAAACAAACAAAAAATAACAAGCCATTCAGACAATCATTAGGAAAAGCTTACATCCTGAAGTGGAACCACATTTGAATGATTTTGTCTAATTCCAAACATATGAAAATATACGAAGCAAAGATGAGACCAGAAATTTTTTGAAAGATTTTTGAATGAAATTGAAATAGGTTCCGTATTTTTATCAAACCATTTCTCAATTTTCCCATTTCATATTCATACTTGGTTACTGACTGAAACTCTCAAGAGGGTTATAGCGCATTTGCCTGAGAGGCCCTCCGAAATGGTTTCCTTCCGCTCATATAAACCATTATATGTCATTTTTCCATTGGATATTTCCTAGAATTAGATGAAAATTATGTTGAGGAGAGGCGTTTTTGTCGGCATCGGTAATTGAGCCACCGCTAAAAGGAAATGGGTCAACTTTTAGTTTTCTTTTTTTGGTCGTAGTTTGTCTGCCAATATCAATTTTCTGCTCAATTATTTTTGACGAAAGTCGACCGAGCACGGAAAACGAACTTTAAACATGAAGGATAGACGCACAACATGAAAAGTTGAAGGTTCGGTTTGACAAGTGACAAACGTTGAAGCAATTTTTGGTGGCGGCGCCAGCGGCTTGGGTACGAAATCGAGATGAAAAATCTTGACACCACCCCAAAAAAAAACTCGGGTCCCATTCCATTTTTTTTAAATACTTTGCGTCATTCTTGAAAACGCATTTATTATCGCATTGACATTTTTCTTGATAAATTGTTTCGGTCTATTGGGACGTTTCAGGTTCTTTATTTTTTAGTCATGCAACCAGCGACTCGTCCAAAACTCAAAGTTGAACCAAATTTTCAAGAAAAGAAAAATGAGCTATTAGGGAGATGCGAGTGGCAAAAAAATAATTAAGAAAAAGTTGGTCGGAAAACAAAATTAACAATTTTTGTTCCTAATAGATTTGTGTTGAAGAAAGTAAGTTATAAGTAATGATTGACGACTAGGAAGTTTTTTTTTCCAAAAGCAGCACCATTCAGAAAAAACGTGTCAAATTCTTCAAAGAAGAAAGTATTAACTGATTTCAACAAAGACTCGAGGTTCCTTGCTTATTTTCGCGCTCGCTTTTAGGCATCAATCCTGAAGCCACGCCCATTCTCTACATTTTATTTTTGCGTGCTTACACTCCACCCCTTTCCATTTTTGATACTAATTATGGAGGAAGAATTTTGAAATATTATTGCATACAAGCGAGAGAATCGAATGTAGAATTTAAATATGGAGCAAGGAATTTGACGGAATACGGTAGACTTTAATGAAAAATTTGAAATGAGTGAGTATTTTTATTTATCAGCCGATTCAAAGAAAAAATTTAAGAATTACATATAAATATTACTGTGGATCATTAAAATTTTCGAATATTAAAAATTCCATTTTATTACAGTATAGTGAACTCAATGAAATACCAACCTTCAGTAGAGATCTGGTTACAAAATCAACAACGGTGGAATTCTGGAACAGCCCTTTTTTGTTGTTTTTTCAATGACCACTTTGGAGAAAAAAGTTTGAGCACAAATTGGATTATATATTTTTAATACACTGAAGAAACAAAAAAAATCAACTAATGGATTCTTAATTTTCGGCGTGCGATTTTTGAGCGAAAAAGAGAAAAAGCAACAAGGTTAATTCCAGCGCGCGTTTTTTTTTGTTTTCTTCGACGAAAAAAATAAGAAAGAGAAGCACCATTATTCAAAAAAGGATTATCGGGATTTTTCCTAATACCGTAGTTTAATGTTGCCATATTTAGGATTGATTTCTTTTCATTCTTGAAAAAGACATCTATTTAATTAATATTGGGCTTTCAATTGAGGCAAAACGGATAATGACTAGGATTTCAGAGGAATGAAGAGGATCTGTAATGCATTTAAGCTTGATCTTCTTTGGGGAAAGACATGTTTTCATCTGTAGATGACTGCCGAGCCCTTCACGGAGCACAAAGTTAACCTAATTTTGCATCATGTCGAGAAATGTTCTTTTCGAAAATTCCCCACGGAGTGTGAAGCGCAATCACAACGTGTTCAAATCCAATCGAAAATAAATTTTCGCTCACATTTGGAGATATAAAACGCCCTAAAATTTTTCCATCAATGGGTTGAATTTAAATTGCCCTCTTGTTTTTGATATATGAATGCTCAATTAAAATCGAATGGCGCAAATGTTATTGGGTGGATGCCAATCAAACAAATTCCACAGGAAATTGTTCACTCACCTGATAGGTCTTCTTTTCGACATGTTTTTCATTAACGATGTCAACATTAATCAATTGTGATTCATTTTTAATCTAAAATTTGGTGATTAAGCTTTTCAGCTTATGACTTATTTACATAAATTTTGTATATGGTTAGGGGATTCTCAAATTCGGGAAAGCTAATTGATATTCAGCAGTAAACAAAAGAGCAGAATATTAGTTCAACTTGTTAGCAATTTGACTGTAATGAAATGGAGCCGACGAGTAGGTACGTATTTGTGTGTTCATGAGAGTTACAAACACGTATTTATTTACATCTTTTGATAAATCGCTTAACTACAATATATTTGTAGTGTATGTCGCACGAATCACCTCAAAAAATAATAGAATTTACGAGTAGATGTAGAAGAGAACGAAAAGCTTTAAAAGGAGAGCATTGTTTTAATAATTTTAACAATGAAATATTAATCGTAAGCCCACACACAATTCTTTTGGAAAAATTTGAAAATCTGAAATTTTTCTATTTGAATGAAAGAAAATCGAAATCTTTACTTGTTATTATACAGATAATATTATTACCTAATTATTTTTTAGAAAAAACGATAAAAGGGAAAACATGTGACGAATATATGGCATTTGGAACAACAATAATAGAAGTTTTTGTAAATTGAATTTGCGCCGTCTGAAACATACGAGTTTAATGAAATATTCTTTAAAATGTTAAGCAGGAAATGTGATTTATGGCGAAATGGTGGCTAGAAAAGTTGAAATCCATAAATAGATTAATATGAAACGACGAGTGAGGTCTTTTCATGTGAACAACGTTCAGACTCTAATGTTACTTTGTTATTCCATTTCAACGTCACAGGTGTACCTGTCAAAGCATCAAAAAAATCGTATTAAAATTAAATTTGCAAAAACGTTTTGTATTTAGTTTGATTTTCTGAGAAATAGAATCTTCTAAATAAACGGGCTATTACGTAAGCGCCTATAATTACCCCCCAGGGCTTCGAAAGTATATCAATATATCTGCAAAAACAACACGATTATTTTTGAGTTTCTTCCAAGAGCAAATAGCCCGGGTCACTGAGAAGACGTCATCGCTAAATATTGGCGAACCATACACATAAAAATAGATAATAGCGTATTTCTAAGCATCATCAACCCATATAGTAGGATAATCGCGGTTTGCTTTTAATGGCCCTCGGGATTTATTTTCTCGTCTTACTCAAAAACTCTCATTAGAAAATGTTTTGCAAGGGCAGATATTATTGTTGTTGCTGGGAAAAAAACAAAGATGCACCAAATATGAAAATTTCTATTATGAAGCACTGATAAATATGAGTGGTAAATAATAAGTTTTTAAGATTCCTATCATGATGAGACCTAAAATAACCTTACAATATATAAGTTAAAATAAACCATTATATTTGTTAATTTTTTTTATTATGCAGAGAAAATAAAAAGATAAAAATATGGTAAAAATTTCAATTCAAAAAAAAAAATCATCCCTCAAATTATTTTTTTTTATCTTTATGGCACCTTTACAATAAAAATGATTTTTCCGAATAATTGAAATAAAACTTATAAAACATAATTGGATTTAAATATGTTTATAATTTTATTTTCTCCCAGCGTTTAAGAAATATTTTTGATTCTTGATCTGCATTTCTTTTACAAAATTTTCGGTTTGAACGTTTTGAACTTTATTTTGTAAACAATTATTATCAAATTCGCAATTGTCACGGAAACGTTTCATAATTTTTCGTATTCTTTCTCTGATGAAAATTTTCTATTTTTAAAGTCAAAATCTGTGTTGTCGAAAACATTGTAATTAATATTTCATACGCGTTGCGCGCCATATCAAATTTCTTCCGCAATTCTAATTCTTACGTCCCAATTTTAACATAAATATCACGTTCTTCTCATCAAAATTGTGAAGGAGGAGCATAAATAATGAATGAGCTGCGATTAAATATGTTTGACAAAAAAAGATAACTGGATGAAATAATATGGAAGCCATGGGTCTCCCCAGAAAAAAATTGAAAATAACGTAATATCAAAAAAAAATGCTATAGGTAAAAATTTTTGACCTATTGAAATGAATTGAAATAAAAGAGCGAGTAAATTGACAAAGCAATGCGCGAAATAGGAACTAACTTTGAATTCTTCCCGGTGGCCTCAAATTTCCTGTCAAAGACAACAACGCGTTTTTTCTTTCGTTTCGGAAATAAATAAATAACGGGTAGCGAAATGAGTGGAAAAGAATTTCCTTAAAATGAAGACGACAAAATACTAACCGTCATTTGAAATATACTAGGAATAGCACTAAAAATCTAAACGACATTCCATAATTTGAGTGATACAAATATGCACATTCAAAACATTCGTAGTAGTAGTAGTAGTATGATTTTCGTCAAAAGTAATGGCTCATCACATGATGAAATCGAGATTTTACGATCTCGTAATTTTGCATTCGTGCTGCTTAGTATTGAAGTTTCAAATAAAAAATAAATATATAATGAGAGTACTATGGCCAGCATTGAAATGAAACTCAATAAAATTGAGATATTCTTTTGTGGCATCTTTATTCAATCAATAAACTATAAATTTTTAAGACAATATCAATCTACTCAATAGTGTGGAGCCTCGAATCCATAGTATGGCTGCTCGTAGTGGCCATGTCTTCCATAGTGTGGCTCACTGTATCCATACTTTGGCTGCTCGTAGTATGATGGCTGGTAGGCTTCGCTCTCGTGTCCGTGACCGTATCCTTGATATCCCTTGTTGTAATATCCATCGGAATGTCCACCATATTTTCCGTCCTTGTCGTCGTAGGTCTTCTTGTGTCCGTCATCTTCGTGTCCATAATCCGAGTGGGAAGCTCCGTGCTTCTCATGAGCCTTGTCTAAATTTTCAGATTTACTGAACATTTTCGAATGTGTGCTATTGCTTACCGTATCCCTCATAACCGTCAGCGTGATATCCTCCACGGTTGTTGTGCTTGTGTCCGGCGTTGTGCTCATCTCCCGCATACTTATCGGCGTGCTTCTCGTCAGTGTGGTACTGCTCCATATGGTATTGTGGTTGTACGTAGTGGTAATCGAAGAATCCGAAGGTTTTAGTCTTCACGTCTAAACCAAATCAATAAGAATGGTAATGAAAAAAAGGAGAAAATGGAGTAGTACCTTTGTTGTAGTTGGCGGCATCATCAACATATTTGCTTCCGTGAGCCGAATTGTGAGCGAGCTCATTGTGCTTATGTCCAGCGCCATCCTTAGCGTATTCTCCGTGCTCAGCTCCTTTTCCATCAGTTTGATAGCTTAATAAAAATAATAATATGTGAATATTAAAAAAATGAAATTGTTACTTGCTATTAGCGATGTCATGTCCACCGTGCTCCGATTTCTGATGGAATCCCTTTTTGTGAGCAGCGTCCGCGCCATATTCATTGTTATGCATACCATTTTCATGGCTGAAATTTTTTGGATATATGACAAATATGGTATTTATGTGATACCTTGCATAGCCCAATGGATGTGCCAAAATGGCGGCAACAAGAAGAGATGAGCAGATAAGCTGAGGAGTAGAGAACATCGTGTACTGATTCCGATGGTTTCTGTCATCTTTATATACCTTGCGGGATGACCGCGTCTTTCTATAACTAACGTACCAGTAATGTGAGTTTTTACGTTTCCGCCGATTTCACGCTTTTGTTCGTTTCGCACACCGTCTATTATTATGATTATTCTAGCCGGTTTCAATGATGAATGCGAATGCGAGCGTGTGTCCTCGGTGGCTTTTTTTTCAGTCGACCATCTTATATCATGAGAAACACTATCATAATGATGTTGGCATTGTTCATTATTATTTTGCAAATTCTCAAGCAACAAAGCAGTACGGAGAAATGAAGGTTTTACGAAACTTCAATTGATTTCAATGTTCAAAATTTAGTCAGTGATTTGCAATTTTGTGCCGACAAGGCTAAATGTTCAAAAATAATAAATTGTACAGCTATTACCCAAATTTTAAAGACTTATTTTAAAATAATAATAATTTAAAATGTATTTTTCCTCAAACGCAATATTGATTTTTCTCACTTTGAATTATTGAAAAGGAACTTCATAAAAACCACCGTTAAAAATGATACAAAATTAAGAAAAATTGTGATATTGAATAGTAATTCTAGTTAAAACAAAATTAAACTTCTTACTATTCTCAATTTATCAATTATCAATGTTTGAAAACTACCAACCTACGAAAAATTACTAGCTTCGCTAGTCATTATTTTTCCAAGATTTGGCGAAACGAAAACTAACGGTCTTTTAAGGGTGCAAAATTTTGGAAAAGATTTGACGTTGGCTCAAAAAATTCAAGTTGTTGTACACGTGTAATAAAAGAAGTTGAAATTGTACAAACGTATGGAAAAAGAAAACATATATTTTTTAATGTACGCATTAACCGGATATTTTGTTATGAGAACACTCTAAGGACACAAACTAAAGAATTACAAAATGTATGTAAAAAAAAAATTGAATTTTTCGAACAGTAAATAATAATTTTTTTTCTAAATATTCGGATTTTATGGAAAAAATAAACATTGGTGAAAAGAAAAAGTTTTGAGAAAATTTTAAGACAGAAAATGAATTCTACACTTCTGAGCCAAAGCCAAATAAAAAATGTGTCATCAAGAAAAACACATTCGCATAAGCTCAATAGAAATATTTGAACTCTTTCTCATTTTTTTGGCCTCTCCGAATTTGGGAAGTACATAATTTATGAACATATAGAATTGCTAAATTTTTATCGTTATCGTATTTTTTCGGCAATAAAGGAATTCGAGAAAACGTTTTGATCTGTTCAATGATAAAAATCGGGCGATGATTTCGGTTTCCGTTAAAGAAGATTGATAGCGTCTAGATTAGTAGAATATTGATCATGAAATTTTGTAGAGAGAGTAACATTTTGAACTTTCTATCTATCAAAGGAATCAACTTGTGACTGTCTTTCGTCAATATTTTTCTCGAAACGAGTTTTTCTTATCACCGATTCAAAAATGGTATAAAAGAATATCATCAATGATTCTTACCGTAACTTTTCAATCTTTCAATAATTTTTGTAAAATGTGGGATACTATGTCCTTGACGAAATTTCTCATAGACAACAATTCCTTTCCTACTGTAGTTGCTAACATCTAAACTGCATTATAAATCGGTAACGTGAATCTTTAGGTGACCATGGCGGTTCCAAACTATACAGCTCAAATTGAGATGCTGGAAAAGAAAATTGATACTCTGCAGGCAAATTATGCCGCTGACGATAACGCATTTTTCCTATGTTCAATGGGATTGATCATTTTCTGTAAGCATGCGGTCCGTTTTCAAATGTTTAATGAATTTTTAGTGATGCAATGTGGATTTGCATTTCTTGAAGCTGGAACAGTCCGCAGTAAAAACACAATCAACATCTTAATCAAAAACTTGCTTGATTCTTGTAATCCGATTAAACAATAATCGACAAGAATATCCAATTTAGGCATTGCTGTTATCGGTTATTGGGCTCTTGGTTGGGCTTTTGCATACGGTGACGCTCCAAACGATACTGTTGGGCTTTTCATAGGATATTCACAGTTCTTTCTTCATAATTTAACTAATTATCCGAAGTATGCGAATTTCATTGTGGAAAACTATTTCAATTTCAAGATTCTTCTTCCAATACGTATTTGCTGCAACGGCTGCCACAATTGTGTCCGGTTCCGTCGCTGAACGGTGTGAATTTGCTGCATACATATCGTATTGCACAGTTCTCACAAGTATCTCAAATCATTTGAAAGTTGGACATCATTGCTGTAATTTTTAGCTTTTGTTTACCCCATTTTAACCCATTGGGGATGGAACGAGAAAGGATGGATGGCACAAGGAATTACTTCCGACTATATTCACGTGAAATATGATGTAAATTACAGTAAAATAGTTCCACTTTAAAAGTGCATATTTTAGGATTTCGCTGGATCTGGACTTATTCATCTCTGCGGAGGTTCGATATCCTTTGTCGCTGCCTATGTGATCGGTCCACGAATCGGCCGATTCGCAAAAAATGAAGAAGAGGAATCAGAAGAGATTCTTGGTCACTCTGTTCCAGTGAGTTGTTTTCATTTACTTTCCTGACTACTTGTTTCTGACCTTATCAGTACAATATGAACAGCACTTTTGACTTTGAAACAACAATAACACATTTTATTGCAGTTCGCCGCTCTAGGAGGATTCATTCTAATGTTCGGTTTCCTTGCCTTCAATGGCGGATCATTGGCTGACATTGATAACCCGGGAGATGGAAAAACCGTGGCTCTTGTGATGACGAACACGATTCTCAGCGGAGCTTTTGCAGCCCTTACGTATCTCATTGTTCACTACGCTCATCACGGAAAATGGTCACTCCTTTTAACAATTAACGCCTGTTTGGCTGGAATGGTGGCCTCGTGCGCCGGCTGCAACAAAATGGAGCCATGGGCATGCGTTTATAGCGGTGTCGGCTCTGCACTGCTCTACTTGGCGTTGAGCAAGTTGATGATTAGGTTAGTCGAGTCTCAAACAAGAAATCCGATATAAAAATTGATTCTCAACAATTCCCTGGCGGATTCTATATCAAAAATTGCACGCCATTTCGTAGTTTTCGAAAAACTTCACCGAAATTCATTTGAGCGTTTGCTAATTGATTAGTAATAAATATAATGAAATATGCACGTATTCCCTTGTTGTGATATACGCAACACTCTCGCCCTGCTAATTCGCATTCAACATTGGCTTGCCATGCGAGCATTGCCTCCCTTTCAAACTCGCGTGAATGCCCTTTATCAGAAATGATAAAGGCGAAATACGTCAAAAGCCGCGAAACAGCCTTTCAATGAATGCGCGACGCCCTTTCATTCATACGCACTATTTCTCCATACTTCAGAAGCTTATTATTCACATTGCAGGTTGAAAATCGACGACCCACTTGACGCTTTTGCAGTACACGCAGGTGGCGGCTTCTGGGGTCTTACTTCTGCTTCAATCATTGCTCCTGGTGGTGTCGCTTATGCAGTGGTTAATTCTATTGGCGGTGCTTCTGACGGTAATCATCAAGTTGCGCAGGCTTTTGCGGTATATCTATAGCATTCCAAACAAAAACTCAGCCATCATTTTTTTTTTCCAGCAACTTGGGTGGCAATTAATTTGCGCTCTTGCAATTATTACCTGGTCAATTCTAACAATGTGGCCGTTATTCCTTTTTCTTAAAAAGGTATATGTGTAGCGCAAGGAAATTGAATTCTGATTCGTTTATTTTTGCAGATTGGCAAACTTCGTGTTAGCGACGAAGTCGAAATTAATGGACTTGATATTTTCAAGCATGGCGAATCCGCCTATCCATTATATGCCTATGGTCATGGATGGCATGACTTCGAAAAGGCTCCGAGTCGCGGGCATTACAACAAGAGTCAAATTCCAATGGCTCGAAAGCAAACAAGAGTGCAAAGCATCCATCCAGAAAGTTTGCGACTCATTGATCGAATATTATTAAAGTGCACATGGTTTCAGTGAACTTGGAGCAGTGCGCTGCCGTTTACAGTCGGAGCAACAGTGTTGTTGCCAATGAGCATACAAAACGGCTGTTTATGAATCAGTTTGATAGAAAGAGATCGAGAATTCACGATGAGGGGCCAATGAATGAAATGAATGAATATGACACAGAACCGACAAGAATCGCTATATCAAATGGGACCTTTGATGAGCAACATGAACACATTAAATATTGAATCCTAACTATTTGACAAACCATTGGTATTCGACATTTATTTTTGTTTCACATATTTTTACTATATTATTATATTGCAACAAAATGTATATAAAGCATAATAAATTAATTCGCTCCGAATGACACTTTTTGGGATTTTTCCTTCAGAAGCTATTTAGTTCGATTGTCACGAACAGAAAATAAACATTTTCAGGTACATATATGTATAAAAGGGAGTTAATCATCATAAATCTTACGTTGTTCGTTTTCTGCAGAAGGTTCGCCGTAAAACTGGTATTAACGAACGATTTCCCAACAAGATAGGATTTTCAATTTCAATTACAAATTCGAGAATGTTGAACTTTATAAGTTTTTGATTTATGTGGCAAGTTCAAGCAGTGTTTAAACAAAGCTTTATTTCAATTTCCCGTTAACATGATATCGTGTAAGATTGGTTTTGTTGAACAATGAAGGGATCAGAATGAAAATGGTTCTAAATAATTAGATAAAAAACAATATGAATAAAATACACAATCTAATAACATATGGTTAAACCAGTAATGAAACAATTTAACTGCACGAGACAAGAAATGACAAGATGACAAGAAGCTTCAAAAAGTTTTCACCGAATAAAAAATGACAAGATTATGTGAGATGATAGGTTCAAGCAAATTTTCCCCTCTTCGCATCGCCACCATCGACGTCATCGCTATTTTTCCTAAAAATAAATGTCATTTATAAAAATTTTAGCTGAAATTTTTCTTTACCTTTTGATCGATCTCGAAGAGTCATGCTCAAAATCTTCTGTCCAACGTTCACTACTGAATAATGTTTATGAATAATCAAACAATCTTTTTTTAAATCATACTTTGTATTTTTACGGCTAGTATTCCCTGAGCTGGTATCATGATCGTCCGGTTTTACACCTTCTTTCTCCTCTTCCTCTACTGAAGAATCCCGATCTTCTTCATCATCCGTTTCTTCACGCTCCTCCTTATCTTCCTTAGTCATTTCTTCTTCATCCTCGTCTTCTAGATCATCTTCGAGCTCGTCATCTGACGTGTCAGTCTCCTCTTCATCACGTTCCTGTCCTTCTCCTTCGTGAGGATTCCTAGCGTTATGTTCCAAATATCGCGGATGTCCAAGATATTCGTGTGGCAGTGGTTGCTCATCATCATCCGAGTCATCATATACATAGGGACGTTGAAGTTCATGCCAAATCCAGCCAATATCCAGTTCCAATATTTCATCTACAATTCCTCGATGCCATTCAAGGTCTAACATGAAGGCCTCTCTCTCGCCGTAATCATAGTTTTCAAAGTCATCTTGCAGTATTTCCGATTCATCCAATTCTTCTATTATATCATTCGCTAAATCTTCTGAATCCCCAACCATCACTGCACGCAAAACTTCAATAGACTCATCAACAATTCCTTCTACTTCCAGCTTCTCCTCATCCGACAATTGAAGTTCATCATTATTACTAAGCCGGTCATTTTTTCTTCTTCTGTCTGCACTGGCATTGTTTAGACTGCAAAGAATCGCATTGTTTTTGACTTGTTTTTTTTCAGAAATTGACAAAATATATCCCAGAATAAATTATTTAAATCAAACAATATTTTATTCTTAGCCCTTATGAAGAGGAAAGTTAAATTTGATTCATTTGAAAATTATTTAGCATTTCACCAATATTCTTAATAATTGCTGTTTTAGCAATTTTCGGAATTCTTCATAATCTCACAACAGAAATTCTCAGATGAAAAAAGCTAAAATTTTATAGCTTTTCATTCAAAATATGAGATGAGAATAAAAAATAAAATACTGAGAGACAAAAAGCTTTTTCGTATATGAAAAAATCCTACTTTGCATTGTTATCATTTTTTAAAGCTACACATAATAAACTATTTTTGTAAAATAATTAAAAAAGCTGGTTGAAACTAGTTTTTTATTACAACTAACTCCTTCGAACATTTGGGAATGCCACTAATTCTATCAGAACAGAAAAATATTTTCTAATAGTCGATATTCAAAAAAAATTAATAACTTGGTAAAAATCTCACGGATTGTGTCCTTCTTTGATGTTACTAGAACGTTCAGAAACTGAATTCTCGTAGCTCTCTCTCGCTAGTTGGCCGTCTTTCTCATTCCGATCAAAAATTTCCTCATAAGTCATCTTCGTTAAGGTATCCAATTGAGAACTCTGAAACACTCAATTTTGTTCTTGATAAAAGTAGTTTAAATAAATATAAACGTCTGCTCAAATGATATTTAATAGTGAAATTTGTTGAATTTCAATGTTCATTTTGGAATTTTCCTTTGTGAAAAAATTGACGCAATGTTTCTTCAAAAAGAATTCATTAAAATTATCAAATGCAATTTTTCGCGAGTGTGCAAGAATCTTAAACGGAAGGAAGTGTATATATTTTTTAATTTTCTTCAACGTTATTGTGTCAAGCCAAATTTTTACCAAATGAAGTCCTTCAAATGATCTGTACACAGTCATGGAAATGTGACGTTGCATATTTTATACTTCTTGCAAAAAAAGGTTTATTAGAGCTTTGCTCAACAAAAAAGGCATATTTACAATAAACAGTGGACATCATAATGCTTATAATCTTCATAAGAAAACAAAAACGAAAACCACTGGTCACCGCCGATTGTACGACTATATGTAATGAATAGAAATGGAGGCAAGCACGTGTAAAGTTTTTCGAGGCCGATCCGGACCCAAACCAAACATTTTTTTTCGCGCGTGTGGTCAGCCGCGATGCCTATGCGTTGCGTATGCGTCGCAGTGAAGTATTGCCATGGTACGACCCACGAGGCGTCTGGGCTAAGGCCGGCCGGGTTGCCGAAACAAGACGCTTGAAAGAATATAAATAGCTCTTCTTTTAACCTCTTGGTATTATGTAAAAAAAAACCAGTGAACTTGTTTGTGTGACGTCACAATACGATTGAAATTCAAAACTACAATATAATAGAAAGTTATTTATAAAATCAACAAAGTGGTGTTTGACTACATAAAAGTGAATTCGCATATGAAACGGCTTGATTTAATTGTTCCTGATTATTGACTTGCAATGTGCATTTGGCAATCTGGCCAAGCTGCGTCATATTCGCGTTCGGTCCCATTCCAATCGCCAACATTTCCAACCCACTATCATGCAGTTTCTTGGCAGTTGGGCTTGGATCCTGGTAACCCTGTTCAATTCCATTTATAGCATTTCCTTTGTCCCAGCCTTGCGAGCTGATGAAAATTAGAAGTTTTCTAACAGGTTCGGCACGTAATGGCACAATTTCAGTGTTAATATAGTCAAAGATTGATTGCACATTGTTGCCATCGACACCAGTATATCCAAAGCTGTACAAATTGAGAACTTCTTCTTCATATGCACTTATGCCGTCAATAGTGCTCATATTTCCTGGCATATTATAATTAAAAAGAAGCCCGACCAATATTACCTCGGAAATGTTGAACATCGTCATAGGTACCGAGAAGAATTCGGGATTTATCGGCGCCAATCACAATCTCATTTCCAATATCTTTAAATGCTCCAACCGTCTAAAACTATTTCACAATATTCCCCACATTCAAATTTCCATTGAAACAAACCGCGTAGAACATTTCATTTGTGATTCCCGAAGATGAATCGAACGCAATGATCAAGTCGATCTGAAAGCAAAAACATTGATTTCGAAATCATTCCTAATCATTTCCTACATTGTTTGTGGCTGGATCACACTGTTCAAGTGTTGTTGCTGGTTGTTGGCTAGTAGACGTGTCAGGAGCTTCAGTAGGAACATCAGTGGCTAAATTAATTCAATTCGCTCAATATTATACCGAACACATACGTCGTGGGGGAATATCTCCATCACAATGGATGGTATATGTTCTTCTGAACGGATGGCCTTCATAATCCAAGCCATCAATTGCAACGACAAACGCATTCTTCACACATTTGAATGTTCTGAAATAGGGAATTCTGCAAAATTTTAATAGAGAATCAAACTTTTGTGAGATGTATTGATAAGCGCATGCGCTTCGTTTAATCAACGGACTAGCCCAGATTAGTCGATTTTCATTCAAATCATATATTTGGCTGTAAGTTAGCACAACATTCGCATCGACATCGACAACAATAGCATTCGAGAAATCTCCAGCGCGTGGGAATAATACAGCAGATCCGTCGTGTAATCCATCATCGGAAGCAACGTCCTGGGTGAATCCGAGATCAATTTCCAAATCCGAAGTTGTTCGAATATTAATCTAGAAATTTAAATTTGTAAATTCGAATGTTTACAGCTACCAACCGTGCATGGACCACTATGCGCTAAATTGTAATCAACATCAACGGTCCAAATTCCTGGCCCATCTCCTTGCTTCTTGAAAATTGCTGCCTGGTTTGTCTTTGAAGAAACAAGAGTGAATGTATCGACAGCTTTCTTGTCAGCATCATAAACCATGATTTGCGAGGCGCTTTGTGAGAAAACATCAACGACAATTTCCGAACCATTCGCATCCAATTGAATGTAGTCCATATAATTTGAGCAACTACTGAAAATTGACAAAATATTCAAGAATATAACAATTTTTGTTGGCATACTTAAGTTGATGAGTCAAAATGAAGTATGAATGGTGCAAACTTGAAAGTACAAGTTCCCATGTATTTTCCAAATCATTTGGTGATGCCAACTGAAAAGTTCAAACAATTTGGTTTATATCAAATGAAATACGTACCTGATAAGTCGTTCCTCCACTAATATGCGCTGCTTCAAACATTGATCTCACTGTCGGATCATCGTAGGTTGTTGCATCTCCTGGAGGCTTGGTGTCTCCAATAAACATGAAGTGAACCGAAGAATGCGACATCGCTAGAGCACTGAGAACCGTTTGCCTATCAACAGTGTCTTCGGCATTTCCAGTCGTTATCACGAAAACCTTTGAATTTGGTACCACTTTCGAGTGAGTTAATGCTTTCACAAGACCAGTGAAAACATTACGCTTTTCTTGTGTAGCTTTATATGGATTCTTCTTGATTTCATCCTAATATTAAATTATTGTAAGTCCTTGAATACGGCTTTTATCCTACCGCTATAAGTGATGCAAAAGTTGTATAGTTATCAGTAGAGAATACTTCCGAAACTGGCTTCACAGGTGGTTGAGCTCTTGAAGCTTCAACATCACGGAAGACAACTCCGACAAACGTTGTAAACCAGTGAGGATCTTGCCTCTGTAAATTGCTTTTATCTTATTTTTAGAAAAGCAGAATATCAACATCAATTGTGCTTAGAACGTCAACCAGCGTTTTTTCAATATTATCGAGAACATCTTTCATTAAGCCATTTGAAGCTCCATCAATTGCAACAACAAATGTTCGCGCACTATCGGCTATTTCAGGAACGTTCAATTGATTGCGAGTACAAATTGCTGAAATTTTCTAGTTTTTTTTTTCATGTTGAATGCAAAAAAATAAAGATCCCACGAATTTCACAAAATTGGCCTTCAAAATCATCGGGACAGCTGCATTTTCCAAGTGATGCTGACAAAAATCCGCCATTTTGGCTGTATGCGTACTGGCAAGTCTCTCCATAGAAGTTTGGTGTGCAAAGGCAGGATCCCTAAAATAACAATAAAAAAAACGACGCATTTAATTATTATATTAGTCACCTTATGGAAAACTCCATCATTTGTGCAAGAATCCTTGTCAATGCCACCAATGCAAGCAGCTGGAACAATTCGCTGATAAAGGAATCCAGAATCATCAACTCCTGAAACACTCAAACGTTTGCTGGAAATTTGTTTTAGTCACTATTACCTGTGATGAGCATTTGATAGAAGAAATTTGGACATTTGAACGGAGTTGAATAGTAACTAAACAAGCAGTTTCCACGATATGAGATTTCCTATAATTATATTATCAGGAATGAAATTATAGAAACAATTAATACTTCCGCATCAATTATTGACATGTCATCATAGTAGAAGTGAACATATTCCACAGCGCGATGATTTTTTATTCCATTAGCATACACAATTAAGCGATTGGTATCTGAACGATACAATTTTCATGAGAAGCCTATCAAAAATACCGGTGTTCTTGTTTGGCTCTTCTCTTCCAACATCGTCATGAATATTGCTGGTGAAGCGAGTTGCCACTTGAACAGACGATTGAGATCGAATCGCAATACTGCAAGACCCCTTTCCTTTGATTTGAACTTGCCAAACTCCTCGTGAAAGATGATCTAAAGTGAAAAATACTAGTATGTCTATTGAATATAAATGTTCATACTGATTCCAACGTCTGTTGGCTCGTAATCAACGGAATCTGGAAATTTTAAAAATTTCAGATATATAACTTCGGATGAATGTTACACGTATGTTTCATGCAAGAGTAATAGTGAGGCTTGTCGCAGGGTTCTGTAATCCATCCGTACTCCCCTCTTCTATTAGAATCAAGAACACATCTTTTTCCTTCTTGATTATCAGGTTGTCCGTTTTGCCAATTGGTGAACTTGGTATCATCCAGCTAAAAAATTTTCACATAAAAAATTTTTGGCTCAAAAAGTGATAAATATTCACCGAAAGATTCAAGCTCGCCTCAATTGTGTCCCATTTGTATGTTCCAAGAGTTTCCATATCGTTTAAGCCAATCCAAAACTGCACACCTTGTGAGCTGGCTTAAAATATACTATGCATGATATATGTAACTGCTCAATGAAATTTCCTTACCATCCAAAAAGCTTTGCTCATTACTGTTGAAGATTGATGACAACGCTGCACCTTCAGCATGACAAGCTGCCCTGGCATCACTCCAAGACAAGGGTTCAGACGAGAAATAGTAACAATGCGAGTCTTGAAGCGCCCAACCATCGTCACATTCTGAAAATTCCACTAAATATTGAAAATGTAATGTGTGCGACCTCTAATAATGTGATCCATTCGGCTATTCGTTGCATAGTCATTGAATGAATTTTCTGGATTTATAGTAGTACCTTCAAGAAAATTATTAAATTCTTATCGAAGTTTTGTTGTACCATCTGGTGCCTTATATACAGGTTCCGTATCAAAGTAGCCTTGCAAATAGCTAGTGAATGATTGAGTACCATCATCAATCGGAAAGTAGAACGTGGCATTGGTGCAATCATCAGCAGCATCCTCATACACCAAATTTGACATATAATTTGTTGGAACAGTGTTGAAAACATTTCCAGCATTTCCGCTAGTCGCAGTAATGAAGGATCCTCCAGAAAACTGCGTGAGCGAAATAAGACCATCAATAGTGATATCTTGACCGCACGGATTCAAACTCGATTGCACTACGTTGATCTGAACAATTTTTAAAATATTCAATTGTCTTGACGAATATGTACCTGAATCTTGTTGACTTCAATTCGCTGCAAAATTTTTGCATAAGAAGCTTGATCTTTTTTTGGCTGACCGTAAAGGAAGACGTATACAATTCCTCCCCATTGAACACTAAACATTTTTTCTACTACGAATTTCACTAATTCTTTCATTCTCACTTGACATGTGAAATCGTTTCCAGAAGAGTTGCATAAAAGTCAAGGTTCAGGCAGGAGTACTTAAAGTAAAAAAAAATATACTGGAGGCTCATTTGACTTCAACTTACTCCACTATGTTGTTTGTTCGCATTATACATATCAGTAACAGCTCGAACAAATTCGTCTCCTTTTTCAGTATCAACCAACAAGGAATGCACCGAATCATTAAAAGTAACCAATTGATAATTTGAAATCCATTTTGGATGTTGGTATAAAATATCATTGATCACTCTTGCCGATGCATCATTCAACGTTCTCATGGTAGCTCTTGTTGTTAAACTATCATGAACCATAACGGTTAAGCTTCGATGGTTGAAACCCCAGAATCCGTATCCATTATATTCATGACATTGCACGATTTCGCAGAATTGTCCCGAGTATCCCGCTGGGCACTGGCATACACCAAACAACGCATTTCCGCTGTGCTCGCAAACGATACGCTGGCATCGATCTCCAGTGAAGTGGGCGCTGCATTGGCAGGTTTTGTTGTAGAAAACGCCACCATTCAAGCAATTATCGGTTGGTGTTGGTTCGGTGGTTGAACAGTAACTGGTTGCGGTACGAACGACAACTTGGTCGTACGCATCGGTTGTGTAAATCTTAATTAATTTATTTTAAAATTTATTTACGAAGGATTGTTTTTCAGCATCTCTTACATTAATGTAAATTGGAAGATATGCTTGCGGGCACACGAATTTTCCAAAGTATAATTCGTATTGGCAAGAATCCCTCCACATTCCCGACGACGCAAAAAGAAGAATGCGTTCGCTGGTGGATGGGTCTAAAAATAAATTTGGTAACGCAAAAACAACATGTGAGTTTGCCAACCATTGTACCAAACGACCGCCTCGTTTGTCGATTCAAGTGGATCATCAAGAAGCAATGAATCCATTCTTGCAACAAGATGAGCTGGTTGTTCTAAATATTAAAATTAATTATTTATACCGTTGACATTTCAAAATCACGATAAATTGGTGCATTATAAATGTTGTCGACATTAATATCAGAAGACAGTGACGCGTAAAGCCTATATGTCGATCTACCCATTAAACGATACTGGCATACCGACGAGTGAGTAGTATTGGTGTTGATATTAAGCTAAATTTAGTAATTTTCATAAAAAATTTTTATAAATACATACAAAATATGCTCCGACTGGTGGGTTTTCAAGCCTCCATACGTACACATCATTGTTAAAGTATGAAACTGGTGGTGTGATTTGGGTCTTATTCGGTAATGTTAAAATAGGAGATAGATTTGCTGAAACTCGTATTGATTATTCTACAACTAACAAATGTTTTTTTATTGTTACTTCCGGTTGCTTGAAGCATCACAATGTCAATTGATTGATCGATGAAGAATGGCTGAAATTGTGGAGCTTTGCGGCAATCGGTCAAATCATTCACAAGAAGACTATCCAGTTGCCAAAGATCTTGAGCCAAAGCAAACGTCGCTTCACCAAGTTGCATTAGTTGTGGCTGTACGAGAAGCCCTCGCGACAACTGGCTGATCAATCGAATTTGGTCGTAGCTGTTGGAGCTGACATCAATGTTACATTTTCCAGAAGCCGAATCGGTCATCATAAAGAAAATCTTGAAATTGAATTTTAAAAAATGGTTCAATTAGCGTTGGTAAACTTGAGAGCGTGTATTCGAAACTTGTTCCATTAGGTATCCCATTGTGGTGAGGTCGTCGTTGGCGGTTCCATCGGAGAACACAAAAACAGGCGAATTCTAAAATTTGAAATGTGTAAAGTGTTCCATTGATGCTTTCTTACTGGATATTTTTTGAATGAATTCGTATCAAGTGTTTTCGAAATGGCTTCCATAAGGCTTTCATCGCACTCTGATTCTGTTGAAGGTGTCACGATGCTTCGAATCGAGTCGACAAAATTGGAGCCCGAATCATATTCATGAACAAATTTGATTTCATTGTTCGCAACAACAGTGAGAACGTAAGATTGTAGGAAAATTGGGTATTTTTCATGGTAGTATTGAACAATGTTATTTGCGGCCTCAGTAATCTGAACAGATTAGATTTATTTCAAGAAAATAGATATGATGTTCACCTCATCTAGTTGAACTTTCATTGATGGTGATGCTCGAATCACGAAAGCAATCGCGCTTTGAGCTTCTTCGAACGTATCCGAACTTTGGGTTGTGCACGCAACTAAACAAAACTATTTTAATTCAGAGCATTCTTTTCCCAATGTTAACCATGTTCGCAATGCCTTCCTGAATATCCCGTTTCACAAATGCAACTGGATCCATCATCGAACACGGTTCCTCCATTCAAACACACAGAAGTTTCGCAATTTGCGCCGGTGAATAATGATCCGCAATAGCAACCCTGGAAACAGAAAAATCATTTGATGTTCGAAAAAAAATCATCCTTTTTCATTTTTCTTTTTTCTCGTTGATTGGAAAAATGCAATGAATCGGTTTCTCTCGAATTCGCTATTCGGTTTTTTGTTTCGTGTCCGAAAAATTACAACATCATCGGCTATTTCGTTGGAGACGCCTACACTCAAACAGGAAAACTTCCGTAAACGGCGGCGAGAGACGATGGCAAATTGAGATACGCTACATTTTTTTTCTCCAGAAGGTATGCTATGATCGGTTTGATAAGGAACAAGGAAAACCTTTACCGGTTAGTTGGTTGACGTTGAGTAGTAGTATAAAAGGGCAGGGGGAATGCGATAAAATCATCCCACTCTCGACATGGGCAAACTCATCGTGGTTGGTTCATGCGCCATTCTGGCATGCGTCTGCGTTTCCATCTTCACTATGGGAAGCCTCCTCCAAGAGATCAGCGAACTCGAGGTTGAGGTTCACGATGGCATGGATGAGTTCAGAGTTGGAAGAGACTTCCGATTCGTTGAAATGAATATCTCAATTTTCAGGAGATCACCCAGGACACCTGGTCGCGCATGTTGGGCAAACACTTGAACCCAACCGGCCTTTCGGATGCCCCGCCAACCTTCGAGACATTGTTCGGCGTTCGCCGCTCGCGTCAATCTGGATTCCCAGAGCAGTGCAACTGCGGACCACGTTCCGAGGGATGCCCACCAGGACCACCAGGTCCACCAGGACAGCCAGGAGCCAAGGGAGCTCCAGGAAACGATGGAGATGATGGAAAACCAGGAGCGCCAGGTGTCGTCGTTGCCATCACTCACGACATTCCAGGTGGATGCATCAAGTGCCCACCAGGACGTCCAGGACCACGAGGACCACCAGGAGCACCAGGACCAGCTGGACCAGCCGGAAACAACGGACGTCGCGGACCACCAGGACCACCAGGAGGACCAGGAGAGCAAGGACCAGGAGGAGACTCCGGACGCCCAGGAAACCCAGGACGCCCGGGACCACCAGGACCACGCGGAGAGCCAGGAGTCGAGTACAAGCCTGGAAATCCAGGACGTCCAGGACCACCAGGACCACGTGGATTGCCAGGACCAGCTGGAAATCCAGGAGCCCCAGGAAACGATGGAGAGCCAGGAAAGAACGGCAACCCAGGACGTCCAGGACCACCAGGACATCCAGGAAAGAACGGACAGCCAGGAGGCCGTGGAGAGGACGCCGCTCCAGGACCAGACGCTGGATACTGCCCATGCCCAGCCCGTGCTACTTACAGAGCATAATTTGGCTTCTCAAAATTTTCGTAGATTATTACTTTGCAGCCAAGTAATAAAATGGCATTCAAAACTTTTTCATTGAACAGATCGCAGAAAAGAAAAACGAAAACTTACACTGTTGTACAAAACACCGCCATTCTCACAGAATGACGCGGGTGTCGTTGAAATAGTGGAACCAACAGTCACGTCGACCATGTTACAATCAAAATCATAAATTCTTTGGAATCGATATCCCTCGGCGTCATATCCTGAACGAAGTTTGAACAAATGAACAATGTTTCTATAATTTTCACCTTGCACTTTCACGTGGTACAAGTTTTGCGCAACGCAGGTGTAAGTTCCGTTTGTGATATGCGGAGCATTACATCCATATCTTTCAGAATTTCGTTTTGTTGTATTGATTGAAATTGTTGAAATACCTAACAGTCAATCCGTATTCACTGTCATGAACTCCATTTGCGTAAATATGAACCTTTTCAGTATGCACTGGATACTCCTCATGTTCAATTTTGAACGCCAAATAAGATTTGTCATACTAAAATAATTAGGAAAATTTAGATGTTTTTATGCTTTTTCAGATCACCTCATTGGGAAACCGGAAGATTCCTTGATTTTTGATTGGAAGAATAAAATGTTGAATGTCGTCGTCTGTTGGATCAACAACGAAGCCGCCATCGAGTGTCAAGTTTGTTGGTGCGCGAACTTCGAAGATGCATGGCCTGATTATACAATTATGATAATATTGCCAATGGAATATTAATAATATTTGTTTGCTATTTAAAAAAAAATAAATAGAAGTAGGAAAAACCATTAGAAATATCCGAGGACCGCAAAAAACGGAAATGACACCACGGCCACTGGCGCATTATTTCCCGGCCGCTCTCAAGTTACATAATTTTTGGGGAAATTTATCGTTGTCGGCGTCAAACAACTGAACGAAATAAAAAAAATATATACATATATAGCCTATTTGACAAGGTGTTTCGAGGCAACTATGCGTTTTAGCCATTTAATATTCAATCAACATTAAATTTTTTTACGTATATCTACACAAAATTTCGCTGAATGCACCGCCTTCATTTCGTCGTTTGACACCGACAATATCGTTCTTACATCTCCGACGTCGCCTTCAATTTGATCTTATACATCCCTAATCCATGAACTTCTTTTGGATTGCAGAACATGTGGATAATCTGGTTCGGTGTGTTCGTGAAATCGCCGCAACTTTCCACTTCCACACCAAATGGATTATATAATGTGGCGGAAGGTTGACCCTCATCGAAAGTGCTAATAACTATGAAAAATTCTTCCATAAACGAATCCACTGTGAAAAGAAACTCATCGCTACAGGTTTTACTAAAAATGTTCGCTCTTATGTATATTTTTTTTAAAGGAGCAAAACCTGAAATCAGTTTCAACCAGGTCTCCAAACCCAGCAGTACCATCGTGTGGTAAAATTGGCACTGTTTTATTGACGCACATTGCTAAAGCAAATATTTTTAAAAAATGGGATTCGAATTTAAAATTCATATACGTATAGAGCAGTCCTCTCCAGTAAATCCTGGCTTACACGGAACTATCGAATCCTCATAAAATATTGGTTTGATATCAAACGTTTCCGGAAAAACGGGATAGTATCGTTCAGAGACCAGCGGGATGTTTGCATTGGATAGATAGTTCAGCTTATCGGATACTGAAATTTTAACAACTATCTAATAGTACATTTCTTCAATATAAAAAATATGTAGTAACATTTTTGAATCTCAAATCTACCTACGTTTTGAAAATAATTCTTGACTATTTCCTTCAACACGATTTGAGTTAGCTATTCCAGCCAAGACCAATATGGAAAAATACCATTTGAACATTTTGCTGGAATAAAAAAATGTGGCTAAAACCGTAAATTAAACAAATGAAAGCAACTTTTATCATTTTGATCCAAATTTGATGCTCTTAATTGCTGGCAGTCGATAAGCAGATTAGCATGATAGAGTAATCATATTTTATTCTCCGCAGAGAAACACACCCATTTCTTCGCCATCATCTCAGATTGCCAATTGAACAAAAAAGAACTCATGGAATCCTCTGCAAACACACCGACCAGGCAGTGATTCATAATTCTATGGGAATCCGATAGATCATCTCAACTCGAATAATGGACAAGAAAAGATAGTGTGGAATGAGTTGTGTTTGCGCAATCGTTCGAGCTTCAAAAAAAATTGTCCAACACCGCCAATACAAACAATAACACGCACACAAGGCATTTTTTTGCGCTTGCCCGCTGTCTTACATTTGTGCTGCATTTTGATACACATTTGCAACGCCAGCTGTCAACACTTGGATTTTCGATTGTCGAACATTGTCCATGAAAAATATTTGGATTCTTTCGTGTTTCGCAGAAAATGAAGCACTGGAATGGAAATTGAGAAGCGAAAACACAAAAACCCGAAAATCGACTAAAAAAAGAGGCGAAGGAAACTATGCCAACAAACATTCAAATAACTAGAAAATAACTATGAAAAAATTAATGAGTGAACGGATTAAAGATGTCATTTCTGAAAATGCATTTAAGTGAAAGACTGAAAATTTTGTTATGAAATCAGGGCGTCACTAGCCATCAAAAATCCAGCACTTTCAGAATGATACAAAACTCAATAATATTTTATGCTGCAATTACAGTTCGAATTAGAAATTTTGATCTTAATTCACTATTGTTTGAGCTGAGCAGCGAACCAATTTTTTTTCACAGTTCAAGACTTCAATTCAAGTGCCGAAAAACCTGCTCTGATTATTAAGTATATTATCAATTATTTCGAACTTTGAGCAAACACAAAATCTTCTCCAATCATTTCGATTTTGATGTCAATGAAGCGTTTTTTTTTTCATTATGATTTTTTGATACATGGTATTTTTCCAAATATTGACTCGTTCTTCCACACACCTCTCAATTCAAATAACTACATGAAATAATTCTACACGTCAATCCCTTGAAAAGTATCAATAGTGAGCGAAGCGTGGAAAATGGGCGGTATGCGTGTTTGCCGCAATCGTGTTTGTTTGCGATTTACGTGTCCAAACGCTGTGGGCGATCGCAAGCCTACCGTATTACGGGTGCGGTCTGCGACGGCAAGCATAGATAAAGTCGTTTCCGCGCAGTTTCGACGGACCGAGCTTCTGCCTTTTCTTCTTTCCATTTCCTCGCTAGAGTTGTGTTTCCTGAACACCGCATATAATGTTATCATTACCCGCGACAAATAGGTTACTAGTTATCGGCTCGATATGCATATTCTGTCTAGTACAGGTACTGTTTAAAAATATTTTTTAAGTAATTGGAAAAATGTGATTTAAACTTTTCAGAATTCTTCCGGAAATCAAACCATCGAGCTTATCAACGATCAGATGCGACACTTTTCGAATGTACCACGAATGAAAGCGTATATATTTTTTGTAACTTCGTACCGCAATTTTTTTTTAATTGTAGATACCCATATATGGCGCCCGAACGAGTTATAGAAAAGGCGTATAGCAGAAAACACAAGAAACCGCAAAATGCGATATACTATTCTCCAGAAGCTTTTTCAGCACCATCAAACGATTGTAACATTGACAGGAAAACGATTCACACAAATTTTAATATTTTCAGTTCCAATGGGAATGCCGGGAAATGCTATGCCAGGAGCTAGAATTCCGCCACTTCAAGTTGTTCATCCACCATCTCCTAATGAAAAGGATTGGGTGCTCACTGCAGGTTCTTTTTCTTTATTCTTTTTCGTTCTTTTCATCATTATTGAACTTCTCTAGGAAACGAGAGTCTAGTAGACAATGTGCTCGCAATTTCTCTTCAATATGGAGGTCGACTCGTTTCAATGGGATACTATTTGCGAAACCAAGATGTCAATTATTATGCAATAATGCATAAATATAATGGTAGCGTGCAATTTACCATATTTACAAGTATTGAGTGTTCAATTCTACAGGACCTGTTTTCATCAAACCAGCTCCAATGACATTCGACGAACTCGTGCGTGCTGTGAGAGAGAATGAGGCGCGTGATTTGGCGTTGACCCAAGTTTGTGGTCAAGAAGGAAAACCTGGCGAAATCACATTCACAACATATTGGGAAAGAGTTCCAGGAGCAGAGTATCATGTAAATAGAACTCAAAGGGGTTGCAGGGTTTATAAATGTTGGTCTAGATTTGGTTCCCAGGGCAACCTCACGCAGACGAGCAAAAGAAACATTTTGAGCAGAATGGGTTCCGATTAACCTATCTTTGTGGTTACACTGAAGCTGGAAAAGGAAAGTAAGTGCATAGAAATTTCTTCAAAAAGAATTGCATCTATTGTTTAGGTATGTTGGAATTTGGCAGAAGCCTGCCCTTTCGATAGCTCAGTATGAAGCACATTATGGTCTTACTATGGAAGCATGCCTTCAAAAGGATAAAATATTGGTGCAGAAAGGATATGTTGCGACTTCCTTGAGAGTTTTCAATAATAGAAATCAAGTCCTCTGTACTGGTATTTGGGAAATGCGCAATGGAAGAAGTACTGTACTAGTGGGTCAAGACCTCCAAGGAATGTATAGGTATTATGTAGTTCAATTTTTATTAAGCAATATTTGAATTTTAGGAATATGCAACGAAATCCCAATATGATTCCACGACAAATTTCGCATTTCATGGATAATTATCAAAATGTGAGAGGAAAATTAAAAAAAAAAACATCAAAATCTGTTTCATTTTCAGGTGCAATATGTTGTGCTTTGGAGCGATGTTGATAGTAATCGGTACCCGAACCCTCCACCACTCTGGGATGAGGCGTAAGCATTCAATTCAATTCTCATAATTATAGCAATTGAAATTCCAGCCCGATCCCTGTCCGATTCCTGAGAGGCTCGCCGGAACTTTTGAAAGACGACCAAATGGAGTTTCTAATCAAACGCGTCGAGCATTTCATGAAAGACCTGAACATTCCCGGTCTCTCAATTGCAATTGCGAAACGGGAGCAACTCAAATTCGCTGCAGGTATGCCCATATTTGCTTTCATTGGTTTGTGCGAAACATGGACATGAATCATGCCAACACAAAATAGACGAAGAAAAGAGGAAGGTGGGGGGGGAAGAAAAAAAAACTGTCCAGCACCGTTGTGAACGGTTAGAAACAATCGGATTAATAAATAAGCAAGACGGAACTTAAGCCATGCGCCGAAAAAAAACCAACATTTTGCCAGGCAAGGCGGTCCAAATGTATTCAACCCAAAAGAGGGATGTTCCAATTTATTAATTCAAAGTGTCTTTGCATTTTAAATTTCAGGATTTGGCTATACTGACATCAGAAAGGAAGAAGTCGTGACCCCCAATCATCAATTCAGGTGAATCCTCTTAGAACCAAAGTATTTACTGATTAATTAAACTTTCAGAGTGGGTTCAGTTTCTAAACCAGTTACCGCATCTGCAATTATGCTTCTAATTGATAGAGGACATTTTACATTAGATTCAAAGCTATTCGGACGGGAATCAATTTTTGGTAGCTTGATTTCCTTCATGATTTTATAACAATTTCACTTATAGGCTCTGAGTTCAGTAAGAAACATCAATATCATCGCTATGTCACTGAAATTACTGTTCGACATTTGCTGGAACATACTGCTGGTTTCTATTGAAATACTATAACTAACCAATAGTTATCAGCGTATTATGAATTTTGTGCCATTTCTAGGTGGTTGGGACAATTTGCAATCGGATGCTGCTTGGATTCAACCTGAAATGAACACAAAAGAGCTCATCGAGTACGTTCTAGCCAATGTTCCGCTTGAGTACAAACCGGGAACAATGTGGATTTATTCGAATTTTGGCTACCAATTACTAGGTCCCTCAGTAAATTTCAATATGTTTTCAACTCTTGTTCTTAAGGCTATTTGATCGAAACCACCACCGGAATGTCGTATGAAGCATTCGTCAAGAAGAACATTTTCGCTCCATCTGGCGTTTACGATATTCAACTGGCGCGGCCGACAATCAGCGAGCGTGCACCGTGAGTTTCTAAAATATTTTACGAGCTTGTAAAAATTTGTGTAATGTGTGTGCGCTTGCAGAAGAGAAGTGATGTATTACATGTCCGGAAATGGTTTGGGATTCAATCCATACGAAATGTTGCCACCAGAGAGAATCGGACCATGGGGGGGATGGATTGCCAGCCCTATTCAGCTTCTCATGTTCATGGTTCGTGATTCAAAATGATGACATAGAAAAATGCGGGATGTTAAACGCGAAACGATTAAAAAAACCTAGAAAATAACGGTCACTCTAGTACTTTATGGTATTGGAAATTGAAAAACTATAACTTTATGCCTAATAATAAAGTTGTCAAATATTGAAGAGTCGAATTGATGGTTTCACCAAGCGCACTGATATTCTGAGCGAAGATGCTATTATTGATATGTCAACCTCATCGCTAGCTTCAAACGATACATATGGTATATTATTCCACTATTCCATTTGGGATGAGGCTTGATATAAATTTCAGGACTTGGTTGGTCTTTAAATATAATGGGATTCAATGGTTGGCAACATGATGGTAGAATGCCTGGAAGTGCTGCTATGCTTGTAAGACTTGACAATGGATTGGAAATGGCTGTAACGGTTAACAAGGTTGGTGAAACTGTTTCAAAAAAATCTTTATTTTAATTCTTTATAGGAATATTCCGAACGTGACTTCTTCCATGAGCTCGGCTACGTATTGCATCATGTCGGCAATAATTGTGATTGGTGGAACGATGACGTCGATCTATTCCAAAAGAGTCGCCGATCATCCCGACAAACACCACAGATGTTCTACAGAGCTTTCAATAATTCATCATAACAGTGTTGATGATAATTTAAGTATTCTAAAACAAGTATTTCTAATTTATTGCTTCTGACTCCCATTGCTGATTTTCTTGTTATTTTTCATGCAAAGTTTATCCAATTATATTCTTTTTATTTATCAACGGGTAAACCGTGTCAATAAAATATAATTTTTTTAATGGAAGAGTTTATGTTCGCTCTGGGATTGGTTGAGATCATGACTGTGATTAATTTCACTTGACAGTTTGAAACGGAAAAACCAAAATATGTAAATGATTGTTACAGTGAAACGAGTGTGGGCTGCTCATAATATTCACTAGAGTTTTCTGGCGGTGTGGCGACGTTAGAGGTGTAGTCCGAAGATTGACTAGAAGCAGATGAAATTTGCTAAACATATCTAATGACAAAGCAACAAAATTGTTAGTAAAATCATACCGAGGCGTTATCGATGATAGACAATGGCTGGGGAATGCCCGGGGAAATATTGCCGCCCTCCCGATTTTGCATACTTCGACGGTATTTGGCGCGAGCGTTTTGGAACCACACCTGAAGCACTCGTTTCGTGAGCCCGGTTTTCTGGGCGAGCTGCTTCAAATCCTTCGCATCCGGATTATGATTCAAATTGAAATACTGCTTCATTGTTCGCAATTGATGATGTTTGAATGAGGTTCGCATTCGCTTCGAACGAGCATGGTTCATGCCTTCCTCTTCAGTTTCTGTAATTACGACACTTAGAATCCCTCTGCCTTATAACCAGCTGGGTGTGCTAGGGATTAGCAGTTACACGGGGCGCACTTGAAATCTGATTCTTTAAGGTATCAAATCTCCAGCCACCTGTGATACCGAACATGGCTCCCCTCTTATTTGTTCTTCATTTATTATGCGGCACATGAAAGGCACATCAAAGGTTATTAACTATTACAATTGCAATTGAAGGGAAATGTATAGATTTTTTGAAGAATTTCTAAAAACCTTATATCTAATACTCGGAATATGCCCATCGCATTTTTTTGACTATAGTGTATATTCATAAAGTTTTGTCTAAAAACACACGTCTTCATATAAGAGCTCATGCTCATTCCCCTCTCAACATGCGCATTGCATATACACATGCCGCAAAATAATGAGAAGTGTCTCTCGACTCATGCAACGGCATACGGTAGGATGCGCCAATTAAGACAAGACATCGCCTCACCTTCCGGCTCTTCCGAATTGTCTCTTTGTGCCGACGCAGCGGGAGGTGCTTCTTCGCGCAGGACCGTATTACATACGACTTCGTAGTGGGCTGCAATTAGATAATCTCAGTGTCCTAGAATTTCAAATCGGACATTTGAAACAACGAATTAATTGGAAATGATGATAGAACTTACAATGGCAGAACAAATGCTTTTGAGCGGACATTGTGAAAAGGTCACCCTTATTGAGAGTTGCGTTGCAAATCTGAAAATTTGCCTCGTTTTCAAAAAAAGGGATTTGTTAATAATTATTTAATAAGCTTATGAATGAAATTTTTGTAGTTTTTTTCAAAATTTCGATTTTCAAAAAATAAAACTAAAGTATGCCAAAAGAAAATGAAACAAAAATTAGAGGAAAATTTGGTTTTTAAAAATAGCGTCGCATTGGATTCGCCACATCGTCTGCTAGGAGGCACAAACAGGCTTTGTAATGGTCAAAACTGCTTAGACAACATGATTGAGCCTATTATCTCGACACTATTACTATAATAGGGTCTGCTGGACATGACTAACATGAAATACATGAATCAACGTACATAGCATGAGAAGCAGGAATGGTGAAAAACAGCATCTCGGACTTTCATTACAATATCGTCCTGAGTGATGGTTCCATCGCATTTCGCGCATTTTTTGCGGAACTTTCTGCAATTCAATGAAATCATTTCACCATTCGGGATTTCTATTTTTCACGATAATTACTTTGCGTAATCATTTCGGCATAACAGCTGTCCATCTTTCATAAAACATGTCTGCTCAAAGCCCATTGGAAGCTAAAAAAAAAAGAAACAATGAGCTCGATTTCTTATCGTGAACCGAAAACCTCGCAACTGGCGCATCGTACACAATTGATATGATAAGGCTTCTCTTCGACATATGCGGTTATTGGCTCAATTATTGGATAGCGGCAGACGTTGCATGTCGGAACCTCTGAAAATTAGAAACACCTTAATTATTCAATTAATTTCTGACTGTTACGATGTTTAATTGCAAGTAGTCCGGAATTGTTCGGCTTGTACTCATTTGTGAGGATGATATCAGGAATTGGTGATGAGTCGGAGCCGGTCAGCAGCAAATAATGATTCGGCGACACCTCCTGCTTCACTTGAATATCAGATAAGATCTCGCACTTTGGATTCGGTTCAATTGGCTTTGGCCCGTTTGTAGCATATATCATGTCCAGCATGAACAGCTTTCTACAAAAGAAAATCATATCTCAAATGAGGGAATTCCATTAAAGCAAGTGATAAGGAATAGAGAATGTTACAAAAAAGAACATTGATTTTGTACTTATAAAACTAGATTCGAATATATAACATTTCGAGAATGTGCCCATGGCGCGAAAATTTTGTCGCCAGTCAACGCAAATCCGATGCATCGCTCTCGGCGAGGCAACCCCCCCCCCTTTACCAAAACACGGGGCCGATGATTTCAGATTAAACACTCACTCTCTCCTAACCAGATTTCTCATATACAGTGAAATATATTTTTTTTTCACTGCTCCTCCTATTAAAACACCTATCGCTGACAGCGTATTTATGACAAAAATTTTTTACAGTAATCCGGCTTTGAACGCAAAAACAATGCATAGTGAGCGGTTCACATGCCATGAGATGTTTTTTTTTTTTTGGTTGCCTTCCTTTTTGAGGCGTTGAGGTTTTGAAAACAAACGTTAACAGCCCTAATAAAAATGATAACGGAAAATGGCAATTCCAAATGTCCATCATAATATTGCTTTTAACAAAAACATAACTATCTGGCGGTTCCCAAATGAATACCTGAAGGCGAGTCGAAAACAAGGTTGAATCAACAAAATAAGCAATTTTATTCAATTAAAATATTATTGAATTATTTTTGGAATCTCAATTAATTGAGTTTTTCTTAGAAAATCTCAATCTGATCTACGTAAATTTATATAAGAATCAATAACTTTATTTTCACCTTATAGCAATTCCATAAAAAGATACTCGCGTTTCCAGTGAATCAGTGATTATAGCAGTCGAGTAAATTAAAGTTTAAAAATTTAATTAAATTTTGGTGGTTTTTATAATTAAATCTCAACTGTGAATATCTAAGAAAAATACTATGATTATGAAATAAACATACCTAAACGCGTCTCGAATATTCGACATTATAAAAAAATAATATTATTTTTTTCGTCATAAAAAGAAAATGTTTGAATAAATATCTACAGCGAGACTTCTAGGGTTGGGCCGTCAGGGGAACTTGCTTAATTGGGATATCTTTCCGAGGCGTACATCGTCAATATTAGTTGTGAGACATTATGCATCAAACTTACGAAGCTTGATCATTCGAAGTCTCCTGAATTGTCTGTTGCGCACCGAGAAGAGTATTGATAAAATTAGTCAATTCGTTAGGTGTTGGTGGTGGCGCCATGGAAAGCGGCGGTGCGGTTGATTGAATAGGTGTAATAGCATTTGAAGCAAGCGCGAGAATTGCTGTTGGATTCAGATTGCCGTTGGTCTGAATGAGGCTGAGAAGGTTTGGATCAATCGACATTGTTCTCAACCACAGCTACAGAACAGCTCAGCCAACAAAAATGTGGTGGGGCGGATGATGCGGGAGGCGAAATGCGGCCGAGGCAGCAGGCTAGCTCACGTCGAAACGCTCACTCACACTCACGTCTTCTCACCCAGGTTACCACCGGTAATTCACTAGACCACCGCATTGCTGCTTGCATGAAATTGAAGAGAAATTGAAATCGCAGCGATGTGGCTATTTTTGAATAAATGAGCTCAACAAGAAAATTTGTTATCAATAATTTTTACAGTTGACTGAACACGTCGCTTACGACGAAAATGACTTCAGATAATGATGGGTGATAATGATTTGTTTACTTGAACACATATTTTTTAGACAAAAAAAAAATAGTTGGATCATCCATTGAACCAAAAAAAATGAGAAAAATATATAGAAAACAGAAATATTTAAATAAAAGCAAAAACTAATGAAATATCAACTTTTTTGCTATTTAACTCAAAATTTAAATCGATTTATAGAATATAGAACAGAATGGTAGCAAATTGACATGATAAAAGGAATGACTTAAAATTAAAATTGCGACATATGCTTAAATATCATATTATTAAAATTGCGACATATGCTTAAATATCATATTATTAAAATTTCCGCTAAATTTCTGTTTGTCAAAAAATATTTCAGTTTTTTAATGTATCAATAGATCACATTTTTAAAATCACGGTTGGAACATTTCATTTGAAAATAACAAAAATTGCATGATATTTCGATATCCCAATAAAAACTATAGAATTTCTTACTGTATTGATGACTCATGTTGTCCATTTCTTGAAAAGATTAACAAAGGCAATTACAATTTTTCGACATTATTTTTCTCTGTTTCAATGAAAATATTTATGAGATAAACAGAGAAAATAGCGCAAAATGACAAGCTTAGGGATCGATTTAAACAAAAATCCGAATGTTTCGCACATTTGGCAAAGTGGGAGGAGATAGACTGTCAAGTATGGAGCACCTGGCTACAGTCAGCAGGGTGCGCGCTTCCTTCCGGGTTGCGTCATTTATTTTGTATTGGCTATTAGCACTTAATTCAAAAAATTGTAAACGGTTTAAAATCGTCGAACGACCAAAAAGAAACCGGCTAATAATTGTGAGCTATCTTGAAATTCTGACGTTCTGCTCACTTCTGCAGCAGTCATACGCGGCATACGGTAGGTGGGCGGAGACTTGCTTCAGAGCGACGAATGTATTCAGTAACAACTGACACATCTGCTCCAAGCGAATAAACAACTTCTTCATTTTCCAACGAGGCGAAGAGGGACCACGCTGCGCTTTTCGGAAAGCCCCAATATAGGAGAGCTCACATTCAGCGATGACGGAGTAATAAAATATGCCTTAAAATTGAAAGAAATATTCAATTTTGCAGTAATTGATCGTAATAAAAATTATATTTATTATAAAATTTTCAAAAATGTTAAACATGAAAAAATCGCAAAAAATTGATTTTTTCTTAAAAAAATAAACAAAAAATTTGCTTTGACTTTATAATGTAATTTTTAGGATTTTCATTTAAACTTTTAAATAATAGATTTCGAACAAATATTACTAAATTTTACCGAACTTTTACAATTTTTATTCTGAAAATGCATTGTACGGAACTCAAATTGTGCGATGGTCATAACAAACCTGCACGGAATTTTAACTTTCCGAAATCGCAAATGCGAAAACAGAAGAGTTGAGAAATATTTGTCAAATCTCCGCTACTGTAGTGTGGAATTTATTTAATTTAAGTTTTAGCCAAAAACCGTATACGGTAAACGGCGGACGGATGACGGAGTCAGTCGAGCTCTAGTTTGTAACTATTAGAGTTGCAGCTTCGCAATCGGGCCGAATGAGAAAATTCGTTGACAAAATCATTTTCTTGATGTTCTTGAATAGTTTACATAAAAAAATCATTGAATATTTGATTTGACTAGATGAATTCGTCTTATTCGACTATAAGAAAAGTGCTTTGACCTGGCTACGGCGGAACAATCCAAAATTTTTAAAAATTAAGTTTTAAATTTTATATTCCCACTACTGTATAACTCAAATTTGGAACCGTGATATTTCTATATTCAAACTACACACGTAAGTTATAATTGAGCTATCAATGAGTCAGATAATAATTGAGAATTCATTATTGTACCACACGTAATATTAGCGCTATCGCTCACTCGGGTAAAAATTGAATAATCAAGATATTCGTAAGCACTGTATATTATGAAATGAAAATGAAGAAAACCAATGTTAAAAATGAAAACTTTCACATAAGTTTATTTGGAAATTAAAATGGAAATTAAATCATATTAGTGTCATGCAATAAAAATAGTCGAAATAGTCATTTTGAACGTCAAATTTGACAAATTCATTGTGATTAAAACGACAAATTTAACAATTTTGCAAACACTCAATAGATCTATAAAAGACATTGTCTGAAGCATGTATTCCCACACACACCGAAAAAAGTGTTCCTATTACGTAGAAGTGACTTGAATTTCTCACGAAAACAATTGCTATTATTAGACACACAATTTTCGTCCTTTCGATTTCAGTAATAACTTTTAACATTTAGTTTATCCAGAAAGTCCACAGATGATTCGAAAACGATGATGTCGTAAATGGGAAATCGAAAAAAAGATTAGTATTGTCAATTTCTTAAAAGGAAAACCGAAAAATTACTTAGGTTTTCTTTTGCGAAATCGATATATTAGCCTCAAAAGTAATTTAAAATTAGTCTGTAATATTGTTTATAACCAGCCTGAAAATAATGTGTTTTTTTTACCTGTTGTGTTACATAACATCATAAGATCAGTAGAGCACATCTTATTTACACGGAATTTCATTTGACATTCTCAAAAACAAAGATGCTCATTAACTAATTTTATTGGTATATAGAAGATATTAACAAAATAAGTGAATCGATGGAGATATGAATGGGATATATTGAAACCGAAACCATATAAATTATGATGAAAGGAATGAAATCATTGGTAAGAATAATCTAGTTATCAAATCTGACCACCGTGAATCTGATGACACGCTTGACCGCCGGTTTCGGGTTCTCCTTGGTGGGAGTCACAAGCGACTCCCCCTCCTCCTGCTTCTCCTCCGCATGCTTGCTATTAAGCTCATCAGCGGCATAGTTCTCATCTTCGCCGTAGAGGCAGTCAACCGAGAAAGCGTGTTTCATCTTAAAAAATGAAAAGTTAGAAAATCTTAAATTCGAGCTACTGACGCCAGAATTTGCATGAATGATGTAACCGGCTACCTTGTCAAGTTGGGCGTCCATCAGCGCTTGGAAACTGGCGTTCCAGTGGAACTTCTCCGAAATCGTGCTGGCGACAGAGTCGAGACTCTGCGAGCGCGAAGTGAGAGCTGATGAATGGGCCGAGTGAGGGACGGAGTTGGGCTGAACTGGGGTTCCAGATCTCGATGGCGCGGTAGATGAGTCACGATCGGCCTGAGCTTCCCCAATGACATGATCGGGATCATCGAGACGCAGCTCCACCATTATCTCATCGATCGTGTCCGATTCAGGGTATCCGGCGGTATCTGGGGCGGCAACAACTGGCAAGGTGGGAAGAATCTGAAAGTGGTAAAATGTTGCGCAAAAAAAATTGTTAATGCTAATCATTGTATTGGTATTTATTCATCGCCACAAAATGGAAACTCTATTAAATAATGACTTACATTTTTGGACTCTTCGGTATTCGACTTGGTCTCGATGCGATCGGTCTCGGCAAACGAAGCGGTTCCAGAGGGCGAGAGAACATTCATGGCAAAATCGTCGTTCTGAAAAAAAATCCATTTTAATTGTTGCTATGAGCGTTTGTTTAATTACCTCTTTCTCGTGAGAATTGAAATCCTCAACAAAGAGTGTCTTGTTGGTCGATGTGAGCGCGTGGTTTAGATCGCTCATTTCTGCAAAAAAAAATCGGTTTATTTTAGGTAAAATTGCCAAAAAGTTGCCAAAGAATAGATGATCGGCGAACATTAAAATAACTCAAATTTCTATGAAAAATATTGCTGATTATTGAGATTAGCTGCAAGTCGATTAATTTTACAACGACAATTGTCTGTCGAATAAAAAATAATCGGCAAAACCCACAGTTTTTTTCTAAAAATTAACTTTGATATATCGAAACAAAAAGAAATATCGGATATTATTATATTATTATGACTAATGAAAAGAGTAGAGAAGCTGGGAAATTACGAAATCGATTAGCAACAAAATTTGACAATTTTTTCGATGAATTGACGATCTTCCAAAAACCAAAAACAAAAATCTATTGAATCTTTGAGATTTTGCCAACTGCAAAACAAACAAAAGATTTCCAACAACCTTTGTCAAAATTTTTCGAAAACATTTTCATCCGCATCGATTGCCGATTTTGGGATGCGCCGGCATCTCAAAGTAGAGGGAAAGAAAAGAAATGAATACCAAACAAAATTTTATTTGTCCGCGAGCGCGGATGGCATTGATGGTGGCTCATTTAATGCAGAATTGTGAAGTCGATCCTAATTATCATCGATTACTCACTAGTGTTGACATAAAAATAACACATTCGCTTATAATATTTATTGCGAGAAATGACAAGTTCTAGGCGAGAACGAGTAAAATATGAGAAATGAAGGGATAGTGGTGCACAAATGCAACAAAACATCTTATACGATGTTGTTATTGTTTGCAAGCGTGCGCGCACGCCGTCGGTCAAACGCGCAATGCGATCGAATTGGTGGAGCAGAGAGAAAGGGGATCAAAGTACGAACATCACAGAAAGAAAGAAAAAATTGGTGTGATTGTAATCTAAAAAAGAGGCGGAGTAAAAGTAAAATCGAGGAGGAACACATTTAGAATAAAATTACTCGACATTTGTGTCTAGAGTTGTAGCATTCCAGAATCCTCGTTGTCGGCAAGAACAGTCTCACGGGTCCTTGACACCACGATTCCTCTGCAAAAAAATTGAGAAGTCTTAGAGAAAATGTTTTTGATGGAAAAATTGCATTTTAGAACAACCAAATCTTCTGGAAATTCAAATTGAGGTGGCTGAAATGTGGTACCTACAGTTTTACAGTAATTTACAAAAAAAGTTTTTTTTTATATTTGAAAATAATATTGAAAATATTCGCGGTGATGCCCACTTTCGAATATTAGCCATTGCCATGATTTGCTCGCCATCCGTTACTGAGTCGAACATATCTTCATCTTCCTCCCATCTGAAAAATTAAACATCCTTCTATACGGTATTGCGTCATTTCGGGCACACCTGTTGTAATGCTTAGCTGGAACACTGATATAAAATCCCATATGATTCGATGATCTGGAAATTGAGAGAAAATATCAACTCAGTTGTTCACCATCTGTTACTCACGCGCAGCATACTATTGCAATTGCAAAAGCCACCATAAAAACAACAAAGAAGAATATCGCAACTTCCAAGGTATTCCACTCGTAGTTTGTGTCATTTGCGTCAACTGAAGGGATTTGAAATTTTTAAATAAATACTACTACTACCAATATCACTTACATTGGCAGAACGGACCATTGTATAAGCGAGGGCAACTGCATCTAAAGATGCTAGAAGTATTCATGCATACTCCGCCGTTCAGGCATTTCGTGGCGAGGCACGAGCTGAGGAAATCTGAAAGTATCTATCTTCAATTACAAAACACATATCCCTAGATGTGTGCTGCAATTTTACAGTATGCTACAGTATCCAATCATATTCATGACTGGCACGATCATTGAAACGAGAATGTTTTGCTCAGCGATTTTTAATTAAATTTATTTTCGGATTTTTTTCGTCATCTGATCCGCTCCGGATCTTTGATTAAAAATGTGTGACGATACGGTTTTTATATTTATTTCAAATTGATATCAATTTCAATCGTTAAAATTTCCGGGGAGAATAGGGGGTCGAATCGATAAAACACGATGGAATGAAAATTGATATAAACAAAATTTTTATTAAAACAGATACTTCATGTTGCCGCACAATACCCACTGAATTATTTGCATGGAATTTTTATTTTACAATATTCTTCAAGTGTTGTTTCAATAAAATTTTAGTTGAAATTGACGAAAAATTATCTTACCAAATGAGTTTACGAAGTACATACGAGACAGAGCGTACATTTTCACATTCTCCGGTATACCACACGATATATCTATTTAAAAAAAAAAAAAAACATTGAGCCTTAAATTTTTTCCAAAAAAATACGAAATGCAAAAAAACTGATGAATCTCGAGGTGAACTCGATTTAATGAATAATGTATGATAGTCAAAAATAAAATTCATCTGGCCTTTTCAATAAGATTGCTAAACAAATATCGAGTTTCAATATTTATGCAAGAAAAAAATGTTCGAAACGAAAGGGCATAGAAGAATGAAAGAAACAAGTTCTTGAACAAGAGCCGCGTGAATCGCGTCAAATTCTTATTTGGAGCAATTCCCAAACGGCAAATTTTTTTGACATATGAATAATAACGCATATTTCTCATTTTTCATTCAATCTTTTGTGCCCTGATCCCAATCCCATGTTTGCTGGAAAAATAAAGCGCTAATTGTTCATTCCAAGTGCACCCGTGGCTCATTCAAAATTGTCTATACGTCAAACGTTGAGCAATGACCGCTTTGATGAATGTCTAACCAAGCCCGAATTTGAATATTTGTATTGGTAATTTTTATGTAAATAAAAAATAGGTGTTCCTGTTCTTTGGCGTCAAAAAAAAATTTGTCAGGCATAATTTAAGGATTCAATTATTGCATGCTTCGAAACTTGAAAAAATGGATTATGATACTGATTACCAAAGAATCAATAGCAAACGGTCGCTACCAAATTTTTTGAGAGATGTGACCTAATTAATTTAGCTAGTAGAATAAATACGACACAGCGAAAAACAGGAAATTTGGGAGTTCCCAGAAAACATCAGGAGTTTTTAAACAAAAACATGATTTTTAATGAAAATGTTCAATGTAGACGTGCATGTAACAAACAAATAAGAAGGCGTAGTTGAAAATTGAGAACTGCGTTTGATATTTGAGCACAAAATCAAAATCGACGCGTTGCTCCGATCATAATTATAGGTTTCGTTTAAGAAACTTGGCTGCGTTTTGTGTTTATCATACGACAAATACTAGCCAACAAATAATTATGAGCTCGGTTTAATTCACAAAAAAAAAGACTAGGACAAGGGATTCTTGGAAAAAATTTCCACAAGGGCGTCAATTTCTGAAGTGTGCAATTCAATTCTACTTATAAAAGAAATGAGGAGAAGTTGTTAAAAAAGCATCGGAACGAATTGATATCGGGAAAGGTTAGTGAATAATTAAAAATCTATCATTTTTGCAATTCGAAAGGTAGTTTATATTAGAATAAAAATTATCAATGTGCCAGGTGTCTTGAAGTGAAGAGATGTTCGACGTTGCAAGCGCAATTCAAACTTCTCAATTAATCCGCTCGTAAATTAAAACCAATCTCAGGGTAAGGAAAGTCCTGCTCCAAATTCCGTTGCTTGTAACCGATAATATATATTTAAACAACCCATCGCTTAAAAATTATGGATTGTCGAATTAAAGACGAAACCAAAATCAAACAAGTAAGACAACTTGTGTAGTGTCGTAAGCAAGTTAATCGGAAATCTCGTTTACGTTGAAATGCTTAACATTTCTGCCGTATGTAGATATTGCCGAAAAGAAACGGATTCGCAAATATTTTCGGTCTCTACAATTTATAATAGAAAATAGCTGGTGGATGCTTCGTCTAGAAATCAGTTCGCACAAGAATTATACCCTCCGGGGAAATGGAATGGATTGATGGAAAAAAATGAATTTAGCATGATTCCAAATATTGAAAAATTCGAATATATTTAAATTGTGGTAAAAAAAATTTATTACGTATATCTTGATAATTTATTATTCATTAGTTTTTTGAGCACAGTTTATAAGAATTTCAAAAAAATAGTTGAAAATAAATTATTTTAGAAGAACATCTGGAATTATTGGGATTTTTTATGACACATCTGGTTGACTTTCATTGTCGAAAAAATAAAAAACATTGCCATTCTCATGACCAAATTTCGATCTCTGAACATTTATTCCACATAGTAAAAAATCAACTTTTGCTCGTAGTTAATGCTTCGTTTTGGAATTCCCCAAACATCCACTCTTTCAAAATTTAGAAACGAAACTATGCGATCATCACATAGTTAATAGAATCCACTATAAGATATTGAATCGGAAAATAAAGGCTTGAAATGATTTCATGGACATTCTTATGAACAGAAGCATTCCATTGAGCCATTTTCAAGAGTCTTTCTATGTAAGCTTCTGAATAAGAAAAAAACCAACAATTTTGGCCGCGAAATTCCTCCGATTTTTTTCTTTTGGTTGGTAATCTTACATCGAATGAATAATTGTTGGAAGGAAATGCATAGAAGGTCTTATTTTAAAATTTGTTCTCAAAATTCTTCTCATTAAGCAAAAAAAAAAAGATTCTTACGGCAACATTTTTCCCTCATTTATTCACTGAATTCATATTTTAGATACAATACTATTAGACATTGCTCAAGCAAAGCTCGAAAAGAAAGATTTTGTGAACGTTCCACGAAAACAAATTCATTTCGGTTCTCTTCAAAATGCATTCCGGGGAATATTCGAAGAGCTATTGAAATATTCTTATTCACTTTTCTCAATCATTGATTTAGATAGAAAATGTTTCGTTTCATAGACTCACCGAACTTGCGCTCAAAATACATTTATATATAGCTCGAACAAAGAATTTGACAATGTTTTTTCGTGTTTCCCCCCAGTCCCAATTAGATGCTTGATTTATTCCAAACAATAATGGCGGCATTTCGTCACGCAAAAAATATTTTTCATAGTAAATGTTTTCTGACAGTTTCTCCCGAGGGGAGGTGGGCTGGGGTGGACGAAAATCTCGGATGACAAGAAAAAAAAAGAATGACACGAAAACAGAACAATGCGGAGAAATGCAAAAACAAGCGCGTCAAAATAGGAATTACGTGAACTCTGTAATTATAAAAAAGCATTGGCATTGCGTCAAAAAAAATTCTACGAATAAAATGTCGTCTAGAACATTCGGGCCATTCGAATATTATTATTATTATAACTCGGAATATAGACTTTCTGACGATGGCTAGGAGAAGCGGATAAAACACTTCCGGTGTCAACTTTCTTATGTCATAGTTATGAATATTTTTGATGTTTTAATCCTATAGAATTTTAATGTTAAACGCCCATCGATTAGATTTTAGTGGGATTTTTAAGAAATATCGCAACATCGACAGATTTTTGACACAATGTTCTACAACTGACCTTTTCCTACACTCAAAAATGTTGATTTGAGGTACTTCAAAAAAGTCTTTCTGAAAATTTTGGAATGTATTTTTCAAATCGATGTATTTGAACAATAATTAAAAAAATTTTTTTTTGATAAGTGCGAAGCCAAACATTTCAATACAGGTTTAACTGATAAAAATTTCAAATCTCTATCTTTCTATCTATTAAATTTCTAATAACATGAAACTGCAATACATATATAGCTCAATGGAAAACTGTGCTCCTGAGCTTTGGGCATATTTGGTTTTGATTGGAAACGCTGGTCTCCGGTGACTCAAATAATTAAAATAAATGACATCACTCGATTTTCAGCATTGAAGAAATTTTGGAAAAAAGTGAAACCTCATAATAAAAAAAATAATACCAAAAAAACTATTTAAAAGAACAAATGAACAAATGAAAGGTTTTACCGATTATGTATATACTTTTTAAATTATATCCAGAAAAAGATCTATGTAGAAAGAAAAAGGAAGCGACAATGTATTCTAAGAAAAGAATTTTTTCTAAGAAAACAATATATCAATAAAAAGATAATAGCTAATGGTTTCTTTTCAATCTAATCCAATTTTTCTCATAAATGTAGTAGTCTGAGTTCACACAATGTGTTCCCACAAATTGTTTTACGTAAATAATAGACACATGTCTGGGAACATATTATATGTATTGAAGTTTGCGTGCTCACCGCCAAAATAGGAATGAACTTCGTTCACCATTTAGTTTGTTTTTTTCTATTAAAGGACTTGAAATCATCAAGGTTCTCACCAGTTTGATTGACAACTGAACAGTTGACGTGAAAATCGGCAACGTTGCAGAGTTGCACGCCGCGACATCGCGGTGAACGGCAAATGTCGGCAGTCTGCAAATATTTCGATTCATCTTATTGTTTTTTAAATTGAATACCTTGAATTCACAACGAGGACCCACGAAAAACGCTGAGCATTCACAGAAAAAGTCAGTGGATGAGCCGTTCAATACACATTTTCCATCATTCCAACAAGGGTAACTGCCACACACCGAACCTTCTGTAAAAATCAGCATTTTAAGATTCCATTAATGTGAAGTTTTTTGAAAATTAAAAAAATTTACTTTCACCAACATTTTCGTTAGCATTTGTGAGAATGTAAATTAGATAAATATATGGGTTAAAAAATTTTTATATTAAAAATGTTTTTAAACCTTAAATATTTTTTTTCATTTATTTTTTTATTTTTTAAGATGTTTTTCCTCCAGCAATATTTAGAACTTTCCGAAATGTTTTTTTTAATAATTTTTTCTCATTACGTAAAGATTCCATAATTATGCAAATTTCAAAAAATTTGTTAATTTTTATGGTCCCTTTCCTTTTCTATAATTTCCAGTTAATTCTTAGAACAGCTATTCATATGATCTGTGTGGATACTGGATACTTTGTTGTGTAAACTCCCACATGATACCTAAGTACCTATTGCAGACCACGCGATTTGTCCTACAAGAGTTCAAAAAACAAAAAAATGAAAAGAACATTCTTCCAACGAGAAGCAAAATTTGAAATGAAACTTTTCTTACCGTACACCAGCCTTGAAGCTACACCATTCAACAATTCGCTAACAGAGATAGCCATTTTCCATTTTGCAAAGTAAATCTGCAACAAAAATTTATAATAAAACAAAAATTGAAACGTGAATGAATTGGTCGAGCAATAATAATTCAAGGGTAAAATGAAATTCAATCGGCTTCATTCATTCACGGAAAAAATATGAATGCTCGATTCGATTACAAAATCCCCGCATCTCATTGAATTTGATGAACCTCATGTGGCGAAACAGAACGGAACACTCCACATTAATTATTTATTTTCTATAATATTGCCGAGTCTGACTCAAACGAACTTTCCACACTGATAACACCAATAGAATGTTCGTAATGTTACACAAATATTTTAAGGTTAAGCTTCTGCTATTTTTCTCATTCACAACCGTAGAATAAATGTTTAGAAAACAAAAATGAAAACATTTTTTATGCGTCCAGCATTTTTATTGCAAAAAATGTTTAATGTGAAACAAGATTTTTGAATGTTTGGCCAAATTTTTGGACGAGCAAAAGCTCAATAAACTTTTCGTCGGAGAGCAGCCGGCGACTGATTGTAAAAGATGCTTCATTTTTTATGAGATTAAAAAGAGCAAGTATCAAGAGCGGCAAAATAGCTCTGATGGCCAGAATGATTTTGTTTAGGTTGAAGCTTCGGCAAAAGACCGTGTGAAAGTGCACACTTTGTGTTGAAATTAATATGACTTATGAAAAAGAGGAAATGAGATAAACATATATCTATATTTAGAGAGCATGGACGATGGTGAATATATAAATTTAAATATATATACATATAATTAGGATTTGCTTATCAAATAAACTTGAAATTAACAGGAATCTAATATTTTTACACAAGCAATAACATTTTTTTTTTCAAATTTAACAGTTTATTGAAATGAATATGCCAATTTTAGCGTCTCTGAAGAGTATTATCGAAAATTAAAAACAAAAAAATAATGATCGTCTAGTTTAATTAAAGGTCACACCTAATTATCTTCGATACATTTCTGAATGTAATATCTGTTATACTCATTTCGTATTTTGTTTTAAGAAAAATGTTCTTATTAAAGGAAACTTTTTATTTTATTACTATATATTTTATTAATGTGAATCCTAGAAGAGAAATCAAAGCATCAAGAGACAAGTTCATCAATAAACTCAATTGTCATCGAGAAAGGAAACATACGAAATTGTTTTCGAGGGGAGTCGATTGTTTATTTGAAGAATACTTGATGGATGCAATACATTTAACAAAAAAAAACAAAATCTTGGTTCTTAATTGAAACAATCATGGTGATCAATGTTTTTTACTGGGCTCATTTGAAAGTATTCGAGAAACGGAGAGTATCAAGCAATTTTTATATCTCTTTAACAACTAAACAAACTGAGTGAACAAAATTAGGTGATATCTGACGAGTTTATTTAATTATTCATTATGCTCATTTTGAGTTGGACGGTCAGATTTAACAGAGAAATTTTCTGCTTTGGGAATTTGAGTGAGAAAAAAATAACGCGGTCAAAATGTACGAATGAATTTCAGAGAAGAAGAGATGCTAAAACAAAACGTCAAAAAGGTCATGTTTTGCTTTCAAAAAAAAAGTGAATTACTGCAATTCATTTTCGACGAAAACAATTTTCAATGTTTATTGTATAGTGCAAAAATTCAAATTTGCAGGCAAAAATTTCCAGCGAGAAATTTTTTAAAACAAGTTTTTGTACAATTTCCATATAAGCGAAAATCTTGAGCTTAACCAAAATTGTATCAGAAGCGTGTGACTTCCGTACCTTTGTGAAGCCTGAACGATACAAGCTTGTCAACGAAAACAAAAAATAGCCAAATTCAAATGCAATTGTTCTCGTGAAAGAAGGTAGAACACCTAACAAGTTAACATTATTGTTTTCAAGTTAAATGTGTAATATTTTTTTTCCAGCACCACATGTCTTCCTTGCTATCGTTTTCACTCACCAATAATAAATAATAACGCGATAGCGCTAAAGTAGAAGAAGAAACAATTGAGGAATAATATTGCAAACGTAATCGGTCACTTCCACTATGACACTATTGCAAACAATAGTGGAAAAAATAATAATTACCCATAACTAGCATAAACAACAACAACAACAACTATAAATGGTTGAAGCATCGTTAAAAAACTTTTTGACTATGATAGTTGACTTCAGACGAAAAGTCATTTTACGCGACAAAACAACAATAATTATTTTGTGTCTCAAGTGACATATTCGGAACAAGAAAATAGTTAGTTGGCACATTATTGCGATCAGTCTTTTATATGGGTTCAATCTATTCTTTAGAAAAAAATGCTCATTGAACAGCTAGGACGCCAAACAATGTATAGTTAGGCAGGTATTGAACGCTGGTTTATTATAATAATACAGATGTCAGCGGCAAACCACGGCCACAATCGCAGTGACAGCTCCGCGTCATAAAAAGCCCTCCGAGTACTACGATAATAGGCTGACAAGTTTCAATTGACTGGAGTTACATTTCATCTAAGTAGTGTTTCTCGACTTACTATAGTAAAATTGGTGAGGCGGATATACACACACTTATTTCGGGGTTGTTTGAATTCGGAAAATCTGAATTTCCGCCAAAATTTTTTGTCATTCATATGAGAATCCTTTAAAATTATTATGAACTTCGATTTGCTATTATAAAAGTTATCTGGAATCTTAAATTAAATTAATAGAATCTATTCGAAATTTCGCATTTTTGGATTTAAAACAAAACATGAAATCACCAATATTATTGTATTCCAAAACCAACGTTCCCTTTAAAAGTCGGATTAGAAACATCTCGGAAAATTTTGATACACATTTTTGATAGGAGAAATAAAACGAAGAAATTGCGAAGAAGTTCGGTCAACGAGGAGCAGCGAAATAGAAAATTGTTCGGTTTGTTATCAAGCTATTGGCTCCTCTGGACTCTTGCCTCAAAATTCATCGCGAAACTTGCACTTATGACAAATCGTCCTATACGAGGAACGTGTTAACAAAGCGTCCCTCCGTGGGTCGGCGAGGGAAAAAAATTTTCCGAAACACATTTCCATAACAAAATTTATTGTCTTTGGTGTTCGCTGCGTATGTCTCGAGTGTAATCCTTTTAAATATAAGGGAAACGGGGGTCCCCCGAAAGGATTAAGAGCCAATGTTTCGAACAAGAAACGAAGTGCTCGCGTAATGGGAGAGGAGGGGGGGAGGGGGAGATTCGTTTTCCGAAGCTCGAAAAGGAAGAAAAACACGAAATGAATAAAAGCGAGCAAAATGGTGGGTCACTATTGGTTATTCTTCGGCGGAGACAAAACACACAATCGAAAATTATGCCGAGAGATTTGAGCTTGTTTTGAGGAGGAAGGAAATATGACTGATTCGTCTTTGTTCTTCGCAATTTAAAAATGAACTTCTCAAATAGAGCTATAGTCAACTCTTGAACATTGATTATGGATCATTAAATAGGTCTAGAAACAAACCTGTTATTGCTTTACGATACTAATGTCCAAAAACATGTATATATATATACCTGGAAAACCGGTTTCCCTAATTTCAGGTTGCACAGATTTCGTTTACTTCAACGGATAATCAAGCTCATGCTATCAACTTTATTCATTTTTTAGATCAAGAAAAACATTTTTTCTTTTACTTGGAAATTGCTTGATTATCCCATATAGTTTGTGGGAAAACATAAGTATTTTTTGATTTCATTGGCAGTCCAAGACTTTTTCGATTAATTCCTGGTAAGTTTTTGATATTTTCAAAAAAAAAAAGTAAGTGGTGTAAAAATATTGAAAACTACAGTAGTAACCATTAATTATTGAAAACCTTGGAAAACCACTGATAAGAAGTTAAAGTATAGTCGGATATCAGAAAAAACATTGAAAAAAATTTTAAGTTTTTCATTTTCTAGTGAAACGATTGTTTCAAAAATCTGGACATTTCTGAAAATTATAACTTTTCTAACTATGGGGACACCAACCTTAAAAATTTATGACTTCAAGTAGTGAAACTAACATATCCATTGAATTTTGATTTGGGCAGCATACATAGAATCAATCAGAACACTTTGTTTTGGTATCAAGTGAATATGCCAGATTAAAAACCATTACAAAAGCCAATAACCCATTAATGGTTTGTTTATAAATATATTTCTTGAGCTGCAATTTGATACCTGCTAGAAATACGGAACACCCCGGTGATAAAAAAAACGCAAGACAACAAAAATGTCATGTTGTCAAGAGGTGTTTTCGCTATCTATGAAATTCTGAATATTTTTTGTTGTCCCTCCCTCGGGGCCAATAGAAGTTGATATAGCTATGAGTTGGTGTCCTTTCTCAAAAAAAAACCGCGCTTAGTTTTTGTTGTCAAAGGTTGTCTAAAACGGATGTCGCCAAATGATATGATCGTTGTTGGTTTGCAAGAAAACTTTGGGGAAAAATGGCAACATTTGAGAAAAAAAGATGGACCAAAATTGGCAATTTCGCTTAGGCAGACAATTGTCGCGATTTGATAAATTTCGAGAATTTGATTACTGTTAATTTTGTGATTTAAATTTCAAAAAAAAGAATTTCTGAATAGCGTTTTTTTTTAATATTTTCTATCTCTATTAACCTGTAATATATTTTTTTGAAATTAAAAGTGTGGATAACCATGTTTCTCAATTTTTAGATTATTTAGCTGCGGACATTCCTTCAATTTTCAGAACAAATTGCACGAATCTCTTCTAAAAACAACCCATTTAACATAAAATTTGCGAGTTTTTTATTTTGATATTTATTTGTTTTATTTTTGAAATGAAAAATTAATAAAAATGAAAAAAAAATGAAAAAAACGTGCTTCTCCACAGCACCATACTCTTATTTTGGATATTCTCCACGGAATAACAAAATATCTTTGTTTTCTTACAATTACATATATATGTTATATATTCATGTAAAACGAAATCAATTCCTCAGCAAACTTTTGTTTCCCAAAAAACAAGCCTGAGAAAATGCTGTGGATTTTACTAGTATTATATGTCCTAAATCACGTGAAGTCAATTGGTTTTTTTTAGCAAGTATAGTTGGATGTGATATTAGCTGGCGGCGGCATTACAAATCACCCCAATTATTATTTTTCTCATGTCTGACTGATTTTTTCAAGCATTTTCGTGAATCGCCTTCTCGTTTAATATTATTTCAAATTATTCGAAATATCATTTAAATCTAATTATAGTAATTCCGCAGAGATTGCATATTCTCAAAAAAAGTAGGGCGACATTTTTTTTTGACATCACCTCTCACAACTTTTCGTATAATAGTGCCTACCTATGCATATTATTGTTTTTATTATATTTCATTTTCATTACTATATAAGTTTGTTAAAAGGGAAAGATCAACTAATAACAATATAATTTGCATATACGAATTTTTAAAATATCAGCTGTTTCATATAAGAATTCCTAAAACTATTTCGAAATGGTTAATATTGTTTTGATAATCGTCAAGTAGAAACGGATGTGACGTACAATCAAAATTTTAATTGGATAAAACAACAAGTGATTTATTTATAGCTTTAATGAATATCATATCACATGTATTACTCAGTTAAAATCATTTCTAACTCTTTCTATTAGCTTTAAATCTTTATATATAGCATGAAATAAAATAAAACGTTTTCAAATAAGATTACTTTGGGCCTATTATTTATTATTAATTGATGATGCATATGCGCATTGATTTTGACCAATTGTCTTATTCTAATGACTAGTTTAACTTAAATCTTGTAATATCAACCATAATTCTACGTTTTTAAGTTGTCAAGAAGACAATTTTTCCATAAGCGTTCATAGATCTAACCATTACTGGAACACAACAATACATAACTTCTTTGATAACATCCCGCCTAAAAACAACTCCTATCTTACCTTATTTATACATATTTCAATTCAATTCTAAATTTACATTCAATTTACGTTCGATTTGCAAATGTGGATTCAAGCATTAATTTTAAATTTGCACTAAGATTACCTTCAAATAAATAAAAATTCAAAAGTATTTTTTTTTAATCTTTCAATATTAGCGCATTCGTTGTAACAAAAATAGGTGTCTATTTATTATTTGAAAACAATTAACATAACAATTTTAAGGTAATTTATATACGGACTACAAATCAAACTCTAGAAAAAAATTAACTATCATTAACATCATTAAACTGATACCATATTGCATGCGTATGTAGATAATCAACGTGATTCAGAGGAAACGATGACGCGTAAATTTTTTCGGGATGAATCTGATGTCATTGTCATTCGAAATATTGTTGAAAAGACAAATAAGAAAACATTGGTTGATCGTGAATAAATAAGTGAAAAAATGAAAAATATTTCAATATATAATTTTTTGAAGAGTTTGAATTTTTCAGTCTATTTTTTATTTAATTAATTTCTGGGGAGTGACTACTGGGAATCCTATTAATGCGAAAATATTTTGATTTAAATTACTCTAATTTAGCCTTGTGCGATTTTTGTTTTGATCAAAATTGTTTTAGAATTTACCAAAATATTATTTTTTTAAATTAATTTTTGCCGAAAAAAATGAATTTAAATATTTTAACAGAAATCCATCACTTCCTTATAACTACATAATTTGATTCTTCCGATATTCAAAAATACATCGCCAAATTTTTGCGATCTTCTTCCTTGAAATGCAAATAGAAGTTAGTCAGTACCATGAATCATGCAATCTTTGTGATTTTCAATTATTTGCTTTCACGGTATGGCCCTCCATAGGCATTTTTTTCCGCGAAAAAAAGAGAAAAGTGTTTTTTGTTCCATTGTCTCATTTTTTGTCTCATTTCATTTGTCATGGAGGTAGAGTTGAACGTTCACTATGGTGACAGACGTCTATTTTTGTTGTTTTAACAACACACGGAAAACGGGGAAACGTCGAAAAGTGAAATGATGAGGGGAAGATTGAGACAAAAACAAAATCTATGAATTAACAACTTATGTTTTAAAAAATTGTCACCGCTGTTATGTTTCGTCTGTGCCGCCGCTGCCGCCATTGCCACTCATCATTTCGTTCCCGCTTTATCATCATAATTTCTCTTTTTTTGTCCTTCTTATAATTTTTTTTTTCAGAACAATGACTGACTTCATTGTGGAGAAAATGGAGGAAGATAACGTGGAACCGTCAGATGTGAGTTTGATTTTTGATTTAGTGCTTATCAGCGCCTTCTGGAGAACTGTACATTGAGACGAGTCACGTCTGCGATGCAAATGACATAATGATATGTGCACAAAAGCATTTATTATTGTTTTCAAAGTGATACTGATTTCATTGGATTTGACGTATTTGAATTCTATAGTATACTTCGAAATGATTTTAGAATTTTTTCTGAACTCATGAAATAATAAACCATGTTACGTACATACTATTACTTGAGGTTTGAAAAAATTCTAGATTCTGAAATACTGAATGCTAGAAACAATTATATTAGTTTGAAGCGAAATAGTATGTTTTTATTAATATAATAGATTTTATAAATGTTTCTATAACTTCGGCATTTGGTAGAAATCATAAAACTAATAAAAAATTTTGGGTGGAAAAAAACTTCAAATCAAATAATTGATACGTGCGATTTTTAATTTAGCCATTGTTACATTTTTGCTAAGCTTTTTTTCAGTTCATGCAAATTCGTTTTTCAACATTCAGAAATAACACGCAATTTTCACCTTATTAGTAAAAGTCCATTTGAAAATAAATTTCCATTTGAAAATAAATTTTTGAATTTGATTTTTGCCTGAAAACGCCTCTATTATCATCTTCTCATCACGAGGAAATTTTTTGGTTTTTTGTTAACCTTAACTCATAAAATTGAAATACAAAAATTTAGCACTTGTTTTAATGGCACCATTTTAGAGAATTTGTGCGTTTCAAAGTTAAACAAAAGTCTTATTCGAAACTCACGCAAGCTTGACGCTTTTTTTAAGGCAATTTTCAATTTGCAAAATATTATTGGATTTCGAGCGCCATGCGAAAATATTTGCGGAACCACTAAAACTATCTAGTGATACATCGTACATCAGTTGTTCCGATTATGATTACCATAACTCCATACAATTTTGACCTATTTGGTTCACAGTCTCGCATGATTGGACTGCTTTGAACCAGTTATACAGAAAAACGTTGGGAAAATTTGTATTCACTCATCATTTTTTGATTGAACACAAATTCCTCTCGTTTCTGCAATAAAATTCTGCTCTTTAGTTTGGCACAAACCAGACAACTGGTGTAATATTTCATAATTAAGACACAATTTTCTTAAAATAATTTTACAGTGTGAAAATGTGATTCGCGTTTTCCCACAAGGGGGAGCAAGTGGGAATATCCACCCTCGCCAAGTTCAAATAGCAAAAAGTTCAAACACACGACATTCATTTTTTATTACCAAAATTTGCTTTTCCCTTCTCTCATTTTTTTTTTCGGTGGGGCTCAACAAAAAAATTTAATCACTTTTGTGCATGGCTTCCTTTCCGGCTTCGATTCTCATGATTATGCTGGCGTGTATTAGATAACTTTGACGCCCAACTATGTTGATTTGATGACCTCGTAAGTGTTTGATCATGTCGCTATCAATTCACTGGAACACATTATGTCAAGGCGGTCGAAAACCGTAATTTCCGATAACGATAATGATGAAGTGGGCGGAGTCATTCGCGATAAAAAAACTCGATGCCAGAATAGAGTTTGGTGTTGACATCACTTCGATGCCACTCACAATTCCATTGTTGGTAGTGTTAGGCTCGTCCAATAAATTGGAAAAAATGTTTTATTTACATTTCGTCCCGTTTCAAATAACTATCAACATCAACATTGTAGCCTTCTTGAAGTTTCTGACCCTTTTCTGCTCTACTTCACTCTTCCTAGACATTTTTTTCCTTTTCAACCCTGAAAAAATTGAAAGGAAAAGAAGATATGTGCGGAAGGGGCGGAGTTTCGTGCGCTCGTCTAACCCCACCCTAACGATTTTTTTCTCTACTGCCGCACATTATTTGTAGAACAAATTGACAATAGTCGATTTATTTTTGAGGTCAACAGTTGCTAATACCAATTATCAGGTTTTGTAGGCTTCTGAAGATCAGATGACCAATCAGAAGAGTGACTCAAAAGGTGAACGGTCCGTCGTTCTTCTTGGAACCAAGCACAAGGATGTTTTCGTGAGTTGTTTATTGTTTTCCATATATTGCTAATTTGAGAAATATCTTGGAAACTAAAATTTTCGTTACAATTTTTAAGTGCTTCTCATTTTATCTTAAACCATATAATTATCTTCATGATCATCAAAGGGTCCGGGAAAGTGGGCGATGTGTCATTGATGTGTACATATGTAGTTATCGCAAAAATGTCCTCTTATAACTTCACTTATTATTTTGTTTTAGTTCAAGCAGCTCTGCAATGCCGCTGAAAAGTACGAGCGTCACGTTCATTACCAAGATGTTCACTATCTCACCGTAGATCACATGGGCACTGAACAAGTCATTGAGGTTTCGGATCCCGGATTGGTATGTTGGGCCCTCTCACCCTCTTATTTACGCTTGCGAACACTTGCCGCTGTCCGGTTATCTGACACCTAAGATGAGCCAATTGAAGTATACCGCCAACAAGTTTTTATTGTCAAAATCATTGTTCAACGAGCAATTGTTTCAGGGGCGTACAGGAGGACGCGAAATGGCGCTTCGTGTTGCTGACTATGTCATCCTTTACTATTCATCAATGTCGATTGAATCGCTGCAAGCAATCCAGAAACTCAGCAGTTCGCTTCAAGTCCGCAAAAATGTACGCATTTATATTTCGAATCGGTTTGCTGCGGACAGACGAGCTAAAAAAAATAACCGCTGCAACATAGTTTATTTAAGCATCTCTCGGCACACACATAGACATTCAATCAATTTTGATAGTTTGCCAAAGTTAAACTTTGCCAATTGAACGGGTTGCTCTTCGCGGCCCGTGCAAACAATAGAGAGACTTTTTTTGTCGTTTTGGTAGACATCAATTTTTTTCATGATTTCGAGAATGTGTTGTTGGAAATTGGATGAATTTTTCATATGCATAGGCGGCATGGTAATATGAAACCTGCTCGACATAGCACAAAAAAAGCACAAAAAAAGGGATGACGAATAATTGCCTGAAAGTTTTTTGGGACCAAAAATGGAAATATGATACCACAAAAAATGGGAAAATTTTCATTTTTGTTTGACCTTCGCCCTTTTTGTAGAATGTTTTCAGAACCATAAATTCAACCTTCAAAATGAAATTAGAATTTCTTCACATAAATTTTTTTTCTGTTGCTAAGTAGGCATCCGAGCAACGACCAATTAAAGATCATTTCAAAAAAAAAAATGCTTACAAACAAAACAAACAAGGATGACATAGAGCAAATCGCATTTTTTGCAGATGCCAATTCTCATTCTTTGCGATTCTGACGAAATTTTGATGAATGATGAGACAAGCTCGGCGAATACCAGTTCGACATCTGAAGGTCAGCCATTCAAACCACTCCGCAAAAAAATAATAATATGTGAAAAACATGTTCTTCTGTGCACCTAATCGGATTATTGTGCATTCAGATTTTGGTGGGAAAACCCGAATGAACCTATAGAAAACCTTGAATTCTTATGTAGATTAAATTAAAAAAAAAAACTATTTTGATTTTGTTTTCATAGTTTTTTTTTGCAAAATCTACACACCACTACTGATATATTGAAAAGTAACCAAAAGTATTCAGGTTACGAATCCGATGAACGCGAGGGAATGAAGAGACATTTCTCGATGGAGCAGATTCGCAAATCTTTGGATGACACTCATTTAGCCATTGATCAGGTTCTAAATCGGAGTATGCCATTTTATAATATTCTATTGTGTTCAGGGAGAGAAATTGGCGGAGGAGCTTGGATCAAAATCATCCTATATGAAGATAAGCTCATCAAACTTGGATGATGCAAGAAAAGTGCTCACGCATATTGTTTTGTCCTTGAACAAGTCGGCACCGCAGAGGGGCCGCAGAAAGTCTCTAATCAAAGAGTTAGTACAATTTGTATTTTTGGTTAATTCTGGTACCCTTGGGTTTTTGACTTTATTTACTTTTGAACTCTACGCCATATTTTTTTTTTGTGAGCTCAAACCGATCGACCGACACGGCTGACGATTAGCAAAACAAACAATCCGACTACAAAATTGAGCACTTCAAACTGACCAAAAAACTGTTTTTGCAGTATTCTGAGAAGCTCGAAGAATAAGGAATCATTGGAGCCATCGAGCATCCAATCAGACAATAATAAGAAAAGGAAATCAGTCGACGAATCCAAAGTCTGCATCATCATGTAATATCAAAAGTTTTTTAATAATAATTTCACAAAATGACTTTTTCTTTTAATTAGTTTTCGAGATCTCTTCCAAATTAATGCCGATTGTATATTATCCATAATAGTTTTTTTTTCAACAAAAAAATCCCAGTGCCCATGTATGATTCCTAGTCTTTATGATTGTCCCTGTGAATTTCATCATTTTCTGGGTACCATTTCTAATCAAAATGGGTATTTCAATTGTTAAAAAAAGTCATTGTAAGTTATTTTCGTGATACATCGTCTTTTATTTCAATAATCATTTGTTCAACTCTATTGTATCGCTTGAAAATTAAAAAAAAATTCTCGTTTGTCACATCTATTTAAATAAACAAAGAAACAGTTTTATTAAATTTCTCGGCAATACGTGTGAATTTGCGAAATGTATGATTTCAAACGATGATATTAAACAGTAATGCATGTGGTGAGTAAATAGTGAGTACAAACATTGCATTGGATAACTTATTAATAATTCAGACATAATTAAAGCGCAAAGTGGAAAATCAGGACGAATTGTGAATGCGTAAAACTTTTTTTTTAAATCAATGACATTCTATATCTTTAAATCAGGGCTGTGCTGAAATTGCCGATTTTTCAAATTGCCAAGTTGCTGAAAATTCCAATTGCCGCAAAGACCTTCTTTAAACGGACAGCGAAAATTATTATCTAAGGCTCTTGAGTTTTCTTTTCTTTTTTTCCGTGTCGTGCTCCAATTGTACATAGGTTTTGCCAAAGTTTGCTAACTAACTGCTCTTTAAAATGCTGACAGAAAAAAAAATCCAAACGCTATTTTTTTCCCAATAATTTTATTATGATGGTAAATTTTTTTGTCAATTTAAGCTATATCAATAAAATAGCTTTGCCATTTATTTGCTGACCTCGCAAACAATTCTGATCTCTGGTATTTTATCATACGCTATAGTTATAAATCTATAAAAATAGAAATAACTATTCCATTATAATTTTTTCACTAAGACTACATTCTGTTGGAATTCTGTAACTTACAAAAAATGATGTGATTCGCGAACTCATGTTTAGCAGCCTCCAATAATAGAGCAAAAATATTAGAAAAACTGAAATTACAATAAAAAAAATGGAAAAATTTGGACGTTTGGGAATGCTATTGTGGATTTTCTAATATTAATGTACAAAAATTGCATTTTAGAAATTTTTCAAATAATTTAATTAGAAATGGCTTAAGTCGGAATTTCTCAAATTTGTGTTTCAAAATATGTTTATCTTGACATATTATCATATTGTGTTTCACACGTGTTCGATCTTTGAGACTTAATATATTCTTCTTATCTTTTCATCAGAAACGCGCAGAATTGTTTTCGCAGATAGCGCACAACTCCTACAATGTTATCAGTTTCTCTGATTCTGCAGACTCTCGCATTTATCGTGTCCAGGGTCAGTCGCATTCATTTTTATCAACATTAACTTCTACCGACTAGGCGAATGAGTGACTCTGAGAAGCCAATTCTTTACTCCTATTGGAGATCGTCGTGCGCGTGGAGAGTTCGCATCGGTAATAATTTAGTTTTTAATCTTGAATTAATTGCATTATTTCAGCGCTCAATCTTAAGGGAATTGATTATGAGTACCGAACTGTTAATTTGCTTTCTAAAGAAGCCTTGGTAACCAGAAAAATACAATATAAGAATAATCAAAATTTCTAATATTCAGGACGATCTTTCAAAGTATAACCCAGCCAGATTAGTTCCAGTTCTTGTCGTCAAAGGTCAATCGATTGCGGAAAGTTTGGCTATCATCGATTACTTGGAGGACGTCTACCCAGAAAAATCACTGCACCCAAAAGATCCCATCTTGAAAGCCCGCGCCAAAGCAATTTTCCTTCATGTAACATTTCGTAACATACACAAATTCAATTTTTGATTTTAGGTGGCTTGTGGAATCCAACCACTCCAAAACCTAAAAGTTCTTCAATTCGTGAACCAAAAAACTCCTGGATATGGTAGTGAAGTAAGTTGTTTGAAAAAACTTTTTTAAAAATAATTTTGCAGTGGAGCGCACATTGGATCACTTTGGGCCTTAATTCGTTGGAGGAAATGCTAAAAAAAGGCAGCGGAAAATATTGCGTTGGCGATGAAATCACTGTCGCAGATCTCGCTATCCCATCAATTGTGTATAACGCAAAGAGGTAACAATCGATTAAAAAATTGAAATCCACGGATTTTCAGATTCGGAGTTCCTCTGACCAACTACCCAAATATTACTCGCATTGACGAGGCATTAGGGAAAATTCCAGAATTTCAGAAAGCTTGTCCGGATGCTCAACCAGACGCTGGACTCAATGCTAAATAAATAATCATCAGTATAATTGTGCAGAAAACTGAATATGAATAAATTTATTTAGAAGGAAAAACTGTACAGTTAAATCGCCATTTCAATTATTTTTTAATTATTTCGAAATAGTTTATTGATCGTAATAAGCAATCTATTGCATAACAATGTAAAATCGGTGCGTCACAGAAGTTTCTGAGCAATCTTCAATCCATTCCTGATTATGAGCTTCACTTGATGTTAAAATTCGTTGAACGTTTTCTGTAATCTTTAGTGGGAGATTCCTTAAATGCCAACAATATATTATCTTTGGGAATCTTTTAATACTTGAAGAGATTCAATGTGTCTGTAAAAAGAAACTAAAACTGCCTTTAAATTTTTTATTTTGACAATCACTCATTTGTTTTAAAGAAATGAGAACGGAAAACCTTCTCTCAAAAGAAACAAATGTATTCAATTTGGTTTAAATTCAATTTTGGCAAATGCAATCTGTTAGCCATCCGCTAATTTGTTCTGACAAAGGAATTTCTAGATGTTTGGCAATCATTAAGCATTTGTTGGACACTTATCCTAAAAATCCCCTATACAGAAAATTCGAATAAAAATCACATTTGATTATCATTTGTTTTGCCTTTAACCACATCAACATCAAAAAAGCAACAAATTTTCTACTCCTAAAATAAGTGAATATTAAGTGTTCAATATTCTAGTTTTCATATTGTTTTTCGGTACGAGGTAGACTATTCTAATTGAAGAATTATTGTAAAAAAAATCATTCAGTTAAATAGAAAAAGAAGTCACTGGTGCTAAGTTGGAATTAACCGATTTTTTTGCAAACACAATGAGTTTTTCTTTTTTTAAGAAAGAACACTGCATTTGAAGTTGAGTCGTATTTTATTAAAAGCCACGGAAACATATCAATTGAAAAAATTGAAATCAAGAACGGTATTCAATTCGAACACATTTCCTACAATCATAGACGATTACCATTTATTTGCTTTTAACTTTCGAAAAAAAACTTGTTTGTTATGTCAAAATTCGGATAATGTCAAAAAGTGGAATGTAATAGATGAGGGGTGGGGAGGGGGGCTTAGAGAACAAGTTCTCTTTTTTTTTCAACTTGCTTTGCATTGAGGCGCCATCATTTTAGAGCATTCTATTTTGTGGAAACAATTCGCTCCAGCAACTATTTCTTTATTTTTTTTTCGTGTTGCGCGATGAGGCAAAATTCCCTTAAAGTAGTTATTAAGGCAATTATCTTTTCGACGCATCTCTTGTCTGTTTTCAATTCATACCGATTCAGGTCGTGGTATTCTCATGTAGTGCGCGCATTTATGTATACCATATGAGTCATTTCGAATTTTCGAATAACATTGTTATGCATTTGAGTACATTGCATTTATGTTTGAATGGTTACGCTGTTTCTGAATGGCGAAAATCCATGTCATGTTCAGTTGTTTAATAAATTAAAACATAATCTCAGCATCTATTTAAAAATAACGCTGCTCACATAGTTCACATAAAAAAGCTTATTCTTTACCCAACGAAAAGCAGCACCTTAAAGTAAATAATGAATCATTTCCTATTATATATTAAGCTTGTTCATTGTTATTTTTTTCAATCAGAAAAGATACGCCTGCATTGCATTTTTGCAAACTTCATAATCCAACTGACCACCAAATAGGCAAAAAATCTTCATAAACTTTTATTTGTCTTGTCTTGCGTTGTCCCAATTTCTGCAATTTTATTATTCAATCAATGATGATTTTTAGACATTTTTGTAACTTTCATATTCACTATTAAAAGTTCGATTAACTTCCACTTTCTCAAATACAAATTTAAACCAAAAACCATCTCTCACAATAAGCCTTCTTGTGCAATGACGTTTAATTAAATTTGATAAGGAAACACCACTAATAGATTCGTCGTTCTTCTTCACCCGAAAATGAGAAATGAGATTCTACATTTTTTTTTCTACTTGGTGTTTTTTCATTAGTGGCACGCGCTCCTCTTCTCACTTGTCGTTTATTTTTCTTTTTTGCCTCAATTCCCAAAATGAGCGAATCGCGCAAACCGTATGATTGTCGGCCTCTTAATCAGGCAAGTGTTGAAGTGGCAACGCAATTTGTTAGTTTCACCGCTATTATATTTGACCAACCCGCACACCCACATTTTTTTGTGATGTATTGTATTGTTTTGCTCGCGCGCACGCGCGATTTTCCTCGTTCAATTTCTCATTTTTAAGATGGCTCGAATTTCGAAATATTTCGTCGACTGTCGCGAGCTTGCCGCTCAAAAATGTTGACCTTGATTTCAAGAAAATCGCATAAAATTCCATTTCGCTGAACATTTTATCTTCAACACTCGTGCCTCCTCCATTTGGTAATACTAAATGGATACACCCTGAAATTTAATTCAATCGTTGTTTTGCGCGATTCATTTTTATTTCGCCGATTTTTTTCAATTTACAAAATACATGAATTATTGGTGAAAATTCAGTCTAGAACTAATTTTTTAACGCCCAAATTTTCTACTTTCGAAAATATTCACTCGTTCTTCTAACTCTCTGCTTTAATAATTACACCAGTCAATAGCGTGTTAAAAATTGCAACTTCGTCTCCATCAATTAAAACATTCGTCATACAAAATTTGAATTATACATTCATACAAATGCATCCAAATATCTATTGACAGGCTGACAGTGTAAAGTGAACAGGGTCAAGAGCAATTCGTTATTCTAAGCGTTTCGAGCTCGATATAAAACCGCATAATTTTCAGGAGCCACGATTTTAAAAATTTTCAAAACAGTATTTTTTTATATTTTGATATTGGTTATATATCCTCAAATAAGCAAGGTCAAACTTGTGACTGTCATCTCAACGAGCAAGACCTACCAGATAGGTAAATACCATCCTTATTGACCGAGTTTACTTTATGAGTAATGAGAATCTTTGATTTATTTTCATTGGTTTTACTGATAAAATCTGCTAAATTATTTATTCCGAATTGATAAAGAAAGTGTGAGCAACCGTGTCTGATAAATTAATTCGAATTGGTTGCTCATGTTCGAATTTTTAATAGAATCTAGCAAATCTGATATATGATCAGCATACCAGTAATATTTCGAAATTTGTTGCTCCTTAGATTTTTTTTAAACAAACAAATCATACCCACGCGAGAATCGCTTGGCGGCTACCTTTATGCAGTTCATTTGTTCATATTTTCAAGAGAAAAATCTACGACCACACTATCATCATTTCTAAATTAATCTCAACAAAATCGCCAAAATTTTCTTCCGATTTTAATTTTTATCAAACGGTTTTCACGATAACGCGACGATTCACGATTCTCATTATTTGGTGTGTTTTCAGAACGATGGTCGCGATTCACTATATTGTATTGCTGATCGCAATATTCCACATATCGATTCAATCGACAATAGCGGAAAAAAGTGAGTTTTGTTTTTAAGATATTTGAATGATAAGATTGGAAAAATCTGTGATTGGCTGATAAAAAAAAATCCTATAAAGCATAACGTTTTTAGATATAGCCCATTGTAGAAGAAAAAAATAGAGAGCCGTAGAGAAAAAAAAAACTTTCTTTCAAACCGCTTTTAAAGTAATCACCTTCAATCATTTATCATAAAACAACAATAATTTTTCAAAAATATCTCATTAATGTGAAATGAAAACGGTTTTACAGAACCTTATATAAGCTGTCTAAAATGCATACCACCCGCAAAATGTACAATATGTCATGGAAAATACTGTTTCAAAATGTTCACATCAGGTATTGATAGATTCTTTTGCCAAATTCCTTTTAATTATTTAATCCTCCAGACGAAAATGGCGAAATTCTCGAAAAACGCTCATGTCTCAACAGCACGGATCATTTAACACGAGTTGGCGAATGTTCCACACGACCTTCAGGAATTTTTGAAGAAACTATTTGTATATGTAATGATCGAGACAGGTACTATTGTCATTTTGCCAACAAAAAATCACTTTATTAATTTTCAGATGCAATGCCAGTGCGACTTTCGATTATCTGATATTTGCTCCAATCTTTTTATTGAAATATCTGCTATTCTAAATGTTAATGCTTTTAAAAATTACTATTGTTTTTCATTGATGTTTTTCATCGCTAGTACTGGTGTTTGCTAATTCCCATAACCTCATTTACCTTTTTTTGGTATTTATTTATTATTAATATGAAGTTTAAAAAAATGAAAGTTCTCAAAAAAATATTACGGATTCGACGGTTTTTATCCCAATGTTCTATAAAAGTGATGTTGTGAATAAATTAGCTTTATCAAATTGAATATGTATGTAAAGGCCTTCAAAGACTGGTTTTCGTTTTTCTAATCGTTAACTATACGCAGGTCGACCTCGCATCCAATTCCTCTTTTTTTCGGCGTTTTTTCACCGCGACTCTCAACCACAATTAGTTGGGCATTGTTGTGTTCATTTTTCAAATAGTTTCGCTATTAATGTTGTCGGCCATTTCTACGTTTGTTAAGGTACACATTGCCACCATAATTGATGGCAGTATAATCCAATAATTCGGCATTGATCTGCTATCTAGTTTTGTTCATTTTGAAAATCGATTTCTGGTTAGATTAACATGAATTGATTGAATTGTAGTTCCACTAAACCATCTTCTCAAGATTTCAATTTGTTGCATATTTTCAGAACAACTTACTATATATATGTATTTATATTAATTCATTTTGGAGGGTTCTCAAAGATGTATATTTATTAGAGAAATCCTTTGTTACACCCCTCTTTCCATTCCATTCTACTCCCAGGCCTATACGTTTTTTTTTTCCACTTGGTCTACCTATAAGAACAAGAGGGCGATAATCCGAAACATAACTTTCATCATGCAATTCGGCAACTTCTCTCAAATGCCGACGAACTGCCTCAACTGCTATGCTTCTTGGCTCTCTCTCTCTCTTAGTTTTACACAGTTGAAACTGTGGCGTGTTTGCGCCGCCAATAACCGACCGTCGGCACTCCGAGCAGCTCCTAGGCACTTATCGGCTAAACAAGCCACCGGCAAATTTCCACCCATTCCTCACACTCTCTCCACAGCGATTTTTTTTGCATTATTCGACTTTACCATCGGCGAGGTCCATGTTTTATTTGTTCTTACACATCAACGAGGCTTTTGCGCAATTTTTCTTCTGTTGCGCGAGCTTGGTATGTATTCAACTTTTTGCCAATGTGTAGTTATGTAAGGCCTTCATCAAAAAATTTTTTTCTTCTCATTTTTATTATGACTCATTTGAACAATGTGTGAAAGGTGGGTGGAGGGGGTGCGCGGGAGGAGTCAAATCGTCGTCTCGATTCTGCCAGAAATGGAGAACCGGCCACACCCAAATAAATTCTTTTCCACCTAATTTTTATCGTATGTTTTTGTTACTTCTACAATGCGACACACAACCGCAAATTCAGAAATTGCCAAGTACAAATTTTCACCGCGTTTTTGTTATGTTCATTTAGTAAAATACTATTCATGACAACGTTGAACCGATCTTCATTAATCATAGCATTCGGAAAGGTGTGAAAGATATGATACGAATATCTATGTGTACAGTTCCAAAAGATAACCGGTCCATTCAATTATCATTTATTTTGATTTGGCGTGTCCTTTTAAAAGGATTTTCTTTGAATCAAATTGTCTCGATGAACACTTGGGTGTGGTTCTTGACTACTCGACTACTCAACAATTGTTCTATATTAGGCAAAGAAAACATTTTCATCTGACATTTTTCTATTATAACAAAAACAACAAACAAATATTGAAATTCTAAACCCGCCAACTCTCGAACTCATTGTTCTTGAATTTCGCTACCACACCATCTGGTTTTAGTGTGATAAAGCCGATCTAGTTAATAATCAATGATTATGAATGCAATTAACTTATATGGGTCCATTGTCTTTTGTATTACAACGCTCTCATAAATTTCATTGAAGAGGACAACGCGAATTGATTGCCCCCCGAAAAAAAATGGGCCGAACCACTCCCAAATCAATTTTCTACACACACACACACACACTCGTTTACCGTATTATACTCATCATTTGTTTAGTGCGATTTTTTGCTGTGGTCGAATGAGATAGAAAGATAGGCGATTGAAAACCGTTTGGATGGGCGTCGCCAAAAAACCCATCTTTTTTCCTGAAGGTGTCTAGTGATTGATTGATTCATCAATGATATTACAAAACCGAAATGACGTTGGTTGTGTATTTTCGCGTTTAATTAAATTGCGTTGCTTATCGTTTTCTAGGATAATTCTTGAATTTTATTTTCAGCTATGGAGATAGCTCTTCAGAGCGACAGTAAGGGTATTTTATACGAAGGCTATACCAAGGCCTTTCGTCAATGCGTCTTCGAAGAAGGCGATGTTCATGGTAAAAACGAGCGATATGAATTCCGGTAACCATTAAAACAAATTTCCCTACCATTCATCAATCGAAACAACATTTATTTTTATTCAGTTGTGATTATGACCTTGAATGCTGCGGAAGATCGTGCTGCATTCCACAAGAAGCCACTATTCCATTATGGTGACTCTTATAGTAACATTTTGATGAAAAAAAAATCGAATGCTATTACAGGCTTATGATTATTCTCATTGTTCTTGCTCTTCTTCTGCTTCTAGCACTTTTTGCTCTTCTTGCTTACTTGTGTGGAAAATGGTTGAAATCGAGACCGAAGAAGGGTAAGTGGTGGAATGGTGTGCATTTGATTAAAGCATGGCGTGTTGATGAAACAACATTGAAGCTCGGGAGAATGTTCGAAATGGATTTTTTCACCAAACTCTTTCCTATTACAATTTCCCAATTGATTTTTGATTATTTGAAAATAAATTTGATACCTATCGGAAATGCCATTCACGTGGTTGCGCTTCCGTTTCGAACATTCCAATTGTTGGTATTTATTACAACACACCTTTGACTTCTCCACTAATAAAATCTTGCCCCCACATTGATTTCAGATGAACATGCGAATGGCGCGAGCAAATACGCAGCTCTTCGCAGCAACGGCGACGAGTACGCGATAAATGATCGCTATGAGCGCGAGAAGTACAGCACACCGGATGACATTTACAGCGCTTATCGTAGTAAATACGACAATGGAATTGGAAGAAATGGTGGAGCAAACGGCTGGAGAAATGGCTATGGACATGACTCAATGCTCGATATTGAGAGACCACATAACGATGATTACCGTCGTAGGGATTATGCGGTGTCTCAGAACTACGTTCGCAGACCTTCCGGACAACTTGTCTATGATAGTGACAATGGATCAGTGGTTCGGCATGGAGTCCACGAGACTGTCGAAGAAAGTTACAAACAGGAAATCACCTATGAGCGTCCAGCTTCTACCGATTCCCATGAAATGCTATAACTGATCTGATAACCCAACATATTTCTTATACTGCCAGTTTTCAATTTGAATGTTTCTTTCTTCTTGTAAATACATGTAATCACTTGATTATCCCATATTGGTGGTTCCCTTCTTTATGCATGATTGTGTGTTCCGATTTATGAATAAAATCAAGGATAATAGGTTTTGATGGTTGGATATCGCGTTAAATTAAATTGCCTAATGCGATCAACAAATTGCGGTGATGTTCAAAGCTTTCGCTTCCTCGTTTTTTTTTTGTTTGATGGAACTGCACTTTTATGGGCTGAATTGATAATGAAGAGGAACCTAACTTAGAAATTTATAGAGTTTAAGACAATTTTTGAAGGGATCATGATTTGGGTGAATAGATAAAATTGATGAAATAGATAAACGGGTTGATGAAATTTTGTGACCAATATGTGACACTAACAAAATAATATTCTTTTATCTAACATGTCTGTTTGATTCAACTCACTACCGAGGAAAATTAAGTTTTTATCAAATATTGCAGAAAAATTCGTGCCGTCTCCAATGCAAGAGACGACCTTGATGATGCCAAAGTCGATTCAGATAACCCAGCGTAGCGAAGATGAGATCAGTCGGGCGTCGGTGCCACAGCTCGTCGAGCCGGCACCGTTGTCGCCGCAGCGTGCTCATAACGCTTTCTATAGGTCAACTACTGAACAAATTGCTAGCTACAATCCTGTAGACTGAATTTAAGCACACATATACATATTTTCTTCTATAAAGGAAACGAACACAATTTTCGCATACCAACGATTATTCTCTCATTTTCGAAGATCACAATTATCACTGCCAAATTTTCAGTTCCTCGTTTAGCATTTCTTGTTATGTAGAGTGTGTGAATAAAAAATTTTTTACAACAAAACTGTTTTTTTTTTTGTTTATTTTGATAATATGAAAAGACCAAACGGCACATTTTTACAGACCATTTGTACCGGATAATGTGGATGATCGCGAATTGCCGCCACCACTTCGCGGATCGATTTCCTATCATTCCGTCGATGAGCTCAGCCACAGTCAATTTGGAACAATTAAGTAAGCTTCCAAGCACCTCTAAGATTTGCTATGAAAACTATTCAGATCTGTTGAAAAACCCAAGGATAGGAACTCTGAAAGAATGTACAAAAGACCAGGTTTCGACAACGTTCCTGCCTACTAATTGACTCTCATCAATTTCACAATAGTTTCATTTCAAAAAAAAATCAACCAAAAACTCTGAAAATGAGTTTCCGCTTTCATTTTTTAGATATTATGCTCAGTTACTGCCATTCTGTATGTACTTTTTAATAAATAAATTGATTATATAAAAACATACATTTATTTAAATACGCAAGTCTATATTTGGTTTTTGGTTTCTTCTCACAATTTTGACTCTAAAAAATCCAAAAAACAGAAGGACGAATATTTAACGAAAGGGACCACCAAAAATTCTGTTTTCTGCAATATGTTTTTTTTAGATTGTCATTCAATTTTATTAAAGCCTTATTTTGTTTTTAATTTTACTTGAAATCACAATAAACTTTAAAATTCGATTTACGTCCGTACTATTAGTGCGTTATAAGTTATCAGGCTAAATTTTTTCGTGACAAATAGGAATTTGCCACCGTCATCGCATGTTCTTTCATTCGACAACTGCGTTCTCTTCCTCGCCGAAATTCATATTGAAGGAAGAATTAAACGTGTTTTTTTTCCGTCTTCATTGAAGAGAGACGGCCGAGTACAAATCGCACGTCTCGTGTCTCGCGAACTTTGGTCGTTTTTTTATTGTCTACTCGCTGTTCAATGTTCGCTGTTCAATAAAAAAATTCCATAAATAGACTCCCACGCACTTTTATTATTTTTCTTGCAACACGAACACGTCAGATATAATTTTTTAAAAATTATTTTATTTTTGAAAGAAATTTTAGCATAACGAATCAAAAACATATATTTCTTATTTAACATAATCGTTTATATTATAATGAGCCGTATCTACGCCAAACCATCACCGGAAAAAATCAATACCGGTCAATCAATAAAGAGAGAGACAATGCGCGTTCGTTTGCGCAGTGTCGTTGCAGCAGCTCTGCCTTTTTTGCTTACTTCTCAGCAAAATGATATAAGTTATTCTATAATTACCATAAATTGTTGGGGATTTCAAAATATCTAAAGAACTTAAAAAGTTTAATGAAATTTCAAAACATTTATTAATACTGGAAAATATTTAATTTTTGAAAAATATTGTATTAGATTTCCTAGTTTATTAAGAAAATTATAAAATATCTCAATGCAATTAAAAATTTTATAATTATCTATAATTTTCAATAATAAAAGTCATAAATATTATAGTGTCAACGACTATAATTAAGGATATTTTATAATACTCGTTTGTCTGAGTTATTGTACTATTATATATATATATATATCATTTTCCTCATTTTTATTTTATTCTTTTCCCCTTTTGCTATAACGATTTCAATTCTGACTTTTTTCGCTTAAAAAATCAACGAACACCTTCCATTAGCTTTTCACCGGAAATACTAAGAAAAGTAAAACGCCACGCTTATGCCGAACACTGCCCTCAGTTTAGTGTATTTCAAAGGAGAGCACTCGTTCGGAATTGAATAGTCATTATTTGCATCATTGACGTGCTTGATGGGGTGTTCACTTATCGATTTCATTCTAGGTGTCCATGCTGCCATGGCCCTTAAAGCGAAGATTAACCCGAAGCCAATCATATGACCATATCGATAATCACCGAATCGCCATTGCAAATACAATAGGTATGATCAATTCATTGATTTATTTGAATACAAATATCTGTACAATATTTCAAGATGAACATGACAACTGTCCAGTCCCGCTGCGATTATTTATGAGATGCTGCCGACGATGGTCGACGATAGCGGGCACGTTTGCGGTAAATTGAAACAACTGACACACTGATTTTTTTAAAATAATTTTTTGCAGTTTGAAAGAGCTTACATGTTTGTAGCAAACTTCAAAGACCGAAATATGGGGCCTCCTGTGAAACCGAATAATTCTTATAGAATGATACTGGATTTATTGGGACAGGTTTTTAAAATAGACAATTAGAGACCAAAAAAATTATTTCAGGTTTCAAACTTGGATCGTAATTATTATATGTTATCGTTTCTTGAGAAAAGGAACGAATTCACCGTAAAACCTTTGAAGTCGTCTTATTTAGCATTAGTGTAAGATTTTTTTCATTACATATTTATATTTCCATAGAGTTTCTTTAGAAATTCTACAAAACAGTTCATCGACAAATTTAAAACAATAAAGCTATGGAGGATTGTCGAATTTTTGCGAGAGCTACATTCATACATTTCCACACGTCTGCTCGCCATTGATCTCTACGTCGACATATCACGAGATGGTATTGAATATTCATATCTCGGCATCAAATGTTATTTGAATATTCCTAGAAAATAATTTGAAAATCAACTGGAAAAAGTACATCGCGAGAACGGAAGAAATTATCAAATTATTGGTTCAAGGTAACTTTTATTAACAAGCAAGTATTATAATGACATTTTTTTCTTCAGAATGCATGGGAGATGATGAATCCTACGAGAGACCCATCTTGTACAATTTTGTCGAATCGGATGAAGATTTGAAGCTGTCAATTTTAGACTTGCTCGCTTTAAGAAGAATATCACACCTGGGCCTAAATGAGCCATCACCTTATGAAACAACCCATTTGACCACTGAAAATGGAAGGAGTGTATTGAATTCTACACACGTGGCACGGCCGGATTCGGGCCTAGGTATTAACACAAGATTTGAAGTTGTAGCTGAGAGATCATCATCAACGAAACCTTCTTCTTCTACAAATTCTGCCATTCAACCTTGTTTTACTCAATCTGAACCATCATCTTCGAATGCTAAGGATGAAAATGAAGATAGAAAAAAAGACGAGGAATTTGTTGTGGAAACGGAAACGTATATATATGAATACGAACTGCAAATTGAAGATAACAGTTGGGCAAATACCTATAATGATTCCAATGACGATGAACGGATTCTAAGCGACAAATCTCGTGAATTAGGAAAACCTTATAGAATTGTATTGCTCGTAGATCGAATAGAAAAACAGCAGATGGAAGACGTGGAACTAGAGAATCGCGATCCTCCACCACTGGAAGGATATTTGGATCGAGCATCGCAAGCATCGAGCGAGTATGCGATGTCGTATGAAAGTTCTATAGACGAATTCATGCCGCCACTTTCTTTGACGAACGATGACGAGTCAAGAGTTTCAGAAGATGGTTACTATTATATTCGCGAAACGAGATCAAAAAACGATAGTCCTACTCGATCGGTCAAATCATGCTATTTACAAAATTTGGAATCCAATGAAGAGCTTCGATACATTGTCGATGAGACGTACCACATTGATGGAAACGCCAATGCGGAAATTGATGAGAACACCGATCGAAGTTGTGAATCTCCACATCCGTCTGAAGAGAGAGCCGAATTTGATCGGCGTACTGTTCGGAATTGTCTACGCGATTTTTATTTAACAAAAGAGGAATTTGATGAAATGATCGCTTTGGAATTGCAAAGAAAAATCCAAGCCGAGAAAAATATGCGCCGACGACCAATACAACTAAATAGGAAACGACCGCGTGGATTCTCCATGTGCGAATCTGTCATGGGCCACGGCGCCCTTTATTCACCATATTACATCCCAGGAAACATTCTTAAAGAATACCTGATGATAAGGAAGAATCAGTGGCGAGAAAAGAGACGAAAAGCGAGAATGGAAAGCGATAATCCGGATTATAATGAATTTTATGAAGCGTTCTGCTACGACAATAGCAAAGATGAATTCCGGCTGTTATGCTGCATTCCGAAACCATACGAACGATGCTTTGATGTGCCATGCCAATTTGATTATTTAAAGATCTACAGGTGCTCTTCGTACGAGGTGGAGATTTATTTTTTGTACAATGAAAGATGGTACGAAGACAAAACGAAATATCTAAGAGAAATGCGAGAAGCATATTATGCAACGCTGAAATATTATAAAAACAAAGTCGTGGTTACCGATTTTTTCAAATACACACAAACAACCGCGTCGGAGTATTACTGGTTTCGATCGGAATTGTTTCGAAGGATGACGCGAAGCGAAATTGAAGAGGCATATTCAAGAAATAATAATTGGATAATATTTCTTTTCATTGATCTGGACACAAACGAACTCCTTCAAAATTTGCCACCATTGTACAGCAGAAAAGCGCGGAAACGCCTTCATCAATACGCAAAGCAAGGAAGACTTACTCACTCGGAAAAGACTAATATGGATATTCTCGAAGCACTCTATTTGCTTCAAAAGCGACGTCTACGGAAGAAATGCAGATTGGCGTATTTTCGACGATATGCTGCGAAGCATGAAGAATTGGATCCTGAGGAAGCGAACTGGTATCAAATAGAGAGTGACCTTGTATTTAAAATGAATCATCTGGTTAGTTCAGTTCTTCAAATTGCCTTATTATTATTAACTGAATTTCAGCGCAAAAAGAAACTGCGGCTAGAGAGAAAAATGGAATGTCCGTCGGGCTATTTCAGCAATTCTACCGACAGCGATCCTGACTGTGGTGTTGATGGAGGTCCAACTTATGTGATGCAACAACTTCGCAAATTGTTCATCCATGAACTTCACACTTTGCTTCTTTTATTAGAAACGCAGAATGAGTTGTCATCGGGAAATGTATGCAAAATTTGAGTTCAGAAGAATTGAATTAATCGGTCTTTAAGATTTTGCGAGCTGTTCCTTTAATCAATCAAGCTTCACAGCAATTCGGGTTGTTGTCAAACGAGATGAAGCCAGAGGATACTGTAGTAGTAAAGTCCACAATGTAAGCTATACATATTTATGGAAATTTGAAACAATAGTGTCATCACGTTACAGGGAACTCATCAAAAAGCCGAGAAACAATCTTGCTTATTGGTTCATGCATTCTCATAAGCTATTGAGCGAAAAGCTCTGTCTATACGCTTCAGATATTCTTGCTCCACCTATCAATCACGAAGAAGCGAGAGAGGTAGGAATTGAGTATTTCCTATGAATTAGTGAATAATGGTGCTTCAGGAATTCCTTGATTTTGATGATCATTTTGGATTAATAAAAGAGTGTTTCAAGTTTTGCAAAAAATCAAAAGCCTACTACATGTGTATCTGTGTAGGAGGACGAGAAACTATTTCAGAAGATGACAGTACGGATAAAAAATCAATTCGAAATCTAGATCAATTTTATTTTAGAGTATATTGAGAAATATTTTCCTAATAAAAGAGGTTTTGCGGAAGATTTTTTGAATGCAGTTGATAGTATTCACAATGCGAAAACAAAAGGAAAGTATGAAGATTTGGTTGATTCAAAATTCTTCCACAATTATGTAATGCCTGTGATTCAGGTAACTTTATATTATTTGAAAATTCTGCTCAATTCATTTTTTTCTAGGCTGCCTTTGCTGAATATGATCTCTACAATTTAGAAGATTCAACCGAGCACCAAGCTCATCGTGAAATAAAAAAACTCAGAATTCCAGAAAAGGAAAAAGAATTTTTGAAGCGACTTATGACTTGCGTTTGTCTTACACATCGTCAAGTGGGTCGCATTGAAAAGTATGAGCCGAATCCGAACGAATTCGTGCCAATCATGTTCGAAATTCCATCTAACTTAAATGAAATGAAGACTAAACACCATAGACATGTATGATTTGAATTCAATCATCATAAAGTAATGAAGGGAAGCTTTCAGTTTGAAGAAAATGTGGAGCGCAAAAGGATGACAGAGTTTGTAAATCGCTATATGCATCCAGAAGCTGAAAACTATAACCAAAAGGAGGAGTCATTCAAAATACCGTTTCATTATCGTCACTATGATGCCGAAAATCGCGTTGTAAGTCAACTTTTAGATATTTTAAGCAAAAGCATTGAATAGCACATAATATTTTCAAAAAGATTGGATAATATTCTCATTATTACTTTACCTGTTTAATGAAAAATTAAAATTTCAAAAAATTTGCACAAAAATAAACCATGTCTTACTGGAAATGTGAAAAATCATTTGAAAATCAACGCAATCAATTTTCTCATAGTTAATTACAATCTTGATGACAGACATTCTTCGGCGAGGAGATTGAACGTGGAATCTACATGATAACAACATATCGTGGAAGAGTTTTCAATTGCGAAGTCAACATCCGCCAATTCTACGAAAAAATTCTGACAAAAGTTCGACTCAACTCAACGCTTAAAGCACTTTCCCTTGCTTCAACTGCTGAAGAGCTTCAATTCAATGCGAAGGAAGAGCTAGCACGCAGAGAAAACGCACGGTTACGTCGACAATACACATACGGAGCGTCATATACTCATCAAATTGAGAATAATTTAATATAAATTATTGCGATTGTCAAAATATTTTCATTTAATGTGTCATTTTATTGTTCTCGTTATCAGTATTTTGGTTTATGGAATAAATATGGGTTTAATGAATGATATACGAAGAAGATTGCGTGACCGCTCTGGAAATAAACAATTCCAGTTTCTTTGAAATCCGCCGCTTGTGATGATTCAATTTTTCGGTTTTGTTTCGACGGGTACAACGAAGGATAGGCAAAACAAAAATGTAACCTTGAAATCTTAAAAATCGGATATAAAAATTAAAAAAATCTATGTTTTCAGGATTTGGCGGCAATAAACCACTTTATTCCTGAATGTTTTAAATTTGAATTAAAAAATTGCCTAAGCATTATGTGCATGTTCAAAGTAGGAAAAACGAAACATACTACGAAATAATTGCACTTATTTTTCAATGGAATTCACTTCGAATGCGCGATTTTTCAACATACATGACGTTTTTGGAAGAAAAGGCCGTTGAAATAGCGCAAAGTATCGATTTTTGATTTTCAAAATTTTTATTCAGAATTTCCAATTTTTAATTGATCCATATTTGCTAAAAGATTGTTGCAGTAAAAATTTTGGCCAAAGAAATAGTGCTGTATTAAACTAAGAATAATGATAATCCCAATAGGGTTTATTAACTATTATTTTTCATTCAAATTGTGCTTGAGTTTTTAGTGATAAAATCGTAATAGGTACCTTTTTTCTCTACACCTTTGTTAGAGAAACCTTTTGAGTGACTCACTTACATTTCCTTGGAAAAACAATGACATATAAAATAATTTCGTTTTGAACTCCTATCATTTCAAACACTAGTAGAATATTTTGAAAATCTTTTGAACTGAACTGAAATCGGATATATCAACAATATTATGAAGAGTGCAAATGATCATTGATCCACATGATCAATTTATGAGCCTCAAACTGTTAGGATAAACTCATATATTTTACAACATAATTAATATAAAAACTTATCTTCACAATTTATATAATGAGAGGCATTGTGAAAAAAAAACTAATTTAGAGATTATAGAATTGCGTTGGTTATTCTTTGAATTTCGTGTTCGTGCCTTCAAAAGTGCACTAATGGCATTGAAAATAATCATTATTTAAAGTACATCTAATTTGAAATTTTTTTGCATTCCACAACAACTCGAAATCAAAGAATTTCACAGAAAAGTCTTCAAAATCATTTATTCATATTTGAAGTAGTCCAGTTCCGGAAACTGAAATCATAAATCAGGAATATGTCACACAAAAGCATTTTGTTTTATTATATGAACATACATATCCTTTAACCCAAATGAATCATATAGAATGTTTCAGGTTTCATTACATTTACTCTGAATGCCAATTTAGAGTATACATTATGCTCACAAAAAATGATCTCTATAAAACTACCCCCTAATTATAAACAATCGACAGCCTTTTTTATGTACATAAAACAAATGATGAATGTAATTGAATTCCGGCAAAAATTTGCTGGATCGCAACATTTGCACATTAAATAGTCCCGCAATGTTCCGAACACCACTGAAGCTTCTGACGTCGAGTCAGATCATAGCAAGTATGCAGATACATATACTGTGTTTATGAACCGATCGGTCGATACGCGTCTTCTGCTTGGTTGAGCGGCGGCCGCCGTTTGCAAATGGATATCTTGGGAGTTTATATTATAAACATCCAGATTGTTGCAGTTGCTTGCGCGCAACGGGGTATCCCTTGCCAGTTCGGTCTCACTCTTTGTATATTCTACGCACAGAAAAATGCTACCTTTTTGAAAGCGTTTTAAACCTGAAGAAGCATGGTTTTCAATTTTTGGAATTCCATTCATAGCCTCAAAATTTTTGTTTCCTTCTAGATTTATATACATAGTTTGCTCTCGAGTGACTTTGCTGCAAACTTGATTCGAATTAAACAAACATTATGGTTCTGGAGTTTCGCCGATCGAACGGCAACACTTCAAAGAGTAACCATTCATCATCATAAATTGTTACACGTTTATTAGAATTGTCACCTTTCGAATGTTGCGAACCGGCGCGTAGCAGTTGTGCGAACACCTCGGGGGAGCTCCAAATTTTCAATTTAGTGCACAAATTCTTGTTCCAAGGAAAATAAATTCATCTCATTTTTTTTGGCATACCAACGCTAATATTAATCGACTTCCGCTCTCTCCATGCTCCCTCGAATTTGAATTCGTATTTATGTTTTTGATTTTGAATATCTGAAAAAGAATAAACGCCTTCAATGTTTTTATGTTTTTCATTATGCGCATTACGGTTATTCTTATTTTGTCTCGCGAAATCAAAAATTTGAATTCGCCAAACGTCAAAGTCGCGGCTCTTCTCTTATGAATCACATGCGTCGCGTCATGTCGGCGTCACGATTTTTGAAACTCATCATTAGCAAATAAAAATAAGAAACTGGGAGTAGATATACGTGACGTTCTTTGTTCGAATATTTTGCTACTGTTGCAATATGATCGCCTTTTTTTCAATTTAGCCCCTACAGTAGTCTTATCATTTCGAACGACCTTTACAAAATCAATATTGCAAATTTTCTAGGCTCTCTTCTCACGAAAACTATTCATATGTATGAACGTGAATTCACACCAAAAAAATTTTCGGGTCAAGTATAAACATGTGTGAAAAGAAGTTACGACATGAGAGCATCAAAAATATGATATGCTCCTCATATTCATATGCGTTTCACACATAATATTTCTTGATCAAAATTCTATTTTCTTTGAGAAAATACCACAAAAGTTTTATGTTTAAATGTATTACTATCGATAAAAAATGCCACATGGATAATGTAAAACTACTCGGGGGTAGTTATCAGAACATCTGGCATATGCGACTCAAAATCAGTTTCCACTATATAAAAAAAGAATAAATAACTTAAACGTGGGTAAGATGTTTCAATCACGTGCCATTAACAGTATTTTTGCGCTAAGATATATATTTAAAATATATTATTGACCAGTTTTCCATTTTTTTTTAAATTTCGTATTAAATGAGGCAAAAGTTATATTATTTCTATTACGTATGAAAACGACGTCGAAAAAATCCTACTCCAGTCTTCGCAAAGAAAAAATTTTTATTAATCTGGCCTGGACGACCCGACCAATAGAACTCAAATCCTCAACTCCGCCCCTTTCTCTCCGCAGTTGTAGGACGCGCCAAACAATTAGTAATGAAAATATGGTTTCCGACGTTCAGCTTAGGTTTTTTTTGCGAAATTTTTATATTTTTGAAGTTTTTTTTGTGAATTTTTTGCTTCTTGATATGCATTATAGATAAATGATGTAAACTTCTCATACCTTTGTCTTCTGCCCATTTCTTTATTCCCGTTATTCATTTAGAGTGCTGGTTTGTTTTATAAACTGGTTAAACGTTATTAAATTGACCTTTCAAAAACAATCCACATATGTAGTTTGAACTGCTAGATGTAGTTTTTTTCTTGCAAAACCAACGATCATTTTTTTTGTGCAAAATTGTGTGCTGCGGATATGTCTTTTTTCTTCGTTCTAAACAATTTGCCTCAAATTTCTTAAATTTTTGGAAGCAATAGATAAAACGCGGGGGCGGCGACAAAAATGTGAAAGTCGAACAATTGATATTTGGGCAGCATTCATAAAATTTCAAGTTCCCCGAACACTCGACTGACCCCCTATCAATCAAAAATGGCATTGATCAAAGAATTTTAGCTATTTGTTATTTGCATTCCTTGCCGATATCAAATATGTAATTCGATATGAAATATATCTCACCAAACTTTCTCCCTAATTTCCGATCAAGCGTATCGAATAGCTGTTAATCGAGTTATGATGATAGTGTATCAAGTAGCCAGCTAGGTATTGAATATCGCGATTCACACGACGCGCTGATAATCGGTCATTTGATACAAATGCATTTCGCATATCTTTCTGATTAATTCCAATAATCATATTAATTACCTTTTAATTCGATACGGTTGAATTTGAGTGGCGTCGCCTTTATTAGAATGATCTGGGTGGGTTTTCGCTAGGGTGGGGTGGAGGGAACGTCAAGTCGTCAATAGATTATGTCAATTAATATCATATCAATAGACACTGCTGTAAAAATTGAGACTGTTCATCCATTGTTTGGTATTCATTTCCTTTCACAACATCGTCTCCTTCTTGTTTAACATTGTTTTCTTTTGACAATTTTTTTTCGATAAATAAACATGCGCTTCTTAATCGGCAACCAGATTCAGTTTATTTTAATAATCCATTAATACATACACCGAAAGTTGTACTTTTACATTCGAATCCGCAAAAAAATGAAGCAGAATATCATATGACTCAAATGTTTCTTGAACTCTTACCCCTTTGGCTGGATCATTCGAGAAATTCATAAACAAAAAAAAACATCGCGGAGAAAAAAAGATTCAAAGATTGTTTCATTGTTTCTTCAGTTTTTTATTCATTCATTCAATTTTCAACCCCGGTCTTTTCCAAAAAAAAATATTGGGACCTTGCAAAAACAGCCCGAAATGCGTTCTTATCTAATATGCTTCTATTGTCTCTCCAGGGGGCCGTCGGGGACCCTTGAAAGTTTTTGGTGTGAGCTTAACCCGAGCAAAAACTCCCGCCACTCGATTGACACTTTTTTATAATTTATTTCGCTGCTTCTCGTTTGATATATGACGTTGTTCTCAGATTTAAAGAGTTGTGGAAAGGAATGCCAAAGTGCGTGTGACTTCCATATTCATAAGCGTAGTAGTCCTCATCAGCGTTCCGTCAATTTTTTTTTCATCATTTATTTTTAATGAAAAATACATAAATAAAAAAATCAATGGAGCATGGAAAATTGCGAAAGTTGACGATGCGAAAAAATGAGGCAATTCCATAACGGTCCAATTTTTTCAAGGATAAATAATATCCAAAGCGCATCCGAACATTAGAGGCCACGCCCATTTTCAGCTCTTATCATTCGAACGAGCCCAGCCAATCCGAGAAACGCATCACATGTTACGGTTTATTGCATTTCGAAGTTCGTCACGAGTGACATCTTTTTTCGCTTTCAATTTATTCACCCCCCCCCCTCTCTCTAGAAACCTTGGATAATAAATAAGTCGACCTGACAGGTTCAAGAGATAGGCCAGTCGCGAAAAAAAATGATAGTCGCTCATATCATGCTGGCATTCAAAAAACCGTTATTTTTTTCCACCGATCGTTTTGGTGTAAAGGAGAAATGGAAACCAATACCAACCAACTTGAAGACCAGCCACCGATTGCCGCCACTAATGATTGTTTCGTTTTTGTGATTCTCTAACTATTCTCGCATATTTCGCTTACCCCCCAACACCAAACCGTTTTGCCCCACCGGCGCACAGATAGATTTTTTTTGGTCGATGCTATCGACGAATTCGCTAATAGCGGACGCCTTATTGTTAAAATGTAATCGAACCCATAACAATCAGTTGGCAATGCCTCGACGACTTTCGTTGATTCAAATTTCGAAAGCGCTAGAAGAATGAACCGAAAAATATATATGGGTGTGAAACTTGTCACTCAGTTTTCGTCCATCTGCACTGTTTGATTAATGCATCATTTAATGCAACATTATTTACCAATCCACCGTAGGTCGGCCAATTAAGTTTGACATTATGGTCCCGCGCGTCAAACTTAATTGTTCGACAATGTTGTACCGAAATTATAATTTGTCCTTCTTCACGCCGAACAATCGGTATTCGATAATGCCCTTCATCATTTCCTCGAACTTTATTCTCAAGTTTTTTTTGTTAAAATATATAGTGTATTTTTTCTATTTTTATTTATTGAGCTAATTGAAAACGCCGATGGTGTTCATTCATTTTATTGCAGTTCTCGAAGAGACATTTTTCGACTAAGCAACTTGGATCGACTCCGTTTTTTTGCCACATATCATCACTCGGAATGGCATCACCAACCGAACACGTAAGAAAATTACATTCATTTGATAGTAGTAGGTTCATTTCTAATTTACTATTATGTATTTATAACAAAGGTGTGAAAATGCACTTAAGAAGAAACCAGTTCTTTTCAACGGTGTTCACATTTCAATCCCTTTCGCCTACTCCCGAATGTGATTGTCGTTGTTCCTTTTATGGAGTTGAACGCCAAAATCGAATTTTTGAAATAATTTTTGATGTGAAAACGAATCGGCGAGATGAAATGTGAAGTTTTTATCTTGGGCATACAATTTTTCAAAATATGGATCGCAACGAACCGGTTCTCAAAACCACCAAATCAATTGATAGGCGGAATTATCTCCAATGATGGTTCTTAGAAAAATGATTGTAGTTATTAATTTCAATGGTTTTAACGATATAAGAAGCACTAATGAAAATTTTTATTTTTGTTGAATGTTAAAAATTTGATTAATGCAAAACAGCAGATCTCATTAAAAAATACATTACCCCATTTTAATGGTTATTCGATTATCTGCTGTTGATAATTTCTTCTTCCAAAACGGAAATCCAAAAATCAGTCCTTCCAAAGTTTCATCATTCTAGGTTGCAAGTTTCTTCATCAATTCAATGGTAATTCAACGTTGAATACAAAATATTTTATTTTTATCGTTTGATCTTTCAGTTTTCTGTAGTGCTATATTCAGACATTTTTTGCAACTGCGATTTCATGTTAAAACATCACATTTGAGCAATTGGTCCCCCATTTCTTGTTGTCTCGCAAAACAAAAATTGCTCATTCATAGCAAATGACATATTCGATCGCTTCGAATGTTTCCAATTCCTTTCACGAATGAGTCACAGGCACCAGAAAAAAATGTATATTGGCGCTGACCAAAATGTGAGAACCGGAAGTTGACCGGGGCGTTTCTATTTTTGGTGTGACGTACAACGCGACGTAACATTTCTAATAATAGTCAAATTTCAGACATTCGAGCCAGGACAGGTGAACCGTCCGTTGGTCTCCAATGGATTCACGAAAACCGAAGAGTTGCCAAAGACGCCGTTAGGCAAGGAGAGAGCATCTTGGAAGAGGCATCTTTTCAAGAACAGATCGACATTTAAGAAAGAGTATCTGGTGCATTTGAAATCTTGAAATTGTAAAGTGCAAATTACAGCAAATGCAAACTTATTGTCTCGGCGATTCTCATCGGAGTCGCCATCGGCTTTCTCGCCCTTCTTATCACATTCATCGCAAATCTTCTTGTAAGACTCATTTGTCCATTTTCGATTTTCAGTTTCTTCTTATTTTAGAACACTCCGAAGATTCACATCGATGAGCCATCTGGCAGCCATCGTCTAGCAAACGCTGGAATCGGAAAACCAGATTCCCCAATGACGACGTAAATATACATATATCATCAGTAACGTTGAAATGTCAATATTTAGAGATTTGCCGTTTGACGAACCAACTCCGCACGTTGTTGCACAGAAGGCGCCTGAAAAACAGTTTGGCACGACAGAATTTCAATGAAACTTGTTTGAAATTTTTAGAAAACTTTTCTCCAGCACCACCATTTCGGCCGAACCTGTTAACGAATTGACTAGCGCATTGGAGGAGATTACCTCGACCTCAACCATGTCAGAATTAGAAGATTCCACTCATCCGTTGGACTATTTTGGACTGTTGACCGATCGCAATTCTGCTGATGATTGTTTAGTTCATTATTCAAATGGAGCAAAAACTGGAGTTTACCCGGTTGTGAAAGAATCGAAGCGTATTGAAGTGTTCTGCGATATGGAAACTGAAAATGGTGGATGGACAGTGATTCAAAGGTGCATTTTAGTTGAATTTTTTGAATTGAATTGTTTGTTAAGACGTCTAAATAACAAGGAATCATTCCATAACAAGTTGTGGAATCAATATGTCGAAGGATTTGGAAACAAAGAGGGTATTTTTGAATATGACATCAAAACACTATATTTAGATTTGCAGAGAACTTTTGGATTGGTCTTGAAAACTTGTATGCCTTGGCGCCGTCATCCGGAGACTATGTCACACTTCGCATCGAACTACGCGGTGACACGTGCTTCGGTGATAAATGCAGCAAGAGCAGTGATGGATTCTGGTACAACGAATACAAATTCAAGGTTGCCAATTGATGCCTCTTCGGTTTTTAATATAGAATTGTCAGATTGGGGACGCCAGCTCCGGCTATCAATTGGATATTTCGACACCAACTCGGGGAAACCTGTCAACTGCAAATAATCCTGAAGACCCACTTTTCGCCATGAACAATGGCCAGAAATTTACCACCATCGACCACGATCAAGATTCGGAGCCGGGATTTAATTGCGCTCAATTTCGCAATTATGGGTAAATTATCGAGAAAGGAAAAAATTAATTAAGATATAAAATTCAATTTTAGACCATGGTGGCACAAGAATTGCACGAAAGTGGCGTTGAATGGACTCTACGGCGATAAAAAACCAGTGACTCGATATATGATGTGGAATTATGTTGAGAAGAGCAAGGACGGGAAAATTGTTGCAAGCTTTCCTATTCATCCCAAAGAAACTATTATGCTGATTCGCCCAATGTTTTAATATCCCACAAGAGAAAATTTGTGTTTTTTATCCTACTGTCATTTTTGCCAATTTTTTCCCATAAATTTCATCAAATGACCTGTCTCAGGGTTCTCTGATTGTCGTTTTTATTTCTGTAACTTGTGTTTTCGACTGTACAGATATTGACTTGCCAATTATTTTTAGTTTTCATTTTTAATATCAAAACGAGTTTGCTTTTCATTTCTTATCTGATTATCAGTTTTCCGTTTTAGAATAATAATTATTTTTATTGAATAAAAATGGCTATCCAATAATGTCGTTGACTATTGACAATTTGGTTGCATGCGCGCTCCAATGAGCATATATTCCCAAGCGTCCCTGCGAGATGGGAAATTTGAAAATCATTCCTTATTGATTTGCCAGCACCTAGTGTTCTCTGCTCTCGTTTTTCTCACGTCCATTCCTCATTTTTCGTTTCCAGATGTCCGATAGAAGCACTAAAAGAGTGTTTCTGGATATTGCAAAAGATGGTGTTAACATTGGACGGATTGTCATTGAGCTTTTCGATAAAATTGGTAATTTTCATCGATTGTCTTCTTTTTTAAAATTAAACTCGTTTAGCACCCAGAACATGCGAGAACTTTCGCGCTCTCTGTACCGGTGAATTGGGAAAAGTCGGTGACGTAAAGATGACCTATAAAGGATCGCTTTTTCATCGCATTGTTAAAGGATTCATGATACAAGGAGGAGATATAACCGCTGGAAATGGTACCGGTGGAATGTCGATATACGGAAGAACGTTTGACGATGAGGAATTCATGGAGTCGCACTCGGAGCCATATTTGTTGTCGATGGCTAACAAAGTTGGTTTTTGTCTTCAAAAAATTCTAGCGGAAAATAAACTTCAAGGAATGCATCAGTGATCGTAAAAATTCAATAAAACCAAATTTATTTATTTGTTCTTATTATTTGAAAAATATAAGAACCCTTTTTTAAAAATTTAGAGCTACAGAAGGCAAGAAACAAAGTTGGCTTTTTTTCTCGAACTCGCTCTATATTATACACGGATGAACGGATTTCCAGTTTTTAATTCATCCGAATATAGTTTAGAATGATAGATAGAATAAGTTAATCGAATGGAAAGCTCAAGTCATAATTTTATAGTACGAGCTGAAATTTGGATTAATTGGTGTGATTAGGAAAATTTGTGCAGTTTTCGAAACACCAATGTTGAAGGAGGATGAGGATTAAACAATGATATAATTTTAATTTCAGGGCCCCAATACCAACAGCTCCCAATTTTTCATTACAACAGCGATAGCTCGCCATTGCGATGCCAAACACGTTGTTTTTGGAAGGGTACATTCTATGAATACAGAATTGAACCTAATTTACTACTTCCAGGTCGTTAAAGGGCAAAGCATTGTTGATATGATTGAAAAGACACGTGTTAATGACAACAACAAACCCTTTGAAGATATTATGATAATAAATTGTGGCGAGCTTTTCAAGAGGAAAAATAATGATGATGATAAAGGCGATCGTTCTGAGAGCCCAACTTCGTCTGAAAAGAAAGCTCAAGACGAAAATGCACTATCGTCTGTAAAAGCCGAGGATTTGCCGCCGGAACCAAAAACGACAAACTGGCTTTACAGAAGATCAAAGACTCCTGAAGGCGTTAGTTTTTTTTTTAAGATTATGTTCTTGCTTAATAAATAAATTATTCAGAAGAAAAGCTCTAAAGAGAAAAACGATCGGAAGCGTAATCGTTCTAAGACTCGTAGCAGAAGCCGTAATCGAAGCAGGAGCCGTAATCGTAGCCGAAGCCGCAATCGCAGCAGAAGCCGAAACCGCAGCCGTAGTCGCAATCGTAGCGGTAGCAGAAGTCGTAGTCACAGCCGCGATCGCCAGCGTAGGCGGCGTGAGCGTCGTGACAGAGATCGCTACGATCGGGAGCGTTATGATCGAGGACGCTATCGTGATCGCGAGGATCGTGGACGTTACAGTCGCGGTAGAAGACATTCACGCTCTCCGCGACGCGATGACAGAGATTCCAGAGCTCCGCGAAGCTACTATGAGGTAAGATTTCAAAAAGAAAAAAGATTGACTTACTTTTTGGAAAATACTTCCTTCCCTTTAAACGCGTTGTTCCTTCGTTCTACTTCGAATAATGGTGTTTCAAATGACATTGTTTCATATAAAATTCAGACAAGACATTTTCGCTAAAAAAAACATCTGCTTAGAAAGTCATTTTTATTGTATGAGTTCATAGAATCCAAAACCTTCATACTCTATTCTTGAATATTATATAACAGATATTTTAAATTCAGCATTTTGCTTTCGAGATATCCCTCATGTCTAAAAAATTTCTTATTAGCGATTAGCTTAGTGCTATTTTTGAAGCAACAGTATTAGTCAACTCAATTCCATGAATGAATTAATTGGTTAAACAAAATATTTGAGAATACCGGCAATGAGTCAATTCCATATTCCGCGAAGAAAAGTATTTTTTTGAAATTCTTCGGAATAATAAGATGACTAAACAATTATTATAAAGAAGAGCAATATGATGAATATAACTTACAATAGGATGTTGAATATTCAATAGTTGATTATAGACTCGTAACGATCGCTTGAGCAAGGATACCGGAACCAAAGTTCGTGGGCGTGGCGAATTGCTTTATGGAAAGGAACGTAGTGTGACACCGCCAAGATGGAAAAGAGAAGAGGTTGCGTCCCGAAATGTTTTTTTTTTTAATTCTGGAATTTTGGAATTTTCAGAGAAAGAAGGTTGCACTTGAAGATGCATTGAAGAAACATCGGCAAGATGAAGAGCATAAACGCGAGGCCGTCAAGTCCAGGCTATCGAAGATAAAGCCGGAAGAGCTTGTCAATTTTGAAGAGAAGCCTGTTCAGCGCAAAGGTCCACGAACTCCAGACTCTCCGCCACCTGATGAAAGGGTTCCGACTCCAGAGTTCCCAGCAATGCAGATTCAGGGAACCCAGGAATAATTCTATAATAGTCGAATTGCTTTTCTCTTCGATTGTTGATCTTTCCATTCACCGTTGTATTGCCGATCTATACGTTTTACATAATTTATTTCAATATTTCAGCAATCCCATATTTATTTCTCACAGTTATTCGATATTTGACTATATTTAGATTTATCAAAAATATTTCATAGTTCTTCTTTCTTTCCATCGTCGTATTTTTTCCTCTCGCCACTGTACTTGGTTCCTATTTAATTAGTCTCAATGGATTGAATAAACTTTTCTGTAGTGTGGGTGTTATTATTATTATGCAATTCAGTGGAGAATTAAATGACGTATGGATGATGTGCACCGATAAGTACCAAGAGAACAAAACAGACGCAGTTTAATTCAAATTTGAGAGACCGCCTGCACTATAAAATGTTTCAATTTGCAATGCACGTGCAAAAAAAAAATACACACGATTTAGAGATGATAAATTGAATCTAGAAATTTCCGAGAAATATCAAAGATTTTGGATACAATAGTGGCAAAAATTTTTTTACGAATGTTCAAACTATGAGCACTGCTCTTTTGACACTTTTTTTTCAAATTTATCAAAAAAGAAACATGTCGAACGCCCCGCGGGTAAAACCTCGTGAGTTATACCGATGGCTCCTTCGGGATAGTCCAGACAAACGTGATGCCTAGTCATGTTCAAAAAATCTGTCAAAGGTTTTTGGTTTCGCCCCCCCCCTCCGCTCACATCACGCTTTGTTCCACATTTCCGGATTGTTTTCAAAACAGAAAATCGTCGTCTTAAATAGGAATCTTTTCTTTTCAGATTGGATGACTGCTTATAAAAATTGTATTGTGTGAACTTCAACGGCTGGAAATTAATCATAATTAATGAATGACGAAGCAGCACACCACGAAAAAAGCGTAGTAATGTAATAGTGAAATTTGAAGGAATTCTACGAACTCATTCCATCGTAGTTCATTTTAATTTCCAGAAATGGATTGTCTGCCGGCGACATTTCGATCGAGTCGCCATTAATGCTTCCGCGTTTGGCACCCAAAGTACGCAACAAAAATTCAGCCAATTTTCCAATTAAATGTACTACGACTACGATAGCGTCTACTACGCCCACGTGTTGACTTTACCAATTAATTGAAATTCAAACCAACTGCAATCACACATAAAAATCTTTTATTCTGACGCTCAAGCTGTTTAAATGTATGGAAAGTTGATAGCGGGGGGAATTGAGATCAAGAGGACATTTGAAAACAGGGTAAAGTGTCCGATAAATAAATTAAGTTCGTCGTCATATTCAATGTTGCTTCAATCCTTTCACATTTCTGAGCGCCGATTTGAAATGCTTGTTGGCGTCTGTAATACTGAAATTGTATTTTATGGTTCTAGTTGATGCCATACGATTCTTGAACATTCGTTTCTCGAATCCAAAGCCAGTGCCATCCAGGGAGTTAAGGGAGCGTTTGTCAAAGCCGAAGCCAGTGCCATCGAGGCCATCAAGAGCACGTTTGTCGAATCCGAATCCAGTTCCGTCCAAAGAGTTCAAAGCACTAAAATTCAACAGTTCATTTATTCTAGAGACGTGGTTGTGCTACCGCTTTTCAAATCCGAATCCGGTTCCTTCAAGGCCATCCAGAGCACGCTTGTCGAATCCGAATCCAGCTCCGTCAAGGCTGTTAAGCGCTCTGAAAATTACTATGTAGAATTCGAGACAGATTTGGCTCTATACCTCTTATCAAATCCGAATCCAGTTCCGTCAAGGGAGTTCAACGATCTGAATTTGAAACATAATTATATGTTTCGATCCGTTGATTTTACCTTTTCTCGAAACCGAAACCGGTGCCATCAAGGCCATCAAGAGCCCGCTTTTCGAATCCGAATCCAGTTCCATCCAAAGAGTTCAATGATCTAAAAATGGTATTATTTAAGCCATCAGATTTCAATTCGGACCTCTTCTCAAAACCGAATCCGGTACCCTCAAGCCCATCAAGAGCTCTTTTATCGAATCCGAATCCAGTTCCGTCAAGTGAATTGAGAGCTCTGAAAAATGGATGATTAAATGAATTTCTTCCTACTTGAACCAAATGGAACCTTTTATCAAATCCGAAGCCAGTTCCTTCGAGACCATCGAGCGCTCTTCGAATGCGTCCTGTAATCGAATTGCATTTATTTTGGTGGTCACGAGTCTATTTCGTTTGCTCCCCTCCCTTGACCAGAACAAATTTTTTTTCTCGAGACTGATTCCCCTGAGGACAACACCACCCGTTCCAAGAAGCCGCAGCCAAAAAAAATTGCGAGGGTCCATGATGACGCTGCTCATTCTCGTGTGTGCCACGAAGACCAACAAAAACTTACCAGCGGAGACTGTTGAGGAGAAGGCGACTAGGAGCACCTGCAAAACGAAATCAAAGTTCATTTCTCGAATGGTGGGCCTGATTAAACTTACAGCGTATTGCAACATAGTGTCAATAATTGTTACCCGGAATCACTGAAAAATATAATTTGAGGTGAATTGGTAACCAATTCGAATTTAACGAGCACGAGGAGAGAATGAATGAGAAGTGAAAACGAACTGGCATTAGTCGCCGGGCAGCAGCTCAGAGCCCGCCCACCAGTAGGGTTTGAAATATGTATCCATATATATATTTTTTCAGGTGGGCGTGGCCTCGCTTGTGCACTTTTTGTCTGAAGCCAGGGTTTGTTGTTTTTTTTTCGATGGAGCGGTGGGGGAGAATGTATGTTAAATTGCCGCCGACGTTGAAAAAAAAAAGTGGAGAGTGGGAGGGCAGTTAGTAAAATGAAACAATCTAATTGAAAGATCGTGATGAGACGCGAAGCAACTTGACGCGAATTAAAGAAAATGCCCGACTATTTCTCTTTATTAGGTCGCCACCCGAGTACAATTAAGGCACCAAATTTTTGAGGATGGGCGAATCGGAAATCAGAAGCCAAAGAGCACCTCATTAGACAGAGGCAGAGTCTTAACTATGCTTAATACTCGAATGTCTTAAAATGAATGTGTTAATTATTAGACGGATAGGTCAGAGTGACGTACGTCGTCCTATTTTCATGAAAAAAAGCGCATTTCTTTTTTTAGATGTTAAAGGTTGAGCTCTGACGTTGCGCCGATACTGCGTGTCGGGATGGTGAGCGCATTACAAATTGGAAAAAAAATTCACCTGGCTGTTTGAGAAATCGAAGCGAAGTAAAGCGCCGAAATATGACAAACACGACCTTTTCCTTGGGTTTTATAGACTTATTTAAGCTGCTCGAGGACACGCCCACCGGAGGCAAATGATGATGATGACGATGAAAGGTATTCCCCCCAGTGAATACATTTTTTTCTGTCGTGAAAAATGCAATTTCTATGCTAATGACATCAAAACCACAGGATACGGTATATTTGATGAGGTAGATTTGAATAAGATAATGAGGACGCCAACCCATTCAACATTTCCATTTTAATAGGTATTTTCGCAGTCACTGAATCCTCCAAAGTCTATAAAAATGGCGGGAAAAAAAAAGATGAAGTAAATGGGAAGAAAGACGAATTTAATTGCAGACGAACGGGCTGACTGAAAAAAAAAAGAAATGATGGAGTCCGTAATTCTTCATCTTTTCGCGTTTTTTTTTTGTCTTCGAGTTTAATAGCTTTTATTGACGCAATCGCGCCTACAGTATTCCGAATAAAATGCGCTTCTGAGTAATAGCGAAAAACGCCGGGGGGAAATTGGTATTCAGCTAATGGGCGTCTGACCCTTCCCAGAATACTAACTAATCGGATAGTAAATCGAGAAAAAATTGAATTCAGTTCAGCGCATATTGAATCATTTAGCCGAAATGGAGATTGGGGGGAAACGGCAATTAACTAAATGGGTGGTCGAGGTTGGTTTCAAGTAAATGAAAACAAAAATCGAGTACATGGATAAGTGGCTCTCCAGATCTTCAATAAACTATTGCGAAAAAAAAAGAAACAATGTGGTAATGATGAATTGCCGGAAGACAGCCGTAATTCATTTGGAATCGGCTGTTTCATACGTTTTCCCATCACGGTGAATAAATAAATCATCGAAATGTGTTGCGCGGAATGTACAAAAAGGAAACACGTGTATCTATCGATGCGTTGCCGCGAATTCGCGATTTTCCATTTTCCAAGGAGCACTAAAAAAAAATATTCAGACATGTGAAACCATCAAATATGACGTTTTGAAACAATTCTGTCTTACCACACACAGCGGCGTTAGTTGGCCCCATGGGGGAGATTTTACCAAACTCGAACCAAAATGCTTGGGATTGAAGGATCATTTTTCATAAAATGACGTCTGATATCTACTTATTTTCTGTTGGTTGGATATTATTGAAATAATTGAAAAGAGCGAACAGGGGAGGAATTAGTCGATATTGTTCGATGAATATACATACTTAAGTATCCTTGAAAATAATAGTCGAGTGTGAGGTGTATAGAAATAGAAAACTCAATGTGTGTCATAAAATAGGTTACGTGAAAACCGAGAAATTTTCTTTCAATTTTCTTTGAACGTCAATTTTTCAATTCATGAAGCTGCAACGTTGTCAGAAGCTTGTCAGAATGAATCTTGTCTTATGCAAAAGTTCGAAGAAATCCGTTGCTCCGAAATTTGGCCTTTATTAGATTTGTATGTAAACTTTCTCATCGTCCAATTTTTTCTTATCGTATTCCAAACATTCAACGAGTACTCAGCCTATAAAAATGTGCTATAATTCGATTTACGACGAACTCAATTAATGTTTGAACAAAATGAGGACGCATTTAATCGAAATGTCTCAAAAAATTAGCATACAAATATTTTCGAAGAAAGCCATCGGCTACGGTAGAAATATGCATATGAGAGAAAATTCTTCATTTTCGGATTTTGCGTAGGAGTGCCTATTGTTTTTTTTTTTCGCTTTATTATTGTGCGTTCTCACGTTCATAATATAGTATTTAACAATGCATGTCTACACATATATGGATCCCAGAAGGGAAATCAAGTTTTCGCTGTTGTCGTCTATGACTAACCATATTCTTATATTAATTTGATTGTAGCAAATAATGTTAAGCAATTGTTCATTGTTGTTTAGAATATCATTTCTCTCAATAGAAGCCAAAAAGACAAAATTGTATGAACTCTTGGATCAAGTATCGGAAGAGGTTGGGGATTAAACAAGCCAGGAAGCAAAAGAACATTCTGGAACAAGCTGAAGGGCACATTCATCAAAGTAATACCTACTAGCAGTTTAAATTTCGATGGGCAGGAGAATGAGATAAATAAACAATTTGAACGTGAGAATATGGCTCTTGAAAAATTCAAAGATTGAATACTGTAATGACATCTCTTTTCCGGATATTACGCATATATCAAGAAAATCAATCTGTTTTTTTTGTGAAATTCATCAAATCGGCGGAAATGACTGGAGGTTTTCAAACGTGCTCGCGCGCTTCCGATAACTATCAATCAAAAATAATGGAGAACACAAACATCAATATTTTGTAACGTTTTGGAAAAAAAAAAGAGAATCTACTTTTTTTGATCAATTTTATTTTTGCCACCTCATCCTTATCATTTTTACACTTTTGTACTTTGACATTTTTTTTTCGAAATTTCACTTTCTTTTTCCATTTCTCTATGCTTGATTTTTTCTACGAAGTTCTTCACATGAATCGGCGTTCATTTATGTCATGCATTTCAAAAAAGTTCAAATTTGTCAACTTCCGCGTTTTCCGAGAATAATTGGGTTTTGGCGTGGACTTTCAAATGGAATTTAGAAAACAGAGAGTCAATAAAGAAACTGGGATGGGCAAGAAATTGGTTGTCATGATTCTCGGAATGGTCTCTTCAATTGAATTTGGAGTTTGAACACAGAATGCTCCAACTCGGAACTTTTAAGGGTCTTGAAAGTGAAATTCAAAAAATTGTGAAGTCCACTGCCCACTTAATTCGTTCTATCATATTTATAAATAATAGATAGAGAAGCCCCTCAAATATGGAAGTTAGATGTCATAAATTATTCCAGAATGCCATTCTCATTCATCAAAAACTGGAACTTTGGTGTTTCGCGTAGTTTTATGACAGCCAACGGGAAGTTGAAAATGTGTTTCGTAGAAATAACCTGGATTAATAGCCAATAAATAATATTTCGGAAAAAAAGTTTCTAATATTTAATATTATATATATATATTGACTGGAATGTTGTGAAACAGGGGAATCGAATGAATAAAAATGACGATATATTAGTTTGCTCAATTTTTTTTCTAATAAAACGATGAAATTAAAAACAAAATATACGAATTTTTATTCGAATATTCCTGCTAATAAAAAATTATTACATGCTATTAATTTGTTTTTTTCAATTTTTCTGAAAAATCGACAAATTTTTAGGAAATATTAGGAAGCAATGATTTGGGCTCTACAGCATATAAATTATTTTAACAAACGTTTCTCAAAATTTGAACATGAAATTGGAAGCTTTTGGCCCCTCATAAACCAATATTGTCTTTGGAGACAATGCGAATATCGCTAAATGCAGGTTGCCATACGCGAAGGCAGCAATACAATTGAAATGTGTATAATCCTATTGCACTTTGCCTTATTTTTCTTCCAGTAAGTACTATACGGAATTATCTGCCATTGCCACTACAAAAAGGGGTTTTTCAGCGACAGACAATTTCCCAACGTTACGTTTTACTAAATAAAACCCGTAAGATATTTATAAAGCGGACCATTTTGAGTGACATATTTCGGCGTAGCTACGCACCTCGTTCCAGAGATTAATTGTTGGCCAGGAATCCATACGTTTCCCTCCTTCCCATTCGTCGGCCTTTAATCGTATTGATTTTTGTTTTCCTTTTTTGTTTCCACTTCTTCGCTTTCGTATACGGATCTTATTACTTTCCAGGGAACCACAATTAATCACAACGGCTCGTTTATGGTGACCATCTTTACGTAGAGGAAAGGACGTTTCAAAAATGTTCAACGTCATTATGTGAGTAAAAAGACTTTGACTTTACTATCCGTGGACTCATCTCTCAATTTCTGTTAATTATTCGATTAAAGTAGAAGAGCAAAAATGACTGCCATTGAAATGTTGGTTGCCCTCATCATTTATAAGAGCGTAATTATTCAAATCCACAAATAGCTAACTAAAAATAATGATAAATAACTTGAGAATTATTTATCTTATTTGAATATTGTATGTTGGTCGACATGGCTCATTCAAATGTCTAGCATATAATCGAAAAATATTGAATTAAAACCCGATTAGTTTGAATGAATAGGGTTGAAGAGGATTCACGACAAATGGAAATAAAATTTTGAAATCATGTCTTGATAAATTTAGTCACACTAAAAGTTGATTTCATTTAAGAAGAAAATATTTCTTGTAAGAGTTAATCAATTATTTGCAAAATTTTGTTGAGCAAAATGAAGTGAGCAAATCTAAAAAATAGCGGACTTACCTTGGCACACGTCTAGACGAAATCGAAATAATCTAGAAAGTGAGAAATAATAATGTAGTAACTCAAATTCGAATACAATATCAATTATGTGACGTAGTTATACATAATTCTATTGACTGCGCCAAATTGTATTTTCGGTCTACTTCGAATTTTGATTCTTAGCCTGAAATGAACAAAATGATGCTTTAGAAGAATTCTGGTGAAATTAAAAAAAAAACCCTATCAATGTTTTTTTCGATTTGTTCAAATACTCTTCAACGGAAGGAGACAGCAAATAATGCGTCGTAAATAAAGAAAGACTGTAAACTAAGAATTCAAATCATAGATCAATTTACCTATATAGAAATCAAATGAATAATTTTTTTTGAGAAATATGGATATAGATAAAATGTATTAAACCTGCTAACAGCATCATGAATCCAAAAATATGATTTATGCCTTGCTATACGATAGTGTTTCTCTGTTTATTTTAATATTCCCGTCATGTTCACACAAATTCGTGGACTGATGCCTGTTTTCAATTTCGAACGGCATCACCTAATATGATTCCAACCCAATGTTTTTGGTTGGACTTCTGTAAAATAAGGAGAACATAAAAATATACGTTATTCAAGATTTGGCTGCGACGCAAGAACTACAATAAAGGTTCAAAGAAGTTTCTAGAAACATTATTTTCAACGTTTAATAAAATATCATCAATAGTCTAAACTCTAAACTACTGTGTTATTGTTATAACCGGTAGGAAAAAGAAACGAATTTCACATTGAATATTCTTTTATGAATTCAGGTGTCAATTTTGGCGAATTTCGAAACCAGAATTTTAGATGAGTGTAGAAAAAAATTGAGTAAAATCACTTCGTCTTGTCGAAATGTTTTGGGTCCGGTCCCAGTCTTTTATTTTTTGTTGTTTATCTTCTTACACTCAATTTGTTTTTTTTTTGTTTCATTTATAAACATTTAAAAAATGTATGAGGTCTGAGTAGTTTTCACATTCTTTTTTGTTTTTTCTTTTTTTAATTTTATACTTTTTTAAAAAATCTGATTGAATATTTGTATGACTTTAAGAGCCTTAACTGATAAAAAAAATCGTACTTGATAAAGAAAGTGCCTTTATGTTTAGTGCAGTTTTGTCAAAAACAATCAGAAATAACACATTATTTAAACATGACCAATGGAATTGCGTAATTTCGCAAAAATTTTGTTTAAATATTTCATTTTGCGCCTTTATGATTTCTGTACGTTTTTGTGTGCATAGCCCTTGTAGTCTTTCCAGTTGTTCGCTCTATTTGCGCTTGTTTCAAATACATTTTTGCGTTTCTACACTTTTGTTCATCGCTACTTTCGCTTACAATCATTATTGATTGCTATATTACTTGGAACGCACATAAAAGGTAACAAATACATTCATCCCAGAAATTGTATCAAATATTGGAGGGATTGATAAAAATAATTTGATAAAACGTGTTGCATTGTTTAATCATCTGCTAGGAACCTTCTAGATTATTTTTTTTTTCGAAATAGCAATAAACAACGATTCGAGTCATTTTGACCATTGCTTTCGTAGGTAATGCTGGATCGATCGAATAGCCGTGTTTTGACTCATTTCACTGATTCATTCTCGACAGAACCAGTTTGCCTCCATCAAATTCACGGATTTCGAACCTTAAAAGTTGGTACATCGCTCGTTGCGAAAATCGACAAAAAAAAAAACATTGGCGATTTGATTTCATAGTCCAAAGTTCGTTTAATTTGTTTTAAATATCCAATCTATAATGTCTTCGCCGTTCAACCTTTTTACATCAACACATTATTCGTATAGTTCCCAAAAGGCCAAAACATGCATAATAGTCCATAATCAATGGTTCAACTCGTGCGACACACCCGAGATAGCGTCGCCGTTCGGCATGTGCAGAGAAAAATGCAAAAAAAAATCAACCATATTTTGCAGTGCACACATATGCGTCATTATACCTTGACAATTTAGCACATCAATCCCTCCATTATTCGTATAAACATTGATTGCTCTTTGTCCTCGTAGGTTTGCTTTTCATTATCAATTTTTGTAGTCCGACTCTAGCAGTAAACATCTTAGTGGCTTGATAATCGTTATCAGTGCTCGATGCAAATTATTGTCGCGTGTCAGTACGTTCCTTGTAAACTTTGATGTCTATCATAATGTCATTTGAACTATATTAGTCGACCGAAAAAATAATGTAGTATTCACATATACCATTTTAATTAACTCATTTTTTAATAAATTATTTAAGTGTAGGTAAGGTTTGAATAAAAATATCGCAAATTTTCTCAAAAAAATGAAATTTCTTTAAATTCCAATTTTAACGCCTCTTTCACTTCTCGTTATTTTTTTCGCTCGCCTGTAATAGTATGCAGATAATTAAAAATCCGGGCGGCTCACACTCAATTCTCGTAAGTCTAGTGTCAACACGTGAAGTGTCATCTCCGCCCGACGTCGGGTTATTTTTTTTCTCACATTTTCAAATTGTCTTACCACAAACCGGTTCGCCGTGCTGCTGCTACTCCATTGCTTCTTGCAGGGCTTTCGCCAGGCTTCTGTTGATTTGTCCTCCTCATCTTTTCTTGCCATTGATGGTCATGATCCACCTCTTTTATTGTCGGCCTCACGCATTAATATACAAACGTTGTGTTTTGTTACATGCCAATCCATCCCCCCATTCTCTCTCTTCTTAACCCTACTCTTGTGTAGCGTAGTCTTATCAGTAATGTTTTTTTGAGAATGTGCTGATTAAGAAATTCATTCATATTCAATTTGCTCATTTCAGGAGAATGGCTGATTCGCCGAGAACTGCACTTGCCAGTTTTGCTATTTATGCTGCAATACTGTATAAGGTCAACAAGAGCCTCTGGCCGTACATTTTCATTGGATATGTTCTCTATCGCCTTCTCCGCACCGATTTTGCGCAACGCGCACTAAAAACCCTATCAAGGGATTTCACGTAAGATTTCAGTGAATTACAATCATCCTTTCTCACTCTACTGTAGGGGTCTGAGACTTCTTATCAAAGTGAAACGCGAGATCAAGCGTCGGCTGGCATCGAATCGGCCAATTCACGAAATTTTTCTGGAACAGGTTTGCCAATTACGATATCCACCTCATTTCTCCCCTATCGTAATGAAAGCGAAGATCGTCGCAATTAATTTAAATGATTGGATATTTTGAGTACGAAATGTTCATCGCACTTTTCGTATTTCGTTAAATGCCCTTAAGGGGATGGACAGTGAAATGCATTGAATTGCATCAAATCGTAATACGCTGAATTACAGGTGGAAAAACATCCCGAAAAGATTGCGTGTATCGAAGTGGAAACCGGAAAGAAAATCACCTATAAAGATTTGAACGCGAGAATGAATCAGTATGCAAATTTCTATAAGGTATTTGTTGATCGAATGGATTGTCGTCGATGAAAAAGTGAATCAGATAATGTCATTGAAAAAAAAAAGTAAAATTTTCCAGTTTTCCCCTTAAGAATGAGTTTTCGGGTACATTATAAGTTTTTGTTGTTCAAAAAATTAATGCTATGTTAGTTCAGACTGAACAAGAATAATTAAACGGTCTATGTAATTATACGCAATTAAAAAACAATTCCATTCTAGTTGGTATTCAATCTTGGTTTTTGAATACAGTACAACCTAAATTGTGCACTCTATGGCTCGTATTTTTTAATTTGCAATTTAAATTTTTAGAACGAAGGATTCGAAAATGGGGATGTTGTTGCCTTGTTCATGGATAACAGTATCGATTTTTTCGCCATCTGGCTCGGTCTTTCCAAAATTGGAGTTATATCAGCTTTCATTAACTCAAATCTCAAACTTGAGCCACTTGCTCATTCAATAAATGTTTCAAAATGCCGTCAGGTTATCACAATTCCAAACCTTGTTCCAGGTATTTTTCGTATGTTCTATAAATCTTGATAATGGTTTTAATATTACAGTATACCGTGCTGCCGTTGAAAAAGATTTGATCTCTCGAAATCTTCCTGTCGTTTTAGCTAGTGAGGAAAGCGTGTACGATTTGCCCGCTATTAACCAGAGCATTAAGACAATGTCAACATATGAGCCAGATTCAAGAGGAGTTGATTTCCATAGTATGTTGCAAGAATATGTTTCATCAAACTTAAGACGTTTAAGGCGTTCTTTGCTACATTTATACTTCTGGAACCACTGGAAACCCGAAACCAGCCGTCATCAAACATTTTCGGTATAGATCGTTTGCAAATGTTTTCCATAATTGAAATCATTCAGTTACTATTGGATTGCCATGGGAGCGGGAAATGCATTCGGCCTTCGTCCTGATGACGTTGTCTACATCACCATGCCAATGTATCATTCAGCCGCTGGAATTATGGGTATCGGTTCGCTGATTGCTCTAGGAACGACAGCGGTTATTCGCAAAAAGTTCTCCGCTTCTAATTTTTGGAAGGATTGCGTGAAATACAGATGCACGGCGAGCCAGTATATCGGAGAAATTTGCCGGTAGATTATCAATTCGTTAAGGAAATGTTGAAATTTTTTCATTATTTTTTAGTTATCTCCTTGCTCAGAAGCCTTCCGATGAAGAAAAATTGCACAAAGTGCGATTAATGTGGGGAAATGGACTTCGAGCTGAAATTTGGACAGAATTTGTTAATCGGTATGTTCAGGTTCAAAATTATAACGTTTAATGCCTAGAAAATATGAAAAATAAATATAAAATTAGCTCTTTAATAACAATATAAAATATGCACCAGAAACGCGTCAATATCCATTGCCCTGACATTCTTTTCCTTATGAATTTTTTTTTCAAAAATACAAAAAAATCAAGGAAACTTAAGATCGACTAATAATAATGAATATTATTTATAATGATTTATGTCTAAATATTTATAAAAATTGTATGAGACAAGACATAAACTCAAATAATTAATTTTTTTTTGCAGGTTCGGAATCAAGCGCATTGGAGAACTTTACGGCTCAACTGAAGGAAATTCCAACATTGGTAATAAAACGAACCATTATTAAACAATTAACAGATTATTACAGTGAATGTTGACAACAAAGTCGGAGCATGTGGATTTATGCCAATCTACCCGCATATTGGAAGCTTGTATCCAGTAAGACTCATTAAGGTTGACCAGGAAACTGGTGAATTGATTCGTGACAAGGTAAGAATTAAATCAAATTCAATACAGTTCTAATATATTCAAAATTCAGCAAGGATTGTGCGTTCCATGTCGTCCGGGAGAAATCGGAGAGATGGTTGGAGTGATTCGCAATAAGGATGCGCTTCTTAAATTCGAAGGATATGTGAACTCCGGCGACACTCAAAAGAAAATTTATAGGAATGTTTTTAAACAGGGAGATCAGGTATATTTGAAACTAACTACAGGTGTCGGATTAATTGGTTCAATTTCAGTGTTTTGCCAGCGGCGATATTCTCTATTGGGATAAGCTCGGATATCTGTACTTCAAGGATAGACGTGGAGATACCTTCAGATGGAAAGGCGAAAATGTGTCGACAACTGAAGTTGAAGGAATTTTGCAGCCGGTGATGGAAGTTGAAGATGCCACTGTGTATGGAGTCGAGGTGAGCGATCATTTTTGCTATTGTTAAAGTGATTTTTTATATTATTAAATTCAGGTCGGAAAGATGGAAGGTCGCGCAGGAATGGCTGGAATTGTTCTCCGCGAAGGATGTGATGTTGATGTAAGTTATAAAGCAAAATTGTTCAACACAATTTAAATCACTTTCAAACATTGAACTACTCAACGTAATTTTTATCATTGATTGAGAACAGGTTTTCATTAAATTAGGTGCAAACCAATTTCATAGGAACATTAGTTTTCTTTGGGGTGCACCTACTTTCTTATCAATGCCAAATTTTTCAGAAATTCATGGCCGAAATCACTAAGCGCCTCACCGAGAATCTCGCCTCATATGCGGTTCCAGTATTTATTCGCCTATGCAAAGAAGTTGATAGAACCGGTACCATTAACTTGTTCATTCCTTTAATTTGTTTCTTTTTTTTAGGCACATTTAAATTGAAGAAAACCGATCTTCAAAAGGCTGGGTTTGATTTGGATAAATGCAAGGGAGATCGCCTTTATTATTGGTCTGCCGCCGACAAAAAATACGCGGTTCTTGACGAAAAAATGCAGAAAGATATTGAGACTGGGGTTTATAACCGTATTTAATCTAATAATCGTTTAATCAATTATTTGGTGTAAATATGACACGAGTCGAAATTGTTTCCAACCTCACAAAAAAACTAGTCGTTATTTTCATGACTTTATAAATATAGATGTTTCACATACATATATATCTCAAATCAAATGCCATATTTTCCTCATCATTCGAGTATTTTTCCAACAAAGCCTTTAATTGCCACTTCAGTTGCTCAGAATTGTTTATGTTTTTAATTTTTATTGTTTTTATATTTTGCCACTTTCATCATTTTCATCATTGAGTAAACCTTATATAGATAACATTTTTGTAGATAAATTGTTTATTTTACTACGGTTTCTTTTATTAGATTATGAAAAAAAAATGTGGTAAGGCATTTGATGCTGAACTTTATTAATAACTAAGCGGAGCTGGTAATCTAATTTCTCTAGATTAATAAAATCGTAATATTTTCTCAATCAAAATGTGGATTATGGTCTACGATGATTTACACGCTAGTTTAATAGCTGAAGACGGCAAAAACAATGGCTTGGCACCAAATGGAGTTCTGAAATATAGAAGGCAAGTTTTCAAGTTCTAAATTTCTGTAAGTATTTTGAAAGCTCACGTTTGTGTACCGATAATGCACATATCCGTCGCAATCGCCATCCCAGATACTCTGAGTCGCAGTTCTAAAAAAAAGGATTAAGAGATTTGAAATACAAGTGAAATTATACGTGATCCCTTGGCCGGCCTGCTCTGACAAGTAAACTTGCACAACAAATTTGTAGCGCGGGTATTGCAAGTTGACCAATTTTGTTCGAATCGATACGGCGACAGTCTTCGAAAGCTCCTCGACAGTATCAGAATTGAAAGTCTGATCAGCAAGATTCTCGTGCACGGTTTCTTTGATGATTGGAAGGACAACAGCTTGGCGGAACCTTCAAATTTATAATGAGCTTGTTTAAGCGATTTACAAGTGGAAAATATTTTTGAAGACGACTTTTTTCTCTTCGCAATTCTTTTGCTGCGCGACAAATCCCAAGAATTTGTTATGAATTTCCGTTATTGATTGTGAATGTTTAATTACGTTAATCGAAATGGATTATAGCCACAAAATTTTGCAGCTTCAATTCTTCTAGAAAAAAAATAATAAAAATAAAACTCACTTTTGTTCTGGAGTCGGCCGCAACACGAAATTGCGTTCGTCGTTGTGGTTCATTTGCAAAAAGTGAAGTGATTCGGTTTGCACTTCAAACACTCAGAAAATTTTTTACGCCGTGTTACCATGGAAACGCAGCCAAGCAACATGGCAGTAGTGCAAATACGCACGTATAGAATTTTATACACATTTTACATACGTGAAAGATTTATTTAAAGAGATCATGTAAACAATGGGACCAGTGATAAACAAGGAAAATTTGAGATCGATCAATTCATGGAAAAAAAACCCGAAATCGTACAGATCACATTTGCGAAGGACTGCGAGCAATTCACAGGCGTAAACAAAAACAAAAATATGCACAAGTAATAATATATAACAAGTTTGTTTCAAACTGTATGCTCTTCAACGTCGGCTGCTGGATTACTTTTCCCGCAGACCTCTGAATCATCAGCATTCTTTGTAGGCGACGTCTTGCATGCCCCATTATTCTGCTGGGTTGGTGCGCGTCTGTACTCGGCAAATAAGGGGTCCGCCAATAGATCCTCAGCAGTTGGCCGCTTATTCGCATCGTACTCCCAACATTTTAGCATCATATTATAAAACTCATTCGGAATGATGTCGTGATGAAATGGGAGAAGCTCTACAAAAAAAACACCGATTTGTGATTATGCGGTTTTTTTTAACGTACGTTGGACATGATGTGACAGCTCCTGGTTTGAAAGATGCTCATATGGAACTTTGCCGTACGTAAATATTTCCCATAATGTGACTCCCAGAGACCTAAATTCGTATTAAAATCCCTTTATTTTCTCAATAATCAAGGCAATTTTTACCAGACGTCAGACATATGATCGAATTTTTGCCTTCGAATAGATTCAGGTGCAAGCCATCTCAAAGGAATGGCATTTTCTCCAAATAACGGATAATAGCTCCTATCGCAGTAGAGTTGTTTTGACATTCCAAAATCAGCGATCTAACAGATTGTTGTTAATTATTGCATTAAAAGCTGAAAACTAAACCTTTACAATAATTGGGGGTCGGTCTAAAGAGGAAATGATTTTTTGATCGTCGTCTCCGGACACCAAAAAGTTTCTGGCCGCAATATCGCGATGCACAATTTGCTGCGAGGCCAAATAGCTGACAGCGGTGATCACCTGAATCAAATTGAAACGAGATATTCTTGATGATCATTTACATCAACACATATTTTGACAAGTTCTTTGAGCAGCAATGGCGGTGGAAATTGATTGTATCCGTGACCTTTTGGTGTGCGATTCCGTAAATATGAAAGCAAATCGCCGCGATTCATCATTTCGAAGACAAGCACGAGATGATTTCTATCCATCATAACACCATAGAATTTAACAATATTTGGATGCTCTAATTTCGATGCAATTTTTGCTTCTTTCTCGATGTCTCCAGCAGCATCGGGTCTTAGTGTTTTAATGGCAACTGGTTCATTTGTTTTGTCCCAAATACCGGAGTAAACATCGCCGAAGGCTCCCTTAAAATTATAATTGTATATTTTTGCTTAAGTGATAGGAAGTTTTTTATCGATCTAACTGAAATGCCCCTATATTCAAATTTTAAGTCTTGCGAAAAATTCGCCTGAAAATCATCTATTTTGAGTTTAGGGAAAAAACGGAAAAAATTTTAAAAAAATTTGAGATGAAGCTTATTTTCAAAACCATCACATACCCTGCCAATAATTGATTTAATTCGAACATTACTGCTATTGATAAATGGAATAACTCGATTAACGTAGTCTAGAGCAATGATGGGCGTTTGCTCTTCTAAAAACCAAAAAATAAATCGAATCGTTATCAATTGAAAGATATTACCTAATTTTAACAACGTTTGTTCGGTTTCATTACTTGGTCTCCTAATTGAAGGTGGATTTCGAGTAGGCGCAGGAACCTGGAAGAAACAGATGAATTTGAAAAATTTACAATTTGGTAGCATTTTTTTGCTGTGCGAAATTGATTAAATCTACAAACCTCTTCTTCTTCCTCTTCTTCTTCTTGTTCTTCTTCCTCTTTTTCTACTGCTACTACTTCGACTCTCCTTTCTTCTTGTAGTTGAATAACGGGTACTCGCTTTGGCTTGCGCATGCCAAATAAGTAAATTCCCAAGGTTAACAAAACGGCGAAGATGAGGAACACCCAGATAACTGAAACGATGGTGCTCAGATGTGACGCGATATTCGGCTCAGCAGTGGTCGTTGTCAACATGTGCCAAGGTTTTTTAGTAATAATCGACTGAAAATGTGCAATTTTTGAGTAAATTCCAAATGGACGGTATACACTCGCATCATAAGGACCCGCGTGATTGATGAAATGCGTTTTCGTCGTGCATCCAGAAGGTGTGCATACGGTAAAACTGGCATTGCCGTGAACGAATCCAGTATCTTGATGAGGATCGGAAAACATTCGCAGAAGCACTTTTAAAGAATTCCTATTCCCGTAGTCGCGAACAATAAAGTTTTTGAAATATCGATGGTCCTTATTAGCTTCTATCTCGTGTGTTTCAGTTATATTCAAATCGTGCTGAAAAACTTTAAATGAGCGCAATATCACCACGGAAATAACACACCCGAGTAATGGTCAAATTCATTGGAGATATTGGATGGGCGCGAATTCGAAGCTGATCAAGTCCTGGATCCTGCCGCATTTTTGGGTAAAACGTTAGGACTGGAGGAGTGGGCACAAGAATCTAAAAAATAATCAAATATGCACTTGTAAATTATTCTGCCTTAAATACTTGAAATGTTTGATACTTAAAGTTGAGACAATGGTAGCATATGAAGTAGACATATCTCAAATCGCGATTGGTGATATTTCTGATAAAAAGTTCGGCGTGAGTTTCATTGACACGTTCGACAATCTCCCTCGTATAATCCTCATATTTTGCGTCTTCGAACGTAAAGTATTGCCTGCAATAATAGAACACTTATAAACTCGCGCGCCCTAATTCAATTTTTTTTTCACTTTTTCGTCCATGTCTTGTTAGTGAATAATCCGTGAATTTCAATAGAAATGTGTATGTCCTCTCCAATTTTCGGCTCGTATCGCGTTTGTTTTGTGACAAGCTCATTAAAAATACAATCCGGTTTGCATTTGTAGAAATGATCGGGAATGCCATCCATTCCAGGGAATCGTTTCAGCGTCGCCCAGTGATTGAGACATTCGCAGCTCAACGGACATTCTCTTACGTATAGATTCTTCATATTTCGAGTGTAGATCGTTTGCCAGTCTAAGTGCTTGAGAACGCATTGGTTTAAAGCGAAACCCTTGGCATTAGGGAATGCGACAACAAGTTCACCTACGACGCTTGTCACTGGGCAGAATATTTCTACCATTGCGATATTTGAAAATGAAACGTTGCCAAAATCGAGGGTGTCATTTGTGCAATCCTTGATGTACAGATAGTAATACTGGTCGTCATGGAATCTTGTGTCATCGGCGAATTCTTGAATACTATTGCATATCGCCGTGTTGCCATATTTGTCAACGCATTCCGAATTTGAATTACCAACGAATAAGAGCAGAAATAAGAGTATACCAGCACGTGTGACCATCAAATTAACGGCATCGAGTGGTGCCGTTTGAATGGTGGTGAGACTATTACGAATTTGGGTGTCGCCAATTGAGTCGGTGTTGCATAAGGCGGTTTTCTGCGCGGCTCCGCGTTCTTTGCCGTCGGTCAGGCTCCACGACCGCTTAGATCTCTCGCTCATTCTCGAGCTGCCGTCGCAACTACTCCTTGGTGATTTTCCACCCGGCGCCTCGCATAAAGTTCGCTGCGTCTTTTTGTGGTTTCGCCGCTTCTGCGGGCCCACCATGGAACCTGCAAAATCGAAATAAATTATTAATAAACAACAACAACCAAAAAAAATTACGGAAATAACAAGACGGCAACAGAAATAAGCGATGAATTTGAGAAAAAAAAACGAAGGCGATTTGAGAGTCGCCGTCAGAAATAAAAATCAACACGAGAATCAGAAATTCGCACTCATATTTGTGATTTATGCGCAAAGAGCTTTATAGATTAAAAATTGCTCTTGATGTCGCACAGTGATTTTAAAACTTGAATAACACGATATTTGTCACGTTTCTTCTTTTCTCGGCACCCTGTTGCAAAAATAACTAATTGGTGTTATGGACAACAAGACTTTGAAGAGAGTAGTTAAATGAAAAAGTTGCGCCCCCCCCCCTCCGAAAAGGACACGAGATATGCGAGAAAAGTTTTGTCAATACTAATAATTTTAATGACATTCTAGACTTTCAAAAATGTATTTTCTTCTTTCAAAGTGTACATAAGTGCCTTCATAGATCAGTATTCAAAAAGCATGAAAAACATATAACCAAATGTTCCCTAAAGTTTGCTGAAAAAATGTTCAACATGGTAATTATCCAAACATATTTGCTCAATGGTATATTATTTCTAAAAGCATGCCAACGAAATATTAAATTATTATTTTTTTTATCGAACCCACCTCACGCGAAAAATTGCTCATATAAAATGTCTAGAAGAATTACATGTGAGTGTGAGAATCACACGCGGTGGTTTAAAAAAAAATGATTAGAACTATGCATAATTTTTGTAAATGACTTATCAAAAAATTTTTTCAATAAAGCAAATTATATTACCATTTCAAAGAAAACGAGTACCTTTAATGATTGTGCTTCGTCGTATTTTTTCTTGGCGGTAAATCAAATTTCGATTTAAACAGTGAAAGTTCGAGTATCGTGCTACGGATAACCTGCTTAACAAACTCACCATAAATCGGCGCCAGGTGTTCGTTTTTTTTGCAAATGTAGAAGTAAAATTTAGCACAATTTCCACACATTGAAGATAAGATAAATTGGTCTTGCCGTTTTGCTAATCAGAAATGAATGAAACGATCTATGGAATCTTGAACGAAAGTTTCAGCAGGAGAGTAGATTAGAAAGGGGTTTATAGGCAAGAAATTTCGATAACTATATTTTTTTTTTTCGAAAACAGGATCAAAACGTCACAAACGAAGCAGAGCCGTTTTTGGATAATCCGTAAACTTGATAGAAGATTACGCGTAGTGTTGTGAGCTCATTCTTAAAAGCTTGCATAGATTTTGCTTGCGATTTGTTTGCTTTTCATTTATTTCACAATGAGAAGAGTTTGAAACGTGCATCAAAATATAAATAATACAAAAAAAGGCATGACAATCATCTCGAGGTATTGCATTTATTTAATCTCTCATGAATGTGCTTCCCAAAAACTTCCCGTCAACAAGGCGGTTGCTAAGCGAGAATTAGTTATAGCTCAAATGCTTGAAAAGTGGTATCAGGGAAAAGTCACCAGCTCTTAAAGGTTTTGCCGTCTCACTTCGCTAACCAGCCTACACTTTTCAATAATTTGTTGTTTGACATACACCCATTGTGAAAATTGATCACCTGATGGCTAATTAGCATTCAATGGTAATTGGAAGTTCACCGATTTTTTGATGTTTTAAATGTTGATGGAAGAAAATGTGTTAGTTATAGAAACTGCAAAAATCGGTGATTCGGCATCAATAGGCTGCAGGTATTATAAATATAGTCACCTGCGGACAGGTGCATTAATTGGTGTAAATAAGTTTGATTATTTCTGATTTGAGCAATTTTAAATGGCTCTGCGGGATTGTCAAATAAATATTTGTAGCGGACAGCAAAAAAAAAAGAACGAATGTGCTAAACAGCTTAGAAAATTGATGAAGGATAGATTAAATATGTGAAGAAACTTATTAAAAGAAGAGCGAATCGAAAACACGAAGCCTCACGTTCATTGCTGTCCGAAAGGATGAGAATGTGGCACATGAACGTGTACGGCACAAAATGTAACATGCTCGAGACTGATAGGTGCGAATTCGGCTCTGCTGAAATCAAAAGTTTTGGGTACCTGACAAAATGAGCCATGTCCATAGACGCCAGATGAATATAATCCGCCTATCATAATGCCGCCACTTTTCAAGTAAACGCACGGAATATATGGTGCTTGGCAGGGCTGCCAACCATCGTAATTACGCCTCAGCCTATTGTTTGGGCTTTTACTACATATTTAAAGAAATCCGTCTCAATTATTTCCTTGGCGTTGATTTTTGTAAAAATGATTCAAACAAGGGAAAATCGCCCATTTGCTCGAAAATGAGCAAATTTGACACAAAAGTAAAAGTGTTGTGAGCATTTTTAACGTCAACGATGTAAAAGTTCGACATTTTGACTAAAAAAAAAAAACCAACTGAGAAAAAGGTATGGGAATGGGAAAACCACGCTTTGAATATATTGTCAAACTTGCTATAGATTTTATTTAAGACAGTGAAAAGGAATGTTCGAAAATAATTTCCTTAGAAATCAAACAATTATGAGAATAATTTAGTAACAAAATAATTAATAAAATAATAGTTTGTAATGTTTCGCTATCAGCGTTGAACGTCATTACGCTTACGTGTTAGAACAATTGGCATACGCTTACGTATTGTTGTGTAGACGTAAGAAATTGTGACTTACTTAAAACAATTCGCTATGCTATGGATTATTTGGCGGAATACTTTGGAAAAATGCACAAAATTCAAATAAATAATGTTTAAACTTAATTCTGAATATTCATTAAAAGAATACATGTGCATGAGCATCAAATGGTGAAAACGGCTGAGCATCTGTTTAATTTTTTGCACTTTGAACGCACTTTCATTATCGCTGTGGTGTGAGTGTGTGTGTCCTCGCGAAAAAAAATGCTCAAAAGCTCGAGATCATGGAGTAAATATAGCACAAGCGCAAAATGTTTCAAAACATGGCTGTGCCTGAATATGGACAAATTATGAAGAACGTGAGGCTCTGATGGTTGATGTTTCAGGTAGAAAGAATGGGCAAAGTACTTCATACATTGCGCGGATATTTAATCCTCGATACCAACATTAGCGGCTCAACGGAAGAGGAATGCGGCGCGAATGCCGCAAATTCTGTATTAGTGTGGCACCCATTAATGGGCAAAATGAAAGCGGACTCATTTTATCAATATATATGCTAAAGAGTTTGCGTTTCTCCAACTAAATTTAAAATTATCTCCAAGGAATTCGAAACAGACAATATAATTAATGTCATTATTTTTGTAGGGGTATTGCACGTACGCATGTTTTCTTTGAGTTTTGCTGTGATATTTAACAAAAATCACATGGTTTTGGCGATTGACAAATCATATCAAAATATTGAAAATGAAAAACAGACTTTAAACTCGGCGAAGTATGAATATCCTGTTGACCAGAATTAATGAGGAGCGATGATTCGGATGAAGAGGAGATATTCACATTATGCTTTACTGAATGAAATGTCATTACTAAAAAAAACATTTTGAGTTTAAAGGTTATAAGCTGAAAAAAATTAAGTGCTAAAATTATTCCCCTCCCCTCCCTTGTCATTAAGATAAATAAGAACCAAGCACTAAATTTTGAAGAAACTTTCTGGAAAATAGCATAAAAAATTCAAACTATTTTTTCTATGAAAATATCAGGAAATGACAGAGCCAAATAGGAAATTATATTACAAAATCGTGAAGAAATTCAATGTTTAAAGGTTGTGTTTATCACGTTTAAAAATTATGCTATTTGCTTATTTTAATAAATTCTTTCAAGAAAAAAAACTGTTATTAGTTGGCTCTAACCAACGCATTCATTACCAATTTCTCATTGGAGAATTTCGTTTTTAATGTTATCCTTATTCCAACTATTCTGTTTTTCAAAAGCAATAATAAAATAATGACAAATTAGGTACAAACAATAATAATCATCAGACTTGTTAATTATTTATCATCAATTCTTGGGATAAGAGTTCTGTTCTCAATACTATCACAAGCTACGAAATATCTTGTGGTTATTAATACGTTATTTCTTAAAACATACACTCCTGGGTCAGCAGTGGCATTGAAAAATTATTTATATGAGCTGAAATTTGTTTTATTGACTTCCTTGTATAAAAACTGGTTGTCATGATTCAAAAATTGCGTTTCTAAAATTTTCAAGTTTTTAATATATGAAGGAATTAATTTGTTGGAGTTTTTTTTTTTTAATAAACTTCAGTAATATTTTGAAATTTATATTACAATAAAAAATCATAAGCATTTTATGATATAATGCGGAAATATGTATATTTGTATAAGCATTGCCATAAGACACACTCATAAATTTCAATCTTATTGTTTTTTTTTTCACGTCACTGAAACTTAATCAAGCTTAAAATGAGTTCATACAAGTGCAACAACATACCTAACGTCTTCCATTCTTTTACCAATTACAAATTCAAACAGGAAAAAAAGAGCTCTTTTCGGAATAATAGGCTCAACAACAAAAAAAGAACTAAGAATGAGGGCCCGTGTGCAGCGGCTCAGAAATGTTTGATACATTCTTTTGACATGCCATATTGGAATATCAGCGTTTTGAAACGAACTATTGAAGACTACGCACGCGTTGTTAATATAGTAAAAGATGTTGAGAGCGTCATAATCGCATGCCCACGAGCTGAACACAATAAAACATTGGTCGTCTTTATTAATTAGCATTAAACTTTCTTCAGAGCCCTTTTCCGATATTTTCTATATTCAGGAAGTGTGCTAAATTTTATAAAATTTCACGTACATTTTGATGTTTGGGTGCGTTTCTATTTCTCTTACTTTATGAGAAATATATTGAAATAATAAACTTTTAAGAAAACAATTAAAATTAAAACCTTTTCACAAAAGAAGGTAAAAACGAATTCGAAGAAGGTTTCAAAACAAGCCAAACAATTATTATAGTTTTGTGTGATAAGTAATGCTAATGCTTTGAGAATATTAGTTGACGATCATCTTAAGAATCATCAAACTGCCTTTGGCTTCTATTATGTACTCCTTAAAAATTGTTTCACGAGCTTCATTTATACAATTACTACTATAACACGACAATTGCAAGTCAGTAAAATGAATATGTATGCTGATATGGTATGCAAGAATTGGGACCTTTCTAAAAGACTGAAGGGATGATGGAACGTAAAAAAATATAAGAGATTTCAAAACAAATATGTGTTGATTATGATAATTGGAAAATCGTGGTTTTCTACCCAGTAGTTGACCGAATTCACATTTATTCACTTACTTTAAATTATAAATTATGCAAGAAATTGTAAAAACATGAGAAAGATGCTAAAGTTGAAAAGGATGTAACCCATTTATATTATTTCACACGTAGACCGCTGCGGGCGATGAATTACATCCAAGAATTTTACAAAGCCATCGGAAACGGTATTGCGGGAGAACGGTGACGGTGATTAGAGGATTTAGAATCTAAATATTGCCAATCGCCACAACTGCTCCGGATTCAAAAAACGACCTACCGCATTCAATGAAACAAAGTATAGGCAAGTCCAAGAGAATAAGATATTCATGCAGCTGATTTCATCAGAATCCTGAAAAATACAGCGTGTTGATTCACGTCACGTTGAATTCCGCCCACTCTCGGGATTATTTGCCGTTTGATATTGTAAAGTCGGTATGGCAGCAAAGTAGCAACGGTGAAAATTGTCGTCATAAAAATGAAGTAAAATGTTCGGAGACGAGAAGCCAACGCATGTGAAGAGCTTCCGTTCTCTAAAATTTTGTATTCATTTTTTTAAATCGACTGGATTCCCAGAAAATCGTTACCATCAGACAGTTTTGTCCTATGGGATGAGACCACTTTCAGAATATAGATTGCTACGAATAATGATGTAAGGCTGGGCGCAATACAAGCAGAAACCTAAAATTTCATTCATATCGTGTTGATGTCATATCAATTTTCAAGTCACATCAATCCCGTAAAATTCAGAAGAAGATTTCATTCTGATCTTCGTCTCAAAATATCATCATTTTGAAGTTTTTTGTTTTAATTGCTTACAGATGTGAAAGAGCACCTGAGTATCTTTTACTTCAAGAAAACCCTGAACTTTTTCAATTATTTTCAAAATCTCTTAACAAACTTATTTCTAATTTGCTAAATATGATACCATTCATAGGAATTTGAAGTAGGAAAAAACTTACCGTAAATACAATATACATAACTACTTTATTTGGAAGAATCATTAGTTGCCTACAGTCTTCTTCGCAGCTAAAAAGCACGAAATTTAGTTCTATCAAACAGTTACAGTAATTCTTGCCTGAAACATTCCAACCACCAGCATAGGGTCACAAAAACGAAGCACCCAATCCAGACAGCAATAACAATTGAGACACCTTTTGACGACGTCATCATATTGGTGTACCTGAAATGGCGATCCCGAATTGCTGTTAGAATAATCCTATTTCTTTTTTTAGTTCATTCCTAGACATTATATATTAAGAAGATCAAAAATTGAGTTATTGTGAGTGGATTATCGCCAATGTTTGAATATTCATAATCGCAGCTCGATTCCAAATATCAGCATATTTACGGCGTAAACAGATAGATATAATGATGTTCACGTTTTTCACGCTAGCGCAAATCATTAGGCAATTGTCAACAAAATTTGGCGCTATTATTATTGGTTGAAAAAAAACATACCTCAATGGAAACTTGAAATAAAGCAGCTTATCAGCGTTGAGAAGAATCAAACTGGCCGAAGAAGCACTTAATCCGACCCACGTGAGAAACTGAAAAAATTCATATTATATTATTAAGAAGTATTTGGGAATATACGTGTTGAAGAACGTTGATCCATAATGGAGGCTTGATAATTTCTTGTTCGCGAAGTTGCTCGATGGGATAGCAGAAGCCTAAAAATTGTTTTAACAGTTGAAGAACATTAATTGCAAAATAATTACTAGTTAATAATAAATCTCCAAGTGTCATACTCAAGAGGAACAAATGGAGACATTCATCACCGGTAGCTTTTCGAATGTTTTTGACAGCCTTCGTGAGGACATAAACCTGAAAATCAAAATTTGAATTTTTGACAACAATTAAAAAATGCTCAAAGATCTGTTGTAATGCAATAATATTTTTATTATTATTGTCGAGTCATAAATATTTTTCTTTCAAAACGAAAATAAATCGCGAATTATAACTTTAAAGGATCATTCACACCATATTACTACATGGTTGGAATTTCGAAAATCGACAAATTGCGAAAAGAAATGTTTCGATATTATTGAATTAATACAACATTTTGAAATAATTAACTTTCGAATAAAAATGTTTGAATACCTGTAAAAACGTTGAGAAAAAACAGGAAACCAGTAGAAAATATTCAAATGACCGAAGATAAGCATCCATAACATCCAACGTCATAAACTGAAAAAAAGCGACTTGGTTACCGTAAGCCCTTGTCGTCTTACCGCAGTCTCCGTGCACACATAATCGTCTTCAAATGTCTCGTTTTCAGACATTTCTGAAAATTTTTTCATACAGCTAACTCGAAAACGGAAAACAAACTGCAATGTAGTAAAACATAAAATTTGCCTAATACTGGTGCAACGGAAATTATTGGGGGACGCCGTTTATCTATAATTGAAATGAAGTACGCCCATTGTCTATTTTTGGAAGTGATATGAGCGTTATTAATAAAATGAAAATGAAGGCAAAATGAATAAAGATGATAGAAAATGGCGGATGAGGAATTCCTATCCAAATACAATGTGCATGTGCAAAAGGGTACAAAAACAAATGAAATGAGAAAAAAAATACATTCACATATATATCGGCGAGAAGCACACGATCGCAAAACGTATACGCCGGAAAATTATAAGGTGTCCAATTTTTTTCGCTTGCAAATTTCTCACCATGTATCGCGGAAAAGAAGACCAAATGAATAAGTAAAAATCAGCGCTGGACAATATGAACTCCCAACAGAATTGAAAGATTAGTAACTTGATTTTATACGAACTCGTTTCTCAACATCACCAAATTGCCTTTAGATTTTTGAATATTGAAGGATGCAATTAACTCAATTTGGGTTCAATCCAAAGAAGTTGGCAACTATTTTTTTGAAATTCTTCCGAGATTGCAGCCTTATTGGCTTAATTTCGATGGGGGTTGAGTGACTAATGTATTGTTTCCAAAGCCTACAAGCTTCATGTGTTTTTTTCTTTTCGAGAAGTGCACTTTATTGAATTTGTGCTTGCTTCGCAGTTAATGAATACCTTTCTCTGGTAGAAGTTGAATTAAATGAACCGACTGCTATTTTTGCGCACACATACATCATACTCAAAAAATGAAGAGGAAGCAAAAAGGCAGTTGGCTGAATATGGCGCGAGATGAATGACAAACCAAAGAAAGAATCGCAGTGATTTATCTTGAATATGAAAGGATTCTCGACGTGTGGCTTTAATTTCATCGCTGCGGATCCTATTAACAGCATAACCTACCTGGAGGGAGCAGGCAATTGATACGATGACGACGGAGAAACAATGTGGCATGCAAGATTGACTAGGGAAAAAAAATTAGCGAATTGCACACGCACCGACGCTCACACAATGAATGAGTGAGCAGTGTGGGAACTACAGGGATAATACAAATTTTCATATTTATTTGAACACAAAAATGTGCCGAATTACTGGAACAGCATCTCTCCCTTGACATTTATTGTTTTCAAGGGCCTGTATTGATTTCAAAGAATGAGATAAATAAGATTTGCCCTCATCCTTCATCTGGTTTCTGATCAATGCGCGACTTCCGATAAGTTAATGTCGATTTCACACGCATTTCATCCCCCCTCACCCACATTATTCACAAAAAACAACGAGATGAGTGCAATACAATAAGATTGAAATGAAATTGCGGAGCTCTCGTCCAAGGGGCATTTAAAAAATGAAAAAAATAGAACTATAAAAAAATAAAACATTAGATAGAACTGTCAAAATCTCTTTCATTCGAAAAGTAATTTCTCTTAGGAATAATTTTTAGCTACATCTTTCTCGTTGTACGGCACACTTATTTCAACTGTTTAACTCGAAAAAAATTGTAGAAACATACGCCAGTTCCTCTATTGGCTAATTATCTTAATTATTTAGGCCTGACAGTATATAATTTCTTATGATTTCTTATATGATATTTTTTAAATAGTAAATATCATTTATGTCTAAAATGAACGGAATGACCTCTAAAGGGCAAAAAACCTGTTGCTCCCTGCGAGACCTTAGCAACAGCGCATGCGCGTAAATATACCCGCGTAGAGCAGTCATCTAACGGTAAAATTATATTATTAGGATGCGCGCTTGATGAATAGAATGTAGTTTTGGTACTTCTTATGTGTAAATTGATTTCACAAACTTGATCTCATTTTCTTTTTATTGTCGTATTTGCAAAATTGCCAACAATTGCTCCTCCTCTTTCGGTGTCGTAAATCGACACCTACATGAGTCACTAGAAAATGCTTAACTCGCAAATTTTTAAAGCACACTAACTGACACTAAAAAAGGCATTGCTGCAAAACTTTAAATTTTTGAGAATCATAATAATTATATGGTTTGATATTCTTCTGACGAAAAGATATTGGATTAAACCCTAATTATGGGCAAATGTCACAATTTCCCACATGAACTGGCGAACTGAATCAATGTTTTTTTTTCTGAGAAACAACTCTCAATTATCAGAATAAGGTGCCCCTAGATTTAAAAAAAAACACATTGAACAGATAGCAAATTTTGCGCAATTAATGTGAAGAAGCTCAAATGGGAAGGATTTGTGAGAAAATCAATCGTATCCAGACATGGCGGATTACAAGGGATTTAGGAGGAGAAGAATCGGTATAAGACCTGAATTTTACAGACGCCTCGGACAGGAAAATAAGCGCAAAATAAAATGAGGAGGTGAAACGCGTGAAATTTTCAGCGGATATTTCGAATAAGCGAGAAAACGAGGGAAATGATTCAGAGCGTTTTTGATACGAACGGATGGTGTTGTGCGAACATAAACGGAATGAAATGGATTTCATGACATACATATACATTTGGTTAAAATACAAAATTGATCGAGAAGGTGGGCGTACAAACTGACAAAGCATTACGAAAAACGAGAACAAACGTCAGAAAAATTTGTTCGAATTTGAGTAGCGAGAATACAAAATGATTGCATGTGCTTTCACGTGGCGCATTTGACCTTAAAATTTTAATAGCGCGTTCTCAAAAATTGAAATACGATTTAAGATAATTATTCTCATAAGGATACTAGTGAATCGTGGAACAAAAGTGGCATATTCGAATTTCTAATTACAGCGTTTAAGATTCACAACAATGGAGGGGGTTGCCGTAGATGCTTTTTCCAAGTTGTTTCTTATTGCCAACAACTATTGTTTCATGGCTCATTTTCTGACTTGGCGTGGCTCGTCGCCCTAAAACTCGCGGAAATGATGAGGCTTCTTAATTTTTTCATTTCGCGCAGCGTCGAAATTCCATTCCGCTACTCATCCGCACATCATCCGTGTTTCTATTTTGAACATGCCCGATGGAAAAGCACAATAAACAAAATGCACGAAAAAAAAAACACACACACACACATCCACAACAAATATACATAGAACAAAAATGGAAACCCCGTATGAGAAAATATTTCGGGGCAATTTTCGGATAATATCGCGGCGTCGATTAAAAGGGAAAATCGGACAAAGTGACATTAGAAAAAAATAACCAACACACACACACGCACAGATTGCAAAGTTGCAAGAATTGGATCATCAAAAATCCATCGCAGCATTTTTGCTTCTAATGATTAAATAATTTATGAATTTTTTTTCTGATATTCGCGATTAATCCGATCATGGTCGACGAGAAGCGTCGGAATGAGTGAAAGACGCCCAAATAAAGTGTGACAATAATTCGATTTTGGTCAGGAATCCCATATATCAAACATGTTTCATTTTTTTGTATTAAAAAGGTGCCAATAATCCAATTTGTCGGCGGGTAGATTAGAAGTCAAAATTGAAAGATTACGAATTTCTATACGACTGGGTGAAGATGAGTAGAAGACTGGATCAACTTTTTAAAAGATTGATGAGTATAGACATCGTAAAATATTATAACAATTGAACTTTCCCACATTTCTTAGTATTTTATTTAAAATCAGTTTAATGTAGATTAATCCAGCGTCAAATCGTAGAAATCTACAATTTTGCTGTTCACACTACACATTACATTACGGTAAGACCTTATTATTGAAAAGTCAAACATTTATGGGAAAAGATTGAGAAGAGTGCGTCCAAAAATAGCAATCATATAATTTGCCGAGTATCGCAAATTGACACCGCGACACTCAGCAAAAAAACTCACTTTAGATTGGAATTGAAAAAGAATTTTCATAGCAGAAATATGTTTTAAAATCTGAATATCTGAACACACACATGTTGCGTGAAAGGCTTCAATCTTTTTCGCGATTTACTGATATCAATTTCATTTTGAAATTCTAAATTTTTTATTTTAACCTTTCGCCAATAAACGTTTAAAAATTCATTTTCTTTTGCCAAGCAACGCCCACTTCAGGCGAATCTTTAGTATCTGAAATTTGACCTACAAGGCAATTTCTGATTTGATGAAGTCAAAGTATAAACAAAATGATGGAGAAAAACATTATTATTCAGCAAATCTATTGAGAAAAAAAAGGAAAAAATTGATTAGTTGTTGTCCTAAAGAATTTCAAAAATAGTACAATGCACTGATAATTAGATTGCCTCTTAAATGTATGATATGAAAGCAGGTCGCTAAAGATACTAAGAATTTTAGCCGCAATTTTGTATAGAAAAATACTTATATTCATTTTAGTCCTACTTGCAAAGGTTTCAAACTTGGAAAAGTGAAGACTTGCCCTTTTTCAAAAACGCCAATTTCTTAAGAATAATGACTACATTGTGAGATTTGAGCGTTCTTCATTGAAATGAAGGGAAAAAAGATTACATATATTTTTTTTGTCATGACTCTCCTTTATTTTCTTTGAGCCAATCACATCAGCTAACCGTGTTTATTTAATTTCCGTTACATCTTCTTTCAACATGCATATTGTTGTGTGAGAGTATCATGAAATTAAATGAAACACTACAACCTACTGGCCTTGAGTCGTCCGATCATCATTTCTTAGAATTTTATATTTTCAACATGTATATTTAATGTGGGAACTATTGAAATTCTTGAGTTACTTTGAGAAATGAATAATCTCAGTTTTTGGACCCCAAAGCACACAGTACAGAAAATGCGCTACATTTTTCAAGAAGAAAAAACCATGTTAATTTTGCGTATAGGAATCGCTGATAATCTTGGAGCACAAATAAGCTCTCGCGTTTTTTTTAATTCTTTAACCGAATTGTGCAAAAAAAATTTGCAGCAAATTTCTTGCGGTGCGTGTTTATTTGATATCGTATTAATCTCCGGAGAAAATTTGACCTATGAACTGAATAGACGGA